GGTCTGGAGGACGCTGAGAATGATATGGACTTCGATCTGTCTTCAATAACAGGTGGAATACTTGCGAGTTTCACGACCAGGTTACGTATCATCACAACCGAAACCCCCGTGTCCATACGGGGCTGGGACGACTTCTATCTCACACTAACTCAGATACTCGAACTGGGCCATGTGGAGATCGCTGTAGTACTTAATAGTGGCTTCCTGGATTTCTGCCTGAAGATGCTTTGTATGCACTCGTACAAGCGGTTCCAGGACGAGGACCCTGACCTATGGAGAATCGTGAGCAAGAAGTCGGGAATTTATAACAGACTCATCGGATTCCTGTCGAATTTGCTCTTACGCATCGATACTGGTCTGCCAGCCATTGCCTCAGGTGCTGATCGCATAGCTTCGCTCGACCGGGAGACTTTGATGTTTCCATTGACCTATCAAGAACGGAACATGTTGTATTGGTGGGACTCTGATCTCAAAGCCATTGCGGTTCTAGACAAGGCGTTGGAAATATTCGATGAGTCGAAAATGGATTACTTCCACCCCGGTGACATGGTCAAATCGATGCTCGGTTGGCGAGACCTGCAGGCTCAGTCCAGCCTCTTCAAGACTCTTCTTGAAGGCATCGTTACGCTCGACCCTCCCTTCTGCGATGCTTACATGAGAGCTTCACTATCGTATTGCGAAGGCTGTCCGGTGGTAGACAGTGTCAACAAGATTATTACAACCATTGCGAAGGCGGTTGCATCAAACAGCCGGATTGAAGAAGGCCGCGCACCTGGCGGCTCGGCTGCTCTCGGTTTCTTTGGTGGTCTTTTGCAAATAAAGAACGAGGCTATCTTTCAGCAAAAGCACCGGTACATGTTCTACGCATGGGTTATAGGGAAGAGCCGCATTTGGGCACCCCCTTTACTCTTACACAAGCTGGAAGACGTACGGCAAGGTGCACAGATGCTTGTCTGCGAGCTTTACAGGACTTACGAGGGATGGCCTGTGGATCTGGTACAATTCAGATGGAAAACACTCCGTGAGACGATCACCGACATGATGAAGCGCATCGTATACGAAAAAGATCTAGGCATGCCGAAACATCATCTATCCCCACTCATCGACACTTGCCAATGCCTCGTTCAACAGCTCTACGACCTCAACCAGAGCGAAGATCTTGAGTTGGATCTGTATAGAGATGTTGTCAACGACACCACACGCATGCAACAGTGGGCTGAGGAGATCGAGCCTAGATTGGAAGCTTGGCCACAGGACGATAGCCTATCAGCGGCTGATCTCTATGATAATTCTGGTAGTGAGTCAGATGGAGAAGAAGTATATGATAACGATGTATGATTATTGACACGATGCGTCGGTAGATGGCCCACTCAAGTCCGGCTCATCGCTGTCTCCTTGTGGTCCGGACGGCGTCAGCGATCGTTCTCCAGCCCGCTCTCCGAACGTCACGTACATCAGTGATGAAGAAATCACTATCTCGACGAATTTCTAGAGCAACCACAAACCCATAGCTTTGCTAAGAGCAGGCTGAATGGATTTGGACTTTCTGCGCATTCATTTTGCACGAATTTATTGTTAGAAATCGGATGCCCTGTTTTCTGGGACACATCTGGTACACCATGGCATTCACTTTGGACTTCGGTTTTTGGGGACAGTCTTCACTTTATTGTTCTTGCTGGGGTGGCATAGCGTGGGTGCTTGGGAGTACTTAGATGAAATGACCTCTTCACATTGGGAGTTAGGTATGACTATCACGCTTCATGACTATAGCATCCTCACGATAGAGAATTTATCTACGGAAATCTCATTCTGCTCAAAGCATCCCACGGATAACGCGTAAGTATTGCTGAGCAGCTGACTTCCCCCCGAGCACGATCTTGCACCGCGCTGAGACGATCCACTCTTATGCCAAATCCCTCACTATGATACTTGCAACTGTAACAGAGGGGCGGAGTTGCCCAATAGTCGAGAATGAAATCCGATCGCGCGCGGAGGGTCGGGGATGCGATATCGATAAGCATCAGGCTAAGCTTCGTCAGCCTGGTCATCGCGTCCCACCCGCAGAAACGACGTCATAGCGAGGTAACGCGGAAGCTGCGGACAAGCTTTCCGCTACCTAGAGCCGTGCCGTCATAATAAACAAGGCTACCCAGTCGGCTTTGCGATTGTTGTTGAATCCCTATCCCCTCTTCTAATCTGTAATTCCTTATACCCCTCCTCCAGATCTTCCAGCTTTTGTTTCTTTGAGGCACCATCCTTGTGAAGCAGCACGCGACAAACCTCATCCCCGATTCCAGCACCAAAACGATACCATACGGCGAGAACGACACAGCAATTGAGGTGACTCAACTACAACTACATTCACAATGTCGAACAAATTGGACGCGATGAAGCCGCAGAGGAAGATTGAGCTCTTTTCAGGCTCATACTTTGCGGCGTGTACAATGGGTGGTATCATCGCGTGCGGGCCTACACATACTATGGTTACCCCGCTGGATCTGGTGAGTTTATTCTCACGTGTCAATTACATTTTGAAGTCGCTGAAGTATTCAAAATGTTTCCGAGGACACACGCGCTGATTCTCACCTCGCAGGTAAAATGCCGCCGTCAAGTCGACTCCAACCTCTACAAATCCAACTCGCAAGCGTGGAAAATGATCTATTCCAAAGAGGGTCTGCGCGGTGTATTCTTTGGTTGGACACCCACATTCATCGGCTATTCCATGCAAGGGGCTGGCAAATACGGATTCTACGAAGTCTTCAAGTACCTGTATGGTGAGAAGCTTGCTCCCGGCGCCCCGCAAACGGTTGTGTATCTCGCTGCCTCCGCTTCCGCCGAATTCCTCGCCGATATTGCCCTATGTCCTATGGAGGCAATCAAGGTGCGGATGCAGACGACCATGCCACCGTTCGCAAACACACTAAGGGAAGGCTGGTCGAAGGTGATCAAGGAGGAGGGCGTTGGCGGTCTTTACAAGGGCCTGTATCCTCTGTGGGCGCGTCAAATCCCATACACCATGGTCAAGTTCGCCACGTTTGAAGAGACTGTCAAGCAAATTTACGGCTTCCTGGGTAAGCCAAAAGAGTCGTACGGAAGTCTACAGCAAACCGGTGTGAGCTTCCTCGGTGGATACATCGCTGGTGTTGGATGCGCGGTCGTCTCGCACCCTGCAGGTATGTCGGAAATGTTTCACGAATATCAGAGAGTAGTAAATGGTAGCTAACATGTGTTAGATGTCATGGTCTCGAAGCTCAACAGCGACCGGAAGGCTGGCGAGGGCGCTGGCCAAGCTATTGGCAGGATATACGGCAAGATCGGTTTCGGTGGTCTTTGGAACGGACTGCCTGTCCGTATCTTCATGATTGGTACTTTGACTGCGTTCCAATGGCTAATTTACGACTCCTTCAAGGTCTACCTTGGTGTAAGTTATTCCCACCGCTGTGTATGTGGGCCTGAAACTAACTTCCAAACAGCTACCTACTACCGGTGGCCACTAAGCCATCTACTACACGAAGAGAGTGCGATAGTCATGGCGTGTAAGGTGTTCTTGGAGTAAGATTAGCGGATGACTACCACTTAATGACATTTAATTGATGAAATTTGCTTCCTGCTACCCGTGGTTGTCAATACCAATCTTATCTGTTCCTACTCACAAGATTGCCCCCTCATCCTAGTCGATATGCATCATTCAATCTAGTATTTTGCGACATCTTATTCTCGTTCCGGAGCTTTACGAGGAGTAGACTCGCAGCTGTCTGCACTTACTGTTTGAATCGTGAGCATAACGCGACTAAAATTCCTAGATTCTTATTCGGCATCGCAAGTCAGCATGCAAAGGCCCCTCCACTCATTTGCATGGCGATACAAAACTGCCCCTCCGCAAATAAAGATGAATCTTTGTCTCTCATTTCACAAACCGCTTGATCATGTATTATCGCACCTATCACATAAGAGTCACTTTTCTCTTGCGCCCTCTGTAAGATCGTCTTCGCAACCATCAAACACCAGACTTCTACCTACACCGAAAGCGAATAGTACTTCTTCATCGATTTAGGTATTTGTTACCTGGTCAGCGAGCATGTTGTTACCTTCAAGATCAAATTCCTACGAAAAGACCATATTGTCAACGCCGATATACCCATCAGACATGCATTCGTCGAAGGGGCGCTATGGAAGCAGGTGGAAGTAAAGCTGACGAACACAAGGTTGAAGAAAGAATAATTTGAAGTAATTTTTAGATTCGAGGAAGTCGGTAAGATGGAGGGAAGATAATAAGATGAGAAGATAAGCGCGGACAGGATACCCAGGGAAAGAGGGACAACTTAGTGGAATGTTCATGGGCATAAGCTGGACTGGCGACAAGCTTGGAATTCTATGATGAAATATGGGAGAAATTAGAGAGACTATCAATAGCAATGTTGCCTATTGACTTGTGCTATTAGCAAGAGAGTAGGAAAAGAACGATAGGCTGGAGTCAGGTTGCAGGCTTTATGTCCAGCACCTTGCTGTATCAATTTTGTGGTGCATCGCAGAACAACTGTTGGCGCAGAAACGATAGTCCTCTATAGCTCGTAAAGGGTGCTGTAAGTATCAATAAGCATGCAACAGCAAAGCTTGAAGGTCTTCGCAGAGTCGCGGGGAGTGGGGAGATGGCAACCCAAATATATAGTGTCTTCACTAAGCCCGCATTTGAGCGACACTCGAGCACTAAGCCCACGCTTAAAGGGCGCCGCGGTCGCTGTCCTCCGCTCGGTGTGATGCGCGTTGCTCCGGACCCGTGAGTATGGTCCCCAATGGTGAGAGGACGTGCGTAGCGGCTATGCAAGGCGAGAGCAGAGAGGGTAATGACACGGCACGTATACTCTGTACGAACTGAAACTCGTTTCGGTGTTCTTCACACAGTAGTAATGTCGGAAGATCTACCACGGGGTATGTCAACCGAGGGGTGATTTCAATCACTTGCGTACGAAGTCATGTCTCGGCTCCATCTCGGTGTAACATTACACGTCCGCTCCACCCTCTACAGTCGCGCCGCTCAACTTACCGCTTTTGGACTCGTCGACAGTAACCCCAAAAGTAACCCACTCTACTCCTTGGTGGCCATTGATCCACTCGATGAGCCTCTCGTGCAGTAGGATGACTTGTGGCTTGCCGCTGACCTGCGGGTGAATACTAATGGGGAGAATGAAGCTCCTGTCGTTGGGGCATCCGCGATACAGGAATTCGAATTGTTCCTTCCATAGGCGTTCGATGACCGCGGTATCTAAGAAGCCATGAGTACTTGGCTGCATGAGTGATAACTGGAAGGGCGGCCAGTCGTCCAGGTGCCAGTTTGCAGGTATCTCAACCACTGCAGACGGCTTCAACGTTGACATGGGTGTCATCCAGTGAGAAGTCGGCTTTGATAGATCGGTCTCTGTATATGTGACGTGATGTGGGGAAGGAACATAGTACGGCTGAGAGTCGTGGTGCATGAAAGAATGATCGTACTCCTGCAGCATTTTGTCAGTCCTTCGTCTGTACCAGAAATTGCGTGCAGGTTTCCGTACGATCCCGAAGTCTTCGAGCTGCTTAATGGTTTATCTACTCGTACTCCAAGCCGGTGCAGTCCAACCGCGCGGCTTCTTGCCTACGATATTTTCCAAGACTTGAATGCTCTTTTCTAGAACGTCTCGCTGCTGCTCTTCACTTAACAAAGACACGGATTCGTGTGTATACCTGGGTAATCAATGTACGAAATCAGCTTATATGTCATATGCATTCCGTACATCAAAGCTCCTACCCATGCAGCCCTATCTCATGTCCTTTCTCAACGATCTTGCGTATTTGTTTTGGAAACACATCTGCAGTATGCGCTGGTGTAAACCATGTCGCCTTGATATTGTACTTGTCGAAGAGTTTCAGGAGACGATCGATGCCTACTGTCGCGCCGAACACACCCCGCGATACGCCAGTGGGATTCGCGGGAGCATCAGTCTTCGTGTTCAGCCTCAACATGCTGTTAGCCCACGATCCAGCAATGCACTCAACAGAACCATTGTACTATCCACTCACCTGTATTGTACGAATCAGTGTCTGTCTAAATGAAAAGAGAGGGCATACTTGTTACTCACGGCATCGATATCAATACCATACAAACAAAGTACGCGTTTCGGCATGATCTTGGGTAGTACCTTCAGGAAGAAAGGATTTCTTAGTCATGAATTGATGTTAAAAAGTGACAACACTCGATAGCAAGGCCATAGCCCCATCTTATCATCAACTCCTTGCCTCATCAAATATTATGGCCTGAAGCGCAGTTGTGCTTGCAACATTGCGTCACATCCGTCCAGGATCATGTCAATGCCGTGTGAGTGGTTCACCATTTACTGATATACTCCGAAATACCGAACAATGGGTAGTGGCAGGGTTTCAATACCGGATGAACTAGCCTGGGGCGGCCCATGAACTGCTTTGGTGCTCCTGCAGCACATTTCGTGTGTACTTGCTCATTTACGGCCTTGTAGCGAGTTATAGACGAAGGAGCGCTTTACGATAGCTCGGAACGGAATTGAGCGCTCGAAAGCGGGGCACGCGTGGGATTGCCGAAAGCGCTACCGTGGAAGGAATGACAGAGGTGGACTCTAACAACGCAGTTCAGGTAGACGAGAACCTGAACCAGTACTTTTTCTTGCCTTCGTCTGGTCTTTGTCGAGTTTGCAATACAGTATGTTGTTCGTGGAGTGCAACGGAACCCCTTACGAAGTAAGTGCAACGCGTGACGTCATCGCTGCTCGTCACCGCCAATGAACGCAGCACCGAGAAGGCGCTCAACGGGATTGTGCTGACCATATTACATAGATCGGCTACCGACATGGTCAAGCTGCCAAGCTACAGATAGCCCGCTGCATCGACTTCTATGCTTGTCTCTTCCTCAAGAACTGCAAGCAAAGATGGCCGCAGGTTCTCCAACACGCGTCAAAGTTCGAACAGCGAGCGAAAGCGCAATGGCCAAATTTCCATACAGAGATGCAAGGCATCGCCGACGGCTCGGGACGCGATTTGTTAGATATCGTGGCCATTAATGTCAGAACTGAAATTAATTTTGGTTTATTCAGCGATGGCTGCACTGCACTCGCATGGCATACCCAAAATCGTGCATGGCTGGCGCAGAATTGGGACGTCAGTTCTACTTGAGTGAACATGCAGCATAGGATGATTGTGTGCTAATCGGACCTAGTGGATGACCGAGCAGCAACAGAATCTGATTGTCACCAAGATTACGCAAGCTACCAAACCCACTATAGTCCAGGTAACGGAAGCAGGGATAATCGGAAAAATCGGCTTCAATAGCAGTGGCGTCGGTACACTGTTCAATGCCATAAAAGTTCATGGCGTCGACTCTATCCGAATGCCTGCCCACTTCGGCCTAAGAATGGCATTGGAAAGCGAAAGCGTCGATGAGGCTGTCCACAAGCTTGAGAGTTTTGGCATGGCCTCTTCAGCCCACATCCTGATAGGTGACCCAAGCAAGTCTCTAGGTCTGGAGTTCACAAAGAGCACTTTCGCCCACGTACTACCAGACTCCGGTTCGAAAGTCATTCACACGAACCATTTGCTTCTAGAGCACCCCGGCGAGACCGATACTGTGTGGCTCAAAGACTCCTTGGACCGGGTCCGCACAATGACTGATAATGCCGAAGCATTAGGTACAGAACCGAGCTGGGAAAGTGTGAGTCGATTGTTCGAAGACGAACAGAATGCCCCAGGGGCAATTTGTAGGGTCGAGACCGAGCAGAGTGGAAGTGGCACGTTGTTCAATATCGTGATAGATTTGAAAAGCAAGAAAGCCGTAGTGAAACTTGGCAGGCCTACAGAAGTACAGGAAATCGTCAACCTAGAGATATGATGTAAATAAACTCCTTGTCCCCTTGGTTGTTATGGGGCTATACGAAGCTCGCGCACTGTGAGAAAGACGTCTAATAACTATTTGCAGGGAAATCTATGATCAACCCAAGTAGTTTTCACTTTACTTTCAATTCCTGGACAAAGACATGGCGCGATTCGTAGTGAGCATGAGTCTTCTGATCTTTATCACGTACCAAATATTGCGACGGGTACGCCTGCCGCGGTTCCCCACTACAACGTGGGGGCTGGATGAGCGTGTTGGCAGTTCAGCGCTCTTGGCGACCTCGATTCAGACCCGGCACGTTGGTAAAAGTGGACGGGCAGTTCCGTGTCGGGAGACCCACGTACTGAATACGCGAGACTACTACACTGAGTTTTGGCGAGTGTAACCTTATAGCTAATCAGTCACATACTGAAAATGGGTTCAGTGACACATGGTGGTACGTATAATTGCAGAACCTAGGAACCAGCCAGGACTGTCAAACTTTGATGGTGACTTTCTAAAAGCTCGAATGGAAAATTTAATCAAGGAAATACTAGAGGACAAGATATCGATCTGTACTAACGCCAAGGGTATTACATTCCCACCAACCGAAAATGCGCACATTCATCAAATACCAAGAGGTTACGACTATTACAACATGTTGCTGGCATGTAGTTGGGATACTCAAAAGCCGGTAAGAGAAAAGCCCCTGTCGAGAAACGCCATAGAGAATTACATTTCCGGTATCATGTCCATGTTATCGTTCAAAGAAAACTCCGCATTCCAGTCAGAAGGCGGCAGATTGTATGAAAGGACGCCAAGCGGGTCTGGAGTATCAGTGATTGAGGTGGTGGGATTGAACACCGTCCAGAGTTGATAGGCTTCGTCGCCTTCCGCGAAAACGCAAGACGGGATTTGGTAATCATACATAGTGCTCGTATCAGATACTGTCTGATGGAGCGTTGGTGGCCGATAGCTCGCTCTCTGTTCCAGAAACTCGAGATATTCTTTCTTGACTGGGAGAAGCAGCCGTTCGTATTCTTCAAAACACCTTTTTGCGGCTGCCCATCGCTCAGAGATGGACAGAAAGCACTTTGAGAAAACATGCATCCACTCTTCAACTTGTTGCCACGAGTAGTTTTGTGCAACTTCTTTCTTGCAACGCTGCAACCCCTGCAGAAATATGAGTGCGCAATCAAAGACATGATGGCACGGATGGAAGACATATTTGATCTTTCCAGCCTCTGCTTCTGATTGTTGGAAATAGCCATCGGCAACCTTGACAGCATTGACCAGGGCGACCATCATCTTCTCCCTGCTTGGATTTGGTATTCGTTGGGAGGACCGATGTAACAATGATAAAATATAAGGGCATGCGATATCCGAGTACAAGCGCATCTCAGTCCATCGCGCGTTCAAGCTGCGATCCTTGTTAGCCTCTGAAGCGGCATATATGTCTCGTTGCCAATCTGCCATGTTATCGATGCAGTGTTGTATCCATTGCTCCAACGAAGAGTATTCCTGAGATATCGGGTCGCCATGCCATAGAACAGAAATGATCTCAGCTTCAATGAGACGGAAGCGGCAGATTATACGCTGCGTAAATTTTGACACCCGTCCAGTAGGCGACATACTAGACTGTGTAATGGCGGTATCATCGATCTCCAACGGAAATGCGACATCTATACGTCCGACGGGGAGGCTTGTAGGGCGTAAGAATATGCAGCAGACTCCAACTTCCATCTCCCACGCGCACCAGAATATACGTCGTCGCATATCGCGCTGATAGGCTGAAACCTTGGCGTCATTCGGCAACTCTTGGTGAAGTCCAAGGTCGATGACTGCTTGGCTGATGAGACCTGTCATGAGCCACAAATCTGCCATCTTAGGATTCAGAAAGATATACTGAGTCAGAAGCAATATAGCCTGTAGTCCAGCAATGTCGTTGGTCGCAACTTCTGGAATCCATTGCATGGCATGTCGAACCAGCTGGTAGGCGAGATCGTTTGCCTTCTGCACGTTGTTCCGCGCGCTTGTAGTTAGCGAGATAGCCATGATAATGCAGACTATGTAGCGATTCCGGAAAGAGTCTTCGTTGGGAGTTGCCGCCTTTTTATGATATATAGAGTTGAAGGCCGTTGTCACATCGTTGCGATGATATATGGGGTATTGCGTAATGACGCGATCTAGATAATTTTGGAGTAGTTTGTTGGCACCAACCTCATCAGGCATGAGGTCGTAGAAGAGGCCCCTAGTTTGTTGGGGATTCAAAATAGATCTAGGGTGGTTTTCGTTCAAATCATTTGACAGAACGGGTCCCTTTTTCGAAGGCAGCCTGGTGCCTTTGATGACGCACTGCAAGAACGGCCGGGCTTTGCAGACACCAAGGAATGAAGGCGTGATGTCTTCCATGACCTGGTTGACGAGGCTATCGGCGAAGGCACATTTTTCTGCACGCCACTGGCCCGGTCTGGAGTCGGGTGTATGAGAATCTGCTGGGGATGACAGAGTGGCACTTGACTGTCCCAACGATGGCAGCGTCGACGGCGTGCTGGTCTGGCCCTCTAGCCGAACAATGTGCGCTTCCAAGAAATCTGCAATGGATCGCGGAGCTTCTTGTTGAGTTGAAGAGTCGAAGCCAACACATTGGACGCTGGCATCAACACAGCGAGTGCAGGCAGGAACTTTGCCATCGCACTTGGTGAAGTCAGTACATGTATGACGTGGATAGAGAAAGCGTGTACCGAGAGTTTACGCTTCCGGCAGCGGGCACAGGCCAGGACGCGGCGACGGACTTTAGTTCGGTTCTGCATGGTAAACCTCGAGCGTCTGGCGTCTATACCACGACGGCGCAGTTGTCATGGCGCAGATAAAGGACGGGCTGGCGGTGGTGGTTGGCGATGGTCAATATTCTCGAACGAGGAACAGGATGCTGGCATGTGAGGGCAGCGGGCACGCGGGATGCAGGCGGCCGGGGTGATCGCTTCTGCATCGGGTCGCCCTAGCAGATAAGATCATCCCTCACTCGCCATCTTCCCAGCCCAGGCGTCCCATTGCGTCTCAGACCATTGTCCCTGACAAGACGACGGCGCGCAATGAACTGTAGTACAGACTCGAGCAGCTGCTAGACTTTGATCCATAGCTGTCACGTCCTTGCAACTACCCGCTCCGATGGCCGCCGCCGCCGCCAGCAGCTCAAACTCCCCCACGCTTGATCTAGATGCTCTGATTCAGGTAACGCCGGCCGTCTCCGCAATTTGACATCGCGCACTTATACTTCCCCAGAGTCTCCCCGCATGTAAGAGATGCCGAGAGTGTCGCCGCGGATGCGACACCTTATTACCGAAGTGCAGGTACATCATTCCTCTGTCCCACCCTGGGCATTCTGCTAACGGGTCAGGCAATGCACAAAAGCCGGCGTGGAATGCATGTTTTACGACCATGGACGCAATGAGCTGCTGCCACGAAGGTGAGCTGACGTGCCTTGTTTTCAAATCCCAACTAAGCACACCGCCAGCTATATCAGCGAGCTGGTAGATCGTGTGCGTAGTCTGTCAAGCGGGAATCCTTCACCAGCAGCTTCGGGTAGCGCTATAGATCATGGCGGATTCGGCACGCAGGTCAAGACTGAGTTCATCGCTTCTGAAATTCCTCGATACGAGCATCACTTTGCCGAAGCCGGAGATAGCTACCGATATCTCGGCGCGGAATCGTGCCTCCTCAAATCACCCAGACTGCACACTGCGCATGAGGTCCGCGGCGAGCAAGATGACGAAGAACTAGACGATTGGCACTACACTAACAAACATTCGCCCGAGAAGCAGTACGAGCTGATGCAACTGTTCCTTGAGACAGTCCAGCCAATCTATCCCATTCTGGATCCATCTCTACGTTATCTTGGACCGGATCTGCCCTGCGACCTCACGTCGACTGAGATGTTCTCGCTGTACATGATATATTCTATAGCATGCTACATCATCCCCAATACTCGCAAAAAGCAACCGCCAGATCAAGACTGGAACCCCACAGGTAGGCTTGCATATCATCAGGCCAATTCTATCAGATACCGCTCTCTCGCGACTCAATACTTCGCAGATGCTATGGAGCACCTCGAGTTAGCAACAATGGACCCAAATATCGACACCATCCGTTCCGTCCTTCTACTTGCCATCAACAGCTCGTTCGACCCAATAGCGGGTAACATTGGTCAGCAGATAGCTCTTGCAGGCCGTCTTGCGTTCGATCTAGAGTCAAAAAGCACACTGCAAGAGCTTGGTCCGGACGATGTCCAAATGCTCCGAGCGATGCACATGACTATATTCTGCCTTGAAAATCAGATTGCATCTACACTAGACAGGCCGGCATTGTTTCCAGAACCGGTAAGCTTACTCGTCGAGCACGAACCGCAGGACAAGACTCATGACTTGCAGGAAGAAGATTTGTGTTTCGACAAGGAAAAGCCCGCCGAATATCTTTGCTCCTTGTATCGTATGCAGAATCGTTTTCGCAAGGGTGACCACCTTGCGAAAGAGAAGGTTAAGAAGCTACTCCCACTCTTCGATGAGAAAGACGAGTTGCTTCCTGTCATACGTATAACCTTGCACATCACGCATCTGTTGCTAAATCCTTGCTGGGGGAGTGCGTGGCATGTGCTGTATGTGAAGCTCACATGTGCTGAGGGATTTGATGCTGACTATCACAAACAGAGAAGCTGTAGTAAGCTTCGGTGGCATCCACGTCTTCGTCACACCACACTGGGTTTACCGAGCAGGCACGGTGCTCATCCAGAACATGCCTGCAATCTTTGGTGGTAACCTCATCCAACTGTATTCAAATGCGCTTCTCGTTCTCGAACTTTCTTCCTGGCGGTGGCCGAGCTCCGCTGCTCTCTCCGCGTCGCTGGTCGACCTCATGCAGCATATGAAAACGAAGTACCGGCCAGACTGGTCCGACAAGCTTCAACAAGGCGACGTAAGAATATGACCTCTGGCTAGTTGCGACGGCATGCGAATCCCATATTTCCTTTCTCATGGACCTAATGAAATCTTCAGATGTCCTCTTCGTCCGCTGCGGAAAATTTACGAAAAACCCATTCTAAGGGTCCGGGAGATGTCGACATCGTCCATCGCGGTTCCCGAGAAATGCCTCCAACTCCAGATTCCTGACACTAGGGAGCTCTTACCACTCTCTTTTGACGGATTTCCTACACTTTTGGCGAGGAGTGTTCGAGCTGTCCTATACGAACTGAGAGAGTAACCAATAGGGCGGTTGGATACATGTGTCATTGCAGATATGGGTACCTGCCTGCAACACACATCTTTGCGCATCGCACAATGAAGCTTCAGATGAAGAAACAACTGTTAAGAGGATACCCTTGATTTATGATATGACACAAGGCGTGTAACTTTGACATCTATGGCATTGGAGCCCTATAACTACGCGGCTACGAAGTGAAGATACTTCGATTCACGTTGAGGATTGAAAAGACATTTTACGGCATAGGAATGGAGAGAGGAGCTCATATGTACAGCTGGTGTTGACTTTGAGTTCTCATATTTTAAATTAGGCCCAGTGAATATAACGAGAGTAGTGGGTATTGTGCTACAGAAAACATTACAACAACCAAGTTAGTTACGAGGCTCAAACTTAATCACCAAATGGTCATTTGACAACGGTATCAATGAGGCCAACCCTTAATGCTCATCCGGTGACTCATAAGATTGTTCAGTGTGGTGCTGTGATGAGAATTTGGAGAGTAAATGAATATATGTTTGGCGGCTGAATATCTCCATGTCATGAGTTGTAGCTACATCTCCTTCAACCTCACTTCTCTGAACGCCAGTCTTTTGATCTGTCGTCTAGGTTGGTAGGCATTTCGGGTAACATGCCAATTGCCTTGATGTTCTCGTACAAACTCAATGCAGCGAGAGTTTTTGCATCCCGAGCACCTTCTCGCCAGAGCATGTGCAACGGAACTAACTTGAGCTTGATTTTCTCACCCTCTTCCGCGAGACCCGTTGCCTTACCTTTAAGATCTTCCAGGTGCTCACGCTTGAGACGCTTCTGACAGAGGTAGAGTGTGATGAACTCGTCGCAAGCACCAGGACTGGGGTACATGGCCTTTTCCAGTGATTCAGCTGCAGGGGGGTATTCGGACGATGCTCCTTCTAGCGCAAGCTTCGTCATGTCTAGTAGCTCGCTTTCCTTCAACTCAAGTCCCGTTTCTTCTTTGATCTCCTTCGCGGCTTTTCCAGCGAACGAATCTTGCTCGTCATCTAACATTCCTGCAGGTATCTCTGTGAAGGCCAAAGACGAGGCTGCTACCCGAGGCTGAACGGTGAGTATGACTTGTTTCTCATCTTCTCCTTCTGCACCTTCAGGTTGTACAATGAACTTCCGACCAGTTAGTTGAATTCAAGTGCTTCGGATGACACTAGACTCACGAGGACAGCCACACTACCACCTCGTAAGAACACCGCCCCAGGTGTCCAATTCTTTTCATCATCCGGGTCGTCATTTCTGACCTCACTTTGGAGTTTTACAAACCCCAGTTTCCCTTCGTTGAACCAGTCGGCGGCCTCTATATCCAGTTTTCTTAGTCGGTAAGGATTTGAATGGAACGGATGCAGTTCGTCTTCTTGAGCATCAAGGGTTTGGAGAAGCTTGACAAACCAGTTTCTCAGAGCTGGAAAGCCAAAGCCTGGCTCTCCGTCCTCTGGAGTGTCAGGAAGAAGCTTTTTGAACTGGTCTGTCGAAAGGTTCCATGGCAGGTAGACTGATACTGGTGGAGTCAGGGTCTTGCCGTTGAACTCATTGATGGTCAGAGCCTTTTCGCGTTCCTTGGCAGGTCGCAGGTTCCCGTGGCAATCGTCTACTTTCATAGTGCTAGACTTTGTCTCTAGTTGGAGTGTGAGGAATTGTATTGGACGAGTGTAAGAAAGACAACGGTGACAGAGTGTTTATATATTTGAAGCTGAGAGTCACTGACAGCTCTGAGCCATGAGCTGTTGGCACCGGCATTCAACTGGTCAAGTACAACGTATCGTGTAACCAGCCAAGACTGTATTACCAAGTATCACAACGAATAAGCGGACAGTCGAGCTTTGCATGCAGAGAAGCTGTCAGTCCAAGTCAATGCTGATCTTAAGGTGTGTCTCGCCGCGGGGATGGCTTTGCGCTAGGTCCACTTGCCCCGTTCAGCCCCACAGCATCATGCACCTGCAAGGGCCGACCGCGGAACGTGGAGTAGATGCGCGCCACCACCAAACTTGGCGCCACTGTTTACTCCTTCACCACGTCTCAAGCATTGGGCCTTTCTTAGTCTTTGATCCTTGCTCTCTGCCTTGGATCTCACATCTTCATCCCAGCTCGGCTCTACACTGCCTAAACATCAGGCCCGCTCATAATGGGAACTCTGACCGCAGACTGCCCACGTCTGGAGACACACTGTCCACACAAGCTTGCCACAAGCTGCCGGTTGACATCAACGCCGAATTGCTGCGCTTGTGCCGACGAGAGAGTGCATTCCAGGACATATCGCGTGTATATTGACGGAGTGGGCTTCGTGAACCAAGGGACGAGATGGCAAGGCTATTGCTGGTTCTGTAAAGGTACGACACTACGCAACACCATTTCGAATGGCAACATCGTAGACTGATATCGAACTAGAGTTCTGGACTAACCGCCTTGCCGCTACCGACCCGCCCCTCGACATCTCTCAGACACGCATACCAGAGATACCTGACCAGACCGAGTTCCTGGAACGATGGTGGGAGTTTCACCAAGGGTATCGCATCGCAAAACTACCGGATGGCACCGAGCAGCGTATGCCTGTAATCGGGGAACCGTTCAGGGAGGTCAGCCCCGGCTTTCTTCCGCGTACGCTAGATCAATTGAGGGCAGGAGTAGAGAACGATGCCAGTAGACTAGAAAACAGGCTCCAGAGAAGACGATTGTCGTCGGAACAAGAGCGACCAGAGCAGCCACATCAGAGTCTCGAAGATGCGCTAGACAGTCTCCTACAAGAGGTAGTGGAAGAAGTCTCCAACACGGAGCCCACGGCACCAACGGAACCACGAGCTTCGATAACACCTCAGATACAAGAAGACCCGTCAGAGCCCCCGCGACCAATGACACGACGACAAGCGCAACAACAACGTCGACGAGAGCACTTTGCACGCGTTTTCGGCTCTCGCGAGGACGTGGAGCAGGACGACTACGAGTCACCGCTTACACAGATGTACACACGAGCCTTCGACCGCCAACGTCAGGCCGATCAACGAAGAGCAGACGGCACGGATACCGCGCCTCCGCTCGACGGGCTGTCACCACAAGATCGACGAGAAATCGAAGAACAGTTGTTATGGGGAGTAATGCGAGAGTCACAGTCACTATCAGAGAGTCTAGAGCCAGCGAGTCAAGTCTGGAGTTATGCACCCCGGTGGCAGAGTCTTGGAGAGGACAACTATGCTGAATTGGAAGCGCACGAAGCTCACAGAGCGCAAAACGACCATCTTGCACAGCCATTGTTAGCCAATCCTGAGCTTGGCTCCAACATCACAACGGCTATCCCTGGATTACTCTCTCAGTTGAACTCCATGGACGCGGCTGACGCACCGAGTCCTGAACTAGTGATGAACCAAATGCGTGCTCTGCGTCTTGAAAGTCGCTTCACAGAGGCGCGTGCATTCTTGCGCGCTGCCCGTCCGCCTTCACCTCCACCCATGTCGCTGGACAACCAGCCCGATCGGCCGGCACCCAAGACAGAAGAAGAGATGACCAAAACCCTCGCGTGCCAGGTGTGCTATCAGCAGATTGCTGATATAGCTGTGCTGCCTTGCGGCCACATGGTTATGTGCCAGTGGTGCGCTGACGTAGTTGTTCCCATCAAGCATGGCCATATTCCTGCGCGGCCGACCAAGTGCCCTATGTGTAGGAAACAGGTGAAGCAGAGGTTCAAGATACATACCGGTTAAAGTGGTTGTACGAACATTATGATATGACGAAAGCAATGATACCACTATCCATTTAGACGTCAGCTGCATAGACAATAGGCAGAAAATATGCCAAATCTAAATTCTAGTCTCTGGCTCGAGGTGTCTACAAAAGCTTGCCTTGACCGCCATTCCCTTGTTCTCTCTTCTTCTAAATCGCGTCTACCCCTCGTTCAACTGACGCCAGTATGGCTTTCAGAGCAGAAGTACTACAGAGTGGTACATTTGGATCTTACTGGACATGGAAATGCATTATGAGCCAGAGATATTACGCGAGCTCTGTTTATGCTGACAACGCCAATGTCTTGTTGGACATCAATCTCACGTCTCTAAGCGTGTTGGCACAGAAGCATCTCCGATCTGTCATCTTCTGGAGTGAGGTTGGATCGGGCGATTCCTAGGATTGGCTTTGTCCGCCCGTTTCATTGAATGCTGATAGTCGATATGTGGTGTATCTTGGACCGAGGCATAACATCAGAGACCGCCGTAGATGGCAAAGGAAGACAATATGAGCACCAGGGTGTTGATAACGGCCCAGACAAAAGGTATCCAGGTAGACATTTCGAAGTATCCCGCCTGATATACACCTCCTAGCCTGATTGCAGTCAGTATGCGACGCGATAGACATGGCAGCAGATCTCGACTCACAGTCCGCCAACGATAGCACCCGCAACAAGTGCTTCAACGCCTCCAACAAAGCTGAAAACGGGCAGGGCGATCCATATTAATTTCCAGTTGCGCCATTGGACTACACATGCCCATAGTGCGGTGATGAAGTGTATACCGCCAACCAAGAGCAGTGTCCAGTACACGGTAAAGCGAAGGATGTCGTCGGGGCGGTATAGGTAGAAGGACTGGGTGGTACCAGCGGGAAGAGGCCAGTAGAGGGATGGGAAGGGCGGTGTGGTGTAGCCGAGCGGGACCGCCGAGTCGACGCGTTGAATGAAGCTGGGGAAGATATCGTTAACTACCATGGCCGAATAGTGGGGAAGAATCGTCTTCAGTCCCATGTGAAGTCTGGGGCCATGGCCAGGGGACGCGCGAAGGGTGGATGCAGGGTCCAGCGAGGGCTTACCTCATCTATACGGCATAGCTATGATGCGCCCTGTATACTTCTGCGCGTAACACTAGGGGTCGTAGGATCGTACGATACTAAAGGCCGTTGTTTTGCAAGTTAATGCTTGTGACGTCGATCCCCGAGTGAAGGTCAACGGCCAAAGCCCGAGCTTAGCTCAACCTCGGCTGGACGCGAGCCGCAATCAACACCAGCCATCGCATCTCCAACATCTCCATGCGCATCTTCTGGTAGCCTGTCGCGGGCTTTTCGGGTTCAACATGGTCGTCGATCGCCTCTTGTCCACGCTGTTGCGCTCGCTGCAGACATACACGGATCAACAGGACACGCCGCGGTACGCATCGCGAGTCCCTATTCGCATTGCGCCTACTAACTACCACAGGCTACTGGGAACCGCGTCCTCGCTCCTCACCACGCTCGGCAATCCCCACAACCTCAGTCTTCTGACTTCACATCTCCTCACCGCGCCGGCATTATGGGACCGCCCCGATGGTGTCCGAACGCCCCTCCGCATGCTGTCCGTCTTTCACGCGGCCGTCACGACCATCGTCAACCACCACAACGACGTGCGACATAACAAAGCAGCCAAACTCGCGCCAGGTCAGACGCCAATAGGAGGAGGCTTATCGCTGGACGAATGGGTACGCGCCGTCGTCGCAGGAGCCGACGACCGGAGCCGACGATGGAAGCACTTGGTCGTTCTTACAGGCCTGTTGATAGGTATAGGGAGCCTGGAAGAGCAGGGAATGGACCTCTATTGGGCATCCGCCATGCGAAAGAGAGTGGAAGCGGCATTGGTCCGGGCGACAAACCTCGCTTTGGTCCAAGTCAGGGAACGCTCCGAGGCAGATGGATTAGGAGGCCAGACAATAACGCTGACCCTCAACCACGCCTTCGGATGCATCGGCCATTTAGAAAGGACACAGATTGATTACGACCTGCTACTTCCAGTGCTTATCGGGACGGCATTCTACTCCAACGAAGGCTTCCAATCCGCCTACTTCCTCGGGGGCTTGGACCTCGACGTGCGGACAACTCAGTCAGGGAAGCTAGACTGGAGTGTAAGTGGCCGTGCATCATGATACCGACGTCTGCTAACCATGTATAGCCGCATTCGAGTTCCTACAGACAGGTCGAAGTCATCATGAATAGGCCACTGGTATCGTCTATGGGGCCCCTTTCACGCCTCATCGCACACTCTGTCGAGAATGTCAAGAATCCATGGATCATCCAAACCATGATGGACGACCTCGCTAGCTTCTCTCGCGCTCTTACCACACAATGGCGGCAGACCAAGTTGTCGGATATCGAGCCTTCCGAAGAGGCAGCCAATCTGGAACAAGAGGCGCTTCACAAGACCACTCCCCAACTGTGGAATTTGCTCAAGGCGGCTCTCTTTGCTACTACTATCATACTGCGAGGCGTCTTCACACGAACATTGGCTGATAAAGCACTGGCTGGTGATGCCATCGCCCCTATGCTAGCTTCGCAGGCCTTGCAAACCCTGCGGCATCTCTACTTCATCACATCCCGGCTCGGCCCTGCATCCTTCTCCCAACATACCTTTGTCTACCTTACAGCGATAGACATCCTTTCTGCGTACCCCAGTCACGCCGACAAGCTTCTCAAAACTATCGCGCCTCAACATCTTGGGCAGATACCAAGCCACCCTCTTGACCGTATACTGGACCTCTACTTTCTCAATACAGCAGAACACTTCACTCTCGTACTATCGCCGGCCACAAACGAGGACTTGCTGGTCGCGTCAGCTGTGCCATACCTCGCAGCTGGCGAGAATCGTCATATGTTGCCAGTATTCGAAGCGGCTCACAGCGTCATGCTCGCTGTCTTGTCTGCTCCACAATCTGCTGAGATCACCGCGAAGCACCTCCCTTTCTATATCGATGCGCTGTTCAGTGTCTTCCCACATAACTTGTCACCACGTCAGTTCCGCCTAGCTTTCAAAACCTTGATGCGTGTCACAGCTCCTCCCTCTACTCTATCCGCAACCCACCCAGATCTTCCAGCTACGTTATTGGAACTAGTCTTTCACCGTGCGCTCAACGCTCCTACTCAGCCACTGCCGCCTGATTCTGTTGCATTGGCCCTGCAAGGGTCGGACGCACCACCCCCTGCCCTCTCGGAACAGGCAGTGCTCGCGTTAACCCTTATCGATGCCTTGCCCTTTCTCCCTATATATCTGCTTGAAGAGTGGCTGCCTCTATGCGCAGAACTCCTCAACCAGATCAACGACGATGAGATGCGAGAAAACGTCAAAGCGCGGTACTGGGAAGTGCTAATCAGTGGCGAGATGGATGCAGAGCGTAGCGGCATTGCTGTAAATTGGTGGACAACCAGAGGTGGCAGAGAGCGAGTACTCTATGGGAGAGAAGAGGACTACAACATGATGAGTGGAGCGCTACCTGTTGAAGAACGACATGTGCGGGAGAGTAAGCTGTAGGACTATGATACCCCAGATCCAAATTATGAAAGCCAATCCCACAAACGCCTCTGGAAGCTTCTAAACGTGCCAATGGACAAACTGGTGTATTGCTTCAGACGAAACGACAGGTCGAATCGTATGCAAGCGCCCGTCAAGGTCAGTGCTCTGCTCCATGGCAACAAACAAACGGATGATACCAACCGCCTGAGTTGAGCTCTCTCTCCTCCTCGTTCCTTTGTCTGAACACAAATATTGATATGTACTCAATCGAGCAAGATGCATAGCGGCACAAAGGATCGTTACGTATCCAACCACGGGGGCATGCACCAACGCAAGTCTGGTGCACCGAGTCGACCTTCAACCTTTAAAAGCATCCCCATTCGAAACGCTGCATCATCTTCAAAATCTTGTAATGGCAGTCCAAAAACAAGCCCGCCGAACTTGATACCTCGCTCCCCAAGAACTTTTCGAAGCCATTGACCTGCCACTTTTGGCACCAGAACGGACGGTGCAGCAAGCGAGATGTCGATTGTGCGTACGCTCACTATGACACGGGCTTCATATCTAGCGCGCCTGTCACTCCGCTCGGAGGTATGCATAAGCTTACCCGAACTCCCATAAAGCAACACCTGACTAAGCAAAATGACAGCTTCCGAAGCCTTCGCTGGCAGAAACATCGACAAGTACACCAAGGGACTAGACACGCCCATGCCATTGCTGGCCGATCTACAGAAGCGGGAGAATATTGTGGCTGGATGTGAAGCAGAACTGGAAGAGCGCCAACGGACCCTCAGGCGACAAGAGGACGAGGTGAAAGATCGGGAGAGTACAGTTTTCCGGCGGGAGATTGAAGTAGATGAGAAGGAGAGGAACGTAGAGAGGACGACGGCGAGCTTGGTGCGTAAGAGGAGAGAACTCAAGATATTGGAGAAGAGCATCAAGAGGAGGGAAGAGGCTTTGAGAGAGAAGATGACTTGAAAAGTGGATGTAGGTCGAGGTTGAGGCTGGAAGAAGGGATGTGCAGTGTTTCTTTAACGAACCTCGTGATGTCACTCTCCGGTCCACATTTTCTTTATTATACAAGATGATCTACTCTAAAGCTGTCTATACTTATATGGAATCGTGGCGTTTGTGTCATTCAGCGTCTTATCTTTAGTCATGCAACTCGACGTTAAGCAGCACGCCCATTACAGTGTTCTCGCTCTAATGCGCCTCATACCACACAGCTCCATCATCTAGTGTTCGTTTTTCCTTTAACCATGTCCAAAGAGACAATGTGATAGAGCTACGGATCTGGCCAATCCACTTCATACGCCTGAGAACCAACTATGAAGTCTGGGCGGGCGGGAGTATTGTGGAGGTCCTGACCAACGGAACAGGCTAAGATACCATCTTGTACCTCGTGACATGTCGTAATTTGTCCTTTTTAGTGAACTCAGGGAGACCATCCATGACATTTTCGTTCTGCATCGAGGTGGTTATTTGTCGAATGGGTTTTTCTCATACCCTATCTCAAGTAAAGATGAAGGTTTCGATACTTTCCGTCCTACCATCAAACCTGTTACTCTCTGTCCGTCCGTCATGTCTTTGGTTCTCAGTCCATCCATCATATCTACCGGTTCCTGTCCGCCCATCGAATTTCTTTCCCTCCTGTAGCACAATCCCCCCTTCCTCATCCACAATATGGCCTGCTCCCAGTTCCCTAAGATACCCTTCCTGTTCCGGCTTCGACACCATGGTTGCCATACTCGCCGAGCCCGTACCCGTCGATCTCCACCATGAACCGTCTTTCTTAACACTGGATGCCGTACCGCGGCTGGATCCATACATACTCGCGGCCACCTTGAAGTAATGCGTAAAGAATACTTTGAGAGCCGGTGCACTAGCACATATAGCCCCCAGTTGAATCTCCAACATGCAGAGAAGCCACGCAGGCCATGACTCCCAGGTCGAATCGTACAATGGGTCGTTGAAGATGCGGTAGACGTAGTAAGAACGAACACCCGCGACGATGCAGACTAGGTAGCCGAGAGCGAAGATGGCACCTAAAGCAATCTTCTGGCGACGAGGGATTTGCAGGTTCCAGTATAGGATTGTAGGAAGAAAAGCGGCAACGGCATCCTGCACTGCGCTGATTATGCTCGCTGATAGCAGATCTGCATATTCGTTGACCCAACAGTGGTATGAGTATCCTGCGATTTGCCTGGCGATGTCGAACTGATACCAGAAGGCTTCAAAAGGTGTGCAAGCTGTGAAGAGCACGACGACGAATGCAATGCAGAAAATGCCGATGGCGATGATGTTAATCCAGGTCGCGATCCGAAAACTTCGGGTTATAGAGCGCGAGTCGAGGCGGCGGTAGAAAAGGAGGATGGAAATCTTGATCATTCCACCGGACACAATGTACAAGAGGTAGAGGATGAAGGTTATCTTGCGCTCAGGGACGTACATGTTTGGATGGACGTCCCATATGTGGCGATTGAAGTCGTACTTTTCGGTTGCTAGATATCACTATTAGGAAGCTTGTTGAATGAGCTTGTACGTTGTTCTTAACGCACCTAGACATACTACGATAGTAAGTCCAATTGTTGGTATCTTTACACCATGTGTTAGTCCATGTATATATGGATTTTGTCCCTGTGAGGAACACATACCATTGCAGCCATTATAATCCAGTCATCGAGCCCTGCGTTCCTTTGTATGATAGCTCTTGCCCACATTCTGGCTCCCACTGTGACAAGCATGACGGATCCCAGAGCACATGATGTAATGAGGACGGCTTTGGAACGAGTAACGGGATCATCGTAGTTCGGAAGCGGCCACTTGGCAAGCACCGAGATAGGAGGAAGGAGACCACTCGATCCACTTCCATTAGGACTGTACGCCATATCGATTTCTTTTGTAGAGAATCCTCAATAGGATTACCCCAGCCTAGGAAGCCTGGTGGGGAAATGTATTTAAACGTTCGTGATACTTGCAGATATTTGGCGTTCAGCGTGACAGCGCCATATAGAGAACGAGAAAACCCCGGAACCCAGATACTCAAAAGAAATAAAGAAAAGGTAGACGGGTGTAGTTGATGAACAATCCCCAGCCATCGCGGGACAAGGAAAGACCCTATACTAGCTCATGTAAGACCAAAACCCTTCCTATTCTCCACGTGAGCCAGACCATGCTGATTTTCTGTACAAAGTTTGGCCACCTCTTCCAAAGGCCGTCAACAACATGCAGTGGCGGCTGAGGAAACCGAAACAGAGTCAGGTACCAAACAGTAGGTCGCTGCACCTCTGTGGACCATGCAGCCGTTCGTTGACGGTTGCGGATCTGGAGCATCGTCTAGCTCGAGAGCTACCATCGGAGCCATGACTTGTTCGGGGAACCGATGGCCGCGACTGTCAAAGTACCGTGCCGCAGATTAACCAAAGTTTGGGGTCATCCGAGGAGGGGACGGACGCGTCGCTCGGCCGAATCTGTGTGGCGCGGATCCGCGACATAGGCGACAAGAGAAGACATTCGAAGAGCGGGTGAGATATTGCGGGAGATGAGAGGGTTGGACTGCAGCGAGATTGATTGTGGGTAGCTGAGTCATGGATGATGTGAGCGATGGAGACTGCACTTGGCTTGCAGGTGAGTTGATCAACGGCAGGATGGACGGTTAGGCTAGGCACAACTTCAAGGCATCAGCGTTACCTCACGTGGCGTTAAGGTTTATTTAAGAACCATACATCTTGCTGCTGACTTGCTTTCTCTTCAAAGCTGTTGATAACACTTCGTGGGCCGATCCGTAGGATGGGAGTTCCGCAGTTCCGGCACCCAGGCAAGGATGTCTCCATTCAAAGCTGGATGTTCAGTATAAACCCATGCAAGATCTCGGTGATGAGTGATCAGATGGATCGTGCAGCAGGCCTCCGAGGCCGTGCTAACGCACGCGCCGACGATCTCCGCCCGCTGCAGGTCACCAAACCTTAAAGCCGTACGAAGCACACCGGCGAGACCTAGTCTACGAAATACTCAACCTTATATTTCCCGTACGGGTGGTGTACCCAGAGGGCAACATGTCGCAAGATTTTGTAGCAGCTGAAGTTGGATTACGGACCAAATTTTTTGAATACCATATTGCCAGTGGGATACACTGTAATTGTAGTCTGTGAGGAAGTAAAGAGATATCTGTGCGAAGACAATAGAGTGTATAACTTCTCCTTTCCCCAGCAACAGTCCGAAACACAAACGAAACAATGTGGCTGATAAGCCATGATATGACAGGTGTGCGCCATACAAGCCCAGCCGGGCCCCGATGCACCAAACACCTAGCTAATCACAAAGGGAAAGAATAGACGCCATCGCCATGCAAGTCTTGCGTATGTTTACAGTTCAGGCTTCCCGAGTCATGGATTTCCACGGAGCTGTGGAGTGATTTTCCTCCGCATCGCCGTCCAAGAGCCGCTCTCACATGTCCGCGTCTACGTGTTATGTTTGTTCCTCCTTCGGGCTTTTAGTACGGGACTTGGAGCGTTCGCGAGTTACTGCGTCTTTCAGCGCTTTCAGTCGTTTTTCGGTCACGCGAATCGCTTCGTCCATCTCCCGCGCTTGCATATCATGGGGCGCTAGGGGCTTCTGCGTTCCGTCTTCTGGCTTGATCCGCGATCCAGCGATAGAGCTTTGCACTCTGTCTAGGGCGACTCTCTCTTCGAGCCAGTTCCATAGATCCGACTCTTCATGACGCCAAATCTCTTCATACGCAACTTGACGTTGAACAGTGGACCATTGGTTTGGGCCGGTGACTGCAGACCCACCACGGAAGAACCATGTGTACATAAGGAGGGCCCCCATAAGGAAGATGATAATCTGCGGTGTGAAAATGGACTCCAGGATATCGGCGAGTGGACCAAGGAGACTGCGCAAAGGTTCCAACAATCCCCAATTGCTTTGCTTCGCTTGACTAGTAGGAGCGGGAGCGGCGGCAGGCATTGGGGCCTCTTCCAAAAGATTGCCCTTTGAGCGCCTCTTTCCTTTTCCGCCCTTTCCGGGTAACCGAGATGGGCCGGCTTTCGCTGCGCTCACGGCAGTGCGGAGAGCGGCAGTAAGGGAAGTAGCATACGACATTTGACCGTCATTCGCACCCTTCTCAATGGGACCTAGAGAGTGTCAAAGAAAATCTCGACTTAGAACAAGCACCACTACTTACCCTTCAGCCAGCTCTTTCCGCTCCATTCTACTGTGAAGGTCATGATAAGTCGTGTACTGTTTCCCGGTCCCCACATCAAGCAATATCTCGTCTTTGTAAGGAATATACTGCCGTTGGGTACATCAGGTGTTGCTGTGCTGCACTGCACACTCACAGCCTTGTCCAGATCGTATTGCTCGAGATTCATGGCAATATTGCATTTTGTCTGGCGCGGTCCAACAGGTGCATTTAGCGGTTTGATGTAGGAATAGTTGAACGTTTTCACGTCTTCACCTAAGCCCTTTTTGTCATCTTCCATCTGGAGGTCCATCGACTTTTGGTCCTCGACCAGCCATTTGCGCATGAACACGCCAGAAGCGGGGCCGAACATTAAGCTGTAAACCTTGCCCAAAGGTGCTGGGATAGTTGTGTCAATGAGCAGTTTGTCGTAATGCTGATCGTTATCGCCACACTCAGTAGGTGCATGTGTTGCTGAACCAGGGAAGTCTTGTCCTGCAGCCGCAGCGCCACTCGTGGCGGCTTTGGCGGCTTCAGTCGTCTCGCCACCACCACCAAAGGCTTGTGATACTGCACCGCTCACTTTCCGGGTGGTCTCGCCCGCTACGGAACCAACTTCACTGCCAGCTATACTACCTTCACCGGGTTCGGTGAAGCTGCCAGTGCCCTCATCATCGTCCGCATCTTCGTCGTACACCTCATCATCTGAATCTTGAAGGGAACCGTCATCACTGCCAATAGATTCTGCCTTCTCAGTCTTGTCGCCAGTACCACCGGAACCATCCAGAGTTACACCATTAAGAGATGACTTGAGATTGGGATGGGATATTTTCCAGATGCCGATGATCAGGTCGTAGGTAGAATCTCGCGATAGGAACGACGCAAAAACGTTGCGAGCATGAAGCGTCTGAATAACGATGGCATTCGGGAACAGCACGGCTGTGGACTTCTTCTCGACAGACACAACCTCGTCAAAGCTGATGACCAAGTTCGTGACCCATCCGAGAATGTTACTGGAGAAGCAAAGATGGCCCTCGGAAACGTACAAACGCCCATGAAGCAGGATCTCTTTCTGAAGGGCTGCACTATAGTCCTCGATCAGATAGTCGTCCTCGGGAACGCTTTTGAACAAGGCGTGGAAATCCTTATTTCGCCTAGGGGGTGCAACCGCGAATCCAGTTCCGTTTAGACGGTGGCTGTTCAATGCTGCGCTTGGAGCCAATGTACTTGTGCTCGCAGTGATGACCCCGCCTAAAGTATTTCCGGTTGTAGCGGAGCTGCCTCTATGCCGTCTCCGTCTGCCGCCGCTTATACGGCTGCGTATGCTACCTTGGCGTCCGATGGATGCCGGTGAGTCTGTTATTTCAGGTTGTCGTGGAGGGGACGCTGCACCCGCTCCTGACTGACCAGAAACAGCTGTCAGTGATCGTGGACGCTCACTAGCAATCGATGGAGGCTTTTCCCCTGCGTAAGCGGCAGACACAGCTTGTGCAGCGGCTCTATCCTCGACCTTGGCCGAAGCTTCATCCGCCTTCATCGTGACGTTGGTCGCGGATGACATGGGGCTGACCTCGTTGCTCTCAGCAATGCCAAGTTGGGCTAAGCTCAAGTTTCCAGATCCAAGTGTTTCAATGGCAGGCCGGCGCTTCTCAGTACCTTCGTTTGTGGTGGTGTCGACGTTCTCGGGTCCAATAACTTCTTCGCCGCCGTCAGCAGTATTGTCCTCGTCTTTCTGCTGTTGCTGACTGGGTTTGTTCTTCGGGTTTGCGCTGTTCGCAATGGTATCGCCTAAGTTGTTCGCTGCGTTCTGAGCTGCGGAAAAGATGGAAGCAAAGAATCCACCAGGTCCGCCAGGAGATGATGGAAGTACAGCAGTCCCTCCGGGGGTTTTTGCTTCCTCAAGATGAGGGGTGAGGGGTGGTATGGACGAATGCGATAGCTTACTTGGAGGATTGGTGGCTGATCGTACGCGTCTGTGCGATATCATATTCCCCGAGGGGGATACAACTACGTTGGGGTTTGTCTCAGTATTGGTGCGTTTCACAGTGTTTTTTGAGCTATTCAATTCTGTCGGAGAAGAAGCCTTCCCGTCTGTCGGCGTGGGTGGAGTTATGAAGGTCGTGGGGGCATCAGATAAATTGGGAGGAGTCGCGGGGAGCGAGGTGATGATGCGCTTTGGGGCGACAGATCTCAACGACGGGGTGGACTTTGTCTCTCCCTCTGTGTGTATCTGTATCTGTGGTGGTGAGGCTTGAATCGGATCATCCAACACCCTTGTCTCGCGCTTCTTCCCTCCAAACAGCGCTCCTAGTCCACCTCCGCTCGTGCTCGGTCTTGCGGGCTCAGGGCTAGCACCGGGCTTAGGAGCCGGAGACGTGGATCTGCGATTAGGAGTAAAAGCTTCCTTGAGCTTGCCAACAGGAGATACGCCCCGCTTGTTCACAGCGACGTCGCTGGTATTATTGAAATTCCGAGTGGTGGGCTCCTCGATGGAGGTTTCGGAGTTTACGAGAGTGACATCGGTGGAGTCTGCAGAATCGAGGGTCTCGGAAGCGATCAGGGGCGACGACAAGGTCAAGAGGCCGGCATGCGACTGATGTGGTGATATGCCGGGGCGTTTGAGTGGTGGAGGGCTGCAGCGGGTTAGTCGGAAGGCAGGAGCCGAGTGGGTACGTATGCGACAAAAGACTGGAACGAGGGGTGAGGTGGGTAGTAAAAACAAATGGAACAGCGAAGGCCAAGAGTGCGTATTGCAATACGGATGCGATGATGCACGAGGTGTGGTGTGCTAGTGGGGAAGCTGAGGCCAGAACGTATGCTTGTTCGCGGTGGAGTCCATGCTGAACGGCGCCAATGCCACGAGGCAAACCTTCCACTCCAATGGACGCGTCGCAGGTGCAAATGGAACTGGACCTGAGACACAGGAATAAGGGGCGGAGAAAAAAAGAACAGCGTGCAACTTACGATTCCGTGTCTGAGTCGTCGGTGAGCAGACTGCTTGCGACGCTCTTTGCGAGGCCGAGCGAGTCGTCGCTCTGGTACGGGTGACCCATGCTCGGACGTCTAATTGTAGGAACGGGAGGGACCACCTCATTGGGGTCGGATTGCGACACGTCGTCATGGCTGAGGGAGCCTTTGCTCTTCTTGCGTCCCTTGAAGAGCTTCGACATGCGCCGCCGATGTGACGACGACACGTCGCTGCGGCCGTCGTCGGAGTTCTGGCGACTCTTGAGGCGGTCCATGGCCCCGTCACTTGACTTGCGCAACAAGTCATCGTTGCCGTCGCTGCTCGCAATTGAGACGGTGGATGAGTCCGGGCCCTTTGACTGTGCCCGTGGTGCCGCCAGCGTGTTGTCCCTGTCCTTGGAGCCGAACATGGAGCCTATGCTCCTCCGCCGCTCAGAGGCCATTGTGGAATATATAGGGTACGAGAGTGTGCAGAGCACTGAGAAGAGGTCGAGCGTCTCGCTATAGTCTCAGACACGCATATCGATGTTGCGACGCTTTGTGATGCCGTATTTGCTACGTAGGTTTGGGGGGGTCCGATTACGTAGGGAGCATGTGTTCAGGGCTCGCGATGCGCTTGGAACTACCGCAGGGCCGCGGCTGCAATCGGATACATGACAAACGAGGGGTGATGGGGGACGGGGAGAAGCTTACGAGTTATGGCAGAGGGGAGAGAACAAGCAAGATGGCGCAGGCTGCAGAGATGAAACCAGGCGGGCGCGTTCCTCGTGTTCTGGTTCCAACGTCTCCAGCTGCGGGTCTTTAGCCTAGTGATCTACTCCGCAGTTACATGGGGTGTGGCCGGCCTTGCTATCCCTGTCAACGTGACCGAGACCCTTCACGCGCACCTGCTGCTGCCTGTGCACACACACACACATACAGAAACTCGTCGAACATGTTCAAACCTCACTGCTGCTGCCACCACCACCACCATGGAGTCGGCACATCTTATCCAGGCTCATGATCACGCCCGCACTGCCGCGACCGCGACCAGCACCAACAGCGTCGCGACCGCGGGGCAGGAGCATGACCTTGCCGCGACCGCCTTCCACAATGCCCAACAAGACACCCATGATGCTGAGGTATGTAGCCTGGGATGCCTTATCCTGCCCGTCTAAGTAGTCCTAGGCCCGCCGCATCCTCAGTCTCCTTGAAGACCACCATCGCAAGCTCGCCGGCCTGATCAAAGAGGCGCCGCGCAAGGAGAAGAAGACAGCAGATGCCAGCAAACACCCTTCCGAGTCCTCCACCCTCTCCCCTTTAGCGAATGCCTCGTCATCACGAGTATCCGCATCCAAGGCATCTTCTCCGACTCCTCCAACATCTCGCCGCAGACTCCCCCAGTCCTCGATAGCCACCAATCTCGCCGAAAAGCGCGGCATACCCAGCGCAAAGAGAGCCGCCAGTGGCGCCTCTCCCAATGTACCAGGCGCTGTAGCTGGTCGGAATGAGCAACCGTCTACGCCGGTACGGGATCTCTTGGCCCAACAGTCGCGCAAGACAGAAGTGAGCGCTGGCAGAGACGCGGCCAAGCAGCTGAAAGATGCCTCGCCACGCCCTGCATCACCGCCCGCCGAAGACAACTTCAGCCGCTTCTATTCGGCTTTTGGGGGCGTCATATCCGCAATCAGCGCCCCACTGGCTTTTACCTCCCTTCCACTCAACCCATCTGCACCGACGCCAGTGTCTGAGACGCCCAGGGAAGAGACGTCATCCAAGACCAAGTCACGACCACACTCTCCAGAAGCTTCCAGGACCGTCAAATCCTCAGTTCCCGACCTCGCTGCCCTGATAAGCAAGCCTGCACTACGCGCTCTGCGAGAGGATGGCGCGCCTGGACCTAACGAAAGCTTCTACTTGGTGCCAACATCAAGTGGCGGGGTTACATACGCCAGTGTCCTTCGCGATCCGAATGCAACGAATGTGTCACCCGGCACACAGCTTAACGCGATCGACGAGGGCTCCGGCTCGTTGCGAGGGAGTTCACATGAAGAATTTGTCGATGCGCGAGAGAACGTAGGCCCGCCGTCACCCACCAAAGCACGTCGTCCTACTTCTCGCGGAAACTCAAGCACCGCCGTAACACCCCAACGCTCCATACCAGCCGGCAAAGGCTCAGGTCTCAAGACCATGGAAGAGCTGGCTCTAGAGAACGACACCCTCAAGACCGTCATCGACAAACAAGCCAAACGCATCCAGATGTGGGAACTCAACTCCCAAAACTCTTTCAACGCCCTCGCACAGTCGTTCCGTGCTCGAGGCCCCGGACGAGGCTCCAGCGACCCTAATGCACTCGCTCAAGCCCTCGCTGCTCAAGGCATCAACCACCTCCCAGCTCTTCCTTCCCCTCTTATAACAGGCCAGACACAACAAGGACAACAACCACCCACTTCTTCCAGTCAAGTCCCGACCTCAGCTCCCGACGCTGACGCCGCAAAACGCATCGCAGATCTCGAAGCCATGCTTGCTTCTCAAAACGCCAAAGTCAACGACTTGATGAGCAACAATGACAAGCTGGCCAAGCAAAATGAGAGGAACACACAGGTTTTGAGTCGATACAGAGAGCAGTGGGAGAAGCTCAAAGCTGGTGCGAGAAAGAAGGAACAGGAAAGACGAGAAAGAAAGGTCGGCGATGTTAGGGTTGGGGAGTCGACCAAAGACAGCGAGGTTGTTGAAGCGCAAGGGGAGGTGGAAGAAGAGCTGGACGAGGAACCTGGGTTTGGAAAGGCTTAAACGAGAGAGGGCGATATGCACATGATCAAGTGCTGAGTGGAGATGCAAAAATACCCCATGTTATTAACCCAAACAAAGGTACAACATAGATGCAACAATCCATTATTTCTTACATCGCAACTGGAAGATACTCGGGTTGGGATGAGCACAAATGAAGCATGTTTCAACACTGTTTGCATTACTACTGAAATGTCCAAAGCGCTGTCAAAGCTCGCCTTCCTAACCAAAAGTCACCTTTGACAATTTATCATCCGTGTCCTGTAACGCCGCCAAATCCATTCCGCTGATGTTCCCAATACACACAACCGAACCCAACCAATCTAAGCAGCAGAGGCAACGGGCTTCTGAGTAATGGGCTGGTAGGACGGCGCGACGGGTCCACCGACTGTGATCTCCTCGTTGGCCATACCCGCTGCGTGACCCTCAAAGTCCGGTGCATCAGGATGGCAGCCAACACGCTCCTTGCTCAGCAAGTCGACGAGGAGAGGACTGGGCTTGTTGTTCTTCTCTGAGAAGCTGTTTTGGTGGCTCTTGTACTGCTGGACGTTCTCCATGTACTTATCGAAGAGGTATGCAGAGTCTAAAGGACCACCCTTAGCCTCGGGATGGAACTGGGCGCTGAAGATGGGACGGGAGTTGTGGATCAGACCTTCGTTGGACTGGTCGTTGAGGTTGGTGAAGTATTCCCTCCATTCGCTGGACAGGGTAGTGGGGTCAACCGCGTATCCGTGGTTCTGCGAGGTGATATGGCACTTGCCCGTGGTAAGATCAAGGGCCGGAATGTTATGCGCACGGTTGCCGTACTTGAGCTTGATAGTCTTCGCACCAGCAGCAAGGGCGATGAGCTGATGACCCATGCAGATACCCATGACGGGAACCTGGGAAGTCTCGAACAGCTTGCGGAGGTTGTGGACTGTGGTCGTGCAATGAGTTGGATCACCGGGGCCGTTGGAGATGAACACACCGTCAAAGTGGTGGGCAACCTTGTGAATGGGGTAGTCAAAGGGGAAGCAGGTGACGCTGGCACCGCGAGAGACGAGACTGCGAAGAATGTTCTCCTTGACACCGCAGTCGATCAAAGCTACGTGCATATCGCCCAAAGAAGAGCTGACATGGAAGGGAGCCTTGGTGGATACACGACGCACAAGGTTGATAGCCTCAGGGTCAATGTATGCCTCGTCCTCATCGGCATCGTACTCCTCACCAATTGAGATACGAGCAAGAGAGGAACCTTGCTCACGGAGGTATGTCACAACCTCACGGGTGTCAACGCCAGAGATGGCGGGAACTCCCTCACGAGCACACCATGCTGCGAGTGACTCGACAGCTGTCCAATGGCTGTGCTTCAAGGCATAGTCCTGAACGACGATGCCAGAAGCTTGAATGTGTGGGGATTCGAAGTATCGGAGCAAACCATGCTCGTCACGGGCGTTGGAAGGAACACCGTAGTTGCCAATCAATGGTTGTGTGAAGACGAGGATTTGGCCACGGTAGGATGGGTCGGTCATAGATTCGGGGTAACCGACAAGAGAAGTGGTAAAGACGGCTTCTCCGGAGATGTTGGTCTTGGCTCCGAATGACTTGCCTTCGAAGATGGGTCCATTCTAAACAGCTGTCAGCGACGCACCAAGACGTGCAGGATGACTCTACGCACTTTGATTGTGAAAGTAGCAGGTTCGTTGGAAACAGCCGTGGCCCTGCGCATGCTAGGAGTTGGAATGGCACGCTGAGTGTTTCCTTCAACAGTAGCAAGGGAGCGTGCCTGTACACGATTCTTTGTCATTCGTCCCAGGAACCCTGCGGACCGCATGGTGGAAGGCTTGATCATTTGCGACAACATGATGAGCGGAGATGTGAGGTGATGTAGTGATTCGTTTGATAGCAGCTTGTTGGGTAGGCGTTCAGTTTACTGATGCCTTCCACAGGTGGTCTGCGGATAGAGTCAGTTTGACGCTCACGACGCGTCTGTCTGTGGGCGACAGCATACCTGAGATGTAATCCTGTAGCACTCAATTAGCCATGGTCAGAAAGGAAGAAAGGGATGAAAAATTCCAGAGGAGAATGCATCGATCGTCAAGCCACCAAGAGGCAGAAAGAGGCCGGCGGTGAATTGACGGTGTGCGATGCATGTACAGATAAGGCTTCATCAAGCATCGCAATCGTGACATACCTGGGAAGTAAAGAGTGTCGGGGCAGCACTCATAAGCGCGGTAGTAGAGCCAGTCGAGGTCAGGAGGGGTGCCTATCTGAGGCGAAGCTTGCAGATGCTAGTTTGAGAGTGTTGAGTTTGCGTGAGGTGAGGATACAAAGTAATCGGGGAGGGGCTTTTCTGCAGCACCGGATGACGCTAGGCGCAATGACACACACGCGCGCCAATGATGGCCTTTACAATAAAACATCGGTCACGATAACGATTGGACTTGCAAAGTTTCTTCAATTCTGACCCTTGTTTTATGACAAACGTCCGGGGAAGCTGGATGATAAGTATGCGGCCCCGCTATCAGGTCCCTTTGGGCAATGCTGTATAGCATACCCTGCAGCTGCTTGACGCCTTCAGTTTTGCGTCATGACACTTGGAGACTGCGCGGCGCATGTAGCAAAAATGGTGTCCATCAGACTCCACGCCTTATCTATGTCGATCGCAAATTGACCCTCTCCGAGGAGCTTCACCGGGTATCCGCACGCAAATGACGAGTGACAGTCACAATTTTTGTTTTCTCCCGACATCGGCATCATGACGATCCGAAGCTTCCTCTAATTAGCCGAACATGTCCCCGTGAATCAACAGAATCGGCGCACAAGCACGCCCTATGAGCGTCGTCTCGGCACCCGCCCAGCAACCCTTATACTAGGCTACTAAACAGTGATCTTGCCCGTCAACCTCACATCCCTGGAACTCGATCCCACGAAGATCTGATATTCTCCAGTAGCTACACTCCATTTCCTGCTGCTCTCATCCCAAAAGCTCATGTCTCGTCTCCTCAGCTTGAATGTAGCCGTCGCACTGGCACCGGCTTCAATCTTGAGTTTTGCGAAACCCCTCAATTGCTTCGGTGGTGAGTTGGTCGATGAAGGGTAGCCTAGATACAGCTGTGGCACCTCCGCACCCGCAACACCACCGGAGTTGCTGATCTTGGCGGTAACGGTAGCTACGGTTTCGAAGAGATCAACAGGGCCTCCAGGACCCTTGGCACCGGTTGCAGGACCCGCGGAGGGTTTGCCGGAGACAGTGAGGTCGGAGTAAGTAAAGTTAGTGTAGGAGAGACCGTAGCCGAATTCGAATCTGGGCTCGATCTTCTGCTGGTCGAAACGGCGGTAATCGATGAAGAGGTCCCAGTTCTTGTCGTCACCGCTGGCAATCGTGGTACCGTAGTCTGATTCCTTCTTTGCGATGGTGTAGGGTAGCTTGCCGCTTGGTGAAGCTGCACCGTAAAGGATGTCGACAAGGCCATTTCCGGATTCTTGACCTGGGAGACCTGCCCAAACAACAGCAACTACATTCGGGTTCTCGATCCACTGCTCCATAATGACTGGACCGACGCTATGGACTACAACAATTGTCTTCTTGTTGACAGCAGCAACTGCCTTGACCAATTCGTTTCCGTTGTGCCATGGGTCCAGGTTCTTCCTGTCACCAGCATTGCCTTCGACGGTTATGTAACCTTCGCCAGCATCGCTGTTGATGCAGACCACCGCAATATCAGCGTTTTGTGCTGCGCTAGCACCTTGCTGCGCGTTGTCGTTGGGCGAAGAGGTGATGGAGGTTCCGTCCTTCTGGGCTTGTGTCTTGATAGCATCAAGAGGAGCAACAAGATAAGGAAACTCAACTGATCCAGAACCCCAACCCATGGCTAACGTTCCATCGTTACATCCGCGATCAACGCACGCATTGGCTCCTTTAGGCGCAACGATGCTGTCGCTTCCGATGACAGCGATGCTTTTAGGCTTCTTGAAGGGCAACGCGGCGTTTGTGTTCTTTAGCAAGACAATACCATCGCGAGCCGTGGCGCGGACGTTTGTCTTGTGGTTTCCGCCTACTTCATGTTTGCCGATTGTCCAGGAGCTAAATGAGGTGCTTGGATAGCCCTTGTCTTGACCAACGAGATACCAGGCGGCTAACACGCGCTTGACCATGTCATCAAGGCGAGATTGTTGCACTTGTTTGTTATTTATGGCAGTCTGAAGTTGCGGGCCCCAAAAGATATTGCCATTGCTGAAGTCGGTGCCGGGCATGGTCATGTCCATGCCACCGTTCGCACTCCCAGTGGTAGTGTGTTGCGCTAAGTTGACGTCAGGTATTGTACCAGGTATATAAGCAGACCAAATGCTTACCATTCCAATCGCTCATGATGTATCCACGATGACCGAGCTCGTCTTTAAGGAGCTTGTTCATCACACCATCGCTTTCGCAAGCCCATGTTCCGTTGACCTTGTTATAACTGCAGCAAGTTAGTAAATCCCGAAGTCGTACACGCCTTCGCTTGATGATCTCTCACCTGCACATGAATGCTGCAACATTGCTGTGCACAGCATCCATGAAGGGCCACACGTAAAGTTCGCGAAGTACCCTATCCGGCACGTCTGAGCTCATAGTCTCTCGGTTCAATTCCTGTTCATTTACAAGCCAATGCTTCGCCGTAGCTTGGACACCTGCCTCTTGCATACCTTCGATGGTTTCCGCCATCATGATGCCTTGGAGATAAGGATCCGAGCCAAATCCTTCCCAGTTTCGACCACCGTTTGCATGCTTGCCGAGAGGACCGGCGGAAGGTCCAAGCTGAACGTGAACACCTAGCTGCTTTGCTTCCGCGCCCAAGAAGGCACCTCTTTCACGGATAAGGTCAATGTCCCAGGTGCTAGCGGCATGGATAGCCGCACTGAAGGCAGTTACACCTTGGACGTAGCGAACACCAAGGGGTCCATCTAGAGGCTGTTAGTAAGAAGTCCGTCTTGATATAACCATGCGTTGGACAGCTTTTGGTGATTTTGTTCGGTTTTTCCCAGGCTTCAGGTTCCAGGCTCCAAGCATCGAAGCCGTTGATCACAAGATGCTCATCAAGGCCACAGCATGTCCTGATCGCGTCGGACAACATCCTCCACCTTTGGCGTTCGCGAAGCATGGTCGGCTCGGATCACAACTGCTTACCTTGCAGACAAAGTGATGGATATCCAATCGAGCCAGCCGCCTTGGTGTTGCCAACGCAAGGACCTTTCTGCCAGCCAACACCGGTGACGATTCCGATCTTCTCACTCTGCGATAGCTTGGCGAGCGCAGCTGTTGCTTTTGTGTAGGCATCGTCCCAGTTTCCAACTGCACGTTTTGAAACAGACTGATCAGATGGAATGGCTGCGTTGGTTAGCGAATATTTTGTTGTTGCGTGTGAGTTGGTTGCACCTGAAGCTTGCGACAACACGGCCGTAGCCAACAATGGGAAGAGACAAGCTCGCATCGTCAAACACAAGACGCCTCAACTTCCAAGACTTGTACTGGGGAGGAAATGAAAGCCACCACCTGGGCATTTCTCCTATTAAGTACCAGCGGATTATCCATGCTGTGCAACGCACAAGCCCGAGGCAGTTGTTTTTGTCAAGATTGACCCTTGGCAGAATCGGAGCATGCACCATGTTGAATCCATAACCCAAGAAAACCACAAGCAGTATGACGTGTGATGTAGAGTGGTGATCGCTGAATTTGATGAGGCGGTGGGAAGGGATATATGGAGGCGGGCCGTTAACCCAGGGTTAACAGCCGGTTACTAGGGCTCGCGGCGAATTAAACCTCGGGACGCCGCATCACGAGTGGAGTTGGAATGGACGTGGCCCGGAAATACAATTACTGAACTGCTAAATGTGCGCAATGAACGATGTGGAGAACATGCGGCTCAGTCGTGTGATGGTTATGAATTCGACTAGTGTGATCAAATGACGACCTTTGCTATTCGCTGACAGACCTTGGCTGCACGGGATGCTGCATTGCGCCCAGTATCTTAGCATACACTTACTTTGACAGGGTAAACATTTCCTGTTTACAAACACTGTCGCTTGTGACGGCCGTCTACGTAACGGTCCTCCTAGAAGATATTTGCGCATCGTTTTACGGACTTCCCGACTCCCTTCTGCAACCTCTGCCGATATGATGTATGGTCCATCTCTCTTGTCAGAGGAACGCTACTCCCATACATGTCTCGGACACTATCCTGACCACACTGCTGGCATTATGTCAAGACTTTCATCTGCTGTAGCACCTGCTTATCGTCACGAGACACTGCATTTCACACCAAGTCAATGCCTGGACGAGGCTGAAATGGGCTACTGCACGATGTGGAATGTTCAACAGACCCAAGGAACATCAGTATTAGTCGGCGTATTCGCAGACATCGTCTAGCCGTAAGCAGTGCGCACACGATGGCCTCATTTCTGTGCACTTCCGTCTCCTTTGCTTGCAGTTGAGACACCCATTCTTCGAGCGTTTCTTGCTGGTTATCACTTCGTATTGACACGTCCATAGACCCCTTCGGCACTGGTTGCATGTGGGTTTGGACTCGTTGCATTTGATCTTCTTCTCGCGACAGCGGATGCAGGCTTTACCACGGATATGTGTCGGCGGTGGAGATTCTTCGAAGACAGGCGCTTTTTTCCTCGATCCGGTGGGTGAAGCCGGTAACCTAGCCTTAGTCTTCTCGGTAGATGTCTTTCGCGATGTTGTGGAAGAGGCCACAGCACTACCTTTCTTGCTCTTCCTCTTTGCAGATGGATTTGGACCTTCTGGAAATGTTGACATGTCAAGGTCCGGGTCTCTGAATTCGCTCTGTGCCTCGGTCTCATCCTTTTTACTACGTTTCCTTTTGCGTGGTTGCTTTTCTTCCGTAGCGTCGGCTGTGGCGGCGACGCCGTTATCAGTGACCATCAAAGCAGGCAGACTATCAGAAAAATCAGTTATAACTTTTGGACGAAGTGCTATGGCACATAGCCATTTTCAGTTGTGGCTAATGGCAAAACGTACCCATTGTCAGCCTCGCGCGTAGTGTGTATAGGATTATGCTTGTACACCACATTGACAGCGTCTCTTTTGAGGGAAAACTTGATGTGTATTGCGCCTCCACAGTCGTAGGTCGGCAACACAACAGGTCCTTGCTTCTCAAACTCAGGCTCCCCATCGTCGCTATCAAGGGACTTCCCTTTCTTCGTGTTGCTTTTACGGTCCCTATTCTGGAAGCTGTCTTGGCAAACATATCTGAACCTGGCACCGTCACCGCCTTCTCTGTTCTGTGCAGAGCGCTCGGAGTACTTGAAGCCATCAGTGTCCTGAATAACTTTGATAATAGATCTAGGTTGCATAAGTAGTAGTTATGCAGACAGGCTAGGTTCAGGTACCTTGCAATTGCTCGTTGTACCTTGAGCCTGTCTTTACCGTCAATATCTCGACATAGCGCATATTCAGCGGCGATGCTTTGAATGTGATCGGCTGGTTGTATAAGCGCGTTAAGATTGAGTTGCTGCGTCACGGGGATGGTGATGGTAGAGGCTGTTGCAAAGATAAACTCTGTGACCACGTCTGTGGGGATGAAGCTGGCTGCATTCTTATCCAGTTCATTGCGCAGAGCTCCCTCAAGTGACTATTACATAACGACTTAGCTACGCTTATACGGGTTGTGAAGATCATATTACTTCAGATGTAGGACAGCGATAGTAGACATCGGGATCTAGGCCCTTGTGAAATCGAAGATCCAGTTCATCTTCGAGGTCATCCATGGCAACTCTGCCATAGATTGGGGCACGACTGTTGAGTGATATGTGGTGCAGCTCTCGTGCGTGATCCAGTCGTGAGACGAGACGGATGGAGCCAGATGGAGAGGACGCGTCCAAGCTTCCGGGATGGGAATTATTCCGCACCGGGGCTAGGCTGTGATTGGGCACATGTCTTCTGCTAACAGTGCTAAGGCTGCCCTGCAGCATTCTAAAATTCGATTCAATCGGCAATGGGTCAAGCTGCACATGCCTCGCATATCCAGTAAATGAGCTCTCTCCTGGGCGAGTACATATGGCTCTGCGCGCTTATGGCTCAATGTACAAGCTTTGGCTGGAGACAGCTGAGGGAGCGGTGCAGATCATGCTAAATAGCAGCATTGTCGGCTCCTGTGAATGACGGAAGCCGGCTTCTTGCGCAAACACTAGCCGGTGATACTGTTAGAGGACGATCAGCCACGTTGTTCATGTGCACGTTCCTCCCTGAATCTGGGGCTCACTGAGCTTGTCAGGGATTGTTCGGGGCCATGTACGAGGCGTTGGAACCCAGAGAAGGTGTATCTTCAGCGTCGTGCCTTGGCTGTTGCGGCTATCAAGCCAATGTCAGCGTGCAGATGGTGGGGTGTCGGCGGCACTGCAGCAATGGGTATGCCACGCGTTGGATTAATATGTGGCCCCCATCGCGGTCTGGCCAGCGACCGCGCAGTAAAATAAGGCTTCAAATTGTGCAGACCCTACATAATGAGCCGTTTCCGAGCTACAGGCGGGAGCCGATGCAGCTGGGCAAGGTTGTGATAACAGCCCTAGGCCGCTTTGATTGATTGGCGTCCTCGCAGCTCAAGGGCCTCCGCTACCGTAGCTAGATCGCAACCTCACTCAGGCCCTCTCAAACCTCTCCACGCCCTCCTGTGATACTCGCATCTTCGCTGGCCGCTGCTGCGCCTGTGCTGTCTTTGTCCAGTCGCGTGCCTCGTCGCTAGCACTGCCTCAATCGCTCGCGCATTGTTCGCCCACCGGCCGCTTAGAACCTGGACTCAAGTCTAACGGGTGGTGTTTCACGCTCCAAACCACGTAGCACACGCCGCCGCCTTCTGCACGAGGACTCATAGGTATGCCTGCCCGAGTCTATCAATTTTGCCAGAGCCAAAAATCCCGAGACTGATCCGTCTGCCAGACTGTCCCCGCTCATTGGAACCCCTCGTTTGAGCCCATAGCTCCCATCTCCGCACTACCAACGACCCTGGGTCTGCGTAGCTCCATCTCCGCCTCATCTTCGCTCCATCTACTTGAATTGTGGCCTCGGATCTGTCTCTCCAAACAAACATCCATATCCGCGAAACAAGTCCCAGTCTACCTTCACCATGGTCGTTGCGACAATCAAGTATGCGATACGCCTGTCTTGCGACAGCAATTCTCTGTACACTAATACTTACTGCCCTACAGGTGCGTCGTCGTCGGCGACGGTGCGGTCGGAAAGACATGTCTTCTTATCAGTTATACCACCAACAAGTTTCCCTCGGAATACGTTCCTACTGTCTTCGACAACTACGCCGTGACCGTCATGTGAGCTTCCCTTTGCTCTCCCTAGATTTGGAGTAGTGGCGTATCCTCGGTGGATACAAGGTCGGAATAGTGATTGGTGGAGCAGCTGCTGACTGCTTCCAAGGATCGGTGATGAGCCATACACCCTCGGTCTTTTCGATACTGCCGGACAGGAAGATTACGACCGCCTGCGACCTCTGTCATACCCCCAAACCGACGTCTTTCTCGTCTGCTTCTCCGTAACTTCGCCCGCTTCTTTTGAGAACGTCCGCGAGAAATGGTTTCCCGAAGTACATCACCACTGCCCGGGCGTGCCCTGCCTTATTGTCGGCACACAAGTAGATCTTAGGGAGGACGCTGCAGTAAAAGACAAGCTCTCAAAACAGAGGATGGCACCCGTGAAGAAGGAGGATGGTGAAAAGATGGCGCGAGAGCTGGGCGCGGTCAAGTACGTCGAGTGTTCGGCGTTGACTCAATATAAGCTCAAGGATGTATTTGATGAGGTACGCAGATTTGTTCGACATGGACTCCCGTATATGCTAACATCTTCACAGGCTATCGTGGCAGCACTTGAACCACCAGCAGCAAAGAAAGAGGGCGGCGAGAGGAAGAAGGGCAAAAAATGTATTGTCCTCTGAGATGCTTGACCGGCCGTTGCGTTCGTACGATCGCATGCTGGGAGCATTGGTTTGCAGATATTCTTTGACTAGGCGTGAATCTTTTGGATACCTCTCGAACTCCGGCGCCATTGTGGGTAGCGTTCTCTTTCATCAACTATCAACTTGTTCATTTCTACTATACGTCTTTTCTCTCGGCCTCGGCCAATTGCAACGTAACGTTCAGCACACAGCAGGCAGACACGTCGTAGTTGTTGATGAGAGATAGCGAACGGTGCGGAAGCTAGAACGAGGCATTGTACGTTCGGTATCGACACTAACTACAGCGGATACTATGTCTTGCTCTATTTTCTGTACGCTGCTTGCAAATCTGCTTCCCACATGGATTACCCCTCTTTCAAGATGTGGTGAACAAGAAGTGCGTTTGTTGTCATCACTGTTGTCGTTGCCTATGGCTATCACGACGGTCCCTTGCTGCACAATGAGATTTATGGATGTAGACGACTCTCTGCCTTAACAGCTTCCCAACGTCAAAACCTCCTCTTTTTTCTGGATCTGAGGCTCACTTTGCGTGACCCTTGCAAGTTGCAGTTTTCGAATGCTAACACTTCTGTGTCGAGGTAGGCGATTCGAGCATTTCACACTGTTGAGCTACTACCAACCCGGGTGGTCACCTCTAAGCCCTTTCACCCGCTTAACTTCCACCAATTTGGAGCACATCACACACTTGGACGACGTATTGAAACTATGTCACACCGAAACGTCGACGATAGGAAACGCCCGCCACCGATTGTCATCCCAAGCTCGTTGCCGCCTCCTCGGCCTCCTCCAGACGCCGCGCCTAGCAACCAGCAGAAGCAGCAACATACCAGGAACGCGTCCACTTCAATCAAAAGCCAGCGCTCGACCAGTACCACCCCACTACTTTCGCCTGTAGAGTCGCATCATCCAGCTTCGGGTTCAAGCCGCAGCCGCAACGCCATGGCCACATTCACCAACTTGATTGATCAGGCACGTGTCTCGTCTCCCCGCAAGTCGGAACATGGATCCTGGGCAGGTAGCAATGTTGGTTCTGCGGCACGCTCGAGGCAGTCCGGGCGCAGCCAGTACGACGCTGTGGCTGCGCAGGCCCGGCTTGAAGCTCTCGACGAAGAAACAGCTAGGGGAAAGATGGAATCTCGCGCTGAGAAGAGTTTATTCAAGTTGACAGGTCAAATTCCGCCTACACCGACAGCTGGTGAGTACATATCATCATGTTTATCTTGTGGTACTGAATATTACAGATTCTGCAGATGAGGATGACGTTTATATCAGGACTCAAGACCTGCGACAACAGTGCCGAATTGCAAATGGAGAGCAGCAGCCAGACCGTGACGAGCCACCCAAGAGTCCCAAGAAGAAGCTATTCCAGAACCTTCGCAACACTTTCTCCAAATCTTCCAGTGCTGCACCGCCACCAGCGATGCCAAATAAAGCTGCACAGATTCTTGGAACAGCAGCACGACAGGCTCGCGTCATCCCAGTCCGGCCCATCAAGCCAGCGCGCCTCATAGAGACAACGCCAACGAGGGCTCCGCGCTCGGAGACGGCAAACTCGCTGCCCCCAAAAATAGCTAATCCGGATAGCTATGCCCATCGCCATCACAATGGATCATCGCGCCGTAATCGCTCGAGTGGTCGTGGCTCATCTGCCAAGGGTGGTCCGAAGAAGCAGTCCTCTGACATAGAGAGTGCTCCTCGAGCACCCGAAGTCAGTGACTCACTCGAATCACTCGATCCACCTCCTCCACCCGCAAAGGACACTCCTCCAGCGGGTCAGAGGCCCGCCAGCCCACTTCGCAGGGCTGTGCCATTGCGCGATCTTCGTGAGAGCTACTCTACCTTCACCAATGGCATTGGAGTTGTGCGATTTCCAGATTTTGACCTGTCACCCTCTTCCTCAACTGGTATTCTGCCGGAAGATGGTGGCACGAGCCCTACAAAGTTCCTACCGTATACCGCAGAGGAGTACTCTAAGCTTATAGGAGGTGAAGCCATGCAATGGCCCTATTCTGACTGTAACGGTTCGCCTAGTAAGATAGGTGTTAAGAGCCTGACTCCGTTGACAAGCGAGAATCTTGTGTTGCAACTTCCTCATCCGGACCGCAGGAGTGAAGAGCGTACGAGTGCAATGCTAGACGACGACAACAATAACAACGTAGATGCATACAGCCCTCTACATCCGCGCTTTTACTCTCCAACTCACCTCTCTGCTCGTGGCTTCGCTGAAGGTGAAACTCCTTCAAAGAATGTATGTCGCATCTCGCTCTTTCCCTCTCACTTTTGACAACAGAGGGGCGCTCACCTAGCTTTTTGTTATGTTCCGCTCACGCGTTTGCTCGGATCCACGTCCATCACCCTGCTTTTACTGATACCGTACTAGTGACACTTACTAACAACTTTGTCAGTCTGATAACACCCGTCTTCTCTACTCACTTCCCGGAAGGTCGCTATCAGTCCTCCATCTTCGCGAAGAATCAAACGACGGCTCAATCAAGATGATTTTCCAGGGAGACCGCCAGGATATTGATCCGCAATCCCCAACTGCACACGAAATAGACGAGAACGAGCAGCGCAGTCAGACCGGTGATAAGCGGTCCGACGTTGGCATTACCACTCGCGTCATGCAAGAGCTGCGTATTGGAGAGAAGAACGGGAACTTGGCTCAGAAGAATGGCGACTCTAGCCAGATTCAGCCTGATCAGTCTTCCTCGAGGCTTACCGATATGCTCAATACTGTCGGTCCAGGTCGGAGCGAGTCCCACGGCGAGTTCCAGCCTTACTGCCCCAGCGCCGTTCCCAGTCCGCTCCACAAGGTTCCTGGTCCCCAAATTTCAGCGCAGTTGATGATACCTTCTGGCAGATCATGCAATGCTTTCCCTCCACTATTTCCGCCCAAGACCATCGATGACCACTTCTTCATGACTAACGAGCACCTCGATGTGGTGGGCAAGACCACTTGGGATCTTCTTGAGACATTCAACGAGAAGCAGAAGAGCACGTCGAATGCAAGACAGGAGGAGATCTTGGCGCTGGTCAGTACGCGCTTTGAGCAGATATCATCCCAACTGGTAGCCGTCAAGGACAGTGCCAAACGCATCGACGATTGTATAGTAGACAACCAGCAGAACGTCCATGCTAGTATTAACAGCATATCCGACTGTGTCAAGGAGACCATACCGAAGGCCTTTGCAGAGCAAGACAAAAAGATGACAAGCATGGAGGCGGAATTGAGGGAGATGAAGCAGATCATTCAGGCTTTGCAGAAGTCGGTAGAGCAAAAGGCGACAGAGGCCAAAGCTCTTCAACAGTACACTCCCACTGGTCAGGGCAACGCTGCGAGCATCTCACAGGCCCCATTCCCTTCACATAATCCACGCTCTCAGCATTCCTTCCAGAGCTACTATGGGGGCAATTCTGAAGTTATCCGCGATGGACATTCGGTGTTGCCGCATAACATGGTATCTCCTCAAGACAATCACGACGACCCTCGTTTTGGTTATCAGGCCAACAACCAGTGGACTACGCGTCCTGCCTATTCTAACCGCAACACCAAGGAAGATCGTACATCTTACCCTACAAACCCCTACCACAACATGGCAGGTCAATACAACAACGGCTACGATGGCAGCTACTCTTCTTACGCCTATCCCCCTCATTCTCTCAGCCCTCCCGACCAGCACTTCACTTTCAACAACCAGGGTAATCAGGGACAGACCAAGTGAAGTCAGCCAATAGATGAAGATGCATTCCAGACTCATCTTGGAAGGGAAATGGTTACGAGGAACTCGAATGACCTGCTGTGCTTGCAGGGAGACAGCATTACGAACACACGACATTCTGTTTGAGCAGTTTCACATCGAAGCATCTTGTATCATAATAACCCGGAGGGTATCTAGTTGGGACGAATTGGAAGTTTTGTACGATATCACGAGATGCCTTCAATTGACGTTTGCTTTACAATACTCTGTCTAGTGCCAGGCACCAGCTCTCGTAGCTCTGCCGACATCCGCGGATGGGCCGAAGAAACACGTCATAAATGACATCTACACATAGGCTCGGCTGTATGTTGCTGGATGATGTTTCACAGAGACTTTTGCGCATGTTGATTCAGCCGTATAGTCGCACGTGCCCCAAGGACCCCAGAGCCGTATCCGGTGTTGATGGATGCAGTACCTAGACTGTCGGTTCTTGTTTTACGGTACCGGAGGTAGGGAAAGCAAGCGCATGCGTCTAGACCTAGCGATAGCGTGTGCTTCCACGGGCCATGCTCATAGGCCAAACGTCGATACTGCCTTCCCATGACTGGTCGTGGTTGCGGATGACAGTCGAAAGAGGATGGGCCTTCTCAACAAGGACACGGCGGTGATGGTCAGCTAGCCATGACGGCGAACTATTGCCTGTAAACGTTATCAGGTCGGGCGACGGGTCACATCCTAATTGCACGCTTGCTTGTTTTAGTCGCAAGGCTGGCTGTGGCTTGTGTCCAGGCATGCGCTAATGATACCGGAAAGGCGCACGTCCATGTTTAGCACCACCCGCAGACAGCAGACCGACGACTACTGGATAGCCACACGACTGCGTCCCGCCCAAGCAGTGATACAACACCATGGAGGACCCAGAGTCATCCTCTACGGGTCTCGCGTCCTCCAACCCTCGAGCCGAAAGGGCGGCCGCGCACAACGACGCGCCGGAAAAGACGCATGCCACGCTAAACACTATTGCCCTCCAGCCCCCCGCGAACCTAAATGCGACGTCGACCCTGACCAACTCGGACCTGTCGATTGGAAGGGGATTCACGGATCCCTCGCTGCCGCTGCCCAGATACCACGTCCGCGCCCCGTCCACCGCGTTGAAGCTTGACACGGACCTCGCCATCGCCTCGTCCAACCCAAACTCTGCACGCTCTCTCCACCCCGCCAATCTGGAGGCCAACGGGAGCGACGCGCTGCGGCAGTCGGCCACTGCGCCGATTGCGATACAAGACAGTGGCTATCTGAGGACTGCCTGGTCTACTGCTAGTCTCGGTTCGCTGTCGCCCTCGTCCGCCATCTCGTCGCCAGCACTGGCCGCCCTGGGAGACATAACCCCACTTCCATCACCACTGGTGATGGGCGACTCACCGGGACCATGGCAGCGAGCCGACCATCGCCCGCGCTCACGAGGCATATCAGGCGCCTCTCGCGACGACTCCTTCGCCATGTTCACCAAGGGCACCCTCTCTCCTTCGCCCTCGCTCAAGAAGAAAGGATACTCGGGACTGAAAGCGGCCGCCATCGAAGCGGCCGCTGCAAACTCTCAGCAGAGGAACGAGGCAGCCCGCGAGCGCAACAGAAGCATCAGCGAGTACACTCCAGATGCAATGCGCAACGCTCGTCCCCGACAAGTCTCGGTGGTAGAAACGGACCCCAACATGCAGCAACGCATGAACCGCGAGACATATCTTGCCATGCAGAGGGGCCTTGTCCCCGCTAAGGTGCCAGCCGGGCTTCCCACTCCACCCGCGAGCAACGCAAGCAACCGCAGTGTTACCGACACCGAGGAAGAGGACGTGACAGATGATGACAAGACTCAATACATAGTGGTGCGCTGTGGACCCCAGAAGACGAAGAAGCTCTGGCGCCCTGTCCGGCAGCTTGGTCAGGGCACCTTCAGCAAAGTCTACCTGGCAACCTGCGAGAAGACCAAGGCCAAGGACCCTCTCGATGAGAACGTTTTGGATCCGCGGAAATTGGTCGCCATCAAAGTCGTCGAGCATGGCCCGGCCGGGGGTGCCGATGAAGAACGCGTAGAATTAAGCCTCAAGCGAGAGGTTGAGATGCTCCGATCAGTATCACATCCGTCTCTCGTACATCTCCAAGCCTTCGATCACGATGACGCCCAAGCTCTTATTGTCCTTACGTACTGTCCCGGTGGTGATCTGTTTGATGTAGCCAGTGACCATCGCGACAAGCTGACTGTCGATATCGTCCATCGTATCTTCGCCGAAATGGTCAGCGCCGTGCGTTATTTACATACCCAACTTATCGTGCACCGCGACATCAAGCTAGAAAGTACTGCTTCCATTCTCTTTATCTTGCTGCGCTTAAAGTGGTACGTTTCTTCGATTCTACTCTGTACTAATGATATCCAGACGTTCTTCTCAACATTCCTGTGTCTACTGTGCCTCTACTCAAGAACCCACAGAGCCATCCGCATGCCATAGCGACACTCACGGATCTTGGTCTTTCTCGACGTATTCCAGCTCCACCCGAATCGCCCCTTTTGACAACAAGATGCGGTAGTGAAGATTATGCAGCCCCGGAGATTCTACTAGGTCAGCCATATGACGGTCGTTCAACGGATGCCTGGGCGCTTGGTGTCCTTCTCTATGCTCTCATGGAGGGACGACTACCCTTTGATCCCCTACCGGGCAAGGCTGCGTCTCGTAGCAGAGCTGCTCACCGTATCGCCAGATGCGACTGGTCTTGGGTCAAGTTTGGTGACGAAGACGGTGAGTGGGATGCTGAGAAGGGCAAGGAGTGGGGAGGAGCTCGCGAGTGTGTCGAAGGGCTGCTGAAGAAGGTCTCACGCGGTCGGAAGAGCTTGGAAGATATTGAGAAACTGGAATGGGTCCAGCAAGGCATTCAGGTCGAGGGGGGCCTAAGAATGAGGCCAGAAGACGAGGTCGCGGAGATCGCTGCGGCCCAGACCCCGCCGAGGTGATCGTTAATGAGGAGCTGAGATGCGCGGTTTGCTGAACTTGAATGATAGATCGTCTCCGCTTCGAGACGCTACCAAACGACTTTCTCGTGTGTCGTTCAGTCCGCCCAAGCTTCCCATACTCCATGAGCACGAAAGCTCTAAATGAGGGGGACAGACTATCAAATCACACTCTTCGTGGTAAACCTGCACACGCAGCTCTTTCCGGAACTACCCAGGTTTCCTACTTTTCCTTTCTACTCACGACTATTCACTCTCACGTTCGTTTTTCTATTGATATCCCTCCCATATCCCATACCTATTCGCTTCTATTGTCTGGTTATACTTGCTTTCAATGTCGTTCAATCGGCTATCCTTTCCGTTGTGGCGCCTGCGCCTACGCGTTTGCTTCAGCGGGTTCATGCTTTCCTTTTCCTTCCTTCAATCATGTGGCATTAGAAAAAACAGGGTCAATAGTTGACTCTTGATAGCTTTGACACTTCAGCAGGCATGCTTTCTTCTCTTTGTTTTTGGAAAACACTGAATCGAGCTGGCTTGGATAGAAAATCAATAAAGCGATACTTTCGCCATCATTTGTGCTTGTGTCGTTTACATTCACGCTGTGCCTTGATACTTGTAACGGCGCCGTCATTGGTTCTATAGAAAGTCTTATCTAGCTAGTCTACAAGTACTGAAATGCGAAGGCCAAAAAAAAAATACCCCTCTTTTGACAATCTCTAGTAGGAAGCCTTTCCTTCGACATAGATATTCTAGGGATCAAAAAAGACCTTAGCTTAAACAGTACCTTATCTTGCAGTAGCCTATCTTCCAGGTGGCGGTGGGCAAGATGAGCCATCCGAGATATCGACTAAGCGTTCACCACCGCAGTTCTGAATGCTGACAACGCGGTATTGGGCACAGTTGGGGTAGTTAATCTCAACCCCAATTCCGCAGTTGGGAAACTCCGCAGGCCATACAACACCGGACTGAGCAAGCGATATCGCTTGACGTCAAAACCGGGGATGGGGCGGGGGTACGCGACTCTTTCGCCTCAGAGAGCGGAAGTTCCGGGGTGCGGCCGGCGTTTCGCTTCTTAAGCCTGACACCCCAGACATTTCCTCTCAGCCACCACATTGCTATGAATCTAGCACAGCCAAACTCAACTCGCGTTTGCGCGTCTACGTGCCACCCTATTAGATAGCTGTCGGAGCTCATCTGCGGAAGTTCTCTCATGTTCGCTGTCTAGGTAGCGCCAGCAACCTCATTGTGGTTGCGGTGATGCACAACTGAATGTCTGGTAGTCTCAAGTATTGCGTCAGAACCCCTAACCGCGAGGTGGTGTTCTATCGCAGCGGGTCTAGAACGATGCGTCCTTCTATCCTATAGCGAACGATCTACGATAACAAGGCGGCGACGTGCCAACGAGAAGGCTTTCCAGGACCAGCGGGCTGTAAGAAGGATTGCGGGGCGGATTATGGCGGCCAATAACGCTTGGGAACGATAGTAGCATGCATTTTGGCTTTACTGCCACTTGCCGCTGGTGACGATGTCTACATCTTCGAATAGCCTACGATTCGTCCTGAAGCAACGTTTCTGAGCACGGAAGGGCGGTATGCGTTTCATCGGGAGCGGGAAGACGCAGAAATCGCTATCATCATGGGCAAGGGCGTGCTATCTGACTTACTTGTGGAGGTGATAGCCTGGTCTGCTGACAACGCAACAGTCATGCAAGTATGCGGAAGCAGTGGCTGCATGGCGGGATGATTGGGGCCAAACGTAGTATAAAGAGCTTCGGAAGTACGCCGCATCTGGTCTCGTAAGCAGTATGTCTCTGTTTATGCTGTGAAATTGGACACATTGCCAAACCCAAGTCTTTTCTATTGCTGCTTGCGCGTATCATAATACCAGGGGCAGCTATTTTTGAAGAGTTATATGTGAATGGCTTACTCAGGCATGCAGTTACGGTTCAACCTATTCAGGAACGATAACACTTCGAATCACCTGTTCGCAAACTTTCAGCTATACTTGGCCATCTGCGGAATTTGCGAAAGTTGACAGCCAGTTATGTATGAGTGCTATGAACACAATATATATTCTCGTCGTCGATCATCAATCACCACTGCATCTAGCAGCCTCACTCAAAGCACGCATCCCACCAAGCACAGTACATCAAAACCCTCTGACACGGCTTCATGGATCAGTTTTCGATAACTGCGGGCGTTGTAGGCATAGCTGACTCAGTTACAAAGCTCGGTTCACTTAGAACCCGGCTGAGACATGACTACAGGTGCGCAGACGAAGATCTCGATAATGCTCGACAACATGCGTTGCTACTATGAGAAGAGATCAAAGCCCTGGAAACTAGGAAAGCTGGTCTCCCTCATGCTTTACATCATGCAGGGGATAACAGACCGGATTATCGTACATCATCTCAAAAGAGTTATGTGGTCATGGAAGAAGGGCCGTACACTAAGGCAATGTCTACCGCTCATGATCTACTTTCAACAATCGAGAGTTCTTTCCCCCTGCGGTCCGAACCACATACATGGAGAAGCAAGGTCCGATGGGCATTGAAAGATAAGCAAACTCTGTTAGAGTTGCAAGAGCGATTGAAATCTGCTGAAAGCACACTACAAGGAATTGCAACGATGGAGCAATTGTAAGTTGTGTCTCAGATCTGCTCTCGAGCCAACAACTTATAGACCATAGGCGAGTCAGCCATATGATGTACGGCTTACTTGTCCAACAACAGAGCGCCCTGAATCGTTTGGAGAAAAGTAGGGCAACGAACAGCAACGTCCTGGGGGTAACGGTGATCAACCAATCTAGTCCTTCGTTTAACCCAACCTTTGCTCAGGCCCAAATATTTGGGCCCAGAGCTTTGCGGAAGCAATCAAATCAGCTTGCAAAAAATTCTACCAAGCTTTTACCATGGACTGCACGATTTAACCAGTGGGGCGTTTCCGGTCAATTGACCATGCTACCTAAAGATGAGTCCACCAGTTATCGAGCTATCGTGCACGTCTCGGTACTTAGCAAGACATATTCCCTCCAAATGAAAGTGGTTCTGCCAGGGTTTGCTTTTGATCGAATGTTATACGTTCGCAACATCGTTCCTAAGGATTGCGCAATGGTCATCGCATGCAAGACAGGCGATTTCGATTCAGTCCACCGACTACTAGAGCGCGGGGAAGCGCAAGGGAGTGATATTACACCTGGCGGTTGGCCGATGCTCGATGTCAGTCAAATTTCTTCAGAACCGCTTCCTTTCCTAACAGACTATACAGTATGCCATCAAAAGTGGTTCTACACGGCTTGTTCGCCTACTCCTCGAGTATGGAGCAACTCCCAACCTAGCATACGGCGAACATAACATGTGAGTACAACCTACTTTGACTGTTGCAACGAACATTTGGACGATCTGCTGACATCAGTCATACAGGACGGCGATACAGTCTGCCTTTCTTCATGGGCACCTGAATATAGGAAGGGTATTGCTGAACCAAGGTGCAGACATTGAGCACATCGATAGTGATGGCTTTTCGATCATCTCGTACCTTTGGGTAGTCGACAAGCCTTTGGAGAAGTCAGCCGAATTTATGCGCTTTTGTCTCGCCAACGATTTTGGTGAAGTCAACACATGCGATAGCCGGGGCTGGTCAGCATTTCACCGAGCGGCCGCCATCGGTACATCGGATGACGTTGAGACGTTCTTGAGACTTGGTGCATCGCTTGAGCTGAGAACGCAATGGTATGGCTGGACGGCGCTCTTCTTCGCGGCATCTCACGATAACCTGGACACATTCCAGACCATCCTTCGATACTCAGAGCCGGACGTGTACGAGTCTTTGGATGGTGACGGGTGGACACTTCTCCATTGCTGCATTTACTTTGGGGCTCCACGAATCATGAGACTATGCCTGCAAAATGGTACGAACATCAATCAATTGTCTCTCCCATCACCACTGCCGGAAGACCCAGAACTCTCATACAGAGAGCTGTCTCCAAGCGACATTGCGCTTTACATCGGGCCAAATCGATATCGAATGTTCATGGAAGCCCTCGTCGAAACTGGTCGTCATGCAGATCTACAAGGTATAGACGAGGAGATGTTCTGGGAGGCAGCTCCTAACACTGGAGAGGCTGAGGTCCCTCGCTGGATCTATGGCGCCGAGGATGTAGATGACGATCGATGGACACTGCTACACTGGGCATCATATAACGGCTCTTCCAAGGTGAAGAAGCTATTGCTGCTCAAAGGCATTGATCCAGAGCACATGGACGCCGTCACATTGGAAGAGAATCCAACCTTCTTACCCAAAAGCCCTTTTGAGAATCGTTAGATACCTGGAAGACAGGGATTTTCGATCGATTTAAGCACGTGTTCAGACTAAATAACCAAAGGGAAAACTCTTTCAAATTGTACATGACGAGCAAAGACTTGTCAGATCGAGTTTGTGCTACAGAAGTACAGATTTCCTCATTCAAGTTTACTGGAGCTTGTAGTACTCCTACCAACCTACGTATCAGATATCTAGCGTAATTCCATGGTGAAGAGCGACTCTTTTGGCAACTTCCTCCCCACTCCAGTAAGCTCCGGTTACAGTGCCGAGTCCACCTGGTGGTGATGTATGCTCACCAGCAAACCAAATTCCACGATTGCGGCCCATACCCTCCCTAAGTACTTTGAAATGAAAATCTCCATCACCAGAACCCACTGGCATGTTGGCAAACGATCCAAACCCTGCAAACTCGTCATTCTGCCAATCTGTTGACATAAAGGTCACAGGAGCACATTCAGAGCGGGTGGGATCGTAATTTGGCAGCTTGGAATAGTACGGATGGAATATGTCGTCCAAGATCCGATAGCGTTCTGCGGAGTCCTGCGACATACCTCGAACAAGCCCACAAATATGTCTGCCCCATTGACCGTATACGAAGAACATGATGATTGGTTGCGAGAATTCTGCTGGCATACCAGAGAAAGACACGATCTCAGTTCGCCACCGTGACGGGTTTGTATCGGTTGCGTACTCTGGCCGCAAGAAGAGAGACTCGATCGGAAACGCGGGACCTCTGGCTGATCCGGCGTTGTTTCTAAGATCCGGATCATCCCAGAAGGGTTTTGGAAATTTGATAAAAATCTTCTCTAGGTTCCCATATCCAATACTTTGAATTGCTGTCGAAATCTCGGGAGTCAAAGGTGGTGAGAAGACGTTCTCATTACGTTTCAACCACCCTAAAGGAGCAGTAACGACAACGTCCTCGAATTGGCCCTGGAAACCACTCCTTGAACTGATCTGTAGCGAACCTGACTGTAAGTTCGAAATTGCAGTCACTTCGCAGTTCAGCTGAACATTGACTTTCTTCGAAATCTGGAGATACATGTCATGAACGATGTCCTTGTAGGTCGATGCAAGGAACAGGTTATCTACGTAAACAGTTAGCGATAATACTGCAATTGGGTTGGGTCATCTATACCTCCTTCCAGCCCAGCGTCTAGCCAGAGGTTCTTGAGACTCTGACGTTCGCTTTCGTCTCCCATAAACGCCCCCCACATTTCAGCAATATACGCCAGAAGTGACGCATCAGGCTCTTGACATCTGCGATGCGAACATCTCCTCTGAAGTTCTTCACGAACGAAATCCATCATCTTCATTGTGTCAGATATCGCTGCTGCATTCGCGTGACTCTGTTCCATCGCCAACTCCAGAATTTCCCAAACTTCTTCATAGTATTGTCTTGCCTTCTTCCGGTCGAACCGCATTCCGTTCGTATCACATATGGATTCAACCACGCTACAGGCAACTGTCGTTGACCCTGTACTTCTTGCAAGCTCTACGATAGGATTGCCTTGAGTACCATGGATCCAGCTCGCACCAAGATCGATAGGTTGACCAAAATGGTGATCTTGGTGGATACGACCGCCAACACGGTTTCCTGCTTCGAGTATCGTGACATTGAACCCCACGTTGGTAAGAAGTATAGCGGCTCGTAGTCCACTGATGCCCGCTCCGATAATGCAAACTGTTCGCTCATGGCTCCGAAGATTGGATGTTTTACGCCCATCGTGGTCTTGCTAGGATCGAAAATTGGAGATAGAAAAAGAGGCCCTAGACTGATGGAGATGATGTAAGAGTGAATGATAAATGTGGTGGACCGCGAGCCATTTCGACTATTTTGTAACCCATCCAGATCAGCCGCCAAGCAGCATGCGGCTTGGTTAGGCAGTGCCAGCCGATAAACCCTCAACGAACGACACTGCTGCCCTAACTGCAAATATCAAAGCTCACAAAGGAAAGGTGCATGATGGTGATCTCGGGAAGCATGCATGATTTGAAGTTGGATGTGATGATGGCGTGAAGGCCAGCAATCACCGAGGTCTGTGCTTCGAACTACGGGATTGACGCGTCGTAATTCGCGCTTGGTCCCTCGAAGACCACACTGTTGGCATTATAGTAGTCTGCCGTGGTTTGAGCCTCATCAAGAAGACATGTTGTATTGCATCTACTCGGCTGGCGATACTATATACGGCAAGCACAGCCCCGCGTTACATATAGGCGATGACTGCCCAAATATACGAGGCTCACCGTTGGTGGGGTAGATGCTTTCCCACTAAATATTGCACTCACAACACATACCATTACCTCACTAATCCCGTTTTAAAACGGAGCCACACATGGCGCAACCAAAGAATTCGTCGAACATCAAAGCTGATTGTCGTCCGCTGTCCACCAGCGATATTGCCAGCCTCGTTCAGGTAGCTGATAAAATTCATCCCGATCTTCCTGAGAGCGACGAAGTCTTTGCAGAGCGTGCGAGACTGTTTCCGCAAGGCTGCCAAGGTCTGTTCGATGAGGCCGGTGAGCTTTGTGGATATATCATCTCCCATCCTATTCTGTACCGCGAACCGCCAGCTTTAGACAGGCTCCTTGGACAAATCGCTCCAGACGCAAACCAATACTACGTTCACGATTTGGCAATTCTTCCTGAATTCCGTGGGTCTGGTTTAGCGCATGAATGTCTCACCAAGATTCTGGGGACTGTCGCAAAGCAATATGCAACGATTAGTCTTGTTTCTGTCTATGGAACAGCGGAATTCTGGGGGCGGTACGGGTTCAGAGCTCCAGAGACAATCGATGACAAACTTAGGGAGAAGATTTTGGGCTATGGTGATGACGCCTTGTATCTCGAGCGCAAGAACGAGACACACTCATCTAATTCAGGGGTGTAAAGGATTTGTTCTCTAGGTCGGGGAGACTTTTGTCATTCATGAAAGTTGATTGAACAAAAGTATGATACGTTTCAAGAAAGAGAACACTCTCAATGCCGCGGTTCCACCACGATGTGCATATGCGTATTGTCGGAGCTGGAAATAGTGAGCACATTTATTGAAAGACTAGACCGCGATCCTAGCTCTCTTCTCAGATGATGCAGTAACCTATCAGCTTCTTTTTCCTTCTCATCAGATCCTAATCATGATCTAACACGTTGATGTCTTTCTGAATCCTGGACTACTAGTACTAGACCTTCCAAGTAGTATCCAGCGATCTTAGACCGTAATTTGGTTTAGAAGATAAGAAAGCGCGATCATTATTCAAGGGTATCGTCTTCGGCATTGAACGACACATGTAGATCTGAGCCCAGCGCAAGGTCCGGGATGTAGCAAGCTGAACACCGCTGATATCGTTCTGGAATTCAAGATCGGAAAACCTATTGAAGCCTTCTTTTTAGGATCACGAAGGTATACGGACATCAGCTGTCCTAGTGATGTATGAGTTGCGATACACGTCCTGCATAGTACCAGCTTCTACCTTCCACCCTTGGTCGGAGCTTTGAAATACATGGGTGTGTGAAAGCTGTCTGGGGCATGAAATCAGCGCCTATTATCTTTACCTATCCAAACATGCTCTATGTCCAACTTCAGCGTCACCTGTATGTTATCACGAAATGTCTTCGAAAGAGTATTGACCAATTTTTCCTAGCATAGTTCTTCAAGTGTGGGCCGTAGAAGCCGTAGCTAGGTTTAGAGAGGATCAATGCTCCACATGTAGGAAAGTGCGACATTAGAAGATGCAGTCCAGCAGACGAAAAATGGAAGGACAGAGGAAATGTATGGCAAGTAATATCATGCGAACTTAAGGCAATGTCTTCAGGTCACTGTGTGATTGTACGCCTGACGCGTACCACATAATGTGACGACAGCTTCCGGCTGTCTCGAAAGCAATGCAAACGATGCAAGACAAGCAAGCCAAAATGCGTGTTAAATAATTAAGCAAACGAGATTGATCGTGTAAAGCCCATCGATGATAATTTAACAAAGATGTATCTCACTCATAACAGTCACATCAATACAGGCCTCAACTTCCACACATCTCATCTATTCTGCAACCAACCACCAGCATGGCCATGGTCAGGATAACTAGCATAGTCTTGTGTCTTTGGGCAATCCTTGGCGTCTCTATCAACATTGAATGGGCGGCATCCTCAACCTCAATCAGAACATGATCAGTGCCTGTAGGCTTTAGTCCAATCGCTGAAGTGATTGTGGGATCGCTTCTTCATCAGGAGGAAATGTACTATGGGGTCGAAGATAATGCAGAGGATACGGATGACGGTGAGGAATTGAAGAGAGCAACAGAGGTGAGTATGATACAGCACTAGCGTATGTTCAATGACATAGTCCGTGCAAAGACATTAGTTTTGTAAGATCATGGAATCGCATGTGAAAGGCCAAGATACAGCTAATCTAGATCTTGCAGAGTGTCTGCATTGCCTCCTTTGTGCTCTGCGACGTCTCCTTGACCACCTTGATGATTTCCTTGAACCTGTCGGATGTTAGCGCACGAACATGAACAACAGCATGCCCGCTTTGCTTACTCAGGCGTTCCTGCATCTCCAACAAATTCATACATGAAGCTCTCGCTCGTAGTGACCACGGCACCTTCATGCCTCAGCCTCGCCAAAGCGACGGGCACCTCCTCCTTGTTGCAGGAGCTTACGCCATCAGCAATGACATATACTTTGTGTCCGGACCGGAGGAGATCGAGTGTGGTCTGGGTGACGCAAATGTGGCTTTCGATGCCGACGATGATACAGGAGAGTGGACCGGAGGCATTGAGTGAGTCGAGGGCTTGCTTGACTTCTGGTGTTCTAACAACAGTCAGCAGATGACTTGGGACATACATCATCCATGTTGTAGCTCACATCATAGAAAAGAGTGTCTTGTCAAGATGACAGACTGTCTTGATGCCATCGGGCTGATCCAACTTCAGCTCCGGACATGTCTCGCCCAATCGCGCTCTGTTCTGGGTTGTTGCGAATACGGGAATATTCAGTAGTTTGCCTGACGGTGTTGGTCAGCAATAAGCGCGTGGGGCGAAGTGTGTAGCGACAGAAAATGGGCAAGCCAGCCTGAGACCTCTAGGCTGACAATCCGGGGGTTCAAGAGGCTGGAGATGCCATGTTGGGTGTCTTATTCGGACTTTGAAAGACGGTGTTGGTATGGGATGGGCAACGCACTTGCTTTGAGCAGCTTCTGTGCAGTCGAAACGACTTTGGGGAATTCATATATAGCAGGACGGAACTTCTCTTGAAGATCGCAGACACTGCGATGGTATTAGTAGGGGAAATGATAGTCGCCGCGGGAAGGCATACAAGAGGGCGGGGTTCGCTATGGTCCATCAGCCCACTGTCGCACGAGATGTTGCTGAGCCGCCTACCAATGCGTCGCTGAGCCATGGCTGAAGAGAATGTTCGAAGAGCAGTTCTACGGCAGGTGAACGACACACTTGGCTGTGCAACGCGTAGGAGGAGAGATGCCATGATAGTCGATGCGCATATGCAAGCCGCATGCGAACGTGCCTCGGCTAGAAGGAACGACATGGTCGCTACCCCATCTGTCCAATACGCCTGCCGTACCAATGTCATCATGTGACCAGGCAGAATGCCGGGCATCTGAAACGAGTCCGCCCGTAGACAATTGCCTGCATATTGAGCCCCAATTTACCGCGTCGAAACAAAATCATTCCAAACGCGAGAATGTCCGACCTCTGACATCAGTACCCAGGAGGCTGTACTTGGGACCAGAGGCGCGGGTACCCTGTCCATTACGAGATACCGCCGTTGGTGCTGTCCCTGCGTCTGCTCACGCGGTGATATACCGGCCAGATACAGATCTGACAAGACGGGAAATAGACGTTGCCAGCATCGCTGCTGGTGGTGGACAAAGTCGGAGCAAGAAGGCATGGCGGGCGGTCTGGTCTGACTGTGATGCCCCTACAATCTCACGAGCGACCGTCATCCCCTACGACATGGACTGCACGAGACAGGAGGCGCCCATGCTTAGCTGGACATGAGTTCTCCAGCTACCAGGAGTTCGTCGGCTAGTCAGTCAGCAAGTCGACTCTCCTGTCTCTGCAGCGTAGTAAGCTGCCATGTCTATAGCGTACTGCGCACGACGGAGTGGCCCGTTGCATACAACCGTCTCCGCACGGTCAGCATGGTCAGAGCTGATGACGGCTGACGGTGTGGCGTGGGCAGTGCTTTTTCCCTTACTCTGTGTCCTGGGCGCGGGGAACGTCACAGGCGCGGTGGGTGGTGATGGTGGTGGAAGAAGGAAGGTAGTCGTGTCTTGTCCGCTGGGCTCGAGGAAGCCAGGTGTGCAGCAAATACGGCCGCACCCCGCCATGCTGCAGCGCTGAATCTATTGAATTGCGTGTTATATTGTCCATGGAGAAGGCGCCCCTGTCGCAGTCACACGTCCCAAAGCGCCCTAGAGGCAGCCCTGTGCGTTCATCCCTCCTTAGGACCTGCTAGGCGTGGCCCAAATGCTCGAGCCCATGCATGCCGCTGCACTGCAACTAACCGCACATAACCTCTTGCTGTCGAGTTCCTCTTCTTTCGCTGTCCGCAGAGCCTCGATTCCCGACTGCCTCTAGCCATTGTTTAGCGCTGACGGGCGGAACCACAGTCGACGCCGGAGACATTTAGCAGCGACGAGTGCAGACCAGGCTCTCACAGCAGGGGTTCACGCACCAGCATCTCACGACGCCGAATTCCCCGATACTCCTTCACCGTGTGCTTTCACGCATTCCACCCACTGCCTTCACTTGCTCTGGAAGCATCTCCCCATTGTCGACTCCCCCAGGCCCTCTGCACTAGCCCTACGCCGGCCGCAGCCCCTCCCCGAGTACCGCCATTGCCATAGCCAGCGAGCGCCCGCTAAAGTTTATGAGCGACCGCCGCCACAACAACCCACAATATCTCTACATACAACACCCCCAGCCCATTCATTCGGACCCTCGCCGGACCAAAGTGCCCTCGCCCGCCCTATATTCTCCCGCCTACTCACCCCTACCGCTCCCTCCGCAGCACCCTCTGCACCACCACCACCACCACCACCTACAGTACGCCCACGTGCCGCCGTACCTGCTGCTGCATCCCTTTCTGCAGCTCGCGCGCATCGACGAAGTGCATCAACCCGCCTCGCACACGCCCTTCCCCGCCGTAATTGTGTCTCCCCACTCGCTGAGCCCGCCTCCCCAGCGGGACTCAGGCCGCACCCTCTCCAAGAAGCCTCCCGTCAAGACGGCACAGGCGCACACAGATGACACAGATGGGAATAAGGATACACAGCGTAGCGTGCCCACCAGCGCGCCCACGATGACATCAAACCGTCTGCCAAATATGTCGAGCAAACGGGAAGACGCGGGCGCCCAGACGCGCGCCCAGCGCCCGTCTATCGTCTCGCAACACTCGAATTCCGTTCCCTCGACGCCCCTGCAGGTCGCCCGCAAGTACAGCACGCGCTCGCGCTCCCCCTCGCCCAACGGCGGACTGGGCAGCCATTCGCCACGCTCCGTCTCGTCCGAAGCCAACGGCACCATGCCTACGCTGAGACCCGCGCGCCCCTTCAAGTGCAGATTCGAGACCAATGTTGGTATGCTGGGTCGGAGACGCATGCCCTACCAATCAGACGAGATACTGGAAAAGGCTAAGGAGGAGCCAAAGAAGAGCTTGGATCCCAACGAGGACGACAAGTTGAGTGGAGACATGCGGGAGCTGTACGATCGGTTAGTGCCGAAACAGGAAGACGAAGATACTCGAGCGCGCTTTATAAGAAAGGTGGAGCGCATACTCCAGACTGAGTTTCCTGGTACCAAAATCATGGTCCATGTATTCGGTTCTTCTGGCAACATGTTATGGACATCTGAGAGCGATGGTAAGTGCCACGCGGCATCTCGAGATCCACACTAACAGAAACAGTCGATATTTGCATACAGACGCCCATGAAAAGGCTCGAAGAGATGCATCCAATAGCCGAGGCTTTGGACAAACGTATGAAACACCACAAATCAGATTGATTGAGACTGACCTCCTTAGATGGCATGGAGCGCGTGGTATGCATACCAGCAGCCAAGGTCCGGATAGTAAAAGTCTGGGACCCTGAGCTGCAACTCGCCTGCGACATCAACGTGAACAACGTCGCCGCAATCGAGAATACGCGCATGATCAAGACCTATATACAGCTCGACGATCGTGTTCGACCGCTCGCCATGATTATCAAGCACTGGACAAAGAGGCGTATCCTGAACGATGCTGGTCAGTCTGCTACATACTTACCCTCCTTCCCGACTAACATCGCCCAGGTATTGGTGGCACAATCAGCTCGTACACATGGATATGCCTGATTATCAACTTCCTCCAGACACGGGATCCGCCGGTCCTTCCTACCCTGCATGATCTTTCCGATCGAGCGCTAGACGAGACGACCGGCCAGCCTTCGTTATCGAGTTTCGCCGACGATATAGACAAGCTGAGGGGTTATGGAGACAAGAACAAAGAAAGTCTGGGCCACTTGCTGTTTCATTTCTTTCGTCTCTACGGACACGAAATCGATTATGAGAAAGACACGATATCGGTACGACAGGGCAAGCGAATACCGCGAGAAGAAAAGGGCTGGCATCCTGGCGGTGGCCAGAAAGAGGGGGTTAATCGCCTCTGTGTGGAAGAGCCTTTCAACACGGAGCGTAATCTTGGAAATTCTGCAGACGATTACGCTTGGCGTGGTATACACCTGGAGATTCGTCGCGCTTTCGACCTCCTTGCAGACGGTCAGCAGCTCGATAAAGCATGCGAGCAATTCGACTATCCACCGGAGGAAAAGTCGAACGCGATTTTCAAGAAACCTCAGTCGCAGAAAGCCATTATTACCTCTAGTGTACCAAACCGGAATGGACGAGGAGGTCCAAATACGCGTGGAGGCAGAGGAGGCTTTAACCTGAAGGGTCAGCATGGAGGTAGCAGGCGATCTTCCGGTAGCTCCAACTACGTTCAGGGTCGACCACCCTTCCTACATAGCCCGCCGATCCCAGCGAGCGCTGGCCCGGAGTATTTCAGCTTCCCAAGAGGCATTCACGATCAGCTACACGACCAGCTGTATCAGCAATACCAAATGCTGGAGATGCAGTCGAACTCTCTACGTGCGCAGTTGGCTGCTCAACAACACGCTCAGCAAGCACATCAAGTACGGGCCGCGCAGATGCATGCCCACGCCGTTGCCCAGGCACAGGCGCAAGGTAGAGCGTCTAACAGTACAAATGGGTCGCCGCAAAAGTCGCCATACATCAACGGTCGACAGAGCCCTCGTTTGGCTGAACGTGGAATACCCCCAAACTCGCTTCCTCAGGGCTTTCTATATCACTACCCTGGCTTCTTCACTTCGCCTCAGTCTGATCCTAACGGCTCACAAGATGGATCACGAACCAACCCTTCGTCTCCTTCTTTGAGCAGTAGTATACCCGGCGTACATGGAGGAGTGCATCGTACATCCAATGCAAGCGAAACAAGCTCTCTTCGTTCGCACTCACAGCCTCCTCGCAGTGCGGGGCAACAGCCTGTCATTGTGGGATACCCACCTGTACCTCAGCTCGTTGATCCTGCACAATTTGCTGGTTATCCAATCGCACGATCATCAAAAGATCCTTTGCGACCACAGACGACGTCGGACATCCCAGTGAAGCCCAACACGTCCCAGCCAGAGTCCGGTCTGTCTTCTGACAACAGTTCGCCCAAGGAATATGTTGGCTACTACGTTGCAGAACAACCGCAGGCACGCCCGCTACAAGAATACGCTGTTGGATCGATTCCATCCTTTAGCGAACTGGCTCAGCGTCGTCGACGCGTCTCGCCAGAGATCACCCAGCCTCTTCTGAACACTGCTTTACGACGAGTGACGCGATCTCCTTCGCCACTTGGGCATATGCGTAGTTACTCTACAAGTGTTACTCAGCCGAATGATGTGCCACCTACTGAACAGCGCAAGTCACGCATTGACTCTGTCCGTCCACCTGTCGACAACGGTCCAGTCATTGTTAATGGCTCGTTTCCAAGCCAACCTCGTCCTAGAAGTGATACGGTAGAGACTGTACCGCAAGAGATGCCACCTCAAGTTTCACTTGGGGCATACGCCAATGATCAGGCTATCCATCAGATCCAGCAGCTTCAAGCGCGGCAGCAGTTGGTTCTTCAGGAGATGGAAAGACAAAAAGCAGTGCAAAACATGGGTCCCCCCATTGTGAATGGCTCAATGAACGGTGCCCCACCAGTGGAGACAAATGGCTTGACGCGCGTGCCAAGCGAGGGCCAGCAAGCATTTCCTACATTCGGGGATGGCTGGGTAAACTATGATGCCACTAATGGTCACCAAAGCGACCGAAGCGATGACATTTCACCAACTCGCTCGGTTCCCCATCAGTGGGGCGCACCAGCGTACAATAACGGCCTACCTCCTCTGGAAACTTCAAATGTGCAGCGAGCACATCCTCAAGAGATAAAATCTGCGACAATTCCGCTGCTATCGCCTGTGTTCGAGACGCGCACGCCTTCGCCTACTGCCGGCAGATCTGCAGATCTCAACAAGCTCGTCAATGGTAACAATAGTCACAAGTCGCAGGTGAAGCCAAGCAACGAACAACATCGTCGCGCATCGCTTACAGGTGGATCGAATGGTAACGCCAAAGAAAATCGTAACGGTCAACAGCAAAAGAACAACACGAACAATGAGAGGACGAACAAGCCGAGCGCGACAGGCAGTAGTCCCAATACTTGGCAACAGCAGCCTCCTCGTAAGAAGGGGAAGAACAAGAAGCCGAGAGCTCCAGACCAGAAGTCGATGGGCGAGCCATTGCCTGTCAATGCCGCTGATCGCAAGGGTGGCTAGATATTTGTCGTTGCTGTCGACTTGAAAACTATAGAGATCGCTCTCCGGTTGCTCGCTTGGTTCGCTTTTGAATAGCGGAGACACGTCACAAAATTGCATTTTGAAGTTGAGCAGCCTGGGGTCATTTGCACGCCGGATTCCAACTGGTGGGGCAGGCCAATTCGTACGATGCCATCACGAGACAGAAACGGTGAGATGCCACTGAAAAGAGAGAAAAAGAAGGGAAATCACCCGTCGGACGTCACACACACACACACACACACACACATCGACAATATGTCGTTGACTCTGCTGTTACACTCGGCGGCGCGAATCACGCGCTCGCGCAGAGCGCTTTGTGTTTCTTTCACTTGGTCGGCGTTATTGTTTTGCTACGCGCGACATGCATTTTATCGCATCATCTTGGAGTTTAATTTCCCTATCGTTTTCTTCTGGGATGCGGTCTTTCGGTTCACAAATATCTCGGTACACAACAGCATTGTTTTCTCTGGTCTCTCTTGGGTCGCAGGCTGCGGAACTCTGTCATGGGCTGGCTCATTTTGATGTTTATTACTGGTTGCGAACACGGACATGGAAAGTATTGAGGCATGTATAGATAAAAGATGAGCGAACGTGCCTGTCGATTTGTACGAGGTTCGGGCTCTCTGGGACGAGATAGAGGAATGAGAAATTGTTAAAAGCCATTGTCAAGATTCTTTGAATGACGGTGTGTAGGAACCATATTGGCTCGTGACGATGTTTGCTGTAGCGTGCGTCTACACTTCATTTGCATGATGGGGAGCGATGATCAGTGACTGCCTCTTCGCACTTGATGCTTTCCCCCGGCTTATGTAGCTTTGATACGCCCTCATCTAAGTCCTACAACTTCGAAATTACGTGACTTCCAACAAACAGATTAATTCACCCAACGCTTCATCCCCACACAGCGCGACGATGCGACAATACACTTACGCAGAATTCCTTGTCCACTCTATCATGGTGCCTTGCCTCGCTATGTTAGTTGTGTTTCAGCATACTATCATGCTATGACGGGCAGCGGGAAAAGCGAGTTCGTAGACACGGAACAAAGCGCAATTGAAGTGTATGAGAGAATATGGTAAGAGGCAAAGAAAACTCCAAAAAAAAATACAGGATTGCTTCGTTACTCCAACCCATAATGCAATTTCCTTCCTCTTTCCTTGAGCAAGTCACAACATCTCCCACTCTCCTCATCCAAATATTCTGCACCTTCCCTCACTGTCCAGCCCTTCGCACCACATTCGTACACTACTGCACTCTTTGCTCTCTCTAACATGACATCAAAAGCTTCCATCAACACATCCATCGGTGTCAACAAACCCTCCTTCTCCAGACTATGATAGAACTCCTCCGCGCTAATTCCCGTCCTGACAACATTCGGCGCCACGGCATTAACGGCAATACCCTCTTCCCAGAGCAATGCGCCGTAAGATCGCGTTAAGCCGATCAAAGCGTGTTTTGCTGCTGTATATATGGGTAGACTGGGTACACAGTAAAACCCACATACACTTGCTACCAGACCAATTGTGCCGCGCAGGAGATACGGGTCTTCGGATCCTCTATCCCCCCAAACAACAAGATCCTGACGTCGAAAATGCTGTATCGTTAACGCGATGGTATAGAGAACACCAGTGAGATCTACATCGATAACTGAGAGATCGGGTCTCGTAAATGAATCGGTGGGCTGCTTGCAGCTCTCAGAAGGAAAGGGAAGCCACTTCTTCTCGCCGATGCCTGCAATAGGGAATACACAGGAGATGCGTCCACCGAGAGCTTTAAGTGCGGCTTGAAAGACAGAGAGCTGAGATTCCCAACTTGACGTGTCGCAGGTAGCATAGTAGAGGACGGTGTTGTTGGGCGTGTTGTGCTGGTCGGCGAGGTGTATAGCGCCAGCCGTGTTGCGGTCGGCTATGAACACTCTGTAGTTTTTGGATAGGAGGTGGGTTGATAGGGCGAGACCTATGCCACTTGCGCCACCTGTGAACGTTGGTTAAGATGTGTTAGATTTAAGGGGGAGCAGCATGGAGTACCTGTTATGTATGCCGTCTTGGGCTGATCACCCATATCCCTGTGTAGCTCTTCTTTATGATTATTAGTTGGCTGTGAGAGGATAGGAGCGTATGTAGGTGTAAGATTAGCACGCTGTTCATATATGCGATTTGTAGGTCATTTTAAGCTTCCCCGCAGTCGGGAGGCACATAGAGGATGCGGGGTTGTGCCAGAGACTTTAGACCCAATCGAAAGCATATCCAGCATACTCTCTGTTTGTTTGGTGCGTTTGACATGATGGCTGTGAGTGTAGCATTTGAGATTACTTCTAGAAAGTATGCCTGCGATGTTTGTGTCAAGCTAGCCTCGGGAGCGTCAATCATATGTTTCCCCCCAGGAATTAAAGCCCAATTGATATACGAGCATATATTTTGGCTTCTTCAACCACCAAAGGTACTCTATAGCTATGCTAGAGGTGTTGAGAGGTGTTGACATAGGCTGGGACCTCTGGAGGGTCGATGATAGTGACGTCATATCATCTGCTCACTTGAGCTCGCATACTGGCACATCGCGAGATACACACATGCAGTCACGGGAAGCCGTGACACAATGTTGACCTATCAGAGGAGGCTAAAAGAAGACTAACGCATGCATGACGAGGACGTAGATGTACAAGTTTCAACGAAGAAAAGAAAATGTTGGGTCTGGAGCTCCGCGACTTCCGATGGTTCGAGCCTGATGTTACCTACACGTGGAAGCTGAAACTCATGACATCTACTGAACATATATATATATATATATATATATGCATATAGCACAATAAACTGACTACAGTAACCACTTTGTACTCCCGAATCTGTTCCAAAGGCTTGTTACTTCTCAAGCTTCCCGTCAGGTTTCTGACGACGTCATTGTTACTCCACATCGAAACTACCTAGCTGGGCTGGACATCTGGACAAGCATTGAAACTTTAGTTGGTACATTTAGCATCCACCAGAGCAAAGATATCTTGGTCAGATCCCCCGACAACCACCCCCACGAGTCGCAACCATGCCTGAAATCATCCTCTCGATCAACGCAGGATCCTCTAGCGTTAAGATCTCCGTCTACAAAACCCCGGAGGATGGCGCCTCGATACCGAAACAACTTGCTGAAGCAACTGTCGAAGGCCTAACTGCGCCGCCTGCAAAGCTCAAGTATGAGCGTGGAGACGAAAAGATCAAGGGAAAGGAGCTAGAGAATGTTACCTCACAAGAAGACGGGTTCCGCTACATCCTAGATCACCTGACCAACGATGAAGGCCTTCCTGAACTCAACCACAAAGAAGACATCCGCTTCACGTGCCATCGCGTCGTTCATGGTGGTGACTACCCCAAAAGCCAGGTCATAGATAAGGAAACATACCACCACATAGAAGAGCTTTCGGATCTAGCCCCCCTACACAACGCGCCTGCGCTGACCATCGTTCGAGCCGTAGCAGACATCCTGCCACACGCAAAGAACATCGCTTATTTCGACTCCTCGTACCACAACACACTGCCAGAGTACATATGCACCTATCCAATCGACCAAACGGTCGCACAGAAAAACAAACTGCGCAAATACGGTTTCCATGGCATAAGCTACTCGTTCATCGCAAACGCCGTATCAAAGCACCTGCACAAGCCGCTCGATCAGATCAATATCATCGCTCTACATCTAGGCTCTGGCGCTTCCGCATGCTGTATCAAGGGCGGCAAGTCGCTCGATACGACCATGGGTCTAACTCCCCTCGCAGGTTTACCAGGTGCCACACGCTCTGGCTCCATCGATCCATCTCTCATGTTCCACTATACACACAGCGCAGGAAAACCCTCGCATAGTTCTAGCGAGAAACTGCACATTACGCAGGCTGAAGAGATCTTGAACAAGAATAGTGGCTGGAAGAGTCTGACTGGGACTACTGATTTTGGGCAAATCAGCTCTTCGGAGAGAAAGGAGGATAAATTGGCATTTGACATCTTCGTCGACCGTATTCTGAACTATGTGGCTCCCTACTTTACCAAGTTGGATGGTGAGGTCGATGCTCTTGTTTTCGCGGGGGGTATTGGTGAAAAGGGAGGAAAGCTGAGACAGGCTGTTGTCCAAGGAGTCAGGTGCTTGGGTTTCAAGATTGATGAAGACAAGAATGCGAAGCAGGTTGAGGATGTGGTTACCGACATTAGTGCCGGGGATGCGAGGTACAAAACGTTGATCGTCCAGACGGACGAGCAATTGGAGATGGCACGGGGAATCCTGGAGGATAAAGATAGGTTTGTGGGGAAGAAGTGATCAAGTAGGTTGATGCTTGACGAGATATGAAAGCACGCGTTGGTAAGAGATTGTAATGGTATTCTTCTATTTTTGACGCTAGGCCGGTAGTCTATGGCCTGCGGTGAATACCACGATGCGCTGCATGAATGCATGTCATTGGGTATCGCTCCCGGGTGATGTAATGTCTTTGGTGAAATTCAAACGCCATGTCCTGATCCAATCCAATCCGTTGTAAAACGCCCTTTGAATGCACTAGATGAAGCCAAACTCTGGGGAAATGTCCCTCGGAATCTGAGCCAGGCTGCTCTTATGAGGTGACGGGGCAGTTGCCCCGGGCTCTGAAGAAGACCCTTTTCGGGACTGTGATTGCGAAGTAGTCTATACTTGTCCAATGGGTACTCCAAAATTGAGCGGGGGACTCTTGAGCCTGACTCCGTCGACAACTTCGGTGGCGCATGAATTGCGAGATTCGGCAGATCCCTTGCGACTCAGTGGCAAGCCATCTTCAGCATTGTCTGCGGTGGCCGGGGGAGCGGCGGGTTCGGGGGCGTCTTTGAGTTTGCTGAACCTGTCCTGGTCCTTGGCAACCTTGTCGAGCACATCATCGAGCACGTCCAGTGCTATGTGGTCGCTAGCGCCATCGACGGGATTGGTTGGTAGCATGAGCGGACCTATCAAGGGCTGATCTTCTGGTGGTGTACCGAACCGTGCTTCTTCCTCGTGAGCAGGCGGCTCTTGAACCGTGGGTTGCTCGTCCTGGACCGGAGACAGGGCGCGTGGAATCAGCGGAGTGTGACCGGCGAAGCGCTTATTGGCTTCGGGTAGCGGGGAGAGCAGAGCATGGGTCGGAGGAGGGGATGGGAAGACTTCGTCGTCGAGATCGGACGTGGGCAGGGAGATGCGCGTGGGCATGTCAGGGCGCTTGTGTCGCCTCGCAAGCAGCGTCTGGAACGAGGAGCTGTTGGGATCGAGGGTACCCAGCTGGGCGCCGGTGATGACATTGTCCAGGCCCTGCAGCTTGTCTGTTATCATCTCGGCGGGCGGAGTGGTCGTGTCGGGGGCAGTGAAGAGGATGTCAGGACGAACATCCATCCTGGTGAGGCCAGCCCAGACCGTCTGCGTCTCAGCGTCGGCGTATGGCATCATCAAGTTGCATCAACGCTAGAAGGCGGTTAGTCGACTTCTACGCCTTCTAGAGGCAGCACACGCACCTAATGCAGGCTGCGGGAAGACAAAGTGCGCCGTGGCTTCGGGATCGAGGGCAGAGTGTCGCGTGGTGAATGTATGCCGGGGGAGTAGGATGCTACAGCGAAGGATACCGGGCGGCGACGGTCAATGCAATGCGTATGTGGGAGTCGACGACGTAAGACTGCGGTGGGGGGAGAGAGAGGGACTGGCAAAGGCGGCGCGGGTAAGTTGCTCTCATATGAAGGGCACGAGTCTAGCGGGTGGATACAAGTGCAACAAACAACGCAGAACGCGGGTGCGGTGAAAGCGAAGCAGCGACCTGCATCACCACAAACACGTCACACGTCATAGCCGTGGAGGCACGACGGTTCCTGGCTGCCCACGTCCGCCCCCACCATCATCCCCGGCCACACATCCCCCCCAGCGCCATCATTCCCGACTGCACAGTCGAGCTAAACGCCATGGAATTTGTTTTCTTGATGTTGCTGCCCTCGCTTCTGGTTTCACGCTTCATTAGGCCTGCAGAATCCTTCAAGCCACCCGCCGTCGCGCTTGGGGTGTGGATCGGCGTGTCATGATGAGAAGCCCCTCTTGGCCGCCATGAAGCGCCTGGCCCTGACCGGCGTCATCTTGCGACATCATTATCTCGAGAAACACCGCGTGCTCTCCATTTCCGTCGACCTGGTAACCACTTTGAACATCGCTGCCCTTGGCGGCGTGCAATACGCCTACACACGTGAGAGCTCATTGGCAGCATAGGCCTGGTTCCGGTCGACACCTAGCACCTGCCATCCTCTCCCGCCTTGGTTGTGAAGAGGGGTAACGCGCTCGCAGCTTCGAGTACACACTCGAATTAACAACCAAGGACGCATAAGCTGCATATACGTTCCTGAATCTTCTAGCCCTCTTCATTCCCCCAACATACCCCATTCCGACGTCTTCCGCTCCAGATTGCAGATCGCCCCTTCTCAATCTGGAAGACTAGTAACCGCTGCCTGTCTAACAAAGGTCCCCACTGCGCCAGATCATGGAAGCCTTTCCCTATATCTCTCCACAACTCAAATATTCGGGCCTGACCAAGCAAGAAAGAGAGGGTCTGCCAGCAAAGGAGAAGCCCGTCACCATGAACAAGGCTAATTCTCCACGTACAAAGTCGGCGCAGACAGACCCTACCAAGGCGGCCAGGAAACATGAATCCATGAACAATCGCAGCTATGCGATTCCATTTCCTGGAAGCATGAACTCATCTGAAGATGACACACCACCCTTTCCCGACGCCGAGGTGTCTTCACTGGCGCTCGACAACAAGCCTGGTGCCCAAATGCACTACACGTACTACCCTGCATCCAAGCCCCACGGAGGTCACCCAAACCCTTTCTCACAAACACTGATCGTCTTCCTAAACGGACTCATGATGCCAAGAAGTTCGTGGGATCCGGCAATGCGCAGTTTCTTAGAGAAACGGATAGCTGGACGTCTACCGTATCCCGCTCTATTGAGTTACGATAGATACGGCCAAGGAGACTCAGATCCCGATCCAGACGACGAGCATCCACCACCATCGCACGGACATGACGCAATATCTGCAGTCAAAGCACTCAAGCAATTCACACTTCAAATATGGAGGGATCACCTTGACATCAATAAACCTACTCACTATCCATGTCTCATCTTCGTCTGCAACAGCATCGGATGCGCACTTGCAAGACTCTTCGCCCAGTGCTACCCAGGGACTGTGTCTGGCTTATTGTTTCTAGACAGCATCATGGCCAACTCAGACTACCAAGATATATGGCCGGACCCAGATGCGCCAGACTTCAATCCACACACACTACCCGAAGGCGTAACTGAGGATGAAGTACGCTCGACAAGAGAAAAATATAGAAGAATGTTCCATCCCGATGTCCCCAGTCAAGAGGGCTTATCAAGAAGAAATCTCCCGCGATTATTACCGTACGCGGATGCACCCAAGCTCGAAGGCTACCTGGGCAGAGGTCCGTATCTCACAGTCGTGGGCCATGACTGGGAGACCTTTGCTGAGCAGTCGTGTACGTACATGTCTCTTTCCAAGTCGACTCTTGGACTTCAGAGACTAACTCGGCAAATAGATACGGGCACAATGAAGACTCCAAAGGTGCTCACTATGACCTATGCCAACCCCGCTTGGCGCCGCTACAATGAAGGTCTCTGCCGAATCACAGATGAAGGCAAGGCTATCGGTCCCATAACAGCTGTCCGGTGTGGCCACTTTATCCAGCAGGACGACCCCAGATTCGTGAGCGACGAAATGGTGAGTCTGCTGGATCGGGTAGTGAATCGCGTTCAGCAGGTCAGCCAAAGAGATTGACATGTACGATTACCATTCGATAGAGGAGAATGTGGGTTGGGTTGGGTCGAAGTTTAATATTTGAAGGTCATGTGGCATGATATACAAGAAATCTTCAGTATCTAATAATCCAGAACCGCGTAATGATAAGAAAGAAAAAAGGCCGCCCATATGTACAGAGTTTCTTAACAAAAGAAAGCTATAAGCATTTCTGTATGCGGTATCCAAAGCTCGGTCGAAACGTGTCTGATCGTTCGTCCTATTGTCGTCGTGATGTGCTGAGTCTGTAGACCTACAAATTTCTGACATATGATAAATGTTCATACGCGAATTTAATTACTCGTGCACATCGAGTAGTCGTGGTCTAGTCGTCGTTGTAGCGTAATGAGCTTGAAAGCTCCCGCCATGCCCAACGTCTCTGCTCCAGTGATCATCTATATCCAAGATGACTCATTGAGAGCGATTTGGAGTCGATGATCCAGTATCCAACTCCAATTTCAATTCCCTGACCCATAACGAATCTCAAAAATCATCCATATCTCCCATGAAGTTATCATCACCCGTATCCACCGCCTTGTTGTTCCTCAAACTCCCACTATGCTTGAAATCATCATCCAAGTCGTCATCTTCTGCAGCCTCGTCTTCAACTTTCTCCTCGAGCAACTTCCTCTTTTCTTCTTCACCCAACCCAGCTTTATTCGCAGCCTGCATCCTCACGCTCAATGGCCGATTCTGCATATAGCTCTCCATGTAGCTGGCGCCTAGACTACTGGGGTAGCCATAGCTCCCCGCCTGATCCACGTCATCTACACCACTACCGTGTAACCCGCCGACGTAGGTATCGAAATTGGTGTCGTCGTCTGAGAGGTCATCGATTTCAAGTTCGGCGCTTGTGGCTGCGGCGGTCGAATAGATGGGATCTGGACCAGCAGTTTCGGGGATGGAATGCGCGGCTTGTAAGGGGAGTGAAGGGGACGGGTCGAGAAACGTGCGCGTTGCGGTTTGGGCAGAGCCGAAAGGTATGCTGGGGGAGCGTGGGGAGGTGAACGGTGGAGAGTGTTCGGCGGCAATGGATATGGTATTTGGTGCCTCTGACAGGGGTTTTGCAGCCGAGTTGATAGCGTTGGTCATGGGAAGGGGCAGGCTGTGATGTACGGCGTCGCGGTGTTCGAGGTAGACTGGTGGCTCTGGGGTGGTGAGTCGCGGATCTATCATGTCGTCGAGCGATGCCGTTGAGTTTGAGGCGGACGTTGCTTCGCTGCTGGGCGATGTGAGGGGTGGTTCCTCGACGGTATCTGCGGGCAGGACGGTTTGGCCGTCAATGACCAGACTGACTCGCTTCCGCTGCGATCGAGGCTTGTCCTTGTGTCGCAGCGCAGACTTCTTCATGGTGGTGCGCTTGGCCTTTTTGACTGTCTCGGCTGGGTGATTCTCCTTGGCTGGCTCCTCCGGGGCAGCGCATTCCATGTTCGTATTGTCCTTGCTAGACTTCCGGCCGTCTTTGCTCTGCTCAGCATCTCTTGACGCTCCTGGCTGGGCTGATTTGGAGGTGGTATTTGCGCCGTGCGCGACTTCAGTCTTGGGCTTCTTCTTCTTCTTCTCCGGCGACGTGTCGCGTGCGTCGAGCAGGGGAAGGAAGACAGGCGTAACTAGGCCATAGAGCTCCTTCTCCCGCTTATGGACTCTGGTGTGCTTCTTCTGCTTGATCCTCTCTTCGGGCTCTGGGTCGAGCGGTGACGCAATGCTTTGAGCATTACTGGTAATGGTTTGTTCTGCAGAGGCGGATTGCTGGTCGCATGCCATTGAGCGGTACCGGTCTACAAGCTAGGCCCAAATCAGTCTCGCACAAGAGTCGATGCAGCGGGCGCAGAATCCTACCTCGTCGCCATATCTGCGCAGCTCGTCCTGCTTGGCCTTTATGTAGTCGTTGATGTCGTCCTCGAGCTGCTGCCTCCTCAGCTCGACGCTGCGGGCCAAGGCGTCCAATTGCTCTTTTCTGAAGCCTGGGACCTCGGCCAGGCTCGGGTCGGCGTGAAGAAGCATGGACTGCGCTGGAATGTGAGTCTTCTGATCGGCCGGATGATTCCGCTTTGGGCGAGGGCCGGAGCAGGCCTCTGCGGCCTTTCAGGTGGTTATATATGGCGGGAAAAGATACTTGGCGGCACCTGAGCAGCGTCAGTCGTCGCACTCATGGCGGGCGGTTATATGCAGCACAGGCTGCGATGGTCGGATTGCCCGTCGCGTACCTGGTATCGGGGAGTGACGCATTCGGAGGCTGACGGGCGATTGGCCGGCGTCGAGGTCACAGGACGGCTTTGCTGTGGCTTCCGCGCTGCGCTGTACCAGAGTCAATCTCACCGAGCCAACGAGACTGCAACTGCAGCCTTTGCAGCTTCTCACGCGGGCAACGGGCGCGGCAAGCACAATCGCGTGCTCGAGAGGCGTCAGGACGGTGATTGCAAAATCTCTGCCTCCGCTGGTCAGAGGGGCACGCTCAAGGTTGTGATCTGACGGTTTCTATCCGGCTGCTCTTCGGATACACGCCTTGCCTAACTTGGCCAGGCCGCGGTGGGGGCTTCTCAGGCGTTGCAGAGATCAACGGTTCTAGAAGGGTTCGCGTCGACCTGCTATCCCACCACCAGCCGCCCTACTGCCTCACCACGCGTCCACGCCTGTTTCTGCGGCAGCTGCCACCACACCACCATCGCTCCCTCGAACTGCTCGTCATCGGTCAGCCGCCAAGTAGCCCGCGATCCTGCAGTTGACATGCTGTGGGACCCAAACAAGTATATGACCAGACATAGGCTAATCCAACGTCTGCGTCTCACCCTCGACACGTGCCCACGCTGCTGAGCTTGCTCTCTAGCCTACCACAGCCACCACAGCCCCCACAACAATCTCCCAAGGCCTCCACACATCGCTACGAAAGCCATGTGGGATGCAATCCTTCCAAGAAGTCGGCATCCACATTAACAAAGCTTCGCCAAAAGTCTATCTCGCACCGACTGGGCTTCTTTTGGACGGCCCACGTGACACCTTCACTTAATCTCCGACAATCGTCTGCATTCTTACCCATCACCAGGAACAGATCTCGGGCAACTACCACTTGACCTTTCCACATGTCTTCATATTGACCCAGCGTCATAGTCATTGATTTGTGTATGCTCCATTCGCTCATTGGCATATCCTTGGGAATGTACTTCCATTCCCAGAATCTGCCTCTGTCGTCCAAGAACCTGTCTCCCTCCCTGGCGTTCATTGGGTAGAAGTGCGGAGCAGACCACATACGCAGCGCTGAAAACCTTGCTGAAGGGTGTTGAGCTCGAAATTGCTTTGCCGTCTTGACCATGTAGTCGCGGTCCAAGGGTGTCGGATCTACCATTTCCCCAATCATTTTCGTTGAATGGTTCTGGTGCCGGCAATCAACGTAGAGGTCGAGCGGGCGGCCGGGTTCGGCCGCGGCTGTTACAACACCACTGACCCGCGGGTGATACGAAAGTCGAATGACGCCCGCTTTGAACAAAGGAATGATCACGGAACGTATCGCTTTGCGCCATTCCATTGGGTAAATGTCCTCTACAAACTCAAGAACCCCTCGATTGTTGTCTTTCAGAAGCTTGTCCCGATCGGCCCAAAGCTTCGCTGGCATATACATGTTGCTGTGATGCGTTCTCCGGTCTGGAATCCGCTTGGCTCTTTCTTCTTGGTCAAATAGTAAGGATGACCTGAATGGTCTGCCATATTCAGAAGCGACAAAGTCTTTTGTTTCATAGAACATGGCGATGGCAGCATAGGCCTGGAAAGCATCGTCAACGTTTCGGCGCTCTTTGCGGAAGAGAGGTGCCATCCCCATAAACTTGCAGAGCTCGAACGGACCCGGGTTGATAGCGCTCATGACGAAATTGTCCATGGACGCTACCATAGACTGGTACTCGTTATACCTGCTAAGACCGCCAGGTTCCAAGTCCCCGAGATGACAACACTCCTTCGCGACTAAAATGCAATCGTCAGTTACTGTCAACACCGGAGACGATTAAGCTACCTCTATCACTTGACCGTTGGGAATGACTTTCAATCATCTCCCCAACATCATACGCCTTGTTAAGATATACTCGCTGACGGCGAAGAGCAGTCCTTAGCGTATACATGAAATCTGCAGGAGGAACCTCGAGTCCGGCCGTTACCATGCGTGCATGCTCGGGATCGTGTACTAGAGGTAAGAAATAGTGTGGGTCTTTTGTCTTAGCCACCCACTCATATTGTGGGACCAAAGGACCAGATCTTTGCTTGTGTGCTTGTTGATCTGCCTCGAACAAGTGCTTATGAAAATCTCCTTTCAAAGCTTGACCTGGAGCGCGCCTGGGACTCAAGTCCGTTTGTAATTGTGCATTTTCTTCCATACTTGCGTCGTCTTCGTCTTCGTTTTCGTTCGATTCAGATTCAGATTCAGAATCAGGATTAGAATCGGAATCGGAACCCGATGATTCCTCATCAGTACTGAGATCGTAACTGATCTTCCAGGCTCTGAGCTTTCCCATCTGGAATTTCTCTATGGCGGTCTTATAACGGGGAGACCGGTTGGGTATGTCGCTTTCCGCGTCTTTTGGAAACAGGATGGCGTCCTCTACTTCATCCGCCTCTGTGAACTCGTATCGCAATTTAACCATGTCATCTACTGCTTTCTGTGTTTCGGAAACGGACTGGTTGCTAGCAATCTCCGCATTCTTGTCGAGCACATCAGCCATAGTCTGTACCTTCTCTCCTGGATGAACGCTGCGAATACGCCCGGTATCATCTTCTTCTGTCACAGTTTGGAAGATGTGGCGAACCCGGGTTAACATGTCTTTGGCTGTCCGAAACTGAAGGGCATGCGCAAACACCTATTTTCGTTAGCTATCCATGGATAGACATAGCTGTGTATGGAGTACTTCTTCAATCTTCTGCTGCAGCTCGTGAGCGCCTCCACCGGGTGCCGCATCCCAAATGTAAACATCGTAGTAATCATCGAAATTGACCTGCCACGACCTCCTAGCTTCGACCTTTTCGATAAAGGCAGGTCCGACTTCGCTAGTTATATTGTATTCGCGTTTGCTAGCTCTACCAATCCCAGTCTTCTCACGGCTTAGCCAGAGTTCCTGTTCGGGTGGCTGCACTATGACATAACCAGTTACTGGATCGCGAATCAAAGCACGTAGTTCACCAGACTCCATAGTCAGGTACTGAATGAAGCGACGATTGAAGACATCGTTACGCTTGATGTACTGGGCAATGGGTGTACGAAGTCAGTGTATGTCTTTCATGCAGTTTGTACAGAGAAACTTACGCCACAAATGATATTGCGGGATTCTTTGATCTCGTGTGATCTTCCTGCAATCCCACGGCCGCCAGTTTGAGATCTTTTTGTTTTAGCCTCGGCATTATCGATTTGAAAGTAAGGTATGAACCCAACAAGCGCGAGTTGTTGACGATGGGCATCCCCAGTGAATCTTGTCCACTTTGGAGCCAGGAAATAGTGATATGTGGTCAGTATGTTGAGCTCGAAGAACTCGTCCCAGTTGCGACACAAGGCGACGGCATCAGCGAGGTTGGAGTCTTTGGCGATGATGGAGAAGTGGAACCAACCGCTGCGGTTGAGAGCTTGCTCGCTACGGTAGTTGTACATGTCACGACCGCAAACCCTGATCTTGACTCGCTTCTGAATGAATGTGTTCTCACCAGAAGTGTTACCAAAGTCTACAAGGCCATTTTTTTCCGACTCGGGCGGCCGCTGTTGTGATTTCTTCTTTGTCGCTCTTTCGTGTTTGGTGCGGTATCGGTTCATGAGGACAGAACGCTGACCACTGTTATTATGCATTTGTAGCATGATGTCGTCCGTAACATCGTTATGGAAAGGGTATTCAGCCAAGTCTGTTGGTACCTCAGGCTCATCAGCGCCATCCCTCTCGCGTATGAAGTCTGCACATGCATCTCGCACATCCTGAAGACTAGGACGCTCCAACTTGAGACAAAGATCTCGTAAATGCTCTCTTGTCACATCGTCCTTTTGTAAAAAATCCTCTATGCTGTTGGTCTGGATCGCAATGGGTAGCAGTGCGCTAGATGCTAAAAGAAGCCTACAGAAGAGGAGATTCTTAATTTCGCCGATCTCGACCAATAGCTGCTCGATCTCATCGTGAGGAAGTATGGGAGTCGTCCTGGGCTCGACAGCGCCCTCGTTGCCATGAACATAGTAGCTTGCTACGCGTTCAAACCGAACAGGCGTCCGTAGTCTCTCACGCATCTGCTCCTTAGTCTCCATTTCGATGAAGCCCTTGCCCCCATCGTCTTGTGTGGTTGGATCTTCTAACTTTTTTGTCTCTGCGTTAGCTTTTCTTGCTCTCTTCTTCGCGCTCTTGGAGAGCGCCTTCTCTGCAGGCTTTGAATTCGCTGGGCCGTCAAGCTGAGATGGCTCCGCTTGTACAGGAAGCTCGTCATGCTCTTGCACGTTGAGCATGAGAAAGAATTTGATGAGCTCAATGTAGTTATCCTTTTCATAGCCGTACACATCTTGGATAGGATCCCATTCCTCTTGCTCTTCCTTTGACATCTGCGCGAGGCTTTTGGCATACATCTTATTCAGGTACTGTTCTTGGCGCTTCTTGTTCTCTTTGGACTTTCTTTCACGTTGATGACGATCGATCTCTTTTTGGTGTCGTTTGAAGAGTAATGATTCCAGTTTCACTTTCCTCCCCTCACTTTCCGCCTCTTCCGCCTCTTTCTCCTGGCATTGTTTAATCCAACCAAACCACTGCTTCTGCTCGTACATGACTTCCGCAGCACGTTTGCCAAGTTTCTCGAGAGCTTTAACCATGTTGTATCGCTCATTCTGTAGTCGGTCCAGGTACTTTTCGTGGCCATAGTCGTTATCAACTGCAAAGAAATGACTATGATGCAGTTTGCGTGCTCGAATTACGCGATCAAGCAAGTTGTACCTTCGGAACAGATAGTCGTGTAACTCCCGTAGTGTTGCTTCGCTGTCGACATCGTTGAAGTCTTGAACAACGATAGAAGCTTTCTTTCCAGCCAAGTACGCTGGCAACTCCTGTATATCGAGGACGGCGTTTCGCCCTTTGTAACCTAGGTACAGAGCTGCAAATGTGAGCATTAACAGGCGAAGAGCGAAGCTTGCTTACCATGGCACTGTCGAGAGTGGAATGCACAGAGTCTGCCATCCAATGAAGTCGCTTCTCTGTCACAGACTGTTTGCGCACTCAAGTCTGATAGCAGCCGTGCACGACATGTTGAAGCCATAGCACTGACGGAAAGTACACCGATCCAGACCCTTACCTAATACACATAATTTTCTCATAAACGTCGTTGACGACTCCGAGCAAATACTCCTTCTTCAATTCGACAAGCATAAACGAAGTCCGTAACGCTTCGAGTGACGAAAGGCTGGCAGTCTGAAGATGAGCCAGATGCGAATCGAGGGGAGCAAAGCGGGTACGCGCTAAGATCATGGCGCTAGCCGCATATAGAAATAACCTTGGAAGAGTGGTAATCCTCTCAAGATCGCGCAAACACGACTTTGTATGGTATGGATAACAGAAAACGACGTCTGTTTATTTGTTGTTCACATAATTGTTCTAGCGTTCTTCATAGTTTGTAATTTGCGGTTACATACAATCGTCTTGTTCAATTCACTAGTCTACCTAGGTACATTAGACTAAAGGTTTCTTAGTCTATTCCAGGTTGAGACATTAGCGAGCTGGGGTGACCGGAAATTCATTTTGTTGGCGGTAATGTCGTCTGCAATCGACAAGCACGTGGTAGATACGTCAAGAAGAAGAAGGACTTCAAGTTTAATAGATAGAGCTTTTTGGGTTCGAGCGAGAAATGCTGACGCGTAGGATGGACTCGATGTACACTGATAGAAAGAGATTATGCATTTCTATTCCTTTGCTCAGCTCCCGTACTTCCTTCCGGCGTTGTGTAAGCCATCGATCTTTCTACAAGGCATATGAACTGCCTCCTCTTCCTGTCATATATAGCTACCTGACTAGCAACTCTTGAGATGGTAATGGCTAACCTGTATGAAGGTGGCTGTGGAGATCGCGCTGGAATGGTCTTAAGCGGGCATCTGCTAGTCAACATTGAGAGCCTTATGAGTGATGCCATGTTCCGTCGTAATGTGTCCGATTGCCTCTACAGCATAGGCATGTATGAGGACTAGCGGATATGGCTGCGGGGGAGCGAAGCAAAGAGATTTCCAGCTTCCATCACCGGCCTTGGTATATGTTACTGAACACCTCCCTGATATCTCGACACCAAATGCTGCCTACTAGTCTCAATCGCCGCCTTCCTCTTCCTTTGCCTTCTCTTCCGCTTCTGCCTTCTTCTTGTCCTCCCATTTCTGCTTCTTCTCCAACAACTTCTGGAGGTTCTTCGCGCCATTAAACACACCATATGTCTTTGCACTACACGCCGCACATGTAGGATCCTTCCGATACCTTTTTAGGGCGCAAGCCTCGCAGAAGTAATGTCCGCATTTTGTGATAATGGGATTCTTGTATGGCTTCTTGCAGATGATACAGGCGAACGGTATCTTCTCCAAAAGCGCAAGATCAACCCCATCCTCATCCTTTTCCTTTTCGTCCCTGTTCGCAGAAGCGACAACTGTACCCCCTGGCTTCTTGCCCTTGGTCGACATCTCCCATTCCCGGTCCAGCTTCCAGCCTGCCGCATAATCTTCACGCGCATGCAAGAACTTGCAGTTGTCGCCAAAACCACAGAACCCTGTCTGCTTGTAGTCCTTACACACATCCGGCGTGTAATCTGTGACGGTGATTGTTCGTATGTTTGTCGATGCTTTCATAGGGCCTACTTGGCGGCTGGGCGCGTCGGGGTTCTTTTCAATGAAGGTCTGAGGCTTCGTTCGCGTGCTGCCGAGCAGATTCTTTGAGCTGAGAGCGTCGTCGGCGTTCTCGTCGTACCAGTTTGACTGCTTGGTCGCATCGTTGCTTGCTTCGATTACGGCCGAGCGATTCGCTGCGTACTGTGTTGTGCCCTCGACGGCTGTGGTCGCCTTTTGGTCTGCGGTGGAAGCCTTGAGCGCATTACCGTTAGTCTTCCGTCGCTTGACTACGTGACCATCTTCGCCCTCTGCGTCTGACCCTGACGAGAAATCCGAATCGGATTGAGGCGGTGGCGGGGCGACTTTCCGGGGCGCAGCTTTGGCACCTCGCTTCTTGAACTTGACGACGGGCGCGTCCATGGTCAGATATGCGTGAATGAGTGTGAAGTGAGGTGCAGATCAGGTAGTGTTGTAGGAGTGAGCCGCAGAAAGTTCGAGCCAAGCTGTGGCTGAGAAATCCAGTTTCACGTGATGCAATCCGGGGTAGTGGCGCAGGGCTTCGGAGGTCCCGGACTGTCTACAGTAGGTAGATAGCGGATAGGGACGGACTGGCAAGCTAAACCCTGCAATCAAACCTACGTAGACGTAAAATGTCTGTGACCGGCACTTGAGCTTTTTGTGGAGGTTGTATTCGGGACTTGAAGGCAGATCCTTTAGGTATGGTCTTATACCAGTTCATATGCAGGTTGCGGCATTCCTGCACCTGTGGATCCTGGACTAGCGAGCATAACGATGCATGCAGAAAGACGCGTGCAGACATACGATAGAAACAGTGATATTTACAGGTGGGAGCATAGTTGGCTTCTATGTGTTGTTGTACATGGTGTGACCCTACCCAATAGCAGATAACCTTGCAAACTCACTAAGCACGTTCTTCCAACGAAATGTTCTTTTCATGCATTTCGCGGTGTTTGCTATGGATGTTACGTCTCACTGTGTTTACCAGGAACATGGCGTCACCCCTTTCCACGCAGCCATGTTGACATGGCACATGGTGGTCGTGGGGTAATGCAATGCGCATCTTTGTTGCGGTGATCCAATCGCGCATACAAACAGCCCCCCTCGGCCTAGCAGAGCTGCAGTAGTGAGGGGGGCCGCTGCACTACCACGTCGTCTGCATAGTCTAGCGATTAGACGTGCAGCAAGTGCCGGCGCGAACCAATGGAGGGGAGCGAGGGGCATGTGTAGCTTTGTTGATGTTGTGGATGCGTGATGGGTGTGCGCGCTGGGTCGATGGCGAAAGCGTGAAAGCGTCAAAAGCCGCGCACGGTGCGCTTCATTTCGCTCTTCTGCACAACATCATCCGCGCTGCTGTCATCCCTCCTCTGTCGCCTCTGTAGCCCCTCCAGCCCGTTCGGCATTCCCTTCCTTTTCCTTCTTTGCCATCCCGAGGCTCAGCCTGGTGATGCGCCTTTGCTTCTTTTCCCTAGTGTGACGGAAACGCGACCGAGTGCCAGCAGCCGCTGCCGTGTCCCCAGTCGCTTTCCCACGCGTCCTTCTCATCCAAACCCTTATTCTATTCCGCCCACCGCCCGACGGAGTGTACCCTTTACGCGCTCCTGTCTCTAATACTCCCCCGACACGCCGCCACCACCTGCTGCTCTATTCCGCGCACGTTTCCCGCTCCTTAATCCTGCCTTTCGCCTACTCCGCCCATCTCCTATCGCCATTTCCGAGGCACAGCGACGTGCAAGTGGGGAATCTTGTCCAGGAGATGACACAATAAGAAACAACCCTAGGGACTACTAATGGCTACAGCAAATCCTCCACCGGGCGCGCTCTCGGTGGAGCACCACAATGGCTCCGACCCCTTCCTCGCGGCGCCGCACGACGCCCATCGGCAGCGATACTCTGCCTTCGACAACTCGCAGTTCTCTCTCTATCTTAATGGATCGCCCCAGCAGGCCAAGCGCGCCCTCGAGGCACACTTGGCAGAGACAACGCGCAGACTACAGGAGACGTCGCATCTGGGCAGCGCGCTTGTCCAGCAAAGGAAGGAGCTAGAGGACAAACTGAAGGAGGTTGATCAGCAACAACAAGACAGTGATATCGGCCCAGAGCTGCGCCAGAGGCTAGCCGAGCTAGAGAAGGAGTTCAACGAGGTTGGTCGGGAAACGGCTCGCGCCTTTCTCCCAAAGTCTCGCGTCCCCAGTGGCGAAACTGATCCCACTGGCGGCTCCATCTACTCTAGCGAAGCGATCCAGTCACCGACAAAAGTGAGCGTTCCTTCGCGAAAGCAGAGGAACCAGCAGCCTAGTCGCATCAATGACATCGCGCTGGCTACAGAAATCTCTACGTCTTTGCTTTCTCAGTTGAAGGACCTCCAGGCCGTTCTCCTTGAGAAGGATGAAGCCCTCAAGGCGGCTGATCTGGATCGATCGCAGCTCGAAATTGAGGTCGAAGGCTTGTCGCAACGTTTACGGACACTCGACGAAAGCGAATCGCGGCTCAAAGACGTGAACTGGAACCTTGAGACACAGGTCCGCGAGTCGGAGACACAATTCAAGTCAGCGGCAGACAAGGAGCGAAGTCTCAACCACGCTCTGGACCTAGCACGTACTGAGAGATCAACCTTGGAGAAGGAGTTGGAAGATCTGAAGCAGATGTACACGAAACTCAATGACGATCACATCAACAAAACCAAGCAGCATGAGACTGAGCTTTCTAGTTTGCGGCGAGTTGCAGCCATGACAGAGACGGAGAAAGGTGCAATGCAACGCAAGGTCGAAGAACTCACGTCCAAGAACCAGGAGCTAGCTCAAGCTATTGCTTACCGCGCAAGATCAGAACATCGTGGTCGATCTGAGGGATCGTCTGACGATGATCGTGGCGTGAGATTCCAATCTCGTACCCCAGAACATTCACCTGAGCCTTCTCCAAGCAAGGCCACACCACGCCATGGTATGCTCGAATCGGAAACACTCAAACACTCGCTCCAGCACGCCCACCGTATGATCCAGCAGCTCAAGAACAACATCCACCGTGAAAAGACCGAAAAGATCGAGCTGAAACGTATGCTTCAGGATGCCCGTGATGAGGTTGACGCTCAGCGCGCTCTGGCTGGACCTGGTAGTGCAAGCAGGCGACGGAAGAGTGACAAGGCTGCCTCCATGAAACCACCTCCGCGAGCTGATCGTCTTGGAGCATTGCGTAACGTCTCACAAGAGATTGTGGAAGACGACGAATGGGAAGAACAAGACATTGTACCTGAGACCCCAAGTAGGCCATCACAATACTTGAACTCTGTACCAGGGTCCTTCCCAAGCGGCTTCAGTTCCGCCGCAGAGACGAGCGCATACGAAGGCGCTGATACTGCTAACGAAACATCGGATGCTGCTTTCGAGACTGCCAACGAACGTGATGGCATGGCGACTGAATCTGACGCTTTCCAAACCGGAGCTGAGACCCTTGATGGAGATAGCAGCGATCAGCTGACTGAGACTGAAGCAGGACCTGCCAAGTCTAGTGCGCGACGGAGTCGACCATCCATCTCACAAGGTGGTCGCATCAATTCCTACCGAAGTACAGCGTCCGCCTCTGGCGACGAATATGATTCAGACTTCAGGACTCCTCTTCACCACCAGAGTTCTCGCTTCAGGTTGAAGGCTCGGGACAGCAGTTCGCGGAGATCGACGCCAAGAGGTTTGGATTTCTTCGCAGGTACGCCACCCGCGTCAAGAGACTCTCCTGCCGGCTATGTTAGCAGCAGCAACGAGAACACTCCGGCCCAAGGCAAGAGTTTGTTAGCAGAGTTGAACGATCTGAGTGGAGACGACGACGATGCCAGTTCTGTGGAGGGTTCGCCAAGTCGATCCAGTGTCGTGTATTCCAGCCATGCCACGCCAGATCCCTTAAGGAAGGCCGTTCTTGGAAGGTCCCTTCTTCAGTCGGATGCACCCAAGCCGACTATGGTGGATTCGGGCACGATGACAGAAGCAGATGTTCCTGAACCCATCTCCATATCTTCCATTTCAAGCCGGAACACTCAACCGCAAGCCGTTCCCTTGCCTACATTGCGAGTCTCTGCCCTGCATTCGCAAAATACAAGCCCGCAAGCTCTACCCCGTCAAGACCTCAAAGTCTCCTTGGTCTCCTCGCAAGACACCGAACCCAGGCATGTGCTTCCGCCAACTCTTGGGCTCTCTACCCTTTCTGGGCATGCTACCAGCCCTCAAACCCCCAAGATACCCCGGCTGGCTGTATCATCTTTCTCAAGTCAAGGAACCGAGCCAAGAGTTCCTTCAGCTCCGTTGTTCGCAATTTCTTCGCTGAACGCACAAGATACAACGCCACGTGCTGTACCTATCGCTCCTCTAAAGATGTCGACGGTGTCTGCCAATACCACCGAGCCTCGACATATTGCTCCTCCTTCTCTGGGGGTATCCACCTTGTCATCCCAAGGTACTGACCCCATTGTACCAGCGGTGGAGAAGGTCATTGCTCCTTCTCTGGACGTGTCGTCTATCTCTCAGCAGACTACTGAACCCCGGGAAGCTCCGGCCCCCAAGCTACTGGCTCCAGCAGGCCTTTTCACGTCTGCTATCTATGCGCAGGCGACAGAGCCTACACAGCACGACGAATCTACCTTGGCGTCGGAGTCGAGGTCAATCTCCGATCTCGTTCCAGCATATACTGCACAAGACTCTGATCACAGCAAACAGCCTGCACCACTTCAGATGTCAAGCTTGTCTGCTCACGCGACTGAGCCTAGGGATGTACCCTACAAACCGACATTGCTGCAGATGTCTTCTTTGTCGTCTCACACGACTGAGCCTAAGGATCTACCTCGTGCGGTCCCATCCGCGTTCTCTATAACGTCCGTTCAATCAACAGAACCGCTGGCGCCGAGACCCAGCAAGCAGCAATTTTCCCAACTTTCCGCACAAGCTACCGAGCCTGCTGCACTGCGGCAACCACAGTTGGAACTGTCAAGTTTCTCTGCTCGTTCTACTGACCCAGTGGAAATCCCCAAAGCAGACCCGCCACAGCTCTCGTCGCTGTCCTTCCAGACATCCCATCCTGTAGAGCCTATGAGAGGAGCACCACTCTCGTTCTCCGGACTGTCTTCACGGTCAACTGAGCCAGTCGTAGCAGAGAAGTCGTCTCCTGCCAACTTTTCGGGGGTCTCGTCTCAAGCTACTGAACCCGTACAGCCAAAGCAGCCACCTCTGCAATTGTCTGTCCTTAGCGGACTTCAGACCGAACCGGTCATACCCCCTGCTCCTTCGGCTTCTGTACACAATATTTCCGATGTGCGAACTGTCCGGGATACTCAGCCTGAGTCGCCGACGCTTCCGGCATTCCTGCCAACTCCGACAAGTCGTCCATCCACAGCGAATCGTGTTTCAGCTCCCACCATGACATTGTCTCCTGTTGCTACACAGGGCACTGAACCATTGACACCGTCAAGACCTGTTACTGCTCATCGGGCCGTCGCGCCTGCTGTAACTACCAGTGCTTCTTCCCAGACAGAAGCAATGGAGAACAAGCAAGTATTCACGCCAAAGCTTGGTTATTTTGACGCTACACTACCCTCGGATAAGGATGTCACATCAGAGATGAGCACCCCACGAGTCGACGGCACGGATGGTCGTATGCCTCTTACGCCTGTGAATGCCAATGTTGTTAGGGAAACGCCCCGAACACCAATGACAGACGGAGGCACTCAGACAATGGTGTCTGCCCAGCAAATCGACAAGCTACTGCTCGCCCGGAGTCAGCGATGGAGTAGTTTGATCACCACGTCCGGGCTAGAAAAGTCACTGTCTCCACCTGAGTCGCCTGGTAAAAAGTACGCAAATGAGCCAAGCCGAACACCCAAGCGTCCAGGTAGCTCTGGAAGTATGCGCTCTCGTGCTGGAACACCGCCACCACTGCCTTCGGATCATAAGGAAGTCATCGCCGCAGCGACTCTCAAACCAATCTCTCCGGGCGCAATGGGACCGCCTACAATGCCAGCATCTGCCTACAAAAAGCGACCGCATACGCCTACTATCAAGACGAACAGCAACACTCTCACCCCCAGGACAGGCGGAACCACACCACGCGTACGCCGACAATCGCAGCGTAGCGGAGCTTCTTCGCCTCTTAGCCGGAGGTCCTCACTGTCGTCGTTCACCTCAGAGATTGACCAGCGCTTCAACATCCCAGGCGGCCCGTCTTTTGCTGCAAATGGACTGCCGCCTGGCGCGACAGATCCGCGCATGATACAGGCCATCACTCAGACCATGATCGGCGAGTACTTGTGGAAGTACACCCGCAAAACCGGACGTGAAGGCATGTCTGAGAACCGCCATCGACGCTTCTTCTGGATCCATCCCTATACCAGGACGCTGTACTGGAGCGACCGAGATCCTCAGAGTGCTGACAAAACGACGTTAAAGGCTAAAAGCGTTGCTATCGAATCTGTTCAAGAAGTTGATGATCCTAACCCTCTACCTCCCGGACTTCACCAGAAGAGCTTACTCGTCATCACGCCTGGTCGATCCATGAAGTTTACTGCTACAACAGGTCAAAGGCACGAGACATGGTATAACGCGTTGAACTATCTATGCCAACGGGTCGACGAGAGTGAACAGCAGAAGTCGCCTGCAAAGTCTGATCAAGAGCACAAGGCAGCCACCGAAGATGAGATCCAGGACGAGTTCAATGGCGGATACCGCAGCTCCTCTCGGCAAACAGGGCGTTCAAGAGGCTCCATGGCGTCATATGCAACCCGGAGGACGTCGTCTCGCGACTATGGCCAAGTACCTACGATTCGACAGTCGCATGTTACACCACATCGTGCAACATCAACCGAGCCACTGGTGCATGGATCTGTTTCGAGCCGTATCAACAGCATGCTCCGACCCAGCGTCTCTGCTCTGCGAGGATCGTTTACGAGCCGGCGAAACAGCAGGACCAGCGCTACAGAGTCTGCCATGTACGAAGAGCCTAGCGTCTCGAATATGGAGCTTAGTCGGGACATCCATGAACACGTAGAGCGCGACCAGGATTTCATGCCTAATGTCCGAGCATGCTGCGATGGTAGGATTCTTTGACCTCAACAATGTACAAGAGCTAACATGTCTAAGGCAAACACGACGTTGGACACCTTCACCAACATTCAGTCAAAGGTCGACAAGTCAATTCTCAAGCTTCCAGGCCTTCGCTCTTTGGTTCCATAAGTTCGCGCGCACAATCCCGAACAGAGTCTCGCACAGAATCACGCACTGAGTCACGGACTGAATCACGGACTGAGTCGCGAACTGAGATGCGCAATGAGCAGATGCGCCACCAGACTGAGATGGAGGCAGCAAACTATGGAGCTGGTGCATAATCTCCGCCTCACGCCTACACTCTTTCCTATATTATCACTTGTGTTCGTTCTAAGCGGCACCTCACTAGTCACTTGATCTGACTGACAGTCTCTTTTCCTTTAGCATTAGTTGTTTCATATGGGAACCGTTCCCATTTTCCTATGTATCTATCAATCCATCTCTCGGCTTTTGGACGTTACATCTCGGTTTGGATCCAGATGAAGCAGAAACTCAAACTTGATTTCAGGTTTAAGGGGCTTTGTGCATGGCGTTCGACGGTGATGCATTTTCTGTACAATTTGCACAGTACGTTGGAGCTGTACACTGAGACGACCTGACGCTTCCTTTACGGACTAGTTCCCGGTTTCTCTCCATTCTACTAGAAGTATTTTTTTCTACTGTCTGTAACTCGTTTGTCCTTTCTTCTTTCACTTGGACAATGCATTATTGTTTCAGTCGTATCCCTAGCATGGTGGCGTCACATAATGTTTTTACTTGGGTTTAGAAGATAGTGTTGACGGCCTGTAGTCAGATTGATAGAAGATGAATCAAGAAAGATCGAAATTGCAAATAGCGCTTTTCTGACCATGCATATAATTTCTTCGTGCAAAGAAAGACAGCCTGTGTGTAGAACAGGAGAGCACGAGGGAAGAAGCAAGTCTGAGTGAGTATTCTATTCATAGATGCTGTACTTGCTTATCATTCTAAAGAGATATTACGACTTTCATAACAGACCTACCAAAGCGAGATGAAGGTTTGATGGCAGTGATATGTTTGTCAAATAGCATGGCAGATCGAAGTGGATATGCTCGCATGAAGTTCATGCACACAGAAAGGCGTTCCTTGCTGGCCCATTAATGCCAAGATCTGCCGCGTGCGTCGAAACACCAAACTTTCGCTCCAGCCAACGCGCCTGTCATTTTGAATCTTTCCTCGACAACAACATCAACCATCCATCGCGCATCCCGTTTCCCGTCGAACCTTCACTTCTGCAACTGCGGGCAGCTTTCTGTATACCTTTAATAGACTTTCGCAACCAGCGCATAATACAAATCACCACCGCAAGGCCAGAGCGCGACGAAGCACGCCATATAGCTCCCGACCCAAGATCAGCGCCGCCCCGAAGCAAAATCGTCGTCGCTGCGACTCTTGAACATTCGGAACGTAGTATTGAATCAGAACCGCAGTCATGGCGCGTAATTCCGAAAAGGCGCACTCGATGCTCTTCCGCTTTCGCGCTGCGCAGGCCGCCGAAGCTGGAATCATCGACATCTCGCGCACTCGCCGCCCCAAGCTCATAACCTCGGTCAACTCGATTCCTGTGTGTGAGAAATGGCGCGGTCAAGTGCTAAAGGAGATCTCCCGCAAAGTCACAAAGATTCAGGACGAAGCGCTTTCAGACTACCAGATCCGCGACCTCAACGATGAGATCAACAAACTCATGAGAGAGAAGCACATGTGGGAGAGTCAGATAAGAGGCTTGGGTGGGCCGAATTATATGCGAGGCGGACGAGTGCTGGATGAGGAAGGGCGGGAGGTGCCAGGAGGCGGAAAGGGGTATAGATACTTTGGACGAGCGAAGGACCTGCCGGGAGTCAAAGAGCTGTTCGAGAGGCAGAGCAGGCCGGAAGACGACATGGATAAAGGGCGCGAAAAGAGGAGCGAGCTGAGGCAGAAGGTGGATGCGGGCTACTACGGCTACAACCTAGACGAAGAGGATGGGACGTTGCTAGCATACGAAAAAGCCAAAGAGAGAGAAGCTTGGGACAATTTTATGGTGCTCGGCGATGACATGGACGATAAGCCAAGCAAGACGCACAAGGAGTGGATGGAATTGCCTGGAGATGCGGGTGACGGCATACGATGGCGCGTCCCAACACTCGAGGAGGTGAACAACGAGCTGGTAGAGCGCAGAAGGAGGAAGCTCCTTGAGAAGCTCGGTTGAGTGCCTGGTGGCGCTTGATAGGATTGCCTTGTGGAGTTTGGCGGTAAACTGTTCATCAACAGACTGCGACTTCAGGATCAAAGATTGATACCCTTGCCGAGCAACCGGCTACAAAAAGATAAATGTACATCAGAATCAACAGGACAAGCAAGAGCACGTCCGAGTCGCGAAGACAATAGAAGCAATTCATAATAACACTTTAGTCGTACCATGCTTTTATGCTATTGGAATGACTACTTCATCTTGCAAGCTCCAACACCAAACGCGACATGACAGTGAAGGTAGTTGGGTATCTCATTCGTTCGTTCGTCTAGAGTCTTCTTTACGGTATGCAGCCCCGTTACGCCTCTCTTCTTTTTACTCACTGGAAGCGCGCGATACTGAAGCAAATGCGTAGGCGATCCACGCTGACTTTGCTCATTGATTCTCTTCGTTAGAAGGAACAAGCTCTTTTTGAAGAGCAGGATTGTTGTCGCACAAGCCTCTCATCGCTCAAGTCGTGAACAATGTATCTTCCTCTCTCAAGTACTCCCCAATATCGGCTTGCCTGAACGTGACAATACCTGTAGGGTCCAGCTTCCTCGCCTCGGCCGTCGATCGTGCACTCACACCGAAACCCTACCAAACATATGTTAGCCTAGCTCTCCGCCCCCATGTCCATGGCTGCAACTTACCAGTGGCGTGTCATTCATACTCAGCACAACAACACCTTGGTGCTCAGGGCAGTCCTCACTCCACCGTCCCACATGCGCCTTGAGCACGTTGCCGCCGTACAAGAACGGCATCTCACCGTTCTGCTTAACCCACACCTTGTATCGCGCGTGCGGGGCGATTACGCTCAGCGCTGTGATGTGCAGACGGAATTTGCCTGTCTTGGTGAATTTACCCAGGCAGATTCCGAGGGAGAGTAGGTTGTCGCGTGCGACAGATGTGGCAAAGTTGGCGAGAGATTCGCGGACATAGTAGACACGTGAGCCCTTGATTTAACGGTTAGCATGTGCATAGTGATGGGAGAGGCTCAACGGATTGGAAGCAGTTCGTACCTGGACGCGGAAGACATTGCGATCGTTACCGCCCGTGGGGTCGGCGATGAGGTTCGATATGCCTTTTCCACAGTACGTCGCAAGCTTCTCGAAGAGAGTCTTGGTCTCTGGTTCTGTGAGGGGCCTCATTGTGTATGCGTGTGAAGAAGTTCAGAGCTGGGGTTGAAGCTGGGCGCAAGTTCGCAAAGTCGAGATCTGCTGCCAAAAAAATGTGGAGCGGATGCGGCTAGTCTCCGCCGCGGCCTCGGCCAAAATTTCAGAAATCCTGTCAAGCATTCAACCAACACCGATCCTTGTCGCCCATATCGTCCCACGAGTATTTTCCAATATGTCGAGAAGCGTACCAGTCGCGAAGCGAAGAAGGCTCTCACCACCCGAAGACGGCGAGCGTGCGAATGGTGCGAGCGAAGATCACAAGGCCAAGTTTCTGAAGAATGCTGCGAAATGGGATCTCGAACAAGACTACGAAACGCGACCGCGCAAACTGAAGAAGCAGAAAGAGAACAAGAAACTGCCCGTCAGGACGACAGAAGGATGGGTAGCAGCGCCGCCCAATGCGCAGGATATCAAAGAGGAAGAGTCGGACAGCTTTCTCGGGTCTGGGAGCGAGGATGAAGCGGCCGAGGCCTCGGATGTAGAAGAGATAGAGGAACAGAAGCCGAAGATACCAGCGCGACAAATGATACTCGAGGCCAAGGAAGAACTAGCGCGCATAGCCAGTCTGATCAACGAAGATCCCGAAGAGCATATCGGAGCGCTGAAGACACTACAAGCACTGGCCGAATCAGAGAACTTCAACGTGAGGAAGTTGGCATTGGCAACACAGGTCTCCATCTTCAAGGATGTCATCCCTGGGTACAGAATACGGCCGCTATCGGAAGAAAAAATGCAGGAGAAGATCTCCAAGGAAGTCAAGAAGCTACGGCAATTCGAACAGAAGCTGGTATCGAGCTACGAAGCACATGTCAAGTACTTGGCGAGACTGGCAAAGAATAGTGGGTCGGATAAGCAGCACATGGCGAGTCTTGCATCGGTTGCTGTTAGCTGCGCATGCAATCTCTTGAATTCCGTACCACACTTCAACTTCCGCAGCGAGCTTATAAAGATTCTTGTTGGCAAGCTTAGCACGAGGAGGGTAGATGCGGACTTTGTGCGATGCAGAGAGGCCATGGAAACACTCTTTGAGAACGACGAAGACGGCAATGCTGCGCTGGAAGCTGTTACAATGTTGACTAAGATGATGAAGAGCCGGAATTACCACTTCGACGAAAGTGTGTTGAACACGTTCTTGCATCTGCGACTGCTGTCTGAGTTTGCGCAGAAGGCTTCATATCATTCCGTTGACAAGGCGGAGGACCCCACTGTCAACGGCAAGAAGCAGAAGCAGAAGCGCGAATTCAGGACGAAGAGGTTACGAAAGGAGCTGAAAGAGAAAAAGGCCATCGAGAAAGAGTTCAAGGAGGCTGACGCAGCTGTCAGTCACGAGGAGCGTGACAGGATGCAGGCCGAGACGCTGAAGATGGTGTTTGTGGCGTACTTCCGAATCCTGAAAGCTCGCTCGCCGAAACTGATGGGTGCTGTGTTGGAAGGTCTGGCACGATACGCCCATCTGATTAACCAAGATTTCTTCGGAGATATCCTGGAAGCTTTGCGAGACATCATTGCGACGGCCGAACTTACAGCTGCTGCCGCAGTCGAAGAAGATGAAGACGCATCAGATGAAGAAGATGACAACGAAGTACCCGAGCGCAACCTTACCCGCGAATCCCTCCTCTGCGTCATCACTGCCTTTGCACTCCTTGAAGGTCAAGATGGAGCAAAAACAGCATCAGCCCTAAAACTGGACCTCAGCTACTTCATCACCCATCTCTACCGCACACTACACCCCGTTGCGTTGAACCCAGATATCGAGCTCAGCTCCAAGTCTCTCCACCTACCCGAACCCAACGCCGCAGAATCTCATGCTGACACCGCAAAAATCAACGTGCAAACCACCATCGTCCTACTTATCCGCTCTCTATCCTCTGTCCTCCTACCCGCTACATCAATTCGCGCCGTCCCGCCCCTCCGCGTAGCGGCTTTTGCAAAACAACTCATGTCCATTTCCATGCATCTCCCTGAGAAATCTTGTACCGCTATGCTTGGTCTATTGAACCGCGTGACTAAGACGCACGGCAAGAAAGTAGCACCTCTGTGGAATACAGAGGAGAGGCGAGGCGACGGAGTGTTTGACGCGCTGAAACCTGAGATTGAGGGCAGCAATCCTTTCGCGGGGACTATTTGGGAAGGAGAGATTCTGAGGAAGCATTTCGCGCCAAGTGTAAGGGAGGCGGTCAGTGGTGTGGAGAGGAATGTTCTGGAGGCTAGTAAATAAATGGATTGTTTGTGTTGGATGTCTGAATAGCAAATCCGATCGTTCGGCTACGACTTGCTTTCCGCCTTTTGATCTTTTAACCTTTTGTCCGCGTCCCCTTCTCTACACGCCTTGTATAGCTTTGGCATCTCTGCCACCTCGACGGTCGTTACATCAAAATGCGTTTTTGCTTCTGATTGTGGAGAAATTTGTGACAACGATTGAAACACCACAGCGTGCGCCTCGTTCGCAGCTTGAGGCTTATTCTGTCGATCGTGGCGTAAAGAGGCGGCCTCCTAGCTTGGACGACCCTGGATACGTTGGATGCCTGGTTATATTCAACCAACATTCTACGAACGTTGTCGGCATGACAGCAAGACCAGGCCATCTGTACTAGCGCACCACGATTGACCAATGCAGCATTGTCACTATCGACTTCACCAAAGCTACACGCCAGACTTTACAAAGCAAGGTACTGCAACATGCTTTTCCAGACACTGCGCAACCTGTTGCACGGCGCTTACGATTATATATCTGCTCCTCATCCCGCTCCCTAATTGGCACTAACATCCACCATCTCTACCAGCCCGTCCTAGGCCTCACGCTAGGCTGCGCCCGTGGTGGGGGGCGATTAAAGGCTGAATGAGATCTACTCAAGTAGCCATCTCGCCCGTAGTTCTGATGTGCCCCTGATCGCACGAGACACTGTTGTGTGCACACCTGCCTTCTGTTTACAAGACTCGCGACTGTTCCCGTTACGATTATAGACTCACAATACTCTCGCGATGGCTCGAGAACCAGATATCGATCCAAACGTGTGGTATTCAATGTTCATAGACCCAAGCCACACACAGTCAATGGTAGGCACAGCACTCTATAACGGGGACGGATCGAGGGGCGCAGTATTCATCAAGACAAGAAACGACACAAACACCGAGCAGCGATGGCAGCTGCGCAAATCCAACTCAACCGTTTGGACGCTGCGTTCACAAGGATCTGGTCCAAACAGTTATTTGTCCACAAAATACTCCGATGACGAGCAACAGAAGGGCAAATCGTTCGCATACATGGCTCGAGGTGATATCGCCGACGCGAGTGCGTACTGGACTATTACCACATGGGGCGACGGAACATGGTATTTGACCAACCTGGCAAACAAGACCGATTATCATCTTACCCTTACACCGAATTTGGGGCATATCGTAATGAGCTCGAACATTACAGCGCCACAGAAAGGGCAAAAACGGAATTTTTCGGAAATAGCAGCCATCGACGATGAGCGGTATTCAAGCGTTAACGTAAGATATATCTGGGCTGATGGTATACCTTGTACAATCTAACATATCACCAGTTAGTAGGTGGTGTGACCGGTACTGAAACTGCTACCTCAGGACCTTCTTCATCTTCGGCCACGGCCAAAGTGAACGAGAACACCTCTTCAGGCCTTTCTACTGGCGCAAAAGCAGGTATTGGAGTGGGAGTTGGCGGTGCTGCGATCATAGCACTCGTCGTACTTGGCCTTTTCCTTTGGCGGAAACGAAAGAGAAGACAGTACACAAATCCGCCGCAAGAGCTGCCCCATGAGAGCATGGCACATGTTCAGTCTCCACCACTGAACAAGTACGAGCTGAATCACGATACTACAACAACAACGTACGAGATGCCATACAACAATGTTGTGTCAGAAGCGCCGACGAGTGAGCGCCCAGCCGAGCTACCTGGTCACACGGTGCAGAGATGAAGACACTTAGAGAAAGAGCAGAGGGCCAGACATAAAGGAAGGACTGTAAACTACTTCGAATAGTATAGGAAAGCGATGTTTATCAGTAACCATCGGAGCTTATGCGCCGAACCATATCCTTGGTACGCCTTATCGAAGGTGTGGCACTTACTACCGACATCCATCGCCGACAACCACGCGGAAAGCTTTGTAGTCTCCGAGTGACCAATAAGTCTTGGAAGATGCTTGATTGATAAAGGAAGCGCGGCATCAGCAGGTGCTTTGAGTCTTGGCTCTAAAGGACCTTGCTACAAGGCAGTTCAGACGTCCATACACCTCGCGATCTAGAAGTCGTCTAGACAATTGTTTGTGGAAAGGTATCAGCGGGAAGGCGACAAGGGTGTATTGCAAGGGGTAGGGTTTCCATATGGTGAACAAAACATACCCACGTCGAGGCAACCAAACAAAGTACCTCCGATTCCGATGGCCGAGATTGAGGATCCTCAAAGTCAGACCCCGTCAAATATGGACCTCGTGTTCACTGCATCTTATAGTGTTCTGTCCAATCGGTTAGAAAGCTCCGACAAGAGGGACTTGTTTCCGGCTAAATGACTACGCTTTTATCTCAACAAACCACCGGCGCCTGGCATCTTTCTTACATGTATTTGCAGATCCATAGGGCATGCTGTGCAAGGGCATTCTGAGATGATCCTACGACATCGCTTAACGGGCATCTCCGCTCTACTTTTGAGTCCTTTGGGTGTCACCAAAACATTGCTGAGTACATTGAGGAGCGAAAACAGCCAACACAGCAGGAAATGGCATACAGTAACTGCACGCAGATTGATGAAAGCCGTCCGCCATTCGTTACAAGGAAGATAGACATCTTCGGACCATGCAAGTGCTTGAAGAATACGTAGGATGTGCAAAACTACCACCAAACTTTATAGTCGTCCATATTAGCCTCATTCTTGGCTCGTAACAGATGTCTCGTCTAGACGGCATCCTTCGTCCACGCCGTCTTGGCAATAGAGCGGCACGGTCGGTGGATCAACTACCATGTCAAATTTGTCGATCTGCTCACGTAACTGAGTTAGTTTACTCTCTTCAGATTTTCACTCCAGCCTTGAAAAGAATGACATCTTTTTTGAGATCTGCTCCAATCTCAATTACGTTTGCTTGATATATCCGTAGTCAAACTCAAATGGCCTTTGTGCAGGACGCCTTGCTTATGTTCAAGATGCTGATACTATAGCCGAACACAGCGACGCAATATCTCTTACCATAGAATTCACACCCGTTACAGGTCTTGACATATGAGCTTCTGCGTCTGAGATGCATCTGCCGACTCCGGCCACGCATTCCTTCATCTCCCAGCATGCAAGAGTTCCACACTTCGAAGCTCTTAGCAACTTAATCAAAGCCTCATCTAACAGTAATCCATTCGCTTCTGGCATGCATCCTACCTTGTAAATCACGGCTGGAAAGAACCGAGTAGCATGTCGTTCGCACCTTGGCGTTTATAGCCTAGGATTTTGTCTATAAGTTGAGCCTCCTCTTCAGTGATCAAAACACAAGTCAGTGATCGCTGCCGTCCTGTCGTAGATGGCAGGCTTCAACCTTAGGGCGTTATATGCGCTCTTCGCCTCCCTCTCGCTACTCCACGTACTCTGCGCTGCGGACGCAGTGGTAAGTCATGACTGTACGAAATGCATGTGAGACATACACTGACTTCGTGTCTTTACCTCTACAGAATGATCTCCAGACCAAAGGCCGCGCAGCCGTCGACGCCGCCATTGCCAAATCAACCTCATGTACCAAAGACAAACTCCGAGTACGCCGTGAATGGTATGTCTCACAACGATCTCACCCTTGCCATACACAGTAATTTGATACCTATATACCAGGGGCGACATTACTGCTTCAGAAAAACGCGCCTACATCGCTGCTGTCCAATGCATAACCAAAGCGCCTTCCAAACTCTCGCCCACTCAATATCCCGGCGCCAAAACGCGTTTCGATGACTTTGTAGCTATCCACATGAAAAATACACTGTCTATCCACGGCACAGGCAACTTCTTATCCTGGCATAGATACTATACATTCGCATATGAGAACGCGTTGAGAGTCGAGTGTGGATACAATGGCACGCAGCCGTACTGGGACTGGGGACGCTGGGCAGCCAGTCCAGAGACGAGTCCAATCTTCGATGGGAGTGAGACGAGTATGAGCGGTCAAGGAGAGAAGGTACAGCATAGTAGTAGCGGATTGAAGCCAGCGGGAAATGGAGGTGGGTGCATTGCCAGTGGGCCATTTAAGGGAATGATGGTTAATCTTGGGTATGATTCATCTTCTTCATCTTCCTATTTGGCGTGGTCGCACATACTGCACTAATTTTGTCAGTATTGTTTGCGTGCTTGCGCTAACTTTGACTAGACCGGTCGCAGCAATCGATAGTCCGGCGCCTCCACGGAATCCACGATCAGACGGATATGGATACAACCCCCGCTGTATCAAGCGCGATATCAGCAATTACCTTACGCAGCTTTACGCGACAACGGACAAGATCGTTGGTTTGATCAACAACAGCAAAACTATTGCATCGTTCCAGGATACCATGCAAGCTGCGAATGGCCCACACGGTGCGGGACACTTCACCGTTGCTGGCGATCCTGGTAGTGACTTTTATACATCACCTGGTGGTGCGTATAGTCCTTTACTCTTTGCGCGTCATTGCTAATTGATGCTCTGTGGTAGATCCATACTTTTACCTCCACCACTCCATGGTAGACCGTGTATGGTCTATTTGGCAGAGTCAAGACTTTGCAAACAGGCAGCAGGTTATAGCGGGTGGTACATCGATGATGGGTGGTGGGAGGGCACAGAGCCTGGAGGATAACGTGGATTTGGAGGTGTTGAATGTCGATGGCAAGGTATACAAGATCAAGGACTTGGTCAGTACGGTTGCAGGGCCGTTCTGCTACGTCTATGAGTAATATGTGCTGGTTTAGGTATCGATGTGAGAGAGGTTGTCATGAGACAAGTACCGTAATCTTCGAGATACATCCATGGATGGCTTACAATATACCAAGTTGCATGCGAGATCTTGACGTAGGTCAGCTTGTGCACAGAAGAAGTGTGGATATTTCGAAAGCAATATGCAGTATATTAATGGTCCTCAGATTAGCTCTCCTGCTGTCCTCAGAAGGAACCTCGTCCATTCCCCGTTAATCTGTCTCTCGACCTCTCAACAGGCAACGATCGGGCTCCTCAACTCGACTTTGGCTTTAATGCCCCCACAGGGACATCATCACTGGACCTCTTTCGCGCCCGTCTGTAAAACAGAACTTTGTAAAGAAAACGACCCACCTAACACAAGCACCAGCACTCAGACCCACAGACACCCAACAACAAAGACCACGCATCCCCACAAATAGCGATGCCACCAAGGGCAAAGGCGCTCGGATTGAAAACTACATAGTTAGACGTCACAAGCGAACATCGTCCTCCAAGCTTGTTAGGCGAGGCAGCACGGCGCTTCAACTCTTTTACTTCTTCCTCAGTGCGCGGTGGGAAAGGTTGGGGCTGTAGTCTCGTGAAGGTGAACCCAGTAGCTTTGCGAAATCGCCCGTGGCTATCGCTGTGCAATGATAGACTGGGCGTTGTGGCTGCATCTAGTATGATGGCGCACTCCCTCTGCTTTCCGTTCTTGTTTGTCATGCAGTGAGACGCTGGGGATGATTAGTCCCTAGCATCGCCTTGTGACGAAGGTTTGTCGTTCACTGGGATCTATAGGACGTTAGCTATTGCCTGACCGTTTTGCTTCTTGCGCGAGGGTAGCTTGAGCGATTCAGGCTAGCTGGCAGCGATCGGGGTGTACTTACTCGCTGCCCGGGTTGTGGGTGACGAGAGAAAGTTGCCGACGCGCAGTCTCGAAGATGCAGCGCGCAATCACGGGCCACGCTAGTGGTAAGCTAATAACGTAAGCTGGGCCGGCACTTTCCCGTTATCTACACCCAAACTCGAACCTACTTGATTGGGAAGCTAAGTCTTGGCGTCCCCATAGCCCCATAAAAGCGGTCTGCACATCCGAATCGTTTATATACCGTCATGCGTCGCTGTTGAAACTTCTCACTCTGCCTCTTGTGATCTTGAGGAAGATGGACATCCCGATATACATGCTCATACGCCAACATGGGCACGGGAATCTTCATCACTGACATATACATAGAGTCGACGATGCTTCCAATTATGAAGCAATGTCTTTTGTAGCTTTTTTTTCCTTCTTCTTTGATAAACAGAGCATTCGACATCAAGGCCGCTTTCATACTCCATGTAGCCAAGCCCCTAAATCGGATGCCAGAACAACCCTCAACCCAACTCCGCGTTATCGGCAGCCTTTGCAAAATCCTATGCAATGATCTGTTAACGTTTGCGGAGACATTATTCTGATGTTGACCAAATCATGCTGAAGTGTTTTCGGTTTGATATATGTTAGGTGTAGAGCAGCGAAAGCGCTAGGTGAACTAAAAACAATGCGCGTGGCCTTCCAAGGCCATCTTTTTTCCCAGCTGAACTCCATCATTCGACCCTATACAATGCCGTCCAGTCGTTCTTGTCGCCAACTTCGACACACCCATCCATTTGGAACATCGGTGGACCTCTCCAAATAAGCTTCTTCTTGCCCTTGAACCGCAGGTACGAGCTATTCACCTAGAAACGATCTCTTTGCTTCGTCCTGTAGATGGTGAAGCCAACGTAGGCACCAGTCAGGGCCAGGCCGAACAGCACAAACTTGACAAGGAACCAGGTCCAGCTTCCACCGCTGCTGCTCTTTTCCCGGGTCATGGACGAAGCAGTCTTGGCGCCTGAGCTTCCTGAGGACGAACCGGCGCTTGGGTTCTTCTTATAGAGGTTTTGTGATTTGACGGAGACGATGTCGTGGTTGTCGGAAAGTTCACCGGTTTCAGCAGAGAAGCCTAGGTAGGCAACGGGTGGCACCTTGAAGTTGGGGATCTCGAAGCATTGAGTCCATTCGCCTTCTGACTTGTATTGGAGCTCGAGACGGAGGAATTGTTCTTGGAAGTATGTGAGACGGGCTTTGGTCGCGATCTGGGCATTACGAATTCCACGGGCCTAGTTATGTCAGTATTTAGCCAGCACGATGATACGACTGGTACATACCGAGCAGCCAGCGACCTCGTTGGCCTTGCCGTCATTGTCCTTGTCGTATAGCGTATTTCCATCACCGTTCATGGCCATGATGTATGGGAACACGGTACCGGGGCGGTTGTTCTTGTAGGTATCGAAGAAGAGGCCGAGCCCCTCGAACTTGTCTGTGTGGCCAAAGACGTTTCCTGGCTGCGCCCGCTGCTTGGTGAGCCACATGGCAAAGCCGTCGCCGTAGAGGTTGCCTTGACCATGGATCTTGAACTCGAAAGTGATCTACTCGCGCGTGAGCCTCTGGAGGTTAGACATTGTAGAGTGCAACGCACCTCCCAGTTGGTAGCCGTAAGAGGCACTCTCGAAAACAGCCAGCCATCGCGCGAGGGCTTGTCCGAAGCCAGTCGAATGTACTTATCAGTTCGAATAATAGTGTCTCCGCCAAAATCCCACCAACGGCTTTGCATGTCCGAATCAAGGTATGGCTGTATGTGGATCAGACATTGTTTCTGTGGTCAGGTGTGTTGGCGCAGAATATGCGACTTACAGGCTCGAGGCTATGTGTGCGTAGCTATGCGCTCGTTAGCATTAAACCCCCCATGGTCTCAGAGGGCAGCAACCCACCGAGATGGCCTTGATGTCAGGATCCTCGCTCAGCCCCCCTTGCCGCGCCCAAGCACCCGTCCAAGTCCCCGCGAGCAAGCACAGGCTCGTCCATGGCCTTGCGAACAACATGGTCGCACTATCCCCAAGCTACCAATGGAGTACTCGTGCGCTAGAAAGAATGGTAAGAAGACTGGGCTTCGGTAATCTGGGGGAGAAGAATAAAAGCCTCGTGGGGGGGGGTGAGGGCTAGTCGAAGAGGAGAGTGACGCGGGTCGGGCGACTTGAACGTGCTGGAGTGCTGCGAGTGAATCTTGGGGATCGGAAAGGCCACTCTATCACCTCCGCGTGTAATGCAGGGGTCTTGGGTTGCAGCGACTACGCTAGCGAGAAAGCCGCTCTTGACGTCGACAACTTTTCAAGACGCAGCCACCCACGACCGCCGAACTCGCCATAATACACCCCCACCCGCCTTCATAACATCAAACGCACAAGACTGAAACCATGGATTCTTTCGGCGGCATGTCTTCTTCCCCCAGCGACCCCAAGACAGCGGTCATGCGTCAAGTACAGCAGGAAGCTGCTATGCAGAACGCGCGCATGCTGGTCGAGGTACGTCTTTGCTACCTACTGCACCTGAACTATAGTAGCAAACATACTAATGCATCCACAGAAACTCAATGAGCACTGCTTCGAGCGCTGCATCCCCAAGCCTGGTGCCTCCCTCTCGAGAGGCGAGGAGAGCTGCATGAGCGCATGCATGGAAAAGTACATGAGCGCATGGAACACAGTCAGCAAGCAATACGTCGGCAGGATACAGCGGGAACAAGGCGGTGCGGTGCAGAACGTGTAAATGCTTGCTTGACGTCAGAGGGGAAGGATTCGAGGCGGCGCCTTTGCAAGATATCTATGATCTAAAGAGTCATGTACGAATATGATGAGCATGTACTATAGACTGTACCACCAGCAAGAAGAGATTTTATCAAGATGAAATTGGTATATTGCCATATGGTAAAGTCCTTGGTTGCAACGCTTATTTCTTAGCGAATGTCTTCTGCCGCTGCGCATACTCCTTGACAATGACGCTGCAGTTGACCTCCTGGCACAGCCTCTTCCTCCTCTCTGGTGTGAGCTTAGTCGCAAACTCGAGTCCGCTCGCCCTCTCCACCGCCTCAACAGGCACCTCAAAGTCGGTCAATGGCTTGTGGTTCTCAATCCTGGCATTGGGCAGCACAAAAGCGCCCAGCGCAACTTTGCCGCCCAGCTTTCCGTCTTCGGCGAAGATGACTTTGTAGAAATGTGTGGGTACAGCGACATTGGGCGGGTTGCCAATGACTTCGTATGACACACGCCACTTGCCGTCGGCTTCGCGCTTGGGCAGGTATAGAGGACCGGTCACGATGCGGACCGAGGGGTACGAGTGTGTGAGCCTGCGGCAAAAGTCTTCGAAATGCGCCCAGTAGTCGCGGTTGAAGCCGTCGCCGACTTGTGGGCACATGTTGCTCAGCGCAAACGTGTCATCCATGGCTTCTTGACTCCACTTGGCATCGGCAGCGGGGACTTGGTGCCCTCTGTCATAGCCGGAGCGGAAGTAGTCCTTGAGCTTTGCGCGGAACATTTCTGGGATTGTAATGTCTTCGACGAAGACGCTGTGCTTGCGGTCGGCATTGCTGTTGGCTAGCGACTCGGGCGTGATGTGCTCGGCGACCCATGCTGGGTTCCGTGTTCTTCGGTCGTACGACGATGTGAGAGAGGCAGCAGGACGGAGATCGTTGACAGGGCCGGGGAAGCCATATTGGAAGAGACCGTTTGGGTCTACTATCGCTCTCCGGGCGGCAGCAGCAGCAGCGGGCGAGGGGATGGCGGGCACCGAGGGTACAGGTGCCGGCCGGCCAGGCCCAGTGACAGTTGTGGTAGTGGTGGTGATGGACGGTGTGGGCGGAAGGCTGTCCTTCTTGGTCGAGTAGAGCGCGGCAGTCGCTGCTGCTCCTGCGGCTGCGCCACCAGCAGCAATCAAGCCCAAGGTGAGTTTAGACATGGGCGATGTAGTTGGGGCTTCAGGGACGTGGGTCGGGGCCTCTTATGAGCTACGGACGACTCTCACGGGTCCAGCGTCCTTTACGGCGCGTGAGGAATGTCTCGGACGCGTCTACACGTCTTCGTATGGTTCGCTGGCGCCTTTTCGCTCGTGGTCATCTGCATTTTCCACCACGACGGTTTGGCGCTTACCAGATGCACGCTAGTCCTGACAGCCGCACCTGCATGGATATTCGACATCACTGACAAGTCATCAAGTCTAGCAGTTTTGCGAATTCCTAAATTTTGGCCCTTCCTCTTCATCGTTCCTCTTCTGCAGTGCATACATGGTTACGTGGGTTTAGATTGGGAGCATTGTCCCATAAAGCGTGCCACCACACCGCCACCATGCCTTCCTGGATATCGCGAGCCACCGAGTCCCACAATGCTCAGCTTATCACGACTGCTGCCGTTTCAGGCTTCGTCGTTGGAAGTGCCATTATTGGATTCCAGAAAGCTCGACGCATGACGAGGGTTGCGGATCTGAAAGCATCGATCCCAGATCTCAGTGACGATCATCGCGCATCCAGAGTGAGTACCTAGATTTCTGATCGACTGCATATCTAGTCACTGAGATGCCGCCTGAGTATTTGCTGACAGACCCCAGCTGACCGAATATGGCGCTGCTTCGAATGTCTTTGCTCCAAGTAAGGAGGATGAACGGAGTATGGCATTAGCCGCAAGAGCAAGAAAAGGCGACTATGACGATGGTATTGTTTCCTTTCCATAACCCTGATAGCCAAGCCTGACCAGTGTGCTAGATCTCATCCTTGAACAACTGGCAAGAAATAGAGTGTTTCTCACAGACCCTGGACTCGCAAAGTTAAGGGGCGCTTTTGTAATTGTAGTCGGGTGCGGAGGCGTCGGGTCACACGCAACAGCTGCACTCGCTCGCTCGGGATGCTCGAAACTAAGGCTTATCGATTTTGACCAGGTTACTCTGTCTTCCCTCAACCGCCACGCAGTTGCTACTTTGGCAGACGTTGGAACGCCCAAGGTACACTGTCTCCGAAAACGACTTGAGCAGGTTACTCCATGGACACACTTCGAATGTCGCAATGAACTATTTGGAGAGCAAACAGCGGCAGCACAACTAGCACCCTTAAATGGCCAGCAGCCGGATTTCGTCATCGATGCCATCGACAACATTGACAGTAAGGTTGCACTTCTAGCATACTGCTACATGAACAACATCAAGGTCATATCTTCCATGGGTGCAGGTTGCAAGTCTGATCCTACAAGGATCTTCATCGGCGACATCTCCGGAAGCACAGACGACCCGTTGTCAAAGTCCACAAGAAGGAAGTTGCGCTTGAAGGGCGTCAAGGATGGCATACCAGTCGTCTACTCTACTGAGAGGCCCGGTCCTGGAAAGGCTGAGCTTCAGCCTCTCTCAGAGGAGGAGTTTGCCAAAGGCAACGTTGGGGAGCTGGGTGTTCTCGCAGACTTCCGCGTACGAATCTTGCCCGTTCTAGGTACCATGCCAGCCATCTTCGGCCTCGCTGTCGCGAATCACGTCATTCTTTCTATCGCCGGTTATCCTCATGAATACCTGCCGTCAAAGTCTCGCGACAAGATGTACGACGGAATCTTGGGTGCTCTGCAAGGTGCCGAAGAACGGCTAGCCCGAGCAGTCTTCAGCGAGGATCCACTGGGCCTCAAGATCCCCATCACACAGGACGACGTGGGCTACCTGGTAGAAGAAGTGTTCAATGGCCGAAGCATCATCAGTGGATTGTCCACACGCCTAGCCTTGACACGATGGAACAAGCCTACCCAGAGCTTTATGAATCAGAGCACACCAGGTCAAAAGAGCAGTAACCTCCAAATGAAGGACCTGGTCCTTATGACCAAGGAAGAGGTGACAAAGCATGAAAAGGAAGTGTTGAAAGGTGAAAAGAGCCTGGAGGAAGTCTATGACGCTGAAACGATTAAGCGTGTAAACGAGAGAATGACAGAGGAAGAGAAGTTCCAACGCTTCAGGTAACGTACGATACACGAAAACAAAATACTCACTACACTCATCATGTTGTTGCACAGCTTCCGCAAAATTGCACTCTGCGATGACCCCACATGCATTCCGCGTTCGTCCGTACCCACAGGACACGACATTGCGGATGAGTTGCAATTCTCCATGTTTAACCCCGATATCACCAGACCAACCCCCACAGCAATGTCAGCTATTTGCATCAGTCGGTCCTTCCGATAATCTATGGCGGTGACCGATATCCATCGGCCGCTGCACTAGCGCAAGGAACGCAACCAATAGGAGAATAGCTCACTCCCGCTATCTACGTGGTAGATAATTTTTCTGCTAATGACGTACAGCACCAACAGACAAGACCGGCACTCCCGCCACGGTACAAGCTACGTGTAGACATCTATGATGGTCTACCCGAGTATGGTAGCCAATGAGATTGAGAGGAGTGGCGACGGGCCCTACCAAAGTAGCTCAGTTCCGTAATTCATTTGCACAGATGGCGTTGAGGCTCTTCTAGACGGCCGAAGCTTGTAATGAACGTCATATTGGGAGATCGACGGAGTTAACGGCCTTTGCTGATATATAAGTGTTTGTTCACTAACACAGCAGGTCCAACTATCCATCCTGCCACTTTAGTCAACATCAACACCTACATAAATACCCAATACACCACCACCACAACAACAACAACAACAACAACAACAACAACAACAACAACAACAACAACAACAACAACAACAACAACAACAACAACAACAACATCAACGACAAAGTACAACAAACAACACAATGGCTACAGACACCAAGTTCGAAGGATGGCTCGGCAAGGACAAGGAGAGCGTCAAGGGAACGATGGAGTGGGGTCAATTCGAGCCCAAGAAGTGGACTGAGGATGATGTCGACATTGAGATCTCTCATTGCGGTATCTGTGGATCAGACTTGCACATGCTGAGCAGTGGCTGGGGACCAACACCATATCGTACGTTTTTTCTTCTTCTTTTTCCTGTCACAGCTTTGTCGTGCTGACTGCTGCCAGCCTGTGTCGTCGGCCACGAGATTATCGGCAAGGCTGTAAAGGTCGGCAAGAATGTCAAGCACGTCAAGGAGGGCGACCGTGTCGGTGTTGGCGCGCAAGCACGCTCATGCCTTCAGCCCGACTGTCCCGACTGCTCAAATGGCATCGAGAACCATTGCCATCGTGAGTCAATAAATACATACGGTTCCGTCTACCCACGCGACGAGGGTAAGAGCTACGGTGGATACGCCACACACAACCGCACAAATGGCCATTTCGTCATGAACATTCCCGATGGCCTGGACAGTGCTGATGCCGCACCTATGCTCTGTGGTGGAATTACAGTCTACTCTCCCTTGAAACGATACGGCTGTGGCCCTGGCAAGACCGTCGGAATCGTCGGTGTAGGTGGCCTGGGTCACTTCGGTGTCCTTTTCGCCAAAGCTCTCGGAGCAGACAAGGTCGTTGGTATTAGCCGCAAGGCCGAGAAGCGCGACGATGTCCTCAAGTTAGGCGCTGACCTCTACGTCTCAACCGACGAAGACGAGGACTGGCAAAAGCACAACGCACAAACACTCGACCTCATCATCTGCACAGTTTCCAGCGCTAAGATGCCACTAGACGGCTATCTTAGCCTGCTTAAGACCCATGGTACCTTCATCCAGGTTGGTGCTCCTGACGGTGGCGAGCTTCCTCCTATCAACGCCTTTACCCTCTTGATGAGTGGACTCAAGGTTGGAGGCTCTGGAATTGGTGCTCCATGGGAGATTAAGGAAATGTTGGAGCTGGCGGCTGAGAAGAAGATTAAGCCATGGATCCAAAAGAGGCCGATGAAGGACGCTAACTCTGCCATTGTGGATATGGAGGCTGGAAAGGCTAGGTACAGGTATGTCCTCGAGAACTAGAGGAAAGACACATAGCAACATAATTTCTTCACTGAATACAAGCCATTCGAAGTGTCTTTTGCGAATTCAGCGTTGGATGTGTAAGATTTTCGCCATTCACATTGCGTGAGGTAGTTCTGATTTTCGGTGACGTTGACTTTGCGGTTCCGCGCCGAACAAGCGATTGCATGTCATGACGTTCTCCTCTTCTTTGCCCGCCCACCATAGCACGACGATATTGACGTTCCCGGTTATAAGCGCCTTACCCTTAAAGCCTGACCTAGGCCCACTCTTCCCCGCAAATACGATCGTCATCTGACGTCGTTGCAGAAAGACAACACATAAACCTCGGGTGTCTAACGTGTCCAACGTGTCCAGGTTCTTTTACCAGCCCTCCCATCTCTTAGAGCAGCAAATTGAGCCTTCAGAAATCATGCCAAACACCCAGACAGTCGACGTCCCCCATCTTGGTGGCATAAAAGCCGCTTACCAAACATCCGGTCCCGTGGATTCGTCCAAGCCTACTCTGATTCTGATAAACTCCTTCACCACATCATCAGAGCTATACCGCGATGCGTACAAGAATGAGACACTCACTTCTGTGATGAATTTAGTCTCTATCGAGCTATTAGGTCATGGACAAACACGGGCCAAGAGTGAGAATTGGACGTACTGGGATACTGCGATTATGAATCTACAGGTCATGGAGAAATTGGGAATTAAGAAAGCTTTTGTACTGGGTACAAGCCAAGGAGGATGGGTGACTGTGAGGATGGCGCTTTTGGCGCCTGAGAAGGTACGTCGTCTTTTGTTTTGTAGCAGCATCTTGGGAGAATCAACCCATGTGCCTTGCCAGTACAGTGCTCCAGCTTCTTGCACTGGAATAACTAACACGGAGTCGAAGATCCTCGGCATTGTCCCCCTAGGAACATCCCTAGACTATGAGTCACCCCGCTCCCGCGACCTAGGCTGCTGGCACTCCGTCGAGCCCCTCGCCGAGCGCATCACTGGCGAGTTCGGCACCACATCCAACAAGCCCACACCCGACTTCACTCCTAGTACCGATTTCTGCAACTTCCTCATCGATGTGGGCTTTGGGAAACAGGAATGCCCAGAAGATGTTCGAAAGTTTTGGAATGATGAGATCAAGAAGAACTACCAGGGAGATGAAGGTCGGCGGAGGATTAGGATGTGTGCGATTAATCTGAGAGATCGGGACGGTTTGCATTTGAGGTTGAGTGATGTGGTTTGTCCAGTGTTGTGGCTGCATGTAAGTGCATTATAACAGTGGCCTCTTATGGCAAAGGTTGAACTAACGATCGACATAGGGAACTAGCGATGCTGTTTACTCGGTCGCAAATGCCAAAGAGGAGATTAAACTCTTTACCAACTCGCCTGATGCCAAATTGGAGGTTATTCAGGGTGGACAGCACTTCTTGAGTGCGTCGAATCCGAAGGAAGTCAATGAGCATGTTATTGCGTTCGTGAAGAAGTATAGCAAGTAAAGATAGTTGGGGAAGCTAGTTGATGGTCTCTGCTATTCTAAATTGGGGCGCAATTCAACCACATGACATCAGTTTTCCTAGATGTGCTCTCGATGGTCATGTTGAAATGCCAACGGAACCACGGTATTCTTTGTGGTATTGTGATACCGTTGAAAGGAATCTACGAAGCCTACTCGCAAGATCTACCATACTCAAGGAACGTATTGCAACTTTGAGATTATTCTCTATTTACATAGCATAAGCAATACCACGGCACGGCATAAGAAACACAAGCATGGAAGCCTGTGACAGCGTAGTAACTCCAAAAGGGATGTCTATGATACCTAATGAGTTTCGTTTCGCTTCGCACATCGGACTGTAGCATCTCAACATATGCGCTTTCAGAGGCAGAGGTGATGTAAGAATAAACAAAGAGGAGACGCATGAAGATAGTCACATCTGATGGCAAGGCGAGCGGCAAGATTGTATCATACCCACCACGAACGAACATCTCCGGTGACGCAAAGCTGGCGTGTGAGTCTATTCTGGATACAGACGAAGTATGATGCGCAGATGTTGAATTATTTTCTTTTCTACGCACTCATCACCGAACGTGTATGTTTGTGCATATCAGCGTGGTAGGGAGCGGGGATGTTGAATTCTTACACACACGCGATGCGATGCTTTTTATCCTCGACTATGACGCATCCCAGCACAGATTCCAGCTGTACCCCGCTTATTTCGGCTCTTGGTGTTTGCTTTTTGCGCGGGTCACGGAATGATACCCCTCTCCACATCTGGCACTTGGACTTAGCCCACGGCAAAACGGCTGTCATACCACACTCGTAAAATTGGTCCGCAGGTTCGAAAGATTGCTTTTGGACGGCATCGTCACGACGCAAGACCCGCGGGAGAACCATGGATCTAGTTTGACGCCCGCTGCATGCAACTTACAATAGCGTGGCAAGCCTGATCGGCAGCGGTGATGCGCTTCGGTGTATGACCATGAAGAAGGAAAGTGCAAAAACTGGTGATCCTCGGAGGGAAGTGGAGAGGAAAAGCAATCATCTCGGCAATGACAGGGCAAATCTGCATGATCAGCTATGAACAGTTACAGTCAAACAAGGAACGGTGTCGATGAGCCCGTTACGATACTTCTACGTAACCAACGTTTTCTTTTCCCTGCATAGTTGGCGCCGGAAAATGAAAAGCCCAACCGTTGACGCACCTTGGAACTTGAAACTCGCCTAACATCCATGTCAAGAGATGGTACTTTCCAGTGAAGAAGGTGGTTGGCGCAATTACACTGGAATAGCCGTTGGGTAAGGTATGATAAACCCCTGTAGATGTCAGGTGGCTGAGGGATCGAACTGAAATCCCGCCCGCTCGCCTCGCGAAGGAAATGCCTCTGGTCCATCGTCCACCAACACCATACTAGGGTCTCGACTAACGCACGTGCGTCGAGATGCGAAGGGCTTGCAAAAGTTGGGCATTCGTGAACAGGGGGGAAAGTTTGACGAGTCACCAACGGCCGGCGCCGCGATCGCGACAAAGTTGAGACAGTGATTCCCGCGTGCAACGTGACGAGCGATCAAACATGGGTTGAGGAACGACGTCGGGGTTATTCCAGTTTGACATTGATACGTATTATCATCGGGGATGAGGGTTCATTGGCTTGTTGGGTCCAGATCTGGATCCATGGACTTGGTACTGATATTTGCTTTTTCTTGCTTCTCGACCTGATGTGCGCCGTGGGTACTCCATGTAGTCAACGAGTCCTGGCAGCGGAACAAGATGTGAAAAGCAAGGTGTAGGCTGGACCTTTCCTTCTTCAAGTGCATCTGCATCTGCATCTACATCTGATCTGTATCTGCAGCGACATGCGGTATGTAGCCAGACGTCTCCACTGCATTCGTCTATGCCGCGCCCTCCAGCTGCGACCCGTCCCTGCGTATTTTCCGTGACCCAAGGGTCGCCGCTTGGACATACGTTTGGCGATCCAGTACTAGAATAAGACTCAATATATTGAAGTATGCGTGGTTGTCTTCATGTCGCACTGCATTGTGCTCACGTCTAAGGAGCTCATTCTGCTGTTGGGCATGAGACGGGATGGAGACGTTTCGCATCCTGGTCATCTCGGCAGTACCGCCTTGCTGTTTGCTTCACTCAACATGTGCCGCGTGGGGAGGAGTATGCGATGGGTCATCTTTGAAAGGCATAAGTGGGACATCTAGACAGTGGGTTACTTGTTGGTGCAGAACTTATTTCTACACTTGACGTCAACAGGCCTCTGTAACGGGTGGCAGGTGCGGCAAGCGTATGCTGGCGGAAGCCGTTACATGTCAGGTACAGCCCACAATGCTGGAAGCCTGCACTCTGCAAAGTGTCTCGGGAATCTGTATGTACATGTTTGCAGACCATTCAGCTCATGGCGCAAAGCACGAAACGTGCGTGTTGAAGGTGCGTTGCCGCAGGCAGTAATCGCCGGCTCTGAGTGCTGGGCGAACTGCGCTCATCCCGGAGATGCAGGTCTCGATATTACTTTTGATTGCGTGGTAGTACTATTCTCACTCCGTGTGACACAAAACCAGTTGCACCCGATGCATAGGTGAACAGTTGGTGGGGGGGTTTCATGTATTGTTGGTCGTCTGAAACAGAGGCAGCTAGCACTGCCAATCACTCCTCGGTCCGAGTACTCAAGGTTGTGTGAAGGAAAAGTGCTCTTGCAGTTACATATACACACGTGCACAAATCGACGATAGAACCCCTTGCATGCTGAGATGAACTATGCGTGTATGAATGTATAGTGGTAGGCTTATAGACATATAATGGTACAGCGTTAAGGTGAGGGGTAATGCGCCGAACACACCGAAGTAGTAGCTCTGCCGGCTTTGGCTCGTACCGATGGCGTCCTCTAGCGGAATTCACCGTAGTGGAGTTCCAAGACAGCCTTAACTAAGTGCAAGTGGAGATGTACAATAGTCCGTTTGTTGAAAGATGCACATGACGGTTATCAGGTTCAGGGCAAGCATAAATGCGGATGCTTGTATCCGAGTGGAGCTATTGAACATGCGTAAACGTGCTGGTCTGTTCGAGTAGCGTAAAAGATGCAGTACTAAGTATGGCAAGGATGTGATATTCGTGCATCTAAGTGGGTGTAGCTAATCAATCGCTAAGCAGCTGTGGTATCCTCTAAAGCATAGATGTGATGATGGCGACGCCCCAGTTCCTACTTTTGCAAGCCAAGGGGAATCCGCGTAACACAAGAAAGTGTAGACCGTTTTGGTATCATAAACCCAAGAAGATATGTAAAGTGAAAGAAGCCGCCCAAAGTGGGAAGAGTCCAGAAGTAGCCCTAGTGATGAAATCGCCGAAGAACAGTGTGGCCGTGAAGAGAAGCAAGGAAAGATAATACCAAAGAAGGATGCGGTATGATACAGGGTATATGCAAGCAAATGCGAAGACTTCGAAGGGTCGTGTGCGAAATTAGTTCTCCTCCATCAATGCTTCCTGGTCGCCGGTTTCGCGCCACTCGCGCGCACGCTCAGACAGGCGCTTGACGCCTGCAATGCGCTCTGCCCAAAGCGATTCGGATGGCGATCTGAATGTGTACGCGCGCTGTGATGAGATGACACCTATTGCTTGTAGTACTGCTTTGCGCGAATCTCTGCCGAAGACCGCAGGATGGTTGATCCATTCAAGGCTGGACTCAAGTTCTGCGTCAAGAGCATACATAGTCCTCACGTCAATGCCTGCCGCAGGAGTGAACGGGCTATCTGCGTGGGGAGAGGGCGTTCGTGCACGTAAATCGCCACTAGCGCTATGAGTTGTTGGTGACGCGGACCCAGTGCTGCCTGCTGCACTTGATGGTTCGTTACGTCGGTGGCCAGGAGGAGGTAGTGGTGGAAGACCTCCCTTGCCGAGTCCTTTCAGGATACTGCGTGTTTCCTTAAGGAGGTGGTGTGCGCGTTCGTGTTGGCCGCGCGAAACAAGCGTCAATGCGCGTGTAAGCATGTCTGATGTGAGCAACTCCATGCGTCGCTGTACAACATGAGGGTGTGGTGGGATAGGGGGTGTTGGTGGTCTTCCTGTTGGGCTCTTCTTTGGCCCGGAAGGTAGCAGAGTAATGGCCAGCAATGATGGCCGTGGCAGGTGTGAAAGAGATCCTTCTCTTAGGATATCGCCGTACGTGAGGTCTGCCTGGATCAGAGGTACTTCCTCGACGCTGAGCGTGCGTGACTCGTCCTGGTCGAGTGGCCCACCGAGAGCCTCCAGACCAGACACGATCGACTCCCAGGGGTCCTGAGGAAGCTGTTCTGGGGAGCCAGTATCCGGTGCAATGGCTAGTTGGACTAAGATGTCTCGCTTGTCGCCAAAACGCAAGTCGCCCAGTGCTGCTTCAGCGTCACGTCCAGTAGCTCGTTTGGTGATCTGTAGCGCACCACTAATCTTAACGAATTTGGCAGGAGAGCCTTCTGGTAGTCGCAATTTTAGTTTTACATTTTGATGCGAGGTAGTTTGGAGTGAACCAAGGCACCCCGCGGCACACTCGCGAAGCATCATCCAGTCTTTCACGTATGTATACGAAGCTTTGGTTCGCGTAGAAAGTTCAATCATGGTGTCTGGTTTATGTGTAAGCCCAAGACCAAACGAATGAATAGAAACCCTAGATGAGCGTTAGTGGTGATTATGTGTCTGATGTTATTCAAGTGCTTACTTGGCAGCCTCTGCGCGAGAGATGACAAAATCAACGCTCTCGGCATCGGAAGTGGAAGAATCGCTGATAAGCAAGATGCTAGAGAGGGGGTTACTGGACTTGCGCTGCATGAGCAAGTCCATGGCTACGTTTGCTCCATCGACCACGTCGGCACGCAGGCTCTTCTGTCCTACAGGACGTATGGAGTCAAGCACTTTGGGCCAGTCCCTCCAAGCCTTGCCAGTCATGCCAACAATGGGGACACCACCACCGCTGGAGCCGAAAGTAACAAGGCCCATGCGATCGCGCTCACCCAGGTTGTAAACTAAGAAACGTAATGTGTCGCGGAGCAAGTTGATCTTCAAGCCCTGCATCGATGACGAAACTGGAATGACAACGACAATGTCAACAGGCACGTGTATTGAAGCAGACATACGGGGCTCTGTCATACCGCCACGCGAGGCGCTGTATTCGGTAGGTGCTGTCATGGTCGACCTGGCGGCGCCATAGGAAGAGTTGATTGATGAGACCCGCTTAGGCCTACGGTAGTCGTCCTCCTCAGCTCCAGAATTGTCCTGGTCGTACTCTGCCATGCGGTTGCTTGTGGGGAAATCCAAGCGGATGTCCATAAGTGCGCGCCGCCACAACTCCAATTGGCTACGATCCTGGAATTGCAGATGGAAAGCGGGCAGCTCCGCCACAGAGAGGCTAAGGGTTAGGATGAAGTTGTCCGATGAGTGCTCGACCTGGTTGAGATGCTTCTTGATGAGGATAGAACCCTTGAGGGTGCACTTTGTCTTCTTGATCGGGGCTGCACCATCCCATTGTGGTTGCGGCGCGATCTTCTTCTCTTTTACGCAGATCAACATCTCGGAGAAGAGGTAGCACTCGAGCTCTTGCCATGACTGTCGGTCCTTGCCGACGCGAATGTGACCGTGTAGTCGCAGCTTCCCGAAGCGCGAAAAGTCAAGACCGTGCCAATTGTCGACACGGGCATGGAGGTCTTCAGTTATCTCATCCAGCACCTCAGTCGGCTCATATTGAGGTTCAGTAGGCCTGCTCGTGGCGGGCGATTTGCTGCGCTCGTAATCGCTCTCTGCAACGCTTGCAAGTGGAGGTAGCGGCGATGCACGAGGCATGTCATCCAGGTTCGGACGCCATTTCCCCTCGACCACCTCGACGGTGATCAGACACGTCAGGCTTTGTTGCTGCCGCGATCTGCTTAGAGTTGGAAACTCACTTCGGACAGTTACTATTGGCGCAGGAATTGGGCTCTTGAGTAGGCCACGTGGGCTGCTGAGACTGGTCTCCATGGACTGCACGTCATAGTCGTGCCGCCGACCGTCGTGGGTTGGGGCATAGTCGTTGGAAGAAGCGAGTCCCGTCGCTCCAGAATCACTACGTCCATGCGCCCTGGATAGCGACGCGCCCCTATCGGAGCCACGATCACGGCTGTGGCTGCTGTCTCGTTGGCGTGTGTGGGTGGTGGGTGGATAGCGCGCCGACGACGCGTTGCTTCCATTGCGAGAACGACCAGTGGTCATGTGGTCGTCGTGCTGTCGCTCTGACGCCACGGTTTGGTTATCCCATGGTGTTGGCGTGTTGGCCGCGCTCCGGTGACTCTCAGCTGCTTGCGATGGCGACGGCTCATTTTGGACTGACCGCACAATGGTCGACAGTTTCTCTGCGCGCACATCAGCATGGCTAGCCAGCGCTGTCTCGGAGGGCTGCCTACCAAGATCGAGAACGTTTCCACCTCTGCTTGTGTCCAGGCCCAGTGTGGCATCGCACGTGGGGCAATGCTGCGACTCGAACTCGCGAATGTACTCATAGAAGCACGCTTCGTGGGAAACATGACCACATGAGAGTTGCAGTATCCGTTCGCCCCGCAATGTGTACTCCAGATTCTCCTCACAGACACAGCATTCGCTCCCAATGAAGGTCCGGTCTCGTCTCGTCCGGGTTCGCTCGATATCCATTACTCCTGCCATACCCCTGCCGGAGCGAGGAGGGGGTTGTGAACTAAGAGTCGCGTCGGATCGTTGAGTATGCGAGGTGAAGGGCTTCGTCGTATGACTACTGCGCGAATGGGGACGGAGTCCTAGGAAAGACATGAGCGGCCTGAGCTCCAAGACAGGTCACAATGGTAGTAGGGAGAGCAGTACTATCGCTGGAGCCCACGACCGGACTGAATTCGACACTTTTCTTTGCTTTCTTGTCTTGTTTGTGGTACTTGTCGCCCAACAGTCCGAGCTGGTATAGGTTCGTGTGTAGGGTGTCCTTGGGCTGACTGTGGGGTGTGTGAAGACGGCGGCGTCCAGACAAAGAAAGTTCAAAACCGTTCGACATGGAAGGGCCGGGGCTGGAGCAGGGCTCACTTTTGGATCGCCTCAAGCACGTTTCAGCATCGAGAGAGCACACGGAGGATCGTTGAAGAGCCCGCGGGCTGGGTGGACCTTTAGGTTAGAGGCACCAGGTACCGGCAAAGTGCGTTAGCCGGGGTATTGTGCCCGACGCGATTCGAGCCGTGCAACACGGACCTGGCTGGGATGAACTGTGCAGAATTGGAGAATGTGATGCGCCGGCCCGTTAGGATGTGTCCTTGAAATAAAGTAACGCTTCTTTAGGGACTCAAAAGGAGCTGCAGGATATGCCCTGGCTTTTGTCACACCCGGGCTTGCACTACAAGACCGAAAGACTGCAGGCATCCCGTTTACAGGGAAGACCAAGCAGCACCGATGCATGGCTGCAGGCATGTCGCGCGACCCCCTGCACGGGGGCGTGACGGACGCACTTGGTCCCCTGCAACGACCGACCGGAAGGGCATTCGAAAATAGGGAGGCTTGGGAATGACTGCCATGCGCCACCTCGCCTATCATTCGCCAATACTTTACACCGCGATTCAGTCTGCAAAGTGGTCCATGATGGCGGGCCAGAGACCGTTCGCATTGCAAATCCTCAACTTTTGCGTCCGTGAGCACGTCGAACCGAGTAGGGAGGCAGCCCACATACCCGCTTGAGTGTTGGCGAGCTGAGTCGAATCAGGAGAGATCCAGACACTCCACGTCAGGGGAAACACTTATGACAGAAGAGGCTCCTCTTCCCAAATGTGACGACATTGCACCTCCTCCGCAATACTTACTCCTCGTAAAACCTGCATGCTGCCTCTTCCAGATAGGGAACGCGCTAGAAGCTCTGTTTGGACCCATTGAAGAGCGCGCTTTCCACTGGCCCTCCTAAACCACGGTCCACTGTCCAGCGTCACGGATTCAACATTGAGTCAGTCTCTTCCGTTAAAGTTTGGCTGCAACTGGGATGCCTCGGAAACACACCACTTCTAGAAAACTCCCACGAATCCTGCCAGGAGCATTTCACGAAGGGGTGACTTGAGGGAAACAATTTCTCTCCACGTGTAATGCGTGGCTAGTGGACTCCAGTTGCGCAAGCGAGCGTCACACTACCTTCGCACAATAATCTTTGAGGTTTTCTTGGTAACGAAAATGCACCACCATCGCGAACTTGGGTGCATCTTATCTCTTCCACCGGAACCTTGCTTATTGTTCAACGTATCTTTGGAGCTTCACCGAACTTGATACGTTGCTCAAAGACACTCGTGTCGGACGTACGACGCTGTAGGTATAGTGGTCCCTTGGATCTTCCGGCCCCAGGCGGGTATTTGCGCAATCAGCACATGGCACGCACGTGGATGCATCAACGTCATGATGAACTTTCGAGATGCGGGATCTCCAACTACTCAATCAGCAACGTCCATCGCAATATTTTGATCTCCGGATCTACAGTAGGGCGAATCGCATCTCGTGTGTGCAAATATGCAGCACGAAATTGTTGCACCAGATTATCCAGGCTATCCTTTTCTGCAGTCTCCTGCACCCGCAAGATACGCGCATCTTGTGATCGGATTGGATGCACAAATTTTCCGCGGCAGATTGCCATTACGTGTGCTTTGACTGCAGGCACTGTACGAGCTATGCACAATAGCTTTTCATCACTTGTGTTTCCTGTCGCTGTCAGTAACAAAGTCTGCATTACCCTGCATTTTTAGCCGGCAGATGTACGGATTCGCTCAGATCCCGCCACGGCTGAGCGCCGTTCGTACAGCCCATAGTGTAGCCGAGCAAGCGCAGACACAGGCAAAGAAAAGAGAAAAGCCTAGGTATATCAGTCTTCTAATCATACATGGCTACCTTCCACAGCCTTTCCCTTTGACGGCTGTGGTACAGTCGTACTGTACGATGGTTATCAGTAGGTGCGGAAGACGCGAACAGGTGCTGTCACCATTGTGACAGGCGCCTCACTATTCGAACCATTCGGTTGTCTTGCCTCTCCACTCTCCGACTGGTGCTGGTTGCCTGATACCTTGGTTGCCATGTGGCTAAGCGCCTTTCCGAAGCTACTGATGCGGCCTTTGGTCGTACTCACCGCATATCCAAGGTTTTCGCTGCAATCGCGAGCTCCATGTAGGTGATCTGGTCACTACCTCCACTACATTAAAAAGTCGACCTTCTGGAAGTAGCATTAGCTTCGCTTGCTCTGGGTATGAATGACTCTTGGGTGACCTTACTGTTGCTCTGATCCCTATCTCTCGTAGCCGTCGTAGTCCATGGATACCTAACTGTGCCAAGGATATCCTGCTACGAGATACGGTAGCACGACGATCTCCCTCGAGGTTTTGGTTCTCATCTTCCGTTGACCATCGGAGCTATTCTGCCTACAGTCAACGTGTGGTAATGCGACTAATGCAGTGCGCTAGTTTTTGGCGATCTCGAATAGCCTCCCATCTAGTGTGCGCCAGCAAAACCACCACACCACTACGGAAGCCACCTCGTCAAACTCAGGTTTCATGGCCTTTTTTACGCCCAATTCAAGCCACAAGATCTATCAATGGATCCATGACGATCATGTGCGCTCCTTCCCGCCTCTTGTGCTGATATCTTTCCCCACTCCTTCTAGAAGGTCCCCTTTTTTGCGGAAGACTTCCCAGCCATTCATTCAGCATATTCTTACAACTAATTTGTCACAGTACCGAATCATTAACCTGGCGCGGATAACAGCCGTCGAAATTTAGCGATAGAGATGCACATTTTTGCTGGTTGCTTACATTCATTTGGGCGTACATATGTCGTCATACTGAGCCTCAGCGCATAGCACACATACGTCCGACGCGAGGCCCTATTTGGTACTCAAGGGGTTCGAGTGAGTGGCGTAACGCACTGTTAGGACGGCAAGAAACCTTGCTGAAGTATGTGCCACACGTTTTCTGTATGCAATACCGGAAGAACTCCGGTCAGCGACGTACAGGCTGTGACTTGCATTGCCTCGGCGCAGCGCCGCTGATACGCCTGGATACCCTTCCCCAGACCCTCCACCACCCAAGCTAATATTGTCCGCAACAACGACACTATCACCCACTCGTGACAAACCACGGCTCTACCTCAAACGCGATGCTCCCTCATCGATTTCCTTGCGCCTGTAGCTAGATCTTTACCTCTACAGCATATATCAGCTACGACTACACGATACTGACCACTTCAGCAAAGAACGCCTATAGTTCGACTAATGCATCGTCTGGCGTACCCTGCACCGTCAGGTATCTATTGGGTATACCTACTTAAGGGTCTCCCATGTTACCAAGCGGAACGTTTAGCTCGGTATGTGCTGGCGGAACACACTCCGCCTTATTCGCCCATGAATGGTCATTTCGGGTACAAGAATACCACACGTTCGCTCAAAAAGCTCGAGCTACACACTAGGCATAAAGTGACGTATCCTGACACGGCCTCTGAGTTCGTGTCTACGTTTCAGCCTCAGCTGAACAGCGTCAGGAGTTGACTGTACAGTTTGTTTGCTTCAGATTCCTGGGAACCCAACCCTGGAGTAAGGTCCGAGCTCCACGATTGGCAGCCACGTTGTGTGCGCAATCGAGTAGGGTTCAACCTACTGCTACACGGCAACGCTATTCACAGAACATGCGCCGTACATCATCATCACACTTGACGTCCTTGCGTCCGCGAAGCCTTTGGTCTAGTGCCACCTCATACTTGACGCGTTGTGTGACTAGTAAAAGGACAGTGTCCTCGGTTGATGACGTTCCCGCTATACGAGAAGACAATTGATATCCAATTTACACACATAGCACGACAGTCAGACCGACCTTTTCGCTAAACCTTGGTCTGGTCTTTTCTCCGTTACATTTTACTGTACACACGGGAGACACATCGTATATGGCATTGAAGCCGTCCCTGGGCGGCACTGTATATTAAAAATCACTAGCCTCGGTACTTCTCTATCATGTAGAATCCCTGCTTGTCTACGGGATTTCGATGCGCACAAGTAAGGAATGGTAGCTGGAGATGAACGTACGTTAAAGGCCCATGCTTTTAGATGCGTCTCAGAGTGGGCGACTCACGAACCCGATCGCTCTCGAACTCGCGCTGAGCAGACTATTCGAGCACAACCTTTGTGAGAGTCTGCCTCACACAGTCCAGATGTGCTTACAAATAGAATTCATCGAGATGGTACCAGGGACGCATATGTACCCAAGATCGACGGTCAGAAGTGTTTGCGCTAGTCGTCCCATCGACCTAACACACTTTGAATCGTTTGTAGATACCCAAATACAGCGTCATCATCACAGAAACACAGAACCTTTTTACGATCAGAGCATCAAGTGAAGCAAGTTAAGCTTCCACGCGCACCAAAGACCCGAACCACTCGGGTGCTTGCCTTTGGTTCCGAACCTATTCTCGTATCGAAGAGCCGGGAGGAGCCAATAAAGCGCTACTGGTGTCACTCCGGAGAATATCGCGGCTGCATGCAGGGTCTGGCACAGTCGCTGTCTAGACAAAACGAGTGACAACTTTGCATGGACTGTTCTCGGCTGAGCATTAGAACGAAGATCAGATAAGCCGGTGAGGGACTATCGAGTTGGCGACATACTGTTTGAGCAGTCTTGCGACATGAAAGACGATGGCTTATGCGTACATCTAGCTGATCAACCAATACCTGATGGCATCGAAGTTAACAGAAAGTGTTACGTTTACCACAATTGGTCGCTGGAGCAAACCAACATGAAGGGAATGGTGTATATGCTATTCTCAATCACATCTGAATCCTATGGACCATACGCCTCTGACATCCACCAGAGTCGATACTACCCAGTGCCTTCACCCGGTACCTCCACTTCCCGTTAGGCATTGTCCAGGGTCTCGAGTTTCATATCCTCGGCACGTACAGCTCGCAACAGCTGCTTCGTACCATAGCACAGAGCAACAACAAGTGTTAGGCACTACTGAAGACACTTGACAGCCTCGCGAACGGCGGATTAGTAATCTTGAAACACTGTCGAACGTATGGTTGAACTGCCCCCAAATCTCCCCGCATTCGGCATCACACTACCGCCGTGGGTATTCTCCCGATAATGGTAGGTGTAACTGGTACAGTATGGGTTTCACAAATCTCTTTGTCATCTCAGCTCATGCTGTACCGTTTTTTTATTTTCAATTGTCAGCTGTCAGAAGTGCCTCCTCGAACTTTCGATATCAAGGACAGTTTCTATTACAAAGACTTAGACATGGTTCCAGTGTAATGGCTACTCCAACACATGGACGATTTCTGTCCTACCCCAGCGAGCCCAGCGATATTATGACTCAGTAAACCACGCAATCTCTCCACCTCTGCCTCCAAATCCAAACCTGGCCTCTTTCGTCTCTTACTTGAACAAAAGAGAAGAGAGTCAGTCGTGTCTCCACAACCCAAGGCGCGCCGAAACGTCGCCCCGTCCGTCGGAGAAATAACCTTAGTCAAGAACCTAGGAAAGCCGTTGCGCAGCGTTTGCGGCTCCCTCTTGGCCAAGGCCAAGTGAGCCGCATCCGCAGCCGTTAGTAAAGCGACCGTCCGACATGACGACGACTCTTGCCAAGATCAGCAACGTGAGATAACCAGGCTGGTTTTCCCCGAGCAAGGATTGTCAAGTCAGGTATCGTAAGTGGGTTTCGTGGGTGGATATCGTCGAACGGGAGTTGCCATCGCGGTACCTAGGTAACGTTCCGAGGTCCTTTTACATGACTTGTTGTAACGAAGATCCTCATTACCGTCTTAGGTGATGTTTCGTCTATAACTTCTGCCCGGTGATATCACCAAGTTGTTGATCCTTCTGATAAAGTTGTAGGAAAACTTTGCCCATGGTGCTGGGTCGCATATAAGCGGTGGTTGTTCGAGTTCAAAGACTAGAGTGGATGCCTGAGCAGAACCCACAAGTCAAAGCGGTAGTCATACAATACTCATTTCCTCCTGTTCTAACCAACTCCAGAGGCATGCTAGAGATCGCCCTAGGGATGATGCTAGTTGGATATGTACGTTGAAGAGCACGCAATACAGGTATAGGCGAATATTGCCTGTCACGCTGGAGGAAGGGACCAGGTACGGTGCCTACTCGTGGTGTTACATGCTTACGCGCCATACGTACCACTACGACTATACAGAGTATACGAATCCCTCCCCTACAGTAAGCTGAGGTGGAGAGCGATATGCACAGCCACACGTGCTGTAGGTACCATGTCCTCTTGTGCAAAGCCGCCGTTGGCCTCAGTGTTCGGTCACAGAGACATTAGTTGAGCTCGAGGCATCAGGCCATCACAATCAGATATCTGAAGATCGCAATCCACAAGACGTGTTGGGCAAAGGGAAAAGGCTCACCCTTAAAGGGCACGGTGAAGTCTTTTCTCGAGCGCAGGGCGCGCGCTCGTGTTTGTGAGGGGACTGATCAGCAATGGACCCACACGCTAAGCGGCCAAAGCTTGTATGTGCACCGCCTCATAGCCGTGGTGCCCTGCATGTCTTGCGAACCCTGGAGTTTTGAATGTGGCTCAACACTTTTCAGGGGAAGCTTTTCATCATACTCAAGGAGCAGAGCAAAAACACGTGAGAATGTGGATTGAGGATAAGGTATTGGAGTCATTCCTCCGGAGATGCTGACAAATGAGCCAACCGACTCAGGTTGCAAGCATTCGAATCCGTCGTACAAAGACACGCCAAGAAGCTCAAATTGTCCCGTCACTCGTCGCCGTTAACCCTCGGCCGTGTCACCGTCATGATACGTGTATTCATTCAGCACCCGCAACTTCAAACGCTTACTTCTGCATCATCAACTGGACGAACTCGTTGTCTGGTGTGTATTAGCATCCCACTTGTGATGTAGGCGGCTGCAACCTACAGTCGATGCGGCCGTCACCGTCCTGGTCAGCCTCCCGGATCATCTCGTCGACCTCGTCATCGGTCAATTTCTCGCCAATAGAAGTCATGACGTGACGCAGTTCGGCGGCGGAGATGAAACCGTTGTTATCGCGGTCGAAGACCTTGAAGGCTTCCCGGATCTCCTCCTCGGAGTCGGTGTCCTTCATCTTGCGGGCCATCATGGTAAGGAATTCTGCAAAAGTTAGCTGTGGTACTTTGGACTGGTATGGAGGGGCGCACCTGGGAAGTCAATGGTGCCGTTGTTGTCGGCATCGACCTCGTTGATCATGTCCTGGAGCTCAGACTCGCTGGGATTTTGGCCGAGCGAGCGCATGACGGTACCTAGCTCCTTGGTGGTGATTTGGCCATCGCCATCCTTGTCCTACAAGACGACGTCGTCAGCTGCATGTTGGTGATTGCGCAGGCCCCCCAGGGCTCCCAGGCAGCCGCGCGGCATGGCAGAGGATGGGGAGGGCACTTACAAACAGAGAGAAGGCCTCCTTGAACTCGGAGACTTGCTCCTCGGTGAGAGAATCGGCCTGCATGGACCTGTTAGCGATGCGCTCTGGTGCTGGCGGGCAGGCTATCGTGGTGTTTTGCAGGGCGGGGTATGTTTGGGAATGTGCTCGGACGGCGCGGGGCTACACACCATGATTTGTTTGCGTGGTGTCTGGCAGCAAGGGGGAGGGAGGTTGTTGGTCGAGTGCGAATGTTGGGCTGGGCCGGGTTTGAGATATAGCAGAGGCGCAGGTGCGGTGTGAAGGAGATGCCAGTAGTGTTTGCGGCTGGAGAAGATGGGCTGGAGTGGAGCAGGCTGTCAGACGGCCCTATCTAGTGCGGCCCTGCTGTTGGGAAGCTGGCGCTAGCGCCGCCCAGAGCGGGAAGGCGGCTTCAGCTGCACCGCCCAGACACGTCTACCACGCTGCGAATGCGCCTCACTCCAAAGTCGACTATCCACACTCTACTCCGTGTGCCCTGCCATGACCTAGCCCTGTTGACCCTCGCCAGCCCAGCATGTGGCGGGACCGAACCAATCTGTATGCTGCTGCTGCCGCTTCCGACCGCCCTGCCCTTCCCTCGCTGACGTAGCTGCGTAGCTTTATATCCTACCGCCAGTCCTACTCCCACCACCCCCAGAAGAAGACGCGCTATGGCGGCCCAGGCTCCAATGGCTTCGGCGACAGCAGGCGCATGTCCGACGAGCGGCAGGGGCTCATGGCCAGCGGCGCATACGAAGACGACGGCGATGCCGTGATTGAAATGGACCTGCTGCCTCCACGATGGCTGGACATCCAGGACGACATCACCGAACACCTAGCCGAGATAGCCAAGCAAACACGCAAGCTCGACCAGCTACACCAGAAGCACGTGCTGCCGGGCTTCGACGATGAAGACGTCAAAAAGCGGGAAGAGCGCGAGATTGAACACCTCACCCAGGGCATCACACGCCTCTTCCAAAAGTGCCAGCTAGCCATCAAGCGTATAGAGACCATGGTGCGCGAAGCCAAGCAGCAGGGCAATATCAACCAGGGCGAAGAAGTCATGGCACAGAATCTCAAGATCTCCTTGGCTACCCGTGTCGGCGAAGTGAGCGCCATGTTCCGCAAGAAGCAGTCGGCCTACCTGAAGAGTGAGACATGCCCAGTACAAAACATGGGCAGTGCTGATGATTTGTCCAGAACTACGCGACCTCGGCGGCTTTACCTCGCCCTTCCGCTCTGCGACACCCGTGCAGAACCCCTACAACGACCCTGCCCTGCAAGAGTCCGATGCCGATCGCTCCTTCTCGCAATCCACGCTTCTGCAGACAAAGCAACAGCGCATGCGCCATGACCCCAACGAAGCCATCATAGCCCAACGCGAGCGCGAAATTGAAGACATCGCCCAAGGTATCATTGAGCTAGCAAACATCTTTCAGGAGCTACAGACCATGGTCATCGATCAAGGCAGCATGCTGGACCGCATAGATTACAATGTAGAGAACATGTCGCGAGACGTCAAAGAAGCAGACAAGGAACTCAAAGTGGCGTCGGGATATCAAAAGCGAACCATCAAGAGGAAGATTATGCTACTGTTGGCTATCTTGATCGCAGCTGTCTTCATACTGTTATCGCTCAAGCTGAGCAGAAGAGGCGGAAACGATGCGCCGGCCGCTCCACAAGTGCCAGATGTCCCGCCGGCGGCAGCGATAAGAACCAGACGACAATCAACCAGCATGCGCACGAGTCGCGTATGGCACCGAAGAAAACGGCGGTTATGGCAGGGGGTCCAAGACCACCCTTTGACGCTCTAAGGGCCGTTCTTTTAGAAATGGATAAATCATGATTGCTGCCTCGTACCGTCCAGTCTCACTGTGTACCTGCTAACCTTCGATGACTCTCTATCAAACAGGCGGTTCTACACATGTGTCCACGTTCCAAGTACCGTGCTCAGACTCGTCGAACAGTTTCGCTTCTTCAGTGGATGCCCAAAGATTGTGATCGCCGGATCCGTTCAGCAAGTTCAAACTTCATTATGCTTAGTCCAGAGTCAGTGGCGCGTGGCTGTTCAACAAAGACGGCAATTGCCATGTGCCTCGACAGAAACCACGACTGCCTTTGTAGCCCGCATGCGGAAGGCGCAAGGTAGGAACACCATTGCAGTCTTGCTGAACAAAGACTCCATGTTTTGGCAGTCCAAAATTTGTTTGGAGAGGCTGTCTATACATCTCATGCTGCTTTGCGTGTGCTGCTGGGGCTTCTGATGACCTTCATAGTATTTTGGATTCTTCTAGGACACCGGAGCAGTTTACTCCTCATCATGAACCTGAAGAAAAGCAAATTCTGGCCCCCATTTTACATCACGCCCAGGCACCCAGGACATTGGCCCTTGAGCGAGCATGTTACCACACGGATTTGTCGGTATGCAGGCAGACAGGCCAGTGCTATGCTCTATATTGCTCTGTACAAGAACAGAGTAGGCGGCAAAGATGCAAACACAGCCCTGCGAGCTGTGTATTACGAACCATTCACGTACTGGGACTGGCATGGGGTGGATGCTGAAGATGAAAGCGCCTCCAAACACAAGAAACAGCTTGTTTGGGAGCGTCAACGAGGCTTCACAGCTGCCAAAGGTGAAAAGGCTGGATACCCGTATCCTCAAGAAGCATGGCAACGATTCCGACACCTAATCGATAACCATGCAGAGAGACGCCATTGGGTTGCAAAGATGGCAGTGGCGCATTGGATGAATATAGAGGATCTGACGTGGTGAGTCTTCTCTAGTTCGTCTACATCATAAACAACAAAAAGACCTTCGGCTTCCCGCAATCCCAACCGAATTCGTACAACTATGAAGCCGATTGCTGACATTTTTCCAGGATATTCCGAAATCTGCCGTCGCTTGAAGCCCTGGACTTGAGCGACATTGCACTTTTCACAGTCCAGCCATACAAGGGCTATGCAAATGAGCCTCCGTTAACTATGACTGACACATGGGCATACTTTTTTCTTCGTATACCCAGCGTGTGTCCTGTAAGAGAGACGGCGCCTAAACTGAAATGGCTTGGTATTCCAGATTTCCGAGATGTTTCACTTGTCGCTCCACGGATCCTGCTCGATAATTTCCTACCGCTTTGTACGAATCTCCAAACGCTATCTATCCGCGGAAAATACCGGGAAGAAATCCCACCACCGAGCCTTAGTGGACACGAATACGTCTGTGATTTCATCAGGGGCATCAAGATACGTACACCGTCCAGCGTCACGGCTCTTGAACTCCGGCTTTCGATTCCTTTCTTACATCAGCTACTAGTCGCTCTACATGCAGAGGACAGGCTGAACATAGATCAGATAGGTCTCGATCTTGGAGCCTGGGCTCAGACATACCCTCTCAGAAATACTTCCACGGAAATATCAGACAATGATGTCATATCGGCAGCTTCGAAGGCAGCTTCGAAGGCTCGTTTTGATATTTACAAACAACAACACAACAAGCTCCTATCTGCATCATCGAGATGGCTTTTACCAGCGCCAGAAGACATTCCTTACACGTCAGATGTTTCGAGTTCTTCTGGAAGTCCCGCATTCGAGAGGCTCGACGCAAGGCCTACATTTCAGAACGAACCATATAAAGCGAAGGGAGGGTCAGATATCCGCAATTACACGTGTGATCGAAGCAAGCTCGAAAGCCGGAAGAAATGTGGAAACAAAGACGAGAACCACCACAAAGAACTACTCGGTAGCCTTGAAAGGACACATGTAAATTCTTTGCCATCCATGTTGGTGAAGCTGCATGACGCGGGTCGAATTGCTGCATCTCAGGACTACAGTCTATATTCACTGAACCCTGAATGGCAGGTCAATAGCACGATTCCCCTACATCCCTTCACCATGATCCAGAAGTACCAACCTGTCCCTACACTATCTATGGACCAGGGTCGGGACTACAAACAGCTGACAACAGATCGACTCAAAGAAGCATACACTTGGTTGAACGCGACTTTTGCATGGCGGCCAATCTTCGACTGGGACTACTTTGTAAGTTCCGGTATGGAAAGTGCGAAGGAAAACCTGGACGTTGCATTCTCCAGCTTGGAACAACAATACAAACTTGGCAACACAACTAGGAGTACGAATGAGGTACTCTTAGGTGAGGTTTCTAGGCAATTACAGATCATGCGAGACGCCGGCATACCAATCCATCTTCTCATGGGCCGTCGCAACCCTGATGAGTCCAGCCTGTACTGGGGCTGGCCTTACAACTCAGATGCATGGGAGAAATCGCTTCAAGCGCCGCCCGATGCTGGTTTGGGAACAATAGCAGCTCACATCGATACCTTGAGTATTTTCTACGACCTACGCAATCCTCTGGACGAGCGGCGATTGGAAGAGATTGATAAAAGGCAACCGTATCGACGACCCGAAGCATATTGTCCTCGCCCAAACGGCCCTTGGCACCTTACTAAGAATAGCCCATTCAAGAAGCAATGGCAAGATCGGCCATCGCGATTATCGAAGCGCAATACCCAGAAGACGGCGAACAAAAAGATTATCGGAAAGAAAACTCGCGTCCCGCTGGCCAACAACCTCGACTCATGTCCTCCGGCCGGGGAGTTCGCTGATGAACACTTTTACGATGACCCCGAGACGGACAGATCCATACCAGAGACCTTGCACCAGGTCGCCCGTCGTGCTGCATTTGAGCGAGAAGCCGTTGGTTGGCACCGATTCTGGACCGAATATGCACCTCAAATGACGAACTTGAAGGAACTACGGTTGCGAATGCCTCAGAACTTCGATAGTGTGGGTAGTTGGAGTCTCCGCCAACTTCTGAACCCAAAAGAGACCTGGGTAATGTTTGGTTATGCGGACGAGCGGGGCCATATGCAGACACAAGAAGATCTCCTGCATCACGTCGCGGGTGACTTCAAGCTGCACATGCATGCAGCACAAGAAAAAATATGGCCTGGCGGCCGCTTTGTACGACGCAGTTGGATTCTATGGACACCTGAGCCTACAGGCACTGCTGAACTTGCTTTGCATAGAGGTACAAATGAGGCGAGATGTCCAACATCGCATCCATCTTCGAGCAACAAAACTACTGACCTATACAAAACACACAAGCTGGCAGGAGATAAGCGCGAAAAAGAACAGCTTCAAAAGGCCATCAAGCAAGCACGAGAAACAGCGCGAAAAGAAGAAGAACTTGAGGCTTCACTTCTACTCTCCTCATCAGAAGATCTTGTTAGAGATCCTCCAGCAGTGACACCGAGGCCAGAAGACATTGAAAGAAGGCTGACAGGAATCTACGGTCGCCACATTCGTGGTGTTGCCCAGAGAACCTGGCGCGCTGAAATGCGAGGTCACGCCGAACAGCTGAATGAGGATGTGTACGGAAGAGACGAAACTGTTCATAGTCTTCGTCGAGTGGGCGCCGTATCACAAGTCGAAGACGCTACGATTGCACGAGACATACTGCGGGATACTCGAGATCTTCTGCTAAAACGCATGCATGACTTCCGTCCAGAAGACATCTTTGTACCATGTGATCGCACAGAACATACGAACGGCTTGAAGCTTGTGAAGCACATGACCGACTATGCTGCCGAAGAGCGTAAACGGCGAGGAGAGCCAGTGCAAGAGGACGCACATCGGACAGAGAAGCCGACTTCGAAATTTGCGTCTACAAACACGAGACCTGGTGCCCTTCCACACGGTACACAGCAGTCGCAGACAAGTCCTGTTGAGAACAGCTCAGAAAAATCTAGTTCGGAATCCACGAGCTCGGATGAGGACGATCCTCGGCCGACGAGATTCACTCCTGCAATGCAAACTAAACGGATCACAGCAACTCAGACTATCACAGCTCAGCAGGGCTTCGAAGCTATCTATACAACGCGAAAGCTCAAGCTAACTCAGCAGTCAGCCAGTGATATTGCTACTGGGCAAAATGAGAGAATTCCCAAGTTTGAGAGGAAACCCAACAAGGGATCGAGTGAGAGCGATCAAGCCGCACACCAGACATCTGAACACGTTGGCTTCGCACAGAGCACAGTAAAAGGAAGGACTACAGAAGAAAAAGGAAGGCCTGAAGAGCAAGCTACTGAAAAGAAGAGGCTCATTGAAGTGAAAAAAGCTGCCATCGCAACAGCAGAGGCGGAGAAGGAGGCCAGGATTGCTGCTGAGAATAAGGTTGTCCAAGAAAAGAAGAAGAGAGATGAAGCAAAGAGTCAGAATGCTGAAATCAGGAGGCAGGTAGAAGAGGTTGGAGCGGCTGCTAAGAACATAGCCGCTGACGAGAAGGCCACGAAAGAAGAAGCCAAACAGAAGGCAGAACATGTGAAGAAACAAGCTGCTGCGGAAAAGAAAGAACTAATGAAGCAGGCGGATGCAGAGAGGAAGAAGGTGAAAGATGCCATAGCTGCCGAGAAGAAGAGAACCGTTGACAATGAGGCTGCGAGAAAGGAAGCTGAACAAAAAGCTGCCGATGAGATCGCAGAAACTACCGAGATAGCAGCTGTCAAAGCTAAAGAAGCTGCAGCGACTATCAAGGCCGCCAAAAACGAAGAGACTCCTGATATCGTCCCAACGATCGAAGGAATTCTTCCAGGCAAGCTGACTGAGAAACCGACCAAGTCGCAGAAGACTCCCAAGGAAAAATCACCAAAGATTCTGGAAGGTACTAAACGTAAACAGCCTTCTCCTGATCAATTTGACGATGACACTGTCGATGAAAGAAAACCTGTCAAGAAACCTCGTCCTAACAAAGGAGCATCAACAACGTCCACACCTATTAGACGTAGCGCGCGACTTCGCACACAGACACCAACGAAAACACCTACACCGCAATTTGAGTTCCCATCGGATGTTAGTGTCACCGAGAACAGTGAACATGCTATTGAGGACGATGATAAGAGAAAGAAAGGCAAGAAGGGGAAGAAGGATGTAGATGACTATAAGCCACATGGTAGTACGAAGAAGAGGACTTCGACGAAGGTTGCAAAGGCAGCACGGGAGAAAGCGATGGGTAGCAAAGCAGTAACGCTGGCTAAGGGGAGAAAGAGAGGTGCTGATGAAGAAGAGGAAGAAATCGAGGAGATTGTGAAAAAGAAGCCGATCCAGAAGTCGCTCAAGACGCCAGCCAAAAAGAAGGTGAAGAAGGCCGATGAGGATGGCAGCGAGTTATAGGGATGAATCTTTCATCAACGTTTCCCCATTGACGTCCCCGTAGCTTCAGCCGCTACAAGTTTTTTTGTTCTTGGAAAATCTATCAAACACTATCTGTGCGGTGACTTTCATTTAGCACTCAAATACGGTGAGTACGCATGAGGACGCAGAGGTGATAGAAGAAAAAAGTGATTGAATCGTCCCTCTGAATCTTCGAAGCAACCAAGGCCAGAGAGAGAGTTTTAGCGGAGATTTCGCTGACCTGGAAGAGGCTGGGGCGAAGACATAAATGATATGCGTGAACATGCGGTCACGAATTTAGGTCTCGCGGTACAGAATAGAACAGATTAGCAACGAGTGTTACCGAATCGTAAACTTTTACAATCATCTGTTTGATCACACAGCTGTAATATGTTCAAAGCTACAAATGATAGTCAAAGTTTCTTGTACAAGAATGAGGTCTTTGTATGTAACGTTCCCAACCAACCAAAAGCAGCAGCTCCGCCAGCTCAGCCGCATGATCCCCTCACCACTCACCAGGCTGAAGTCTTCTCTAGTCAGTCTTGAATATCTCTCATTATCTCGCAATTAGTCGGACAGCGTTGCAATCATTAGTGAAGGCTCACGCACACACATCATTTGATCCCAGCCACTTGCGACTACTAGTATCAAACATGAACGCAACGATGGCAGCTACACAACCGCTTCTCGACTGGATCGCAGCACATCCCTACCAAACAGTGTTCCACGTCGTCAACGGTGTCGTACTTCTTACGCCTGCAGCCGCTACTGTACCTTTCTTCAACGCGCTTGGATTAAGTGCGGGCGGGCCCGTCGCGGGTAAGTCCCTGCCTACTAAGTACACAGAGGCTCACACTGTATTCGATACTGATGATGTCGCAGGCTCAGCAGCAACTTCCATCATGAGCTTCTTCGGCTATGTACCCGCCGGTGGCATCTACGCGACGGCTCAAAGTGCAGCGATGGGCGGATATGGCGCGAGTATTGCCGCCGGAGCAGCACAGGCAGGTGCGATGATGAGTTCTGGAGCTGCATGGCTGTTCGGGCGCAACGGCACTGGGGTCTAGGCATCCATATATCAGAATGGATGACCCAGCATTGAAGTAGCACGACGTGGAGCAGATATGGTATGCGTTGCGAGAAGAGGAAGTAGGTGACTAATGACGTGTTACCTCGGCTCGGTTGCTCCTTCACGCCAAGGTCGTAGACTCGACTTGTATGATCAAACATGCCTATCATATAGAACGCCTTACGCCATCCTTTGCCTTGCCTATATTATATAAACTCTGATGCAGAAGAGGTGTTGGCCTGCTGATCTCACTACTTGAAGTCAACATACAGAAATGGAGCCAGCAACCTCCCCACCAGCAGCAGATATCGCAAAACCACTATCCAATTTCCAAAAGATAGGCCACAACACATACCTCTGGACCTCGCCGCCATACTTGACTCAGCCTGAAGATCAAACACCACTCATCCTCCTCTTCGCCTGGAACGCCGCGGCTGCAAAGCACATTGCCAAATATACAGTCACCTACCAAGAGTTTTTCCCGACATCCCGCATCTTACTAGTACGATGCTTCACTCAAGACATGTTCCGCAGCGCCTCTTCCTATAGCTCTTTACTCCAGCCAGCAATAGAGCTTGTAGCCGAACACATCACTGCAGGAGACGAAGTCCTCGTCCACAGCTTTTCAAACGGCGGCGGAAATCAAGTCAATGAGTTTGCGAAGGCTTGGAAGAAGAAGTATGGTACAGTACTGCCGATGCGAGCACAGATTCTCGATTCTAGTCCGACAAAAGGTCCGTGGATGAAGAGCCACGCAGCGATATCTGCGTCTCTTCCCAAAAGTATGTTTTGGGTTTGGTTTGGTGGGGCACTGGTACATCTCTTGCTTGTTTGTACATTCATTGCCGATAAGTTGATGGGAAGGGAGCATAAAATGGTGGTTTTGTGTCGGCAGCTGAATGACGAGTCGGTGTTTGATACGAAGGTGCCACGTGTGTATCTATATAGCAAGGCGGATCAGATGGTGGGTTTCGAGGAGGCAGAAGAACATGCTGATATCGCCAAGGCAAAGGGGTGGGATGTGACAAAGGTTCAGTTTGAGAAGAGTCCGCATTGTGGGCACATAAGAGAGGACCAAAGAAAATATTGGACGGCGGTTGTTGTAGCTTGGACGAAGGGGCCAAGGGACAAGTAGAGCCACTGGCTAGTAGGGATACCAGTGTAATGTAATGTTCATGCTGAGATGGCAGTATCTCGAGCGTGAACAGATGCATTGCATGTCCGTATATCTATAATCTAGCTGCCACCAGCGAGAGGTAAATGTTCCATAACAGACCACAGAAACTGAGGAAGACAATGCGGCGCTCGACGGGGACAAAGGTCGTGCTGAAGAAGTTGGCAATCGGCCAGACTTTGTATGAATCGAAGATGAGACCAAAAAGCTCCTATCTCATGTATTAGTCATGTACATGGAGACGCTTCATTGGAGGGGCGTACTTACATTTCTGAAGTCTTGTACAATCAATGCCACAGTCTTGCCCTTCATGAGACCGATCAAGATCAAGAACATGGACTGATTCAGCAGGGCGCCCATGGTAATACACTGCTTGTTGTCAGCCCTTGCCCACGATCGAAAGTGAAGAGTGAGCCACGTACGTCTGTGAACCATTTCCTAAAGATATTCCACCAATTCCTTACTCTGACCTCTTCTTCCACTATGCTTTTTCCATCCCCATCCTCTCTCAGCATTATGCCCTTCTCCTCTTCACCTTCCCCTACAGCCCTAGTCTGCCTAACCGTCTTCCAGCCCGGAAATGCGCGTTCGAGCCAATTCTGCCAATGGTAGTTGATGGGTGCGGTGAGTACGACCATGATGGCGAACTGGGTGAAGAGAACACGGTCGAAGACGAATGGCTTTGATTCGTTCCATGCTTTGAGGCGTTGTGCAATAATGTTGCTGCACGAGTCTATAGCGAGGGCGGAGAGACAAGCTACAGCGATCGGGGGTAGCTTCATGATTGCGAGGAAGGTGGGAGAGAATGGGCGGGATGGTGAGAACGTTGAGGATTGGTTGCAGGACCGATTGTGAGATGCGGATCAGCGAGGCCAAGTAAGCATCGGATTACGCGCGTGTTTCGACGAGGAGCGGCGCTCAGGCAGGTCAGCGTAGAGCAACGGTCGTTGAGGTGGAAGAGGACAAAAGCAAATCAGGACGCGGCACTGCAATCTGCTATCGCTGCGCCGTTGAAATGCGACTCCACATTTGTTGGTGTTGCTATTGCGCGTCCGTTCGGTGCATCTGAGCCCGAATCAGATGGTGGCTTGAAGAGTGGCGCAACTGACTCGGCAGTTTTCCGTTCTCCCATAGGTACCAAAACTCATTCTTGACCTTCCACTACTCACCAAGCTCTTCACTATCCTGCTAGACAGATACTGAGATGTAGTCCCATTGATATGAGACTGTGCATGTGCTGCGGAGCTGTTGTAGCTGTTCGTCGAGCTCGCTGCGGACCGCAATCTAAACAACCTCGGAAACAAAGAAACCATGAACGTCCAATACTCATACTGACGTTTAACCTATCGGAAGAGCAAGGAGTTCGCAGTCATACTCGTACAAAATAAAACGAGATGCACACAAGTCGTAGGCCTCTTTCTAAACAGGAAGGCGCATATCGTAATGTCAGTCCAAATTCCCAATAGACAGACGTTGGCTCGTGGTGATCCCAGATCCAGGGTTAGCGTCTGCTCAACTTCATTCTGATGTTTTGGAAAATCGATCCGATTGCAATCGAGTTGCAGCCTCCATCATGTTTAACGCAAGACAAAGGCCCTTAAACAATATGTGGATAAAAACAGACACGTGGGATCTTGTCCATCAGCCTGTTCTTCTGGGTATCTTCTTCGCCCAAACCTCTGGACGCTGTCTATTTCCTTGGCAGCTACAGTCCTTCAGAATTGTCTATTGAATATTCATATCAATATCTTCTCTCTCATTCTGGTCTCTGTTAGTTGTTGACCGGCCCGAACCATACATGCAGGCCAGCCAAATTCTGCTTAACTCCATTGACGATGACATAGCATGCGCTAGACATCATCATTGCTCAGATAACGTCACCGTACAACCAGTTCCCCATAAACACACCAAACAGATTCTGTAGCTGCCATCGAAAAAGCATAATGTGGGGGCCAATCTCTGTACGTTGGCTGGAGATCTACCGAGGCTCAGTAATCGACTGTGGGTGGGCAGTATCGGCGAACATGTTGCGCCAGCGGACAACTATATTGTAAACTCTCTTCTCGTCAATTGGGCTACAAGACGCCACTTGTAACTCATCTTGTTTGTACATTACACACCAAAAGAAACCACATCAATAATCACCATTATCATGTCAAATCAAGCAGCGTGGATCCCAGAAGCGAAGGGCCAGCTTCAGGTCAAGGAAGCTCCCATGCCAAAGGCGGGCAAGGGCGAGGTTGTGATTAAGAACCACGCAGTTGCTGTCAACCCCGTGGATTGTGAGTATCTGCACATGTGCGGTTCGTTCAATTGTGCTGATTGCGCAGGGAAAATCCAGGACTATGGAATCTTCCTGCAAAAGTACCCCAACATCTGTGGTACTGACGTCGCTGGCGAGGTTCACGAAGTCGGTGAGGGTGTTACACATGTCCAGAAAGGCGACCGCGTACTAGGGTTTGTCTTCAGTCTCATGAGCTCCAGCGAGAGAGTATACTGACAGCATGGTGCAGACATGCATTTTCCCTCGTTACCAACGACCCTGCGCACGGCGGATTTCAGCTCTACACTGCCTGCAACGCACTCGTCGTATCCAAGATTCCATCTGACATGAGCTTCGCGTCAGGCTCAGTCCTGCCTCTTGCCATTTCAACTGCAGCCGCCTGTCTCTATAAGAAGGAGACGCTCGGGCTGCCGCTGCCATCCTCCAATCCCTCATCTACAGGCAAATCAGTATTGGTATGGGGCGGCTCGAGCAGCGTGGGTGCGACGGCGATTCAGTTAGCGGCTGCATCTGGCGTGAAGGTTGTCAGTGTGGCAAGCAAGCACAACCTGGAGAAACTCAAGGGCCTTGGCGCAACAGCGGCCTTTGACTACAAGGACCCCAAGGTTGCCCACGACATCATGGCCGCTCTCCAAGGCACAGAATTCGCGGGTATTTGCGACGCCATCGGTACGCCAGATGCCGCGGCTGCCTGGACACCAGTATACGAGAAGCTCGGTGGACGCTACGGCTCCGTCTTGCCCGATGCGGAGGGTCTCCCCAAGGGCATCGAGGGCGCCAGTGTCTTCGCTCCAACTGTAGCGCTGGCTGACAAGTACATTGGCGATGTTGTCTGGGCGCAGTGGGTACCAGAGGCGCTAGAGAAGGGCACGCTGAAGGCTGTTCCAGAACCACTGGTGGTTGGAAAGGGACTGGATGCGGTAGCGGAGGGCTACAAGAAGCAGAAGGAGGGTGTCAGCTTCCGCAAAGTCGTCATCGAATTGTAAGCCTCGCGGACAGGACAACCTGCTAGCCTAAAGAACGAACATGGTATCAACTCAGGTCGAACATGATCATAAGCGCAGTCCCATGTGATATCACTCGAATAAATCTTCTGGAAACTTCGCCAATTATTACGAGCACATACCTTGGTACTTGACCATCAGGGGAGCTGTTCGCAGCCTCGGCGAAAGGTACTGCCGAACGGGCCCACTTTAAAGTTTTTAGCTTCCTGCACCTCTTCTTCAGTTCGCATTCTTCCTCTTCTCAAGTTGCCAGCATATAAAGTGCTGGCCGATCCGTCGCCTCTTTACTGACAACAGTATCCTCGTGTTATTCAGTCGTTCCTGTAAGTACTACCACACATTTTCACACCCTTACCCTCCCCCGCACTATGATGAAAAACGTTCCACATTCGCAGTTTCCACGCTAGCCATCAATCGAACCTACTTTAGATGGTCAATGAGCGCGAATACCTTCCTTGGATGTCTGATTTGCTTTCCATCTCTACATTACAGTTACGATGCCTTTTCACGAGCTTTCGCTGACTTCCAAAAGACATTTTAGTCCCCGAACATAGCCCGCTTGTATGCTGCTACGGACAAGGACCTAGGCAACTCAGTATGTTGACCACCAGGTTCTGGTCACCAGGCATTGGCAAAGACGTAGTTGAAGTCGGAGTTTTGACTAGTTCATTCAATACTCATATACAATTAGCACCAATAATACCTCTGCTCTGCCTCTCCAATTCAACATTGTCCATCATGCTACTGCGCCTCGTCTTTCTTGTCATCTCTGGTTCTATCTTTGCACGGGTATAACATCTGCTTCGCACTCCGGTGTCGATCGTTTAAAGCATAAAGAAGGTGAAGAGACCGGTCATACCAGCGAACATGGCGCTGCCAGCGAGATGAGATGCAGCGCCTGTCGCTGCTGGAGAAGAAGATGATGATGACCCAGATGTGGAGGTGCCGTTCTCAGACAGGTTGCCGCCAGAGCCGGCGGTCGATGTAGGAGACACATTCTCGGTGGCCTTCTCAGAGGCGTTCTTGAAAGCCTCGATAGTGTTGGGACCGGAAGCCCTAAACAATGTCAGTCAAAGCAGGCGTTCTTAGAACTCGTGAGGACTTACGGTGGGTTGATAACACCAACCATGCCATTTTGGCAGTGCTTGCCCTGTGTGCAGTAGAACCAGACAGGTGCCGAGGCGTTCTTGACCTCGTATGTAAAGGTTGTAGGCGCAACAGCCTCCATGTCGGTCGTTGGGACGAAGCCACTCCAGAAGCCATTCTGCATGGGCTGGCAAGGGTTGGCAAAGGTAGCCTGGGCGACGGAGTGGTTCTTGGGCCAGAACGAGAAGGTGACAGTGTCGCCCTCAGCGGCCTTGAGGCTGTCTGGCTTAAAGACAAGATCACCGGCCTTGGTACCGACAAGGACCTTGTGGTCCGCTGCAAAGGCAGCGCTGGCCATGGCCGAAGCAGCGAAGATGGTGGAGAAATGCATTATGATTGGTTTGGTTGGAAAAGAGACTAGCTCGTTTTGGTAATTAAGATAATGCGGGAAGAAACAAAGGGATGTCTTGGTGTGTAATTGGTAGTGAGAAGTGAAGAACGTGGACCTGCCTGCCGAACAAAGGTGAGCACATTTGCGAGCGTTTTATAGTACAAAGAGAGAAACAGTTGCCGCCCGTCGAGCGGATGAGTCGGTATACCCATCCCATGGCATAACAGCTTCGAGACTTCAGGCGTCGCGAAGGCATGCTTTCTTGACGCCTGAACTTTCCAAGCGAGATCTGGGGAAACAGGACGGTCAATGCAGTGCGTTGTTACTGGCTATGTTTGCCGTGGGCGCCTCTGTTGAGCCACTTGCCGCTCGCGTACGACCGTTTCTCGCCTTAGGCCGTTGCTGTGGCTGTATGAGAGCCAAGACTAGACCCTGATCTCTACGGCAAACGTGTTTCTGGCGAAGGGATGAAACTCAGTGTTGAGCGTTGATGGAACACGGCGTGTTTTAGAGAGCGTGCACGGAGCCCGAACACTAATCTAGCCTCGCTCCGTCACCCGTTGCCTCCATATCGACTGCCGTGACAGCGGACGCGTACCGTCGCAACGTCTGGGGCGCAGACAGCTGACAGGCCGTTGTATCCGCTGAGAGGAGGACCTCCGTGCGAACTCATACGCTTCGCGAAACGTGCGACAGCGCCTACAGCTTCCGGTGCTGACCTCGGGGCCTCGGAATGGTGCTACTCCACGTCTTCCGGTCGAATAGATCTCATAACATTGCATCAACTCACCATCCGGCATCTTCCCACTTGCGCAAAGCGTGGCGACAACTTTACTTGGGTCTAATTACTTCATGCCTTCGAAATACGTCAAAGCGCTGGCGGAGACGGTGTTCCAGCACTCCGACGCTTTACCCAGTGGCTATGTTGAATCTCCACTCTTACGAGGTCGCGGTCCATGAACAGAACCTACAGTATAATCCGGCTGTGCGAAGGAAAAGCTACAATTAGATGTCACGTGGTGACATTCGAGTGTTGCTTCAATGGTGAGCAGGCAGCCCATGTGCTAACCCGAGGTTGTCGTTGCTGGTGTGAGCGCTACCCCAACGGCCAGCTAATTCGACTGCGCACTTCCCTGGGCAACAGCTATAGCTCCATTGTACAGCGCTGTAGCGGGTTATAGTCAAATCTCGTGTTCGTCGACGTGGCGTTGTTACCGCCCCTTCCGAGGCCATACCCAGTGCTCCCTCTTCTTTTGGTTACAACACCAGGCCTAACTCTCGTGAGATGTCTTTATCGTGCGCAAGTTCCGGCGGGGTGCAGTATTGTTTTATTGATCGCTGCCCATGGCTACCTGTTATGGCACATCGAATGTAACCATCCGTCAATGCCCGGACCTTTTTCCTCGCCTGCTGGACCCTTTACAGCTAGTGCAAGCCTCTCCCGCTGCTAGTCTTCCAAAAATATCGCAACTCTCCGCATCGACTCTCGTGTCTTTTGACGCTATGAGCTCATCTGTGCTAATTTACTGTGAAAACCGCTATTTCATGGTCATCTGCTTTGACCGTTGAAGCTAGTGTTGTGGAAATGGTAAGTGATTCCGGGATGTTGCTCGCACTCGCGCTTCGTTACCCTGTCCAACTGCCATTGTGACGAAAGACGAGGTGGTAGCCTCGGATTGTAGAGTGGAGGCTTCGTGATGGTGAGCGGTATAAAGGATGATACACTCGCAGCTGTAATAGGGCATCATCAGCTACCAACTTTCCAGCTTCTACTCCCCAATCTCCTACAGCAACCACCGTTTCGCTACACACCTCCATTCTCCAAGCCTCTACCCGTCTACCATCAACACTATGCAGTTCTCCACCGCCATCTCAGCTGCCATCCTTGGTTTCGCCAGCCTTGCTTCAGCCATCACTGTCAGCTACGACACGGGCTACGATGATGGCAGCCGCTCCTTGACCGCGCTCGCCTGCTCAGATGGTGCCAACGGTCTCATCACCAAGTACAACTGGCAAACTCAAGCCAACGTTGCTGGTTTCCCTCGCATCGGTGGATACATGGGTGTTGCTGGATGGAACAGCCCTCAGGTATGTGCAGTGTTTACACCACTTTATCTTCATCGTCTAACAGTCTATACCAGTGCGGAACATGCTACGGCGTCACCTACAACGGAAAGACCGTCTATGTTCTCGCTGTCGACCATGCTGCCCAAGGTTTCAACCTCGCTAAGGCAGCCATGGATGAGCTTACCAACGGCCAAGCTGCGGCTCTTGGACGTATTGATGCGCAATACGCCCAGGTTGCTACCAGCAACTGCGGATTGTAAGCACTGAGATTCCATCAGAAGGACGATGACAAGCATCGAATAATGTTTATTTATGGGTTTCATGATGGGTATTGCATAGCATAGCGTTCCTTATTTGCATGCGGCGGCGTTTATATACACTCCTTAATCGAGTAATGGTCGATGTCAAGGCAGACTTGCCTACTATTAAGAGAATTCTTACCTATGTGATGCTATATCTGTGTGGTTCCCGATCTTGTGTGATCCACGGAGGCCATCAACAACGACCCACAACCTTCATAGCTTTCTTTTACTCTTCTATCTTAAATGTCGTAGTGGTGCTGCGGCAGGGCAGGATGAGCATCAGTTCACTTGTGTTAGCATTGTGATCCGTATCGAGAAGTACAGTTAATGTCTCACAATTCTCATCACCAGAGCCATTTCTTGATTTTTCCAAATGTATAATCGCGACAGAAGGATTGGGTTATTGGGGCTTCCAACTGCTGCTAGTCGTCCAGAAATTGGTGTTGTTGCCGCATATACTGAGACACTCACATTACAATGATTGTTCCCTTGTTTCGAAAATGTGGCTTGGAATAGTCGTGTACGAAGGAAAGCAATTAGCTTTACACATTCGATCAATACCATAATATTGCGGAGAACATTGGTACTGCTTGTACTTTAATCGTCAAGAGGTTGGATGAAGGGACACAACTGGTAATCGAGATGACTGAGCGGGCCTCGATGAAGCTACAGTCATGGCAGAGGCCAATGCCGATTCACGTCGTGCAGACAGTTGCGAAGTTTGAGTGTGTGACATGAGCATTCATTCATGATTTCTATCTACTGACGTTAATCGTCATATCTCTATGAGATCTAAACACTTGGTGGTATATCGCTGTTCGAAAAGGAGGGTCGTCTGATAGATGACCGAAGGACTTTTATTGTGGAAACGAAATATGCATGTCCCAAGAGTACCGAAGCTACGCCCGCATAGCCATGCGCCCGTGACATGATATTAGATAGGATTTGCAAGAAAACTTGAGTGGTGATAGTGATCAAGCACCTCGAAACAGCACTTGTTTAACGAGGTGTTGAAGCAAGCAATCGACCAAGACTTCCACTGGCGAACGATGGCTCAGGAACCGGTGACTTGGCATAGACAATCTCGCCTTCGATTGTACTAGTAGACGTTTTTGATATGGATGCCGCTGACTTGTGCGAGTATGACTTTGGACTCGACGGAGCCGTTAATGGGGTAACCAGGTCGATGGACTTGGCTCCATAAGATCCACTATGCGACGGCTTTGTCCTAGGTGGGAGAGGCCTTGTAGTGGCGGGTGTGTATGGAAGCGAGTAGCTCACCGACGAGGCCGGGGTATGTGAGAGCGAAGGAGCGGCACTAAAGCTGATTTGCGAAGTGGAGTTACGGTTGTAGCGGGGTCGAACGGTATCAGGGAAGTATGCAGGTGATTGGAATTTGCGAAGGTACTTTGACGCGTCCGAATCAAAGCGCTGATACCGGTCGGCGCTGTTGTCGTCTGATGAGATGTCGGAGAAGGCACATGATGAGCGTTTTGACTCAGGCTGAGTGGGGGAGCGCTGAGGTACAATGTCGCGGAAGGCAAAGTCGTCAAAGGTGAAGTTGGCAAACGGCGTAGTTGGCGGTGAGTAATGATCGTATGAATAGGTAAGGCTCTTCTCGGTGTCCTTCTTCTTGCAGCTACATGTGCATGTTAGTGGATGGTCTGTGCATAGCTGAGTGGGTGTGTGCCATACCTTTCCGAGCAGTAGAGCACAGAGTTACTAGGAACAATGATTTGCTTCTCGCAGACAGTGCTACAACAAAACATTAGCACACAGTAGTGAGGAGTCGATGACGACAACATACCAGTAGTTCAGAAAGCTAACCGCCATTGAGTCCTCGTCTTCGTCGGATTCGACTTCCTTGTAATGAACGACTTTGGAAGCGGATTTGCTTCCGTGGGAATGAGTCCGCTTTGACAGAGGCCTGGAAGGCCGTGCGTGCGCAGGTTGCGACTTTTTGGATTGATGGGACGGGTGACGAACGTGATGCGTGGCCATTATGGATGTGGATGAACTTTAAAAGCCTCACTCTGATAATCGCGCACGGTGCACGATCTTGTTACAGGGCTGGAAGTCGGGCAGCGAAGAGGCGGTGACACAGGCCGCCGAGTTACTTGCTGCTGATATGACGGAAGGTTCGTGCGTGGCTTTGTTTAGAATCCTTATCGCTTGGGTTCTGCGCCAACGTTTTAGCCAGGAACACTATAATGGATGTCTAGATCGCGACGATGTACAAGGACGGAGACGGATGGATGGACCAGGCGCCCTTTGGTGGAGAGCAACAACAATGCGACACCGGAACATGTAGACAAGCAACTTACCAGGACAAGATAAGGGACGTGCGACGTCGGGAGGGAAGATGAAAACAGGTGCCAGTACTTTCTGATAGGCGGTGCAGTGTATTCCCGGGGAATGACGATGCGCGGGCTGGGCTGGGGGCGATAAGCAGCAGTTCGTGAGAGAGAGAGAGCAAAGCCGAGTATTTCCACGAGGCAGGCGGCTTTCAGCGGCAGGGGAATAAGTAATGTATCGGGGATCGATAAGAAGACGAGCGAGGGACTGTGGTCAATAAGTAATTACGAGACCGGTGCCTGCGATTTCCGATGTGCAGTTCTAGAACGCGGTTGACGACGACGGATCTAAATATGCGGTCGGGATATGGTTGCGCGTGTGGGGATGATTCGTGATAGCCATCAAGATAGAGCCATTGATATCATCCAGCACGCCATACCGGCACCCGCTGCGCGCTGACTCCTCACCACCGACCCCCACCCGCATCCACCACGGTGCCTTGCTACAATTTAATTTTTCCCGTTGCAGCCACAGCGGGGAAGCCTGGCCATACTGCATCATTAGGCATCGCAGCTTTGTGCATACAGACGTCGTGGGCATCGTGTTGCAGCGAATGGCGGGCCGAAGCATGCACACGGAAACACCACAAGGTCCACGTTCTTGTGCACTTCGGTACAACTCGCAGCGGGTACCATACTACACACCACTGTCCATTCGGGTGCGTATCGCTGATGCGACATTGTCCCATCTTGTTTGTGTTGCGAGCTCTCTCAACACAATGAAGCCATATTGCGTGTCTCACACACTTCTTCATCCGGTAATCCGGTGCGGCCCCTCCTGCAATAGACTCACCACTCCGCTGTCGGACTTTGAACAGCGTTTTGCAAGCTCACAAATCTCACCAGTCGGCTTACGAGCCGCCCTACATCGTGTTTGTTCCTTGTCCATAATTCGCATGTCTGAAGCACCCTCCGCCTGAGTGACTTTTGACTGTGCATAAGCAAAATGCGGGTCCATTGTCTACTCGCGTAACTCTATCCTAGCGGCCGCGCAATGAAAGAGCCAACCGGATCTTCTAAAGGGCCCTCACCGTCTCGTCGACGATCGTGAATCATCAGAAAATCTCTTAGGCCTGAAACCAGACACCTTACTATGTGCAGCAGTCCACGATCGTCACGGTGTGTGTGTGTACCCGCAATGGAAGTCTAGCCTTCATATGTCGGTCAAGAGTTTTCTTTCTCAACATCACAAACCTCAAACAGAAAACGGGTCGTCCATGGATTGTCCTTTCGTGACACGCCACAGTTGGATCGGGGTCGAAGTTGGATAAAACGGCCCTTCCTGTTGATGTTCAGGTACCGGTGGGCAATTGACCTGCTCGAATCTGAAACGGTTCCGCTCTACCCCACAAAAGTCAGCAACAACTCACCCGATGTCGTAACATGGCCAGGAAAACAAGACGCGGAGAGACCCACTACACGCGTTCAAAAAAGTCTCGAACGTCTGCTCGTTGCGAATCGTCGCAGATATTAAGACTTCGAGTGCCGGGTTGATGTCAAAGAATTCTCCCAGGGTCGAGACCAGACGCGGTATGACGGACTTGTCGTATGTCTGCGACGTTGTTAAACCCACTTCTCCACGACGATGCAATGGCAATGGCTTACGACGTCTGCTCCCATCACAATATTTGGCACTTCCATGCCATAGTCTTCGGAAAATGTCGTCGCATCAACCGGATAGCCCCACTTTAACGCCGCTGTCCGTACCTGGACCTGAGACTTGTCATCGACATCGAGTCCGTTGAGAAAGAGATTGGTTTTGATGGCATCGACAACGGCCTCATCGCCGTCCGTAGCAACGACACCAGCAGCTCCCAGGTGCTTTGCGCAAAGGATTGATAACATGCCAGTTCCCGCGCCAAGTTCAAACAATCTCTTCCCGTGAACGGATGATCGGCCAGTCTCGGACGCAAGATGCGATCCGAGAAGCAACGCGGCTTCCCACGTCCTAAGACCAGTAGTTCCAGACGATGAGATGACGGATCGCGCTTCAAGCAGCGTTACTGCCCGCTCGTGCGATGTGCTGTCGTCATCTAATTGCTCAGGGTAAGAGTACGTCACAAATGCTTTTTGCTGAGCCGCGTTGGCCTCGGAGGGCAGATCAGCAATAAGCAGAGTAGTCATCGCTTCCATAATATCATCTGAGATTTCCTACAAATAGAGCGAAATGAAAGGTCAGCACATGCTGGAACGTATCTTCGCCGTTGAAAGAAGGTTATTGCAACTTGATGTGTGGCTGAGCTACAGTAGAAGTGAAGCAACGATGAAGAGATAGGAGACCATACATCCTCCTCCGGGTCAGTGATCGACCTCTCGAGTTTTTCGACGAGTTGTTTTAGTGTCCTGAGCTGGTAGCGCTCCGGAGGTGGTGAAGTGACGTTGGCTGTATCGAACAGATTCTTAAACAGCCACGACTGCACTTCCGGCGCTTTCAACGCTGCATCATCTGGCCACTTGAGATTCTGAGGCTCTACCAGCTGGAAATACTGGCGTTGCAGTATGCGCAGTTGCGGCAGATTGCGAGGGTCGTCCATGGTGATGGATGCTGTTTAGATCGAAACCGTATCTCTAATATTTGCAAAGCGCTCCAATATCTCTAGTGAGCCAGCTTGACTTTTGGCGAATGTGACAATGTTCGAGTTCAGCGCTGGCACTTGATGGAGGGGGAGGATTTCCATGTACGTGCTTACCTAATTTTGCAGCGGGGCGGCTTGGCAGTCTAAGCGAGGCAGGCGCACCGCCGACCGCCGACACGTTGAACGCAAATTCGACATCTCCATCTTGCCGCCAGCTAACCACAGGTAATCGACAACAGCAAGATCGATCTCTGTCCAGTACGTTCACTACCGACCCAAGTCGCCGTGTCGCTCTTGTGAATTCCGTCTAATTGCCGCGTTGCAGGTCGAATCTTCCCAACATGGCCGACTCTCAAGTTACTCTGCGCACGCGCAAGTTCATCCGCAACCCCCTCCTCGGACGTCGTCAGATGGTCGTGTAAGTGCAGGAACTGCCGGGCACGCAATTGCGGAGGATTGAGTCTGACGGGATTACTACAGCGATGTCCTCCACCCCAACCGCGCGAACGTTTCCAAGGACGAGCTCCGTGGCAAGCTCGGTGAGCTGTACAAGGCCAAGAAGGACGATGTCTCCGTCTTCGGTTTCAAGACACACTTCGGTGGCGGCAAGAGCACCGGCTTCGCCCTCATCTACGACAGCGCCGAGGCCATGAAGAAGTTCGAGCCCCGCTACAGGCTAGTACGCTACGGCATGGCCACCAAGGTCGAGAAGGCCAGCAGGCAGCAGCGTACGTCTCCCTTGCGTCTACAAGCACTGCCGCGACTATGGCGATGGATATGGGCTATGGCACACAACATATACTGACTGGACAACAGGCAAGCAGCGCAAGAACAGGATGAAGGAGTTCCGGGGCACAGCCAAGACCAAGGGTGGTGCGAAGAAGGACAAGAAATAAGCGGGTGCACACTGATGATGACTACGAAGGTCATGGCTGGAGTCGATTGGCGGTTTCTCTACAACTACTGGTTCGCCTGGTTCTTCATCATGGTGGATACGGAGTTGCTTCTGCGGGCATCGGCATGTATATCTACGAGCGCCTGAAAAACTCTTGCGGATGGGAACGACAAGACGGATGGCGTTTGAGATCAATTGTCTGCTAACCATCAATGCATATCATGGACTTTACGATCCTCCAATTATTTTGCCACTCACTCCAAGATTTCGGATGTTTCTCTCCGGTCACACTGTTGTCCTGTCTCGTGCACACCATGGGGAGGAAAGAGCCCTGAGGGTCAGATCTCTTACTATTATATTTGATGCAACGTTTCATGATAATTTCGGTATGGTTTTCCATTCTGTTCTGCGTAGCCATCAGTCAAACCGTCGCCTTGTTCGCCTCCACAGTACCCACCCCTGGCGATTCAACCCCCACGGGCCGTCCATTCTTCTCCCTCGCAGCCCTCCACTCCCTGTCCCTAATTTCTCTGGTACTTAGAATAGCCCTTGCATTTCTCTCCAACCCTTCGTCCCTCTCGCTGCCCAACCCTTCAAACCCATGAGCACCATCCATTCCAACATCCGCGGCAACCTGTGCCTCTAGATCCCGTTGCCGTGTGCGCAGTTGTTCAAGCCGACTTGCAGAGGAAGAAGGAGTGCGTGAACGTAGCATGAATGCGTGGTTCGGAGACATCAGGCAATACCAGAACACGTAGAAGACTATGAAGCCGATGGGGACAAGGAGACCGACAGTTAGGCCGATCGTTGCGCCGGAGGATAATCCCATTTTGGAAGGAGAGTTGCTCAAAGACGGTGGATTCTTGTTGGAGATGCTCTGATAGTAGTAAGCGTAATGTTTCCAAGTTGCTGTGTGGTATTACGCTTACTTGAACCGCGTTTTAGAGCCGAAGCTTCTCAATGTAAATGGATAGAGCAACAGAAGGCAGAACACGAAGATGCTGAGGCTGTTGTATATAGAGCTTCGCTAGTCTTCAATACACTGTATCGCCCAGCGAACTGCCACCGTGCATACACATGATTCTCACGCCCAAACATCACTATTTTTGCCGTAGGGTAGTGTGAGGATCTGGGTCCCTTCAGTCAGTATGTCCAACAAGCGCATTGTTGGGTACCTTTTCATCACGGACTGATATTCATACACACCAGGACAGCATGGTGACTGCACTCAGTATCACGCCGTCAAGTAACGATTGCTGTGATGGTCTGAATTACTGCTCTTCTTATTCAATACAGATACGTGGTGGCCCAAGTGATGCTTTTCCACTTATCAAACGACAGTTGACGGCGTCGGACATTACTGCTCCCGTGCTTCAAAGTCCTCAGGTTGCCTGGGGTATTCTTCTGAGGACTGTGGCGCGATGTTTTCGACTTCGGCCTTGGCTTCCTCCCAAGCGGCCTTGTTACGTTTCGCCCAGTCGATGTGACATTGAGCAAATTCCATCTGTGGCTGTTAGCAAGAGCTCAGGGAAGAAGGTTGAGCTTGTGACATACCATGTAACGTCGTAAATCGTCCTCCTTCTCGCTCTGGAATCTCCGCAGATCCTTCATCACGCCTGAACTTGCGTCTTTGGTGTCTTTCTCAGCGACGGTCAGCGCTTGTTCGAGCTGCCGGTTCGTTAGCGTCTCCAAGTCTCTTAGTATCTATCATCTGAAGCATACCTGTACCATACTGTCCCTTGTCTTGCCGATCTGATCTCTCCGTGTCTTCTCAGGGTCTACATCTGCCATGCCCCTAAAGGCGTGTGTGATGGACCCAAAGAGCTTGTTAGTGACAAAGTTACCACTCGCAGTTTTCTTGTGCGGACTGGTGGGTGGTGAATGGCTATCAGGAGCGCCCTGTGCACTAGATGGTGTGTCACCATGTGTGGGTGGGAAGTCAGAATCAATGGACGCCCTGTCTTCCTCCGATCTCCTATGTTGCTCTGCATCGCCGCTACTGCGCTGTGAGCTGTTCGACGCGGCGCGGCTTCGTGGTGGCTGATGACCAACGCCACTTAGATGTTGTTCCAGTCGCTTCGATTCTGCTTCGCTACGTTCGAGCGATTCGAGTAAATTGCGCTTCTTCTCTAGTTCGTCCTTGGTCATATCCTCCTGTATCCGCTTGAGCACTCGATATCTTAGTGTCGAGCGTACAACACCGGCGAACTGTGCGCTCTCACGCATGGGCTCAGAGAAGCCTGCGCTGAGGGAAGAAGAGAGTTCGGTCGTCGCAATATACGTAGAGTCAACAGCTTGGCCCGTCTTTTCTATGGCTGCAGCAAGAGATTGGGTTTGTTCGGAAAGCGAAAAGGCATTAAAGCGAGCGCCCAGATCCGCCATGTCCTCTCCCCAGTTTCCAAGATGCATAAGCAAGCGTCTGTTGACCTTCTCCATTGGTCCCTGCAGCAGGTGCTCCAAGTCTTTGGATGAGTTCTCAAAGCTGACAAAATATGGGTCTAGCTCTTCCTCGGACATGTCCCGCGTCTCGGGAGGGAAGCGACCGAAGATAGCAGGACCTGGTGTTGTGTGCGCGGCCGCTGAAGGCATGGCTGCATTGTTGGCTGGTGATACTGGCGTACCAGAGCTGGATGTAGCGCTGCCTGACTTCAACTTGGCGGACGACGAGGGAACTGGAAGGTAGCTGTGCGCTTGGGAAGGGTTCGCAGGGTCGAGCGGAGGTGCCTTGAGGATCTGTTTGGGTATATTGGAGACGGGCGGGCTAGTAAGTACGTCATTCTATCGAAACCTATTAGCTCAATGGGATACTCGGTCGGGTGCTGGACAGGCCTACCCAGCTTGTGTATGGGTCAAGGAATCTCCAGAATACACCGTCTTCCAGAATATCTTTCATCTTCCTGCACCTATTCAAGAAGACAGCCAACATGCGCTTCCGCAGTTCTATGATGCCGGCGTCTTCCTTTGCCTTTGTCGGTTTCGCGGCGTAGTCGGCCATGGTATGCTTCTCGGGTATCGGCGGTACGATGAGGGTTGGGTGCAGCCTGACCAACTCGGCGCGTAAGGATGCGAACTCGGAGTATCTGCGCTTTACTTCGAGGCCCTGCATGTGTTAATCTCAGGCATTTCCCGTCTGCCAATCTAACATACGCCGCAATTGATGGTGTACTGTATGTAGTTGACACCGTCCTTCCCCGCGCTCGTGATCAGTACCAGTTGGTCTGGGTGCTCGTACAGCCATTGCTCCACGCGCGCGTCATAACCGCCCTTCTTGGGTGCCTTGGGGTCTGCATGGTCCTGCTGTTCCTCGTCGTAGTCGACGCTATCCATGTCCCGCTGCGAGACATACTCGGGCGACTCTTGTGCGGGGGACGAAGCCCCAGAGGGCGGAGTCGCGGGACGGTAGGGGACTTGATCATGTCAGCGGATAGTGCTGGCGATTGCTTCAGAGGGTGTGTAGAAGCCTTACGGGCAGCAGGCGAAGCTAAACCGGGAATGTCTGATGTGTTGGAATCATGGCGGGCAAAGGATCCATACGGATTGTTGTCCTCGTCGTCCCACATGTCGTTGCTGTAGTCGTCGCGCTCACTCTGGGCAAGCAATGGTGGCTCCTATGGTAAAGCGAGCGGCTTCAGGCTGCAGTGAGTGCGGATCTTGTCTTGTGCGGCTTGGGCATGCTGAAGCTCCAGGCTCTCACGGCAGCGGCAGTGACGTTGCGCCTGGTCCAAGCTCACCCTGTCAGCCACACCTGCTGTTCCAGTCTGCGACAACTCCAAGATGGCACCGTGAGAAAAGAGAGGCCACCACAAATAGATAACAATAAATATTTCAGAGTTCAGGCAGAGCCAGGTAGGTTGACAGTAGAATGGAAACTCGTCGGCATGAGAGACAAGACGTTGATCATACGTTTGGTGCAAGAAGATCAGATTTGGTCAATAAGAGAGGTCCTCGCACCAAAAAAGAAGGGGAGAAGGGTCGGACAGAGACTGCGGACGTCTCACAAGGCTAAGAAACCTACTGATCGATGTGCTGTAACTCTAAGAGACGGAGGACGCATATTCGTGAAACTTCGGCGATTGCCTGCCTTTGCACGTGGTCATGCAGATGGTCAGACAGCAAAGCTACGATACATGATTTCAGTCGAATCTGATATCAAATAATGCTAGATTGTGAAACGCTCATTAATCGAGATGGGCCCCTAGATAATCCTAAAGATGTAGACTTCCGTTTCAGACCTTGCTCTCTTTGCTGTCAGCGACATAATGCTGTGTTGCATCTATTTCCTCGCCCTCCAGGACTCCCGTAATTGTACCCACGTTCTCGTGATCAAAGAATCCTTCATTGGCTGCCAATCCTTCAAACGCCAACTGCCTCTCCGTACCTATCGGAAGTATCTGCACCGGCCAAATAAGACACAAGCTGTAGTAAACCAATCCTCCCATCATAAACGATAGTATGAAGCCAAGTTTGTACATGTTTTTGCTAGCCTCGGCTACTGAATCGGGATCCAAAGACCCTGCGACACCATGAACAGTGAACGCAACTCCAGCAACCCAAGCAGCCAGCATGCGTAAATTCCAGCCTTTGTGGTACAAGTACGGACTTTCAGGTGAAGAGGTGTATAATGAGGGAACATGGAAATTGCCTCTTCGAACAAGCCAGTAGTCGACGATCATGCAAGCGCATATTGGCATCAAGAACACGGTGTACGATCCGAGAAAAGTCAGGAATGATGTAGCGGAGGCGATGATTTTCCATGGAACAAGTAGAGGTGCGAGGACCGCACAGAGTACTTGGCCTCGGACGATGGTCAGCCAGCGAGGGAATATTCCTGTAAGATCGGCGCCAACAGGGAGCGAGTTGCTTCCGGCATTGGTGACGAGTACAGCGAGCATCATGCCGAAAGATGCGAACACCATTCCTGCTCGAGCTCCAGGAGTCCAATATTGATCCAAGATGGCGTCATAAAGATCCCAAACGTTCCAGTAGCTTTTACCAAGGACTTGTGTTGCAGCTGCAGTCGTCGCGGTACTCAGGAACATGACCAGAACTTTGCTGATAAGGATACCTACACCCTGGCTCCAAGTCACATCGCTGTACGAATGTCCGTATCGTGCTATATCAGGTTGGTTGATGAGCACCGGTGCTAGAGCACCCATGACAGAGTTGATGGCTTGAATCATAGGCCAGATGAGATCCGAACCCGAAAGCTGTGTCTGCTTAGTTGTATAGGTGAAGCTTCCGATCTTGCCTCCGTTGGCGCTGATCACCCACCCAAGTACACCGAAGAGTGCTATTGTGGTATAGACAGCTTTCACCACGAAGAGATGTCGAAGTACCGTTGGATGAATGAACATGACCGGCATTTGCACCTGTCGAAATCAGCATGCTTCCTAGAGCCAGAACTCAAATAGATAGTTTGGAGGACACTCACCATCCAGAACAAGAAGAAGCTCAGCAAATCTCTACTTGTAATTCCCGCACTCTCTGGAAGATGATTTGGAATATTGTTGTAACCGTTCCCGAAGATACCGCGCATGAAAACCGAAGTGATGCGCCCTCCATAGTACGTCTGGGTCGCGAAGTAGATGATCGCTACCACTGCTCGTACTAAGATATACAAACTGGCTCCTCTCACACCAGCAGCCGCACGTACATAGACAGGGAAGCCGATGAAGTATTTTATAGCGCCACGACTGTTGAGCACGACCAGAATGGTGAGGATGGCTGAACCGATTACCGCAGCAATCATGCCGTGCCACCAGAGAAGACCAATCGAGACTAGAGATGCACCAAGGTTGTACGAGGAGGGGCTGAATGTCATGGTCAAGTAGTAGGCGAAGTAATGTTGCCATCTCCATTTCCTGTCCGCTGCGTCCTATCAGTCGCAAGCCTCACAGAGTTGGATTATATGGTCTGACTTACCCGGTGGACTGGGGAGGAGATCTTGGTTGTACCGCACTTCTCCATGATCGCTTGTAGTTTGCAATGTCTCCTTGAATGATTTTGGAGAACTGAATGCTGCTTTGCTTCGCTGCAGAAAGCGCGACATGGTGCTCGAGTGAGAACTATCCCAGATCGAGATCAGCCCAGATGCCCATCTCGTGCGAAGCTCCGGAGCATATAAGCCAGTTCATTGTTGATACAGATTGTATATCTTGCCACAATGATAGCCAAGCCATCCTATCAATTAGGCACCTATTTCCACTGGAATCCAGGGTGTTGGAGAGACGGCATAGAACTCGGTTGATAAGGCGATAGCGCGTCGGGATGAAAGAAGCCGATTGACAGGGCAGGGTAGCTAGTGCACTAACCAGCACTGATAAAGTTTAGCGCGATGTGCATCTCCAAGAAGAAGGCTGGTGTTTCGTGATGCGACGCGACGCGACGCGATAATCTTTGCGCACCATCGATGCGTGGTCGCGAGCGAGTCTAGCACGTCATTGCGCTTTGCTCAACACGCTTCCATTTCCTTGCACTTAGCTCCGAGTCTCGGTATGTATTGGGTAAACCAGCATAGAACAATGGCATCATCGCACATCCTGTTCTTTGGACCCAGAAGAGTATGTGGATGTTGTACCATTAAACTTATATCATTGACGCACTCGTGCTAAGTTCTACGAACCACCTGTCTTCGATCCGGGCTTGTACGGAAAAGTCTGGCGATAGTGATTTGCAATATCTCTGCGGGTCGCGACCCAAACGCCTTCCTTCTCAGAGATATACTTCATAAAGTTCCTCAGACTCTCCGATCTTCCTGGCTTACCAGCTATTCGGGAGTGCAGAGGAATCGTCATCATTTTACCGCCTTCTCTATACAAACAGTCGAATGTATCTTTGAGATACTGTTCATAGACAGCACCAGCCGAGCTTACAAAACCTGGAAGCATGTGGAACTTTCCATCGTTACCTATACCACCTTGTTAATCTGGGATAACCATACATGTGGAGTGTGCTTACAATCGTAGTTGTACGGCATCATCAATAGGCCCTCCTTCTCCATGTCAGGCAGTTCTTTCTCCCATGGCAGATCTATCCAGTATGGCGAGTCTTCGTTGTATACTTCCGAAGTATACAGCATCTTATGGCCCATCTCCTTCCACATGATTGGAAGCAGGCTAGCGGTATTCGGGGTTCCTCTACCAAAGTACGCTCCTACTGGGAATTCGCCTGTGGTCACATCAGTTCCATGCACGATCGGTATTGGACGAAACATACCAGTTGCGGCCTCCAGAGCTTTACAGGTCTTCTTGATATAAGCTTTGTCGTCTTCAAGCGAATAATCCCAAATGTCAAGCCATCTATACCCATGGGCACCAATCTCATGGCCTTCTCTTACACATGCCTTCGCGAACGTTGGGTTTCTCTCCATGGCAACAGCGATGGCCCAAAGAGTCATGTTCCAGCCGAACTCCTTCATGAGGCGAAGTATCCGCCAAGCACCGCAACGACTGCCATACTCATAGTCTTGCTCGCCGTTCAAGTGCCGCTGTTCTCTACCGCCGCCAGAAGGACCTTTCTCCCACAGGTAGGGTTCGCTGGTGCCATCGCCATCCAGTGGGTTGCGCTCGCCGCCCTCCTCGTAATTCAACACGAAGGAGACTGCAATGCGGGCACCGTTTGGCCACTGTGCGTCATGGCCATCTTCACCGAAACCTGGAAGAATGCTCAGTATGTGTGAGAACGCACGCTATATGGGCTCGCACCTTCGAAATCTCTAGGGAGTTGTAGAGATTCCTCGACGTGGACCATGGCGGACAAATTCACGAAACAATGATAAAGCCTGATGTTAATACTCAAGAATGAACATATGCTCAGAGTATATCAAGCTTCGGGAGTGGTATCAAAGTATGGAATGTTTCAAGGTCCACTCCACACTCATGACTTCGAACTGATATCACACCATCCTGAATGCGTCCTAGATGAGTTTCCCTCCACCTATCAATTACCCATCAACAACGGCGTTTCGATTAGAATACAATCAAGACATTTTTAGGTAAAGAAAGCACTGTCAGTTGGGTCTTTATCGGAAGTGGCCATTCCGACGACGGTCAAATAGGCGTCCCACCAACCCCGCTTTGCCCTTATCGTTCCTTCCAACTTCGGAAGCCCACTCTAACAACCCTCAACGCGGCCGAGATTATTGCAAGCATGCGTTATCGGTACATGGAGATGCTGAATCATGTGTCACGACTGTTTGTGTTCCAGCATCTGGTTGATGGCCCGCGATGGGCTTGCGCGCCTCCGATACTGGAATGGATAAACGGGTCCGCGAGACAGTTAGCTATTTGGTGACATGACTGGCGCGTACATGTGAACGTCACTGAGAACTCCAAGTCCCTGTTGTCTTACACAAAATGTCGGTTTTTTCGTTGGATGCAAGCCACGGCAATCCGGTCACGAAAGAGACACTCGAAGCACTGTGCTCCCAGCTTGGGGTCAACATCGATGATAAAGAGAAGGAAGATTATCGTCGTTTGCTTGCTGTATTCCACGATGCAAGCGAACAACTGATGGCCATGGACGGTAGGGCATGACTGTTCTCTCTGCATGTCACAGTGAAGCTGACGTTGGTCTGTAGACTATGTCCCAATAGTTGACAAAGAACGCTTCTCTAGAGAACAGATCTACTTCCCGGAGAAATCTGACAATGCTCATGGAGCATGGGCATGGAAATGCAACATTGTTGACAAGAATGTCAATGGCAATGGTAAACTTCATGGTAAAAAGTTTGCTCTGAAAGACAATGTTGCAGTGAAAGATGTCCCAATGCTGCTAGGCACGAATTTTATCAAAGGATATGTTCCAGATGTCGATGCAACGGTCACTACACGTATCCTAGAAGCTGGTGGTCAGATTCTTGGTAAAGCTGTTTGCGAAAACATGTGTCATTCTGCCACAAGTCATTCGTCAGGCACTGGAGTTGTGGAAAACCCGTTCGCCAAGGGTTATAGCGCTGGCGGAAGTTCGAGCGGCTCGGGTGTACTTGTAGCACTGGGAGAGGTTGACGGAGCGATCGGTGCAGACCAAGGTGGTAGTATCCGTGTTCCAGCAGCCAACTGCGGGATCATTGGATTGAAACCTACCTTTGGTCTTGTACCATACACGGGATGTGGAAGTAACGAGCCCACAAACGACCATGTTGGCCCAATGACACGAACAGTGCTCGAGAATGCCGTGTTGCTGGAAGCCATCGCTGGCACCGATAACATCGACGACCGTTCCTTCGCTGCGCCCCATCCATCCAAGATACCCATCTACAGCTCCATCAGCAATCTTTCCAAGCACAAACCACTTCAAGGCAAACGCTTCGCCATAATCACCGAATCTCTCTTAACACCAGCCCTGGACTCACGAGTGATACAAACATTCCGCACCGCTGTCTCCAAATACACAGACCTCGGCGCCACGATCACGGACATTTCGATACCACTTCACTCCAAAGGCGCTGCGATATGGACCGGAGTATCAAAAGTCGGCGGCTTCCTCGCCAAAACCACCGGTTCGTTCGGACGCCGCGGACATCAGATGCTCGATCTAAACTCGTTGTTACATCCCATGAGCCAAGAAAACTGGAATGAAGCATACGCCTCGACGAAGAATATATACTTAAACGGTCTCTACGCTACGCAAAAATTTCCCAATCTCCTCGCCAAGGCGACTAACCTGTCTCGACAATTGCGCGACGCTTACGATACGGCGCTCCAGCGATACGATATCTTGCTTACGCCTACACTGCCCTATGTAGCGACGAGTCATGCAAGTGTCGATGCGATACCACTCGAGCAGATTGCGAAACAGATTGGATTGACGTCCAACACGGCGCCATTCAACCAAAGTGGGCATCCGGTATTGGCCATGCCGATTGGTATGTTGCCGGTACTAGAAGGGCCTGGAGTCGAGGAAGGGGTCAAATTACCGGTCAGCATGCAGGTCATTGGGAAGTGGTGGGATGAAGTGGGTGTTTTTGAAGCGGCGTTTGCCTGGGAGAGGGAGAATGACTGGAGAGGTATGTGATACGTTATTATACATAGTCAACCAGAAGAAGACAGGAAATATGTGACGTTTCCCCCGACTCTGAACCTCCCCTCTAGATCTTGAGTCGCCATATCACCGTGGGAGCGGGATGACCTGTTCACTCACCCGTTGCTGATCATTACTCGTTTCAACGAGTTCGCTGCCACTATCCTGCCTTCCTACCACCTCCACCTTTTCCATAACCTCATCTGGTCTTTGCAATCCCTTATCCTTGATAAAAAAGCAACCTAATAAACACAGTCCCATGAAAGGTACATTCATTATGAACACTGTGCGGCTCGCCGTCGCATACGCCTGCAATATCTGCACTATTTGTTTCGGATCTAGTGATGCAAAGTCCGGCGTATCATACGAAGAAAGTGCCAAGAAGTGAAATTCTTTCGGCATAGCTCGGTGCAGGGAATTTTGCAGTGCAGCAGCAGAAATTGCAAGACCGACTGCACCGCCGAGACTGCGTATGAAGTTGCGGTTTGAGATGACGACTGCGCGTTGGGCTTTCGTGCAATGTGCTTGCAGTGCAACAAGTACAGGCTGGAAGACGGCACCGACTCCTAGTCCTTGGACAAAAAGTATGATGACTATAGCCCAAATGGGTGTGTCGCGGTTGAACATGCATGTCAAACCTACACCTGAAGTCCAGAGGAAGAACCCCAGCCAGATCACTTCGCCGTAGCGCTCGAAGCGCGAGATATACTGTCCGGATAAAATTGATGAGATCATTTGTGAGGCGGCGAGTGGCAGCATTAGGGACGCCGAAATGAGGGGAGAGAGGCGGCGTGCGTTCTGGAAGAAGAGGGGGAGATAGTATGTTTGCGAGTAGGCCACCACGCCAAAGAGGAAATTCTGGAGAAGCATGATGGAAACGGGGCCGGATCTGAAGAGAGACACTGTCTAGAATCAGCAATGATTCGCAAAGAGCATATGTTTCGTAAGAGGGCGACCAGAGCTTACATGGCATCATAGGCAATATAGCTACATGGTGCTCAATGTAGACGAACGTTATCACGCAACATCCTCCAATCGTTAACATGGCAACAACCATTGGTGATTCCCATTCGAAGTAGTCACCTCCTCCCGCAATAGGAATCAACAGCAATATCAACCCTGCACTTCCGAAGAATATGCCTCCATAGTCAATCCTCTTCAACACTAGCTTCATATCCGCTCTTGGTTGTTCCTTGGGTGTAGGCAGAACAATAAGACAGAGCATGCCGCAAGCCGCTGACACGGGGCTGACGAGCCAAAAGAAGCCTCTCCACGTACTCTTTTGTACAAACGCTGCAGCGATAAAAGGTCCAGATATGTTTCCTAGTCCTACACATGCACCTATCATGCCTTGCCACTTCCCGCGCTCTTTCAAGGTAACGATGTCGGAGACGATCATGGCAGAAAGCGAGGCTATCCCGCCGTTTGCCACACCTGATAGACCACGGAAGACGTACAGCATCGTTGCGTCGCGCGAGAGACCACAGAGGAGGTCGGAGACTGTTAGAAGGGCAAGTGCTGAGAGAAGAACAGATTTCCTGCCTAGTTTGCTTGTTAGCTATTTTGCTTCCTTCATATTCCCGCCAAAGCCAGAGGACATACCAAATAAGTCACTCATCCTCCCATACAGCACTTGGAATATAGTGTTCGCTATCAGGGCACTCGTGCCGGCCCAACTAATCGTGTCTTCGGCATTTAGATCACGTCCAATTGTGGGCAGGGCAACTCCGATACCAGTCTGGTCGACAAAACATATGAAATGCGATAATGCGAGTGCGGAAAATACGACAAGGAGCTTCTTGCGGGGGAGGAGGTTTGTTTGATCGAAGACAGCAGCTTCAGCTGCAATCTGGCGAGCCTCCATGACGTAGTAGCAGGTGGTGTGATGATGTTGTAGAAAAAGCGTGGTGGTGCAGGAATATGCTGTGAGGCCGTCCACGTTCTTGTTGTCCGTCTCTAAAGAGAAAAGTGCGATGACCGGCAATACATATTGTAGGATGCGAAAGTAACCGCGTGTTCGTTGCTCAAAGGCTGCTGTGCAGATACGCCGAATATCATGGAAAACATGGTGTATGGAATCCGGTCGGGTCATCCGCCACAATCGCGATATGGGACATCTTCGTCATCATGAGTACTCCATATATGGCCATCATATCCGTCGTTGTTGCTGGGTAGCGCGGAGACAATGCCGGCCTATGAGAAGGATGACCCTACAAGATTGTGCGATTCATGACTGTTTGCAGTTGCGAAGAGGGTCTGAGGAACCATGGAATGTCGGAATGTTAGAATTGTTTCGGTACAAGTAGATTCCAGCGGCCCGACCCTATGGAGCTAAGGCGTACCTGCAGCGAGTACAACCATTCTGGCGATTTGGAGGAGATCGCGTGGTGAGAACCCTGAATGTCGCTTCCATGGTCAATGCCGATCTGGACCGAACGATAGCCCGTCACATCAGCACGAGTGGACCAGAGCTGAATTAACAGTCATATGTATTTCTCTGTCCTACACTAGGTACTGGCCCTTAAACGCTCATTTCGCATCGCTAGCGTACATGGTAGAAAATCCTCTGATATGGGTGGAGAGTGCAACGACGAAAGCGAAACAGTATGCTGCTCTCCCGTGTACACTTTGAATGCAAGTAAATGCATACATGGAATGGAATAAGGCTAAACAATTGGAGAGCACCGCGAGTGGCCTGAGCATAGACGTGCCTCCCATAGAAAATCACCCGCTTCCGAGAACACCGAGCTAAACAAAATCCTAAACTAACACTTATGCCAGAAAATTTGGAAGGCCGAGGCCGTGGTATCATGTAGAGAGCTTGACTGATCATGTGTAGTAACGACTCTACGCACGATGTCTAGATATATCCAGAAGACCTAAAGCCGCGAGCGACGAGTACTTTGTGACTCAGCCACGAGCGCGACCACTGCGTCGGACAATGGGAGTACCGTTGGTAGCGGGAGTAGGCGAGGAGACCGCTGAAGCACCATTGACCTTTGCCTTGGTCGCTTTTGCTTTGGTCGCACTCTTTACGGACTTGGGCGGTGTGGCTTCCTTGATCGGCTCGGCAGCTTTGCGTTTCTGGACAACCGGTGATGACTTGGCGCCATTCGTCTTAGTAGCGGCTCTCCCTCTCGTAGCTCTCTTCGCTGGTGTAGGCTCGGGCTCAAGTTCTGGGGATGGCTCTGGATCTGAAAGGTCAGACTGTTCAGCGGCAGTTTCTGGGTCCTTCTCAGCCTCGACTCCTGCATCATCCATCTCTACATCTTCTTCAGCAACTGGAGTAGGCTTGTCCGCTCCTTCTGCGTCTGATGTGTTAGCCTCTTGTTCTTCTTCCTCATCTTCCTGGACCTCTTGAGCACCAGCTCCGATGTCTTCCTCATCACTCGATACCTCGACATAGCTCTTATGCACAGTACTTCGTCGATCGCTCTTTCTCCGTGGACCACTTGATGGAGCGACGCCACCATCAACGTCACTCGCATCATCATCGTCGCCAGCTCTCCTCTTTTTCTTTGGTGTTTTGACGGGACGCTCTGTCCTAGTCTTCTTTTCCTTGATCGGTCTGTCGCCCTTGGTCTTCTTGCGCGACTTCTCTACACCATCTGATGCCTTGCGCTTCTTGCTTCGAATAGCTCTCCGCACAAGCGGTTCGAGTTCGTCAACCAAATCTTCCCCAATCCATGTCTTTTTAGCGATCTCCTGCGCGCGATCGTGACTCTCCAGAGGTCGGAAGATACCGGAGGGCAACTTCATTTTCCCTGGCCATGATTGCATTGTCCAGTTGTTTTGCTCTTCCCACGAGCGGATGAGAGCCTGTGCTAGATCTGACAAGATATATAGATTCTCGTCAGCTTGGCGCGACGGCGCAATACCATCCGCAACACCCTTGACGCGCTGAGCGACGTGAAAAATAAGTGACAGGTTTTCCTCGGTCGCCACGCATTTCAGATAGTACAAGATATACTCTGACATGAGCTTCAGTGTCTCGTCTTCTGTGTCAAAGTCTGGGTGGTGAGCAAGTAGACTCAATAAACGAGCGAACACAGTCTCCAGTATGGTCTCTTTTCGTGCAGCAAAGGCGGCGCGGCGTGCACGGATCCAGGTCATAGTGCTGTTTTTGATAGTCTTCTCAGGCTCATGTGCGAGGAAGAACAGGATAGTGTAGAATCGGGGCGGCAAACGACCCTGACCAAGGTACTTCATCAATTTATCAGCGAAGCCCTTGCGCACTTGCGTACAGGGGTCGTGTGTGACCAGGGCTAGCTGTATAAAATCGGCGGGGCTCAAGAGAGGATCGAGGCGCTTGTTGCAGGAAAGCTTGAGTAGGGAGTTGGCGGCAAGAAGGCGCTGGCGCGATTTGTGTCCTGCTGGAGTGCTGTCATCCGCTGCGCTCTCGCCATTGTTCTTCACATAGCGGTTCAGCAGCTTATATGTGTCTTCCGCAGCATCCTTGAAGTTGGCATCGGATGGTAGGGAGCGTAAGCGGTTGACGAGGATCTTGACTGCCCAGGACCTTCCTTGAATGTCGTCGTCTGGGACCTCCATCCATTCAGCATCTGCATCGGCCGTCGCTGCATGCGGTTTCTGCAGAACTTCCTTAATGGCGATCTCAACGATGGCATCCATATCATCTTCGCAATCTGACTGGGCCAATAGAACTAGTTGACTGAGTGCAGCCAGCTTTGTGAGCCAGTGAGCACCATCGTATGAGAAGCTTTTGATGCTCTTGGTAAGTATCTCCTTCGCATGCATCTCCTTCTTGTCGTCGCTGTTCATGATGATAGTGATCGTATGCTTTGCTGCCTGTGGAGGGCTGCCGTAGAACGCAAAATTCAAGAAGCTTTGTACCAACTTTCGACTGTCTTTGCTGTTCATCGGGATGTCTGTAGGGAATTTCTTTGCAAATGCAGCGCAGGCCTTGAGATCATCAACCGCACCAGGAGGGTTGGGCTTCGTTGCCGTGGGTGCTTCACTTTCAAGAGTCTTACAGAGATCCTTTACGTGAGTTGAGAAAACCTTGGGATGCTTGGTAGAGATCTCTTTCAGAAGCTCGTGAGCAGTGGCACCGAGACTTTTGTCATCGGTACGGGTGTATTCGATGACAGCTGGAACGTGACTCTTGTTGTAGCATAGTAAGCTCACGCGGTAGAGTAGTGGGGTCAAGGTGTCGAGCAGTGGAGAACCTGGCCCATCTTCGATCCTCTTTCGAAGCTCTTTAATGGACCTGAAGACTCTGCGGTAGTCACTCGCTGGATCCATACAGAACCGTATAAGGGTGTACGCTCTGCGGTCATGAGCTTTGGCGAATTTCCACAGGTCGTCTCTAACACGAGTTGGATCGGGCAACGTTTTTGCGTAGTAGGTGATGAGGCCTTCGAGATTTGTCTTGACGTCCTTCTCACCCTTTTCAGTAACACCACCGTTGTAATCTTCACACAGCTTCAGGAAGTGCTCCATGTACCTGGCACCAGGGCCCTGGTTACCTTGTTTGGCGAAGAATACTTTCTTTGCCTTCTCTTCCAAGCCGTTTACAAGTACAAGCTGCCTTTCAGTCCGGATCTTGTCCAGATCTGCTTCGGTATAGCCCTGTTCGGTGTTTGCTTGGCTGTCTTTTACGACTTGCGAGTTTCCAGCTGGCTGTGCTTTCGCTTTCATGGGAGGATACGCAAGCGGAAGCAATGAGTCGTAAAGTGCGAGATCGACTTGCACGTTGATTTCAGGGTCGTTCACGTAACAAGCTTCAAGAATGCGAGACGGGATTGGGCCAAGCAGGGCCTTGATGCTGTCATCGCCTTCAGCAATGGCACCAGAGGCCACACCCCATATCTTGCCGAGAAGCCTCATAGACTCGGAATGAATAACATTTTTCTTGTCCTTTACGCGATCTGCGAGATTGGAGAGGATGGACCCTGGTTCTGCCATGCCGCCGTTGCTGCCGAGTTTACGAACGATGTCGTTGAACTCGAACTGTGCAACTGCTTTGACGGCCGCTAGACGCACCTTCTCGTCGCTATCAATCAGGCATTCACCAAAGTACTTGAGTAACTTCTGTTCTTCTTCAAGATCAAGGCCAATGCCGCCCGCTGATGTCATCAGTATGCGACCGATGCCGGTAGTCCAAGCGGCGCGAATGATGGCGGATTTGTCGTTCTTGCGCTGAAGAAACGAGTGATATGCTACAGGGTACTGGGTTGGAAACGAGTTGATGGACACTGGTGTGGTAAGGTAGTCGAATGGTCGAGCTGAGTCAGAGCGTGATAGACTCTGTGAAGGATAGGCCACTGGGTCCATATCGGGCGGAGGGGGTGGGCCGGCTGCGCCAATGCCTGAAATCATGTCGCCGAATGTTTCAGTGGCAAGCTGGCGAAGCTGCACGTTCTCCGTGGCAAGCTCATCTTGCAGATGTGGGATAATCTCCTGGAGCACACCGGGACAGCACTTCCACAGCTCACGCAGTAGCCTGTGTGCTTTGTGTGCCTCGTTGATGTCATCCTCGGAGGGGCCGCGAGGGAGGTCGTCGTCATCCTTGGAATGGCCTTTGTATGTGGTTCCAGCATTCGTGAAGTCTACTATGACTGAGCTGAAGTAGTTGCCAATGAGACGAGCCATCTTGTCTGGAAAAGAGTTACAGACGTTCTTGGCCATATTGTAGGCGGGTGGTGCCTCTTTGCGACGTAGCGTGGATTGCTTCGCGTCGATGTGCACATTCTTCTTGCCTTTGGTGGAAGAGCCCAGTGTGATGGGGTCTGCCCACAGGAACTGTGCTACAACGACATCCACGACGTCATGTGTGACTGCGGGTGCTTCGTCTATTATGGTAGAGAGGATTTCGGTCATGTTGTGTTCGATGTTCTTGCTCAGTTCTTCTCCCTTGGACGATGCAGACAAAACGTCGAAGCAGGTTGTGAAGAGGGCCGCGGTGAGCTGGTCGGAGCCCGGAATCTCGTTGATGAGAAGGATGCTCTTCCATTCGGCGAGCGATCGGAGGATGTACATGTGCTGGCTGTTGTATGGGTGGGTGGGGTCTGCGAGGAGCGGCAGCAGCTTGAGGATGATGACGGAGAAGATTTCCTGTGGCATTGTCAGCAGCAGTAGAGCATGTGCTGGGCTATGCATCATACCTTGAGCTTGGATGCAGGGTAGGGCGCATCCGGCGCAAACAGCTTCAGCATGTCGACAATGCAGCAGACGGTCCGCGCGCGCACGCCATTGTCCTTGTGCTGCAAGAGACTCTGGTGGGCCAGCGACTCTGCGACGGGCATGAGCGAGTCCCTGTGCGCCTCTTCCTGATCAATTGTCCGCAGTTCGTTGTGCAGCGCCTCGAGTCGCGTCAAGAGGTCGCTCACGCCAATCTGCTTGCCGGGCCGGCCAACAAGCGTTTGCTTGAACTTGAGCTTCTTCAGCCCATCTTGCACTGTTTCCTCCTGTTCCAGCTCCTGCTCTTCTTCTTCGACCACCTCGGTCGCCGCCGCCGCGCTCCGCCTACTGCGCGGTGCCATGTCGCGTGGCTGCGCGTGGGCCGTGACGTGTGGAGATGGTGTGCCGGCTATGTATTACCGCTACGGTTGCGCGCGTAGGAAGGCGATCCGAGGCGCACGCGGGTGTCGAGTCGATTAGCGACGCGGTGATGGGGAATGTCGTGACGGTGTTGAGGGGATGTTGGAGCGACTTTCTGAGCAGTGACGCGCTAGCCAGTGATACGCGACTGACTTCCGCCTGGATCGTGCTCCACCTGCATCACCATCGCACCCGCACCACTGGCCTTGTTTTCACCTGCCACCTCAATTTTACTTGGGACTCCGAAAAAAAAAAGTACGTCCGGCTTGCCTTGTCGCATTGGTATCGATGCTGGGTCTGATCATGTCAGCGATGCTAGTGCCGATACATTCACCGCGCCCGCACGCTTGAACCATATCAGGAAGGATCCGGAACACACAATCTAAACGAGTATCCGACCTACTCGATCCATATCAGCCCATAGTCGTTAATATTGCGTGAGACGAAGACAGAATGGAGAGACAACAGACTTTCCAGCGGGTAGGCAGAGTTTCTAAACTTACCAACCTTCGCTGATCTCCCCTGCAGCTAAAGCAGCCTTGCATACAACTGCTACAAGTCACCGCAAGTATTTCACAAAACCCAGCCGCTCGGAAGGAGCTGGTACAGGCGCTCAACACTCTACTTACTACCCTCCGGTCTATAACCGGTAGCCCTGGTCTACTGGACGCAAAACTTACCGAATATGCTTTCGTCCCAGTATCTCAAGTGCTCAGAATCTCTCGACAGGTTCCAGTCAGAGCACTGGAGCTTTGCTTGGAATGCATTTCAACCTTGCTATCCGCTGGCTGGGGAGGCGGCCTTGAGCCTGCTCTATCAGGGCAACTCCTCATCCTTTTTACGTTCCTGGCCAAGCCTTCATCCACAGAGAACGGCATCTCCGCTACTTCAGAGGAGCTGCAATCATTGGCGCTTAGATGTGCGTCCGAGCTGATGACTGAGACGTCGCGCACGAAGCAGGGTCGAAAAGCTATAACTGCGACGACCAATATACCTGCCCTAGGCGAAGCTGTACTAGTCATGCTAGAAAGTCTTACCGATAGCAACTCGAATAACGTCAAGTTCCAGGCTACATGTGCGCTCAAGGGCACCGTCAGCGCGATCGATGATGATGATGCTCTCGCCAGCTTTCTACCTAGGATAGTCTCGTCCTTGATAAAGGTATTGACACCGAGCAGCAGCAACCGACCCGGCTTTCGCGTTGTCGAGCAAAGCCTGGAGGTACTTGCGACACTTCTCGTTCGTCTGCTCAGTGATGCGAAAACCAAGGACTTACCCGAGACAACTCCATCAGATAAGTCGGGGAGTATCACCACAACGTCGCGATCGACTTCGTGGCTACAAGCGACTGCCTCACAGATCAAGATCGCGCTTGCAAATGTCTTCAAGCTGAGGGACCATGATAAGCCAGAAGTTCGGCGAGCTCTCTTGAAGCTATGTCTTTGCATCGTGCAGGACTGCCGTATATCATTATCACTTTGCACGAGTATGGCTACTGAAACTATCATAAATCTGGCGGGACATGAAGGCTCTGACGACGCGATCGAGAGTCAATTAAAAGGACTCTTGTCCGCAGATCAGACCCTTTCTGACCTTTTACGAGAAAGCCTGCACGGATGGATCGTAGCGCTACCTAGACTAATCCGATCAAAAGACGACCGTAGCCGCCGTCGAATCATACACCAAATCTCGGTGTCGCTTCGACTATTTGAGCAAGATCCGACCATCTTGGATGACCGACTCACTGATAGTCTTCGAGATGGTGTTTCTGCTGTATTTTCCGATGCAAAAGGCCTAGAAGAGCTAAACGAACACGACCAAAGCTCGATCATCCATCGCACACTAGCGTTGAGTTCCACGAAGTCGTCCTCTTTCCCTCCAATAAGCCTACAGTATAAAGGCCAGGACGACATGATGACAGAGTTTAAAGTATTAGTTCAGGAGCTCGCACGATCGAACTCGGCTCTAACGGTTGCTCAAGGACTGACTAGCTCCATTGATCTTGGACCAACTGAGGTCCGCTTGGCAAGCTTCTGGCTGTCAATCAACTTAGTAAGGGACATAGCAACGATTAACCCATCCGTCGATGATTTCATGGATTTGGGGACACCAAACCCTAGAGAAGAAGTCTTGGATGACTTGTACTCACAATCTCTATCACTACTCAACCAGCGAGATTCTAATACGGACAACCCTTGGCAGTTTTATGCGTTAGCATTGGAGACTGTAGCTCTACAGGCGAAGCAGCACAGAACTGAATTTCGCCCTGAGTTGAGCGAAGTACTCTATCCAGTGCTTCATCATCTTGGAAGCTCGAATAGTGCACTACGTGAACATGCTCTAGTCTGTCTCAACACTGTCGCGGAGGTTTCAGGATATAGCAACGCAGGGGAGCTCGTGATTGCAAACGTTGATTACATCGTCAACGCTGTTGGCTTAAAGTTGGCCTATGGCGATGTCTCTCCCCAGGCTCCGCAGGTTCTTCTCATGATGATGAGGCTCTGCGGTCCGTCTCTCCTACCATATTTGGATGATCTTGTCGATAGCATTTTCAACGCCTTGGAGAGATACCATGGGTATCCCAAACTCGCAGAGCTTCTGTTCTCTGTACTTCAAGGCATGGCAGAAGAAGGTATCAAGGCGCCACAACTCGCATTGACAGCTGGGGATGAAAATATAGAAACAAAGCAACCGAAGAGAACGGCCACCATGGACGACGTAGTCAAAGCGATTCAGAGGTTAGATGCTGACACACGAAGACGGGAGGAAGAAGAGAGACAAGCGCCGAAGATACCGTTCCCAGAAAAGCCCTGGAAGGAAGAAAAGAGCTCGAAAAATACCAATCCAGACGATCCAAACGAGGAAGATGATCATCTACCTCCACCTCAGACTGAAGAGCCTCCTCCCCCTGCGCCTCGTACCTTCGCCATCCTCCTGAAGATCTCCGAGCTCACACAACATTATCTCACTACCACGTCGCCGACTCTCCGGAATTCTCTCTTGTCTCTTCTTCGCACTACCATACCCGCCCTCGCAAAACACGAAAACTCATTTCTTCCCCTCATCCATACGCTCTGGCCTGTGTTAGTACCTCGATTACAGGATCCGGAAGCATATGTAGTATCAAATGCGCTAGGCATCATAGCCTTGATGTGCGAACATGCGAGAGACTTCATGAGGACACGGGTCGAAAACGCATGGGATCTCTTCAGAAAGGTCTACAAGCGAACTAAGGAGCATGACGATCGCGGCAGGGGCAGTAGCTCCAAATTCACGTCACTGAAGATTACGGGTATCGAAACTGGGGTGATGAGGCTGTCCATGGAGTCGCAATCTAGTGGCGATCTTTCGCGACCAGAGCTGTATGTCGATGCACCTACACGCATGATTTGGAATAGTCTGATTTTGCTGCTATGCGCCATCACTAAACATGTGACGGTTCGCGACGAGCGCCTCGAGGAGATACTGGATATGCTAGACCCCGTACTGGCGAGAAACGACGTACGCGAAGCGCTGGAGTGCAGCAACGCCGACACAGTCTGGCTACGACTATACAAGAAACAGAAACAGACCGAGAAATTTCAAAAAACCTGCTCGGATGCTTCAGAAATGGCACATGGGCTGCTAAGCAAAATACCCACTGGCAAATCGCATTGGCAGTTCGTTCGACTCTAAAGCAGAAACAAAAGAAACAAGGTTCTGGCGCTCGGATATCAATCAAAAGCTTACGACGGCGATGTTTGGGCTGAGTATTCATGATGCAGAGCCTTCGTGTGGGGAGCCGCAGCAACAATGCGACTAAGCTGCTGTGTTAAAAGACTCTTGTATGACCACACAACAGTCGTGGCTAGATAACGATTGGGTAGTTTGAACTCAAGCACTAGTGTCTACGCTTACCGGTCCGCCCCTCGGGCTTATAGAATATACCATCCATTCCTTCATCTTTACACCTAGCCAGTAAATGGAGTTTTTTCCCGCTGGGATCTTGGGGTGTTAATCAATCAGCAGTCTGCAATTGTGGACGCAAATGGTTGGAGAGGCGAGTTCCATTGACTCGAGTCGTGGCGAATTGGCGACCAATAATGTGCTTCTTATCTAGCCACGCACTTGATAAATCAGGCAAAGGGTACAAAATGGTCTTGCTTAGCATTTGAATATAGGAGGTGTTATTGCCACTGAATATGGTATTCTTTGTGCTCTTTCTCATGCGACGGGAACAACTGTGGTGGCAAACACATGGGGTTCTAGCTTATCGCAATACTTCTCACAGCACCATGACCTTCTCAGTGTCGTTCTTGGCCGAGTAGAAGAAATATGGCCAGCACCCGTGGCTTGGCTTCCATCTAAATCTGGATGCCAATAGTTGTTAGGTTTTACCTCGGTGGCGGCTCAGCTTTCACGTAGCTCAACGTTGGTTGGCTATCGTTTTGGCGCTTGCATCCCAGCTGAACGAGAGTTTATGCACGATATGTATAGGCAGGCCAGCTGAGTCACGAGGCGTTTTTCTTGGTACAAATGCTTAGCGATGACCTCTTGCTATGCTGCTTCATTTCCTTTTCAGAAAACAAGTAACGGGTTGCCTTGTGGAACAGTATCGAACTTACCCATCAGATACCTTTGAGGAGCGTTTCATGCCTAAGAAAACAAGCCAGAATGAATGCCACGTCACTACTCGACTTCGGATCGCCCAATTTCGATTTTACAAATTGCTCGTCGGCGGTCTCGATCTGGCTATACTTGCAGCCAGTCGTAGATACCGACATGATCGCACCCAACGACGATTACAAAAACCCGCACAAAATCTATGAGTATATCATCGAAAGCCTTGATGGATATCTGCAAGATAACTCTATTCAAAAACCCCCTATGACGGACGAATTTTGGGCGTGGACTCAGAGAAATAGCAGGCTTGATCAAACCGCTGCGGAATACGCTTACGAAACATGTGTCCAAACTCTGTGCCGGGCGGTCGGCTGGAAAGGCAATCCTGACATGGTTGGCATCGGGGTACGACTTAACCTAGCATAAGAGATTTCGTGTCGATCAAGCTAACTCGCGAAGATGCTAGTCACGTACCTGATGCAACAGGTACTCATCTCGCTTTACCTGTACCCGATTATCAGGATCCGTCTCGGAATAAAGTCGAACAGGACAGATAGAAAGTCTTTCATCTCACGGAGTTTGCTTGCAATGCGACTATCGACTACGGCCTTTCTTTCTGCGTCCGCTGTATTCTCGATAGCTTTGCTGTTGGCATCCAATATCACTATGGCGCAACAAGAGTCGACATCGGTTCTTGCAACGTTCGTCCTAAGTGCTGTGGTGCCTCTTAATTCGGTTTTCCCTGTCATTATACTACAGCTGGCTACACCGGGCACGTTTCGGCGTCTGAAAGGAAGGCTTATGCTATGGGGAGTAATCGACGTGCTTATCCTGGTACTGGTGATTCGCGGCATCTTCGTGCTTGTGACGACTCCAGCCGAAGACAATATGCAAATTGGCGGTGATCCAATAGGCCAAAAGGCTTGTGTAGACATGGACTTCGCGCCCTGGGTTTATCTTTGTTGGGCGACCGCCGCTCTGTTGGTAATCGGTCTCACTGTATTTGTAGTAGGCTTTCTTCTTTCAGTTTTGCGCGGCCAGCCGTCAGTGTTCGTACGGTTCCCATCATGGACATCATGGATCATACTTCTCGTCTCGTTCTTCGCCATGTTGTTCTTCAACATTTGGCTCGTCTATCTAACCATCCGGATACGAGCACGTGCTGGAGCCCATAACAAAGATAGCGAATGGACGTTTGGACAGATCCTGACGCTCGCTACTTGGGTGCCCTTCCTAGCAGAATTCGCATACACGTGGCTGGAGGAGCCGGAGGACGCGTTGAATGGAAGGTTACCGGCACCATACGAAGTCGTGGTCGCATCAACGGTAGATGATGCGTTTGGTACAGCACAACCGGGTATCGAGCAAGCACGAGGTCAGTTCCAACGGCTTGCAGCAACAGATTTGGCTTCGTTCGAGCCCAGTAAAGCTTCGACCTGGCCTCTCAAGACACATTGACGTTCAAAGACTTGCTCGCATTATTCTGATGCGCTGACTTTGTGCCATAAACGGGCGAGTGGTGGGAGGGCGTTTTAACATCTACTTTATGTACATCCAGAATCATTATGCAGCTCCTTACGATGGTACCATTGAGCTTTTATGTATGAAGACTGCAGCCATGAACCCAAAAACGGGAATGCCCTCCCATAAGACGAATACGGTGTGTGATAGTCGCCTGTAGGTAACCTGACTGAGTCATTGTTAATGTCTCTGCAGGCGTTACCTAACGACAGAACCATACCTAGGTAGGGATGTATTCCGCCCACAGCGACAGCACCTTATCAATGTCTTCCTGCATTCATGAGTATAATTGAGTTGAAGAAAATCCGTCTAGTCCGTCCAATTGCAATTCTGGATTACTCTGGATCTTGCTTCCTGGTAATCAAGTGCACCAGGCACGGCTAACCCCGCCTCAACAAAGATGTCACTCTCGAATAACGACAGGGAGTCAAATGCCCAAGGTATTCGTGCATACGGTATCTCATCGGCTCTTTGCATTGGTCTAGAAGCTATGTAGGAGATTAGGGGTGGAGAGCGACGTCATTAGACGGCCCTAAACATCTTCGTTCGAAGTTGCTTTTAGGTTGCACCGTCTGTGCGCCCTCTACATGAAACATGAACGGCCCTCTTTAAGCATCCTGAAGCTTCTCAACCCTTGATTCCGCTAAACCTTCCCACCTGACGGAGTTAATTTCTTATAAGATCAGCTTTTTAAGCCAGATTCTTGATACAGCTACAAAGAAGTCGCAGCAAGGTTGACATACCTAGGTGTCATACTAGAACACAGATAGTGAAAGGGCACATGTTTTGTTGGTATTCATGTCATTAAAAACTAGATTATAGAAGGCCATTTTCTATCGTGGGTACTCCATTACGTTCACATGTTGTTGTAGATGCACTTGACAGGAGTCTCCTCCTTGAGCGCTTTCATAGTAAATGGGATGCATCCCTCGATGCCAGCCGGAGTGTCGACGCCCGACAACCAGACGCTGTAACCGTCCTCCTCCGCACCCGGGCAAGCCTGGAACCCAACAACGCCGTTGGCTGCCGCGAAAACCAAGTTGGACTCGTCGTCGATCTTGAAAGGACCACGCTCCTGGTTCTTGCCGATGCCTTGAACACCCATTGTGAATTGGAGGACACCCTGGCCCATGCCGGAACGGTCAACGTAAGCCCTCAGAGGTGGGTTGGGTGTGTAGAGGTACAGATCGCCCTCCTCGGTAAGCGAGAAGCTGGCGTAGTTGGCGTCTGGCTCTGTGCATGAGGAGTTTTGCTTTGGTGCGTTGATGCTGAGACCGCCCTTTACAGCTTGGACGTTTCCGAACTGGATAGGGGTGCCGGTACGAAGAGACATCAGGCGGAAAACATCGTTGCCAGAAGGTTTGGTGGCAGCGAAGGGGTCGGTGTTGGTAGAGTTGTCGGCAGTAGCGATGGGTGAAGCAGAGACAATGGCCAAGGTGGAGGCAATGACGGCGGAGGTGGTGAACTTCATGTTGGGTGGTTGTTTTTGGTTGAGTGAGTTGTTGGATTTGGTATCGAGATACTGATCGTAGTGTGATGTGCTTGTAGTGGTGTGATGAGGCTTTTCGGGCAGCTCTCACATCGTCTTATATACCGACGCTTTCAAGTCCGTGTGTACGATACGAAATTGCACAACAAGGCCGAGGTAGTCCATCATCACTCACCAGATGTCGTGCATGACGTTGTAAATCTCCGAAAATAACTTCTTTCCTAGCATCGAATCCATGGCTAGTGACGGCTGCGGCGCACTCGCCCGTCCGCTTAGTGCCCCTTATTGCCCGACCTGGTTCATGCTTGTCACTAGCGTTTTCCATGGTAACATTGCCACCCCAGCATTCCATTCTACTGTGGCTGAGCCAGTACTAGACATCAACGTCAACACACTACTCTGGCATGTAGCAGTATTTGACTACCTAGGTATATCTAGGTAACCGCATGTCGAATGAGAATTGTGAAGACAAAACAGACGTGGTACTTGCGCCAAGTACACCTACGGATAAAGTAGCTTGGCACACGGTCTTTCGCTGCAATGTATGCAGAGCCCGTGCTGAAGCTCATCGTCTTCGATGCTGTGTACGTTTTGCTAAGGTATAACCTCGGGAATCATGTGCTCGTCGAAGAAACCTTGGAATAGAGCAGTCATTCTCGGTTCCAAGGTTGTTTTCACGAGCCCTATAGTCTCGTGTAGTACGAAGGTCGATCTGTGATCAGCTAAATTTTTTTCGCAAGAACTAGTGTACCTGCGTGAATGCGAATGTCGTAGACACAATTGTTGCCGCATGACTGTGTAAGATCAAGGAGCTTCACGGCGCACCGATGGTTGCCATGCGAGTCATAGGCCGTTCGGAACCATCTCGGCCCCACTCACGACGAGCAGATTGCCTGCCCTTAGAATAGCATCGAGTGACAGCTTGTAGGGAGAAGACCTCCATGAGTTATTCAGAAAGAGTAAAAGCTTCTAAGAAACTGCTCCAAGATGGATACCTAAATAGCCTCAGTAGATAGATGTTCCCAGATCCCATGTATAGGAGATTCTCCATCGTGCGCCAACCCCATTGTTTATAGCGGTACACTTACTTAATTGAGGAAGGTCTGTGTTCCAAGCCCAGGCCGAGATTTCGCCACTCTCGTCGGCTTCGAGCTCCCACCACCAACCAACGACCCCCAACTCTCCCCTATAATGAAGCGCAGCCTATCTCATACCGACCCCCAGGATTGCAGTGGTGTAGGGGACTACAAAGTGGTCATAAAAAGAAAGCTATGTAGAATTTCAACGTGAGCAAATGCTTCTCCAAGTCGCATCTATTGCTCCGATAAATGTAGACACTGGCTCAACATACCTTGATTTATCGTTCCAGAAGCTTGAACACCTCGGACTCCTGAGAATACATTCTTCAGGTCCATCAATTCTGTTTGCTGATAGGATGTATCTCGTTATGCCTTGTATGGGAGGATGTAAGCTTAGTAAGGATATAATGTCAAGGTCTTGGGCTGTCATAATCACTCTACCAATATCTCAAATATCTTGTTCATGTAGTGTTCGTATTCTTTTCCCTGATCTCTCCAGTAGGAGTGCCTTCTTTGTAGTTGTTCTTTATTCATTGGAAACAAGTGGCTGAAGCTTTCGCCACACACTTCAGACACATCGAATCTACTGACTAGTTGGGAGAATCTTGGCCAACTCTGGCGTCTTTCCTACCAACTTCCAAGGCTATTTAACCAAGAGTCCCAACCCAGGCACTAGCCTTTCACACTCGGTTGAGTTCGTAACAGCCAGCAGGTACTACATAATGCATAGGCAGAAGCTGCTGTTAAGGGGGCCCATAGTAGCATCCATAGTATAGTGGAAGCCATGGAATTAAGCTTACATTGTAGGCTTTATCCATGGTTCACGTTCGCTCACTTGTCTTAGTTCATGCTTAGAAGAGCCACACTGTAGGACACAAACCCTAGCAAAAGACAGACCGTGATGCTTGCGCTGCCGATCATGGCAAGGCATCCACCACAGAAAACAATAAAGTAGAGTAGCTCAAGTGGGCGCTCGTAAAACCACATATGATCACCGTCAAGGCGATCGTTCTTCTCACACCCTGTAATTTGACCATCTGGAACGTACTTGAAATCGAGCAAAGAGCCGCCCTTGAGACCATACTTGGAGTGAATAATGGAGTTATGCAAGACCTCGCGGCAAAACTGGATAGACCAAGCCTCGAATGATGGGATCCAGTGCTGGGCAGTCGCGAGGGCAACTACAAGCCAGCAGTGACCATTGAAACAAGCGTAATGATACCAACCTGGGCGACCCATGCCCAGCTGATCACAGATGTCATCCCCGTTCAGGCGGCGGCTGCCAGCTTCAATAAAACCAGCTGATATGTTGACGGGTGGAAGGTCTTTGAGGGCCTCGACGAAGTTGTGTCCGACGACGAGTGATGATGGCGTGATGTGCAGCTCGTTGTAGCTCAGAGACTCCATAATAGCCTTAGCCTGAGATGTCGTTGCAAAGAAGTCGGTTGGGGTGCCGATGACGTGACCGACATATCTCCAAAGCGCAATGTAGTCGTCGACCTCTTGTTGAGGTGGGTGGACGCCCATATGCGGCAACTGCTGCCAAGCGTGGTTACAACTGAAAGTGGCAAGGGCATGGATCGAGTCAAGCGTGTTCATGGGTACGCCGTGGATGCTGGTGTCATAGTAGGAGGGGCCTTTGACCTCAGCCACACGTAACATACGCTGTTGGACCATCGAGTGCAGCAAACGCACACGTATTGTAGTCTCGTGACCTTTGCCGCCGGGTTTGATGAAATCCAATGAATGTGTCACCTCGAGCACGAGCTGGAACGTCTCCAACAGCCGCCTTCTTAAAGACCGCGTACTGAAGCCGCCTGTTCGCAGCAACACCTCAACTACACTTGTTGAAGCTGAGTTTTCGCCAACAAATCCCTGGAGCGCGAAGCCAATGATGTTTCCCAATGCGTAGCGATAGAAAAAGCGCTGCCCACGTTCAAGCTGCTCCCAGTTGACCCAATCGGGCACTGCGTTGACCTGTGTCCAGAATTTCTCGAGTGTCTCATTATGATGCCAGTTGGCTTTGAGTGTCGCGAACATGTCGAGTCGTTCTATCTGTTTTCCCCGTTGCTTTCGGGCTTCCTGCTTGCGCTGGTGGATCTTTTGGATGATGTTGACAGTAGCGGCACCCAGCTCGTCGTGCTCGAAGCGAAAGGGATCAGTCTTTTCTTTAGGAGTGTGTTCTTTAGTCCAGTGAAAAGAATAATTTCCAACAGTTCGAAGGTCTTCTGCCATAGCTTTAGAATATTTGCGACTGGCCATGTCTCTACTGACTGCGGTTGAAAAATTGTATCCGAAGTTTGAAGCTGATGTTCGTGTGTTTCTAGTATATGCCACTATTACTCAATCGGCCGCGCTGCACAAAAATGCACACTAGTATTCAAGAGAAAGGAACAGGTATCTGAAGCGAACTTGAAAGATTTGTATAAGAAACTAGGCAGCGAGAATCGCACTTTGCGCTGGCTCCAATTGAAGATACCAAGGGCCTCAATTATCTAGATACGAGACACTAGTATACATCGGGATCTTGTAGTAATTTCGCCAAGAATTAAGGCCCCTCAGCACTCCTAAAACCTCGTGTTCATCGTCTTGGTATGACTGGGTACCACTTCTTGGCCAAAAGTCATCCCTATCTGAGACTACGTTTATATAGATCCACATACCGACTATACTAGTTGACACCTGTAGACTTGGATATTACGTGAGCTTTCTTACTTCGCCGTACAGTTCAAAATCACCATGCATAAGTGCTTACACTTTCTTATCGATACACGAAAGTGGATAAGTGATTACACTGAAGTGAACCACTAATGTAAACTTAGACCTTTCAACTCTCTTGTGGAACACGCTACTGGTCCCATCATGTTTCCACACTCCAGCGTGTTGGTTGTTACTCCGTTAGATCAATCTAGCTGTTGACTCAAGCTAGCTGCTTTATACACTTGTCTCTTTCCATGTCAGTTTACTTTGACTTATGCCCCTCGCTTCACTCTCGACTTGCTTGTTATCCAGCTTCATGACGAATCTTCATTCATTGCTATCGCAACATATTAGTACATGTTATAACTGCAGCTATGGAGGAGAGAACCATTGTTACCATCCCTGACCTATACAAGTGCTTCTTGACACAAGAACCTAGGTCAAATAAGGGTTACCAAGTTGCTAAACTTGAGTCGGAGCGATGGCTTGCAAAGTCAGTGACTTCCGTTGCCAGATACCTGGATCCAACATTGCGCTCTAACCGCACCGATCAGAACATGCGACTTCGCTCCCAGTATGAGCAAAAAGGTTAACGCCTGCGATTTCTCCTTTTTCATCTCCATCGCGGCACCAGACGCACCTCCAGACAGGCTAAAGACTGTATGCGACTGGGGAAATTGGGTCTTTCCGTTCGACGACTGTGAGCTTCTATTCCAAGACCGATAACAATTTGATGTGTTTCGAGTATGACCTCTTTCCTCACTGACGGTGGAAAATACCATAGTGTTTGACTCAGGCGAGCTGAGGACCGACCTTTCAACATCCGAACGTGTTCTCGATAGCCTCATGGCCAACATGATGGGCAATCCCTTCATCGGATACAAGCTTCCTATCGTCAAGGCACATGACGACATCTACAAACGGTTCGAAAACGGCTCTTCCTACGGTACTCGGAGACGATTTGTTCGTGCTATGCAGCAATACACATTAGGTGTAGCGCACCACGTCGGACATTTCACCACCAATCACATCCCGTCCCTACAGGAGATGCTATCGACACGGCAGCTATCGGTCGGCGTCGCGCCACTCTACCATCTCGTTGAGTACGCGCACGAGATTGTGCTTCCAGATGAGATCTTCGAGCACCCCGTGATCCAAGCACTAGAGCGCCTCGGTGCTGACTTCGTTATTCTGTACGCTGCTTTGATTGATTTTCCATGTCATTCTATGATACTAATTGTATGCGCACCAGATCTAATGATATACTCTCGTACCGCAAGGAAGAGGTAAGTCCTGGCTCGAAGATAGGTGTATAAGTCATTGAGAGATCACCCTGACCTTTCAAATGTATAGTGTGAGGGATGTCCTTTTAATATGACCGCTGTCTGCCGGCTAGCCGGGCACTCAGCGCAAGAAGCTTTCGATATATTGGATTCCATGCTTGAGCAGCGTTACATTCAATGGGATCAAGCAATCCATCATCTGCCCAGTTGGGGCGCAGATATTGACGGTGAGGTCCGCCGGTACATTGATGGCATTCAGAATGTTGTCCAGGCCAACATCAGCTGGAGGTGCGTCCTTTCTTGTATTTGACTGTGTAACATGGGAATACTCTGAAAGTCAAGCATCCGCTAAAATTGTGTTCGCGCATATTGTAGCTTCCGCTCAGAGCGATACCTTGGCAAACATGCCCTTGAAGTGCGACGCACCCGTAAGATTGATGTTATGACGACTCCTCCTTACTTGAGGATTATGGAAGCCAAACTCTGCTTACTAAAGTGGCCATGCGTTCCACCAATTAGTAAGTTTCATCAACGAGATAATTATTGAGACACCACTGATGAATAATCAGCGCAGAGTACACACCCAAAGTTGGATGATTGTTTCGAGGCAGAGCAGGCGGGTAAACTTGTTTTCAACGTTTCATAGTCGCACGTAAAAAGAAATCGTGGTCGAAATCGTTAAAGATTCGTACAATAATTTATGCAAAGCACGAGAAGCAATTCATACCTGCTAATAGTGTTTTAATTACGGTCATATTAGACCTATGCACACTTGGACAAGGTAAAACAGAGAGCCACCTGACTTACAAGATACGGTCGGCTTATAGGTATGACTACCTCACCAGATGAGAACATGCGCAAAAAGGAAGAACACAAAGGGTATACCGTATCATACAAAGTGTACATGTCGTATGAAAAATCAACAAGGTGAGCAAAAACATACAACAGCGGGGATTCGCTAGTGGTCACCCACCTAACTACTAATCCGCCGGTACACTGCTTGTATATGGCTGAGCGGACGGGAAGCCTAATTTTCAGTGTCCTATGGTCGTATGTGCAGAGAAAAGATAATTTGTAATTCATATTGTAATGACAAATGTCAACACGTGCTGCATCGTCGCAGAGGATCTATAAGTGTGAGAGATCTCCACCTTCTGTAATATAATCGTGCGCCGTGCTCACAGAGCATAGGAGATTGCGCGCTTCAAGTCATGGTTCGAACGCTTGAGTGGTCGTTTAACGCCGATGACGCACGTGATACAGCTAGCGATGCCGACGCTGAATTCCAGCTCAAGCCGGAATCTCACATGCGCATTGCGAGCAAATGGCTCCACGGTAGCCTTGATGAGCCGGATCATTACCTAGGGCCACACGAACGCCCATGGTGAGATGATGCAGTTTGACCGGCCATTCGAATGCTGTGAGTTCTTGTAGAAGAGGCTACTTGACATTTCAGAGGTACCAAAATTGATGATTTCACGCGAGACGCGATGCGTAGTGCTGTACAGCGTATGCGCAACATCGGTATAACGATATCATAGCACATGTGAAGATGAACGCAATCAGCTCAAATGGCCGACAACGAATGTCGCTGAATTTGATGAGTGAACAGCAGGTAAGAGCAGACTACCAGTAAGACGCGTGTGGGTAAAGTCCAGAAAACCAAAATTAGTACCATGGTAAATTCCATTCTTTTACTCAGCTAGCTTTCGTCAAATTAGAATTATCTACACTTGAACAGTGTAAAACACAGGCATCCTCCAATAGCAATCCACCCGTAGCGAATATTGCGACACGTCCTCGGTTCCACAATACGCTATGCCGTCCTGGGAGATTGGTACAACGACGACCGCTTTTGCGGAGGGTTTGTACCACGGGACATATTTGCCAATAACCTGGAACTCTAAAATCCTCAAATACCAGCACTCATGTACCTTCCGTGCTCCGTACACAACGAAATTCGTCACACCAATTTCAATATCGATACCATACACATTTGACTATGCTACAGTCTAACATCCAATATCGCTGCATAGGAAGGGGCTTTTGTGGTAGTATCTGGACTCCTGGAAACGCCCAACACAATGACGACGGGCAAGTTGCCATCAAGCGCGAAGATGGCGGACCTGGTAGATCAGTCACGAATGATTACAACATGCATCTTCGAGTTCTCCAGAGCGCAATCCAACAGCCACCATTGATGCCTCTTTCAATTCCTTACTGTCACAACCTCGTCCAAACCGACGATGCCTGGTGGCTATCAAACCTACATCGATTCCCTTCTGGCTACACTGCTTGTAGAGCGCTCATCTCGGAACGAATCCCTAAGATCCCAAGGCCAATCAGCAACAAGATTGTAGATCTCTTCTGCGCTGGCAACGCTCAACTATCCACCTTCGTAAAAGGCAACCCAGATGATGATGCATGCCTTGTTCGACCATATCTGGGACGTCGGCGCCGGCACAGACAAGAGGGGATAAGCGAATCACGCTTCCAGCGCTTCAGTCTGCGGAACGTTCCTTTACACATCGATCAAATGGAAGCCTTAGACCTGTGCGCTGGATTATATGCAGAGACTATGGCAGAGGCTCTCGCACTGATGCACTGGGGTGCGGAAATTGATGCGAACGACGTCGAATTCGTGCTAGCCCCACCACGAAGCAAGCATACACAGTCAATGGCTTTCCAGTCTGACTATCTGGGTACCCACTGCATGTGGATCCTCGATTTTGACTGCTGTCGGCCTATGCGGATGAATGCAGAGGGAGTTGAGCAGGCCTGCGCAGCATTTTTCAGGAATGATCCCTTTTATCCAAGACCGGGGACTGGAGAGACGGCTGATGAGGAACTGTGGGTTGTTTTCAAGCAAAGATTCCTTAGTTCTAGTTACAGATTTCTGGGCGGAACAAGACAGCATATATGGTACCTTGCAGACAGGCTGATGCATAGAATTGAAGAGGAGGCGCGGTCAAGGTCAAGAGATATAAATTCCAGGCCTTCTCAATGAATGAGTTATCAACCATGTTCAAGATTTCCTAAGAACGTCGTTTCCTGGACCGCTACCTTGAATCAGTCTAGGAGATCGTACCCAGCTGCTGGATCACACAGGCGGTCACTTGCGCCTTGATCTCGAGGTCAATTCGTATCAAAGAGAACACAATGTCACGCTTTTCACACTTTTAGTAAAAGAAAGATGAGTCGGAGGTAGCCTGCTAAGCAATCGTTAGGCGCGATATGTAAGGCACTAAGACTGCAGAGAAGTTCTTATTCATCGCCAGCTGCGATACTTCCACTGGCTGACTAATAACATAGAGTACAGTTACTCCATATAGACAGGCTATCTCAACTCCAGCCAAATATGAACTTGCGCGCCATCTAGGCATGTTTAAGCTCGAAAATAACGGAAAGAGACTGCGTCTCTATGAGATGCTGCTTGACACAGCGCCAGCCCCCTTCGGCGAAGACGCCCTCCCAATCCTCCATTGTCGGGATATACGTATCCATCAGCGCATGGCCAAATTCAAACCCAAGAGTGAAGCTGGGGACACTTTCCTCGGTAACTGCGTACTTGGAGGACCCTGTCTGATTCAGGAGGATTCGGACAGTGTCGCCCAGCAAAAGGCGGCGAGCTTTGGGAAAGGCAGACCGCAAACGTTGGAGCGAGGCAATGCAATTCTCCCGTGGCCAGAAGTCGTGTCCCATAAGAAAGCATGTCAATAGGTCTACATCAGCGAACTCTTCGCGATATTCCAGATTGGTAGCGTCACCCAAGGTGAACGACAATCGATCCTCGAAGCCGCGTGTCACCGCGTCGTTTGCGGACTTTTGCAGCGCAGGAGCAGCGACATCAATACCGAGACCTTTGGTGTTGGGGTAACGGTTCAGGATTTCCATCAAGCGTTCACCGCTGCCGCTGCCTAAGTCAACGACCTTGTGAAAACTGAAATCAAGCTGTTTCATCGCTGTCCAGAATATGGGATCGAAATGAACCGTGTTGATGTCCTTGCAGGCGTATCCGATAGCAACACTATCTCGTGTGTAGTAATCTCCAGTCCGATTCTCCTTGCGAAGGACGTACTGCATACGTGCAAACAGTGTACCTGAGCCGAGAGCCAGCCAGTGGAAGACGGACTTCTGCGTATAGGCCTCGTCGAATAATCTGCCCGTCTGGACAATATCTCCTTCATGCTGGAGTATGCCAACAACAGTCAACGAAACCACCAACCCCTGAGTGGATTTCAGGTCCAGGCTCTGCTTACTTGCAAAGTCGGATATGTGGACGTGTTCGTGCTGGCGCAGCTCTTCGAACAGACCAACTTCCCACGCAGCACCAATTGCAGCGGCCGCGATGTATGAGTTGTAGATGTTGGCCACGGCGCGCTGCGCGTCGGCATTATCGGCTTTGCAGATCATGTTGATCACTTGTAGAAGAGGATATCTCTTGATGATTGAGACAGAGGAAGAGAAAGCTTGGTTCATCGATTGAATCGTTGCATGAGCAGAAAAATGACGAGCTTATAAGCGCTTCTCATGAGATGTGTTTCGACATCCCTCAATCTTCTTCATACCTCCAACGACCGCATCAACCGCCCATTATGCAAGCGTCAAATTCTGGAACTACGCCGTCGATCTCCCTTCGGTGCTTACCAAAAGTCAGAGTCAGGCCCGACTGACATACTTTACAAATACTAAGTGTTTCTGCTGCCCGTGGTGCCACAAAATGCGGTATGAGGCCGCGCGTCGTTGAGTTGCAACTTTCCTGTGGATACAGGACATATTCGGCACCTGTATGCCCCTGCTACTGCTGAGCCTAATGATCTATAGCCGTCAGACCGATCATGCTCGACACCGATCAAAGCATCTCTGTCTCGAAGCATCCTTCTGGTTCTTTCTGTTATATAGCTTTCGTCATGGCGTATGGCATCACTGCGCAAATCCAGTTTTCGGTGACCGAGAAGCCCAGTGTTTATAAACGGTTAAACAAATTCGTTCTCCAAGTAAGCACTACTTTACGCATCATCTTATAAATAATGATCTATCAGCTTCGGAAAGCATCGTGATGCTTTCTTCAGTAAGCACTTGAATGAACTAGGTAAAAGGTACAGTCTGGAGTTGACCAGCAGTGAGATCCTCCCCGCAGAGGCGGCGATTTGCTGCCATATCAAGGAGTGGTACGAGTACGTTGTGGGATAGTCTAATTTCAAGTTATGCATATAAGTTGTTGTCAGTGTTGTCGGGTTTCCAAAAGTTGTCAATAGGGAGAATAAAGGTCAAAGCTATCGCCAGACACGTCATCACAATCCACAACATGACCGGATTTCCCCCGCCTCCCACTTCCGCTGTCCCTTGGGGGAAGATGGATCTCAAACTCCAAGAAGGTATATAAGTTCTACCCAGCTTAATCACAGCGACTAATCAGTATCTACCAATAGTCAACGGCCACATCGAAGCTACCTACTCCAAGAAAACGGGCGAATGGACGCCACTTGTATTTGTTCCCAGTCCCCATGTGAAAATTCATGGAATGTCGCCTGCCCTTAACTATGGGCAGCAAGTCCTCGAAGGCCTAAAAGCCTTCCGCCACCCTGGCTCTCCTGGCTCAATCTCCCTTTTCCGCCCTGATATGAACGCCCATCGCTTCCAACGGTCTGCTAGTGCACTCGACCTACCAATCGTGCCTGTGGACATGTTTCTCCAGGCTTGTCGCGCAGCCGTTGCGCTCAATGCCGAATTTGTCCCGCCTTATGGTTATGGTGGAGCCATGTATGTGAGACCACAGCTATACGGGTCTAGTCCGCAGCTTGGACTCACGGCAACGGATCAGACGACTTTTTGCGTTTTTGTTGTCCCGTCAGGAGTACACGAGAAAGCACAAGCAACGAAGGCTTTGATCGTTGATGACTTTGACCGCGCCGCGCCGCGAGGAACTGGTCATGTTAAGATTGGTGGAAATTATGCCCCTGTGATGCGGTGGGCGAAACAATCAAAAGCTGCCGGATATGGTGTGACGCTGCACCTAGACAGTGCACGACATGAAGACATCGATGAATTTAGCACCAGTGCGTTCATAGGCGCCCGCTATGCTTCAGATGCAGATGGCAAGCCAGGCGACGAGGTGACGATTGTGGTGTCAGACTCACCATGTGTCATAGAGAGCGTGACTTGTGACACCGTTCAAAAGATTGCGCGGAGCTTTGGATGGACCATAGAGAAGCGGGCTATATCCTATAAGGAACTACCTAACTTTAGTGAAGTTATGGGTGCAGGCACAGCTGTGGCATTGATGCCTATTGCTTCGATCACGCGAAAGCACATGGGAGAAGGCTTGGGTCCTGGACCGCGTGTGACTGTTGACGGCAATTTCGAGACTATTGCTTACATGCCGGATCAGCAGCAGGGTGGCGGACCGGTCCATCAGAAGCTACTGGCGCGGTTGTGGGACTGTCAAATGGGTAGGGTGCCAGATGATTTTGGTTGGTGCTTCAAGGTATCGTTGCAGGACCAGGAGATCAAAGCTGGGATGTAGACAATAAGTCTCCAGATCGTTCGATCAGTAAAATTCATCGAAATGTCACATACTAATCATGTCTAGAAGCTCTTTGCAGTCTCGTGATGACGCCCTACAATTGCTCTAAGATTACACCTTGCGGCATTCTAGCAATTTTGGAAACCTACTGCGTATACAAGCGGTGAGTTTGTCGTAGAACATCAAGAGTGTGGTTTACGCGGCAGCTCGCGCGGCCCCGCGCGCCCCGGCCCGCTAATCTCACCCGCTAGGTACCACCTTCTCCACCAGCTGATCCACACGTACTGCATGCACATCAGCAACCTTCGGCCCTTGCTACCTTCTCCGGACCTCATACCTAGAGTATGTACTGCAGTTTGTGCATGCTTATGTTGGACCCACATCATGGACATGTTGCTAGACTCAGCGCTATACCCAATACCTAGCATGCTGATGCGTTTGCACATTGACACACCCTGAAGAGTAGTGCTCAATTTGAAGAGAAGCCGTCAAATCAGTGTCCTGTAAAGTCGGGTGTCTATGAACTATCGAAACCGTTCGTCCAAAGCACGAGGATAGTTTGGCTGCTGGCTTTGCTCCAGAGGTCTGCTACGCGCAGAATGGGTCAAGCTCTTGATGGCATCTGCAGATCCCGGATAGACTGAAGCTGGCTCTATATTCATGTTGACAGGTGCGGAAGCCCTTCAAGAAACTTGCACTCATCGCCGGCGTTCCTTCACGCCCTACAGGGCGTACGCTGTTTCGGTACTAGCGTCGTCCAGGTGCATTCCCGGACACCCACCGCTAATCTACCTCGACACTTACCTCTTCTCTTGATGTAGCTTGACTACCATCTTTTCCGGCCGCTACAGCTTCTAGCGAGTCCGTGGTTGACTGCTTCCGACGCTGCCCATCAACTGCCTACATTTGCTAGCAATCATGAGCTCGCATGAGCTTACCGCAATGCCCATTCAACAGAGTTCGGACAACACTGTCGAGCAAGTCTCGAACGAGACCAGAACGACGCCTGTGCCACCAGACTACAAGCCAAATGCTCGTCCTGCAGTCTTTCGCACAACGATCCACGAAGTCCTGTTTGTCTTTATTGCAACAATGGGTGTGGCGATGCCGAGCTTGCTTCAAGGCTGTACGATCATCATCTCCTCATCCGTCAAGAGGGACTTATCAATGAGCACAACCGAGATCACTTGGATGACAGCATCTTCAGCGTGAGTCAGTTTACTCTATGAGGGTTCAATCAGCGACTCACAATCTCAGTTTGACCTCGGGCTCCTTCCTGCTTTTCTTCGGCAAACTCGCAGACATGTTTGGGCGACGTAGCATGTTCCTCGCCAGCCTGTTTCTGTTCTCTGCGTTCGCGCTCGGGACCGGCTTCTCACAAGATGCGCTGACGCTTATCATCCTCAATGGAGTGATGGGGTTGATGTGTGCATTGGCCGTTCCCCCGTGTCAGGGTATACTAGGTAGCATCTATGAGAAGCCATCCAGGAGAAAGAACCTTGCCTTTGCCAGCTTCAGTGCAGGAAATCCATTGGGTTTTGTCTTTGGTACCATTTTCTCGGGTATCGCAACACAACTTTTCGGCTGGCGCGCACCATTTTGGCTTCTTGCAATCATCTACCTGGTTGTAGCCATCATAGCTGGTTTCACAGTTCCGGTGGACGACAGTGATAAACTGCCACTCACTGTCGATTCCTTCAAACAGTTTGATGTCATTGGGGCCGCTTTGATCATAGGAGGCATCGGTCTCTTCTCCACTGCCCTCAGGTAGGCGACCATTCTATGATATGCAATCTTCCACTGACGTTGATCTTCTAAGCGCTGGGCCAGATGCCGCACAAGGCTTTAAATCCACATACATACTAGTGTTCCTCATACTCGGTGTTGTGTTGATCGTCGCGTTCATACTATGGGAGACACGTTTCCCATTCCCGCTGATGCCGATGAATGTGTGGCGCGACCGGGAGTTCTGCTTGGTATGTCATTTGCAAAAGCCAATAGATGATCATGTTTGTTTGCTAAACTCTGTTAGATCATGGTGGTTTTAGTGCCTGGTTTCCTCGTCTTTCCGCCGATGACATTTTTCATCGCGCTGTATCTGCAGGAGCTGTTCCACTACTCGGCACTGCTGACAGCGGTTCATATGCTTCCCATGGCTGTAAGCGGCATCATAATCAACGTGGGTCATTACCAAGATACAAGTAAACTACACTAACCACATGGTGCAGGTGGTAGCTGGACTCATCTTGCATCGAGTCTCCAACAAGATTTTAATGGGCATAGGCACGTTGGCATACACTATAGCCTCAATATTAGTTGCCGTACAGCGCTCAGGGGACTCATATTGGGCCTTTACGTTTCCTTCCCTCGTCATCATTGTGGTCGGAGCTGATTTCCATTTCAACGTTGCTAATGTAAGTCGGAGATGTCTGTACCAATCTGACCACTGCTAACTCGCCACGAATCCAGATGTACGTTCTCTCTTCCTTGCCCAAGGCTCAGCAATCTATTGCAGCCTCAATCTTTCAAACCATTACCAAGCTCGCTGTCACAGTTGGTTTTGGTGTAGAGACGGCAGTTTTCAACAGTGTGGTTGCAGACCCGGCATCGACCGGCTATTACGATAATGATCCTTACGAGCCATTCGCAGCGGTATTCTGGGCAGCTGCGGTTACAACATTTCTTAGTTTGTTTGCAGTGCCTTTTCTTCGGATAAAGACACAAGGGAATCATGACTGAGTGATTTCAGTGGAAGGCAGACGCCACTATAAGCTTGACTTGGTAACAATCTCGAATTTGGTTTATCATTCTAGTGTCCGATCGGTTGGTATGTGCAAGAAAGACCAATATCAGAACATATAGCGAATGAAGGTATGCAACCGTCAAATTAGACTATACTTGTTGTTGTCCGCCGTCATTGCCATGAGCTAGATGGTAGGTGCAGCAAACCATCTACCTGCTGGTGGTACTTCCGTTCATATATTCAACCTCCGGAAATCTTGGACTGGGTACTTCTGACCACTCATTCTCACCCAACACAAAACCGAAAAATCTTTCTACAAGCGTCTTGACGATGTAATCCATCCTCGGGGCCCAGATCGTGTCCAACGAGGGTGTAATCGTCTTGTTCCTCAGACCTTGCAGATCGACCCAGTCGCCCAGGTCGGCAAAGTTCTGGTGACTGCTGCCTGTGACATTAAGCCACTGGTACCATCCCGACTGGTTGGCAGAGAAAGGTGCCCACGAAGGATCAACGGTTGGAGCATGTTCCGCACCAGCCAGCATCAAGAATGGTTTTTTCACGTCAGAAAGGTCTATGAAGAGACCGTCGAAATTGATGCCGCCTAAGAGTGAAGGTTCGATAGCCAGAGCACCAGCTGCTGCCGCACCACCAAGCGAATGTCCAATAGCGAAGAAGTGTGTCGTATTGAACGGAGCGTTAGTCGATTTGACATAGGCGGGGAAAAGTTCTCTGATTGTCGCAATAGTATCAGAAACGCGCATGTTGTACACAGCTACTCCAAGTTCGTAGCTCCAAGTCTCCGTGATATCGATACCATAAATGCCTGTTGCACCATCGGGAAGCTGAAGATAGGGAGTCTCTCCTGGATGATCAAGCGCGATCACTGTATAGCCTTGCGAGGCAAGCTCGGAGTTCAATGCGTTATACATGATTGCGTTCTCGCCACCGCCTGGGGAGAAGATGACGGTTGGCTTCTGTCCTACACCAAGATCTGTCATATCGAGAGGCACAGCATCGTATACGTTCCAGGTTGTAAAGCTTTGGAGCGAATGTTTTGGGTACTGAAGGGCATCGCCCCAGAGGTCTGCGGTAGTGGGATCAAGGTAAGGACTCGTGTTGTTTCCAGGTATCGGGATAGTCAAGGTCGGGTAGTAAAATGTCGCGAGCAGAATTGACGAAGCGTTCGCTGGGGCTACGGGGTCATTTCGTGTGGTTTTGTTGAATACATGCTGTTTATATCCTACATGATACGGTCCTGTCGGTGGAGGAAACGACACGGCGGAGACTACTTCGCAGACCAGGGACAGAAAAATCAACAGCATCTTGAGTTGAGAGTAACAAAACAGCCTCGGGAGGATCGGAACCCTGAGAACTTCTTATCATTCATCAGTTTGGCCCCCAATTATGGCGTCATACTTCATCGGATGTCCATCCTATTCCGGCTCTAGGTGAGCCAGCGCTATCGCGACTGTGCTCTAGTTAAGTGTTGTATGTATACGAACTGGCTGGTTCCCAAGCCATATTGTCCAGACCGGCGTACAATACGAAAGACAACCCGTTAGCGATCTCTGTGCATTCCCAAGACTATCAAGCATAAAACTATATTCTCTGGAATGATGCATCTAAGGAGCCAATCGAGCATGACTGGCACCGACCCACGTTCTACTTGTAGAATGATAATCATAGTCTCGAGGACGACAGGTTCCGTCATATTGGCGTGATGAGGGAGTCATATGATAGATTCATGGAGGATTTCGGAGTATATACAGTGATTGTCACCTTAAGGGATGTCTTTGTGAACGATGACTGGTGTTTGTTGGCTAGAGGGAAGGTCGCGACGCGCCAAGAATGTCATACCATAGTAAGATGAGGCTATTCGGAACAACCCCGGCCCCACGGACCGAGCTCAACATGATCGCGTCCAGCACTCTGACTTTGACCAACAAAGTTGTATCACCAAACTACACCCACATAACCTGCGAATCGGCTCCATCAACAAACGCCCAGTAATCACCCTTGCATATCCAGACGCAGCACCACGAGGCGCAAAGATGCCGCAACCACGTATGCACTCCCTTCGCGCTCAGGCGCGTCGCAATCCACATGCCCAGTAGCCAGTCAACTAACTGCTTGCCCCAGCATCCCGCGCCGTCTCCTCCAAAGACCTTCCTCCCTCGGTTGAAAGCGCCTACTACAGGAAATGTATCGACCTCCGCCGCCGCATAACCGACATCGAAGAGAACAATGACGGCACGCGCCTGCGCATCACACGCCTGAACCGCGGAATTCAGAAGATGCGTCTCGAGCGCGCATTTCTTCTTGAGCAGCTCAACAAACACATGGAGTACAACGTCGACGACAGCGATCGCAGCAGCAGCCCACCGCCCACTCCAACAGACAAGCCATTGAGAAGCAAAAGGAGCCACAATAGGAAGGGCACACCTCCCCTTGGCGGCAGTGCTGAGGGAGGAGCCGGTGAGAGGACAGCCATGAGCGGGGAGGGCAGACTGGGGCTGGGAGCCCTGTCGCATGGCATGAACCCCATGAGTAGTGCTCAGAGTACCCCGGACCCATCAGGGCGTCCCCAGAACAGCTACTTCGGTACCATCGGCGCTCCCACGGCGACAAGTCCACACACCGGTGCAAACGGCGCACCTCCTACACTTCCTCCCCTTCACTCGCTCCCACCGCTGCAGCCACAGCAGCAGCAGCAGCAGCAGCAGCAGCCAGCACCCGCCCAGCGCGCATACTTCGACCCAGCCTATGACGAGCAACGCCCCACACCCGCTAGCAACGAGGAGCCAGCCGCCCGTCCACGCGCGTACTCAGGTGCTGCCCAGCAACCACCGACGACCGATTCCGCGCCTCCTCCGCCGCAGAACGGCGACACCGAGATGACCGACGTAAGCTTCACAGTTGTCAACCGCTAGGATGGTTATAGCCTGGGTAGTGGATGGCGTCGATTGTAATAACGCTGGACAGTTGGCAAGGAAAACACCCAAGTGATAGCAAGGCGTTAGGGCACATTTGAGCTTCTGTACAGACTTTCGGTATCTGTATGCAACGTTTGTAATTGTTGTTTCTTTCCCAGGTTCAGGGGATTTTGTATTAGTACAGGTGTCTACCGACCAAAATTGTGGGCACAAAGCAGGGCGAGATTTCCATGCATACTTGATTAACAAAGCTCGCTATGGTGAACATGATCATGTCCGTGTTTGGGTGAACGTATCACTTGAACCTGAAACAGTATGGTTCGTTGGGCAGAGCATTCCATACAAAGACTCCTCTGCTGTAACATTTGCTGCACGCAATCGTAGGTCACAGCCGCCATGGCCATGCCCTGATCTTGTTCCAACTCGTTCGCTCATATCTCACTGCTCATGTGTAGACCTATTCCTCGTCCTTATCCTTGTAGTGAACACCGTTGGCCAACTCACACGGATCAGGTGCATAACCGATGCTGCAGTGCTCCCAGTCGTCGTTGTGCATGAGCTCGCGCTTGAAATTGAGGGCGTGGTAGATGTTTGAGAAGCGGAACTCCACATACGAATGCTATAGCGATGATGTTAGCATTGATCAAGATAATCAGTGAGTGTTACTCACACCACGTGCAGTCTTTCCGCTCTTGATGCGGTCGACATCGCGCTTGTTAACGCCTCTGCCTCGAGCCAGCTTCATGAGTACTGCATCGCTATCTTCGTCTGCACCAATAGCTCGCACACAGCGTGATGCGTCGCCGTCAATGCAGTTACGAATGACATCGTTGATGGAGTTCGGACCCTCGGCCTTCTCCACGAACACAACCGCCTTCTTGATGTCGCCAACGATTTCGATGCCATTTGCAGTCGCCTTGTGATACTTCTCGCATGCTTCAGGCGTGAGGAACTTGACGAGGGCATTGGAAGAGCCAGGTTCTGGCAAGGAGATAGACTCGAGTTTGCCACCCCACACAAGGGCTTGCAATTGGTTGATGCTGGTGATACCTGCAACCCCTTTTAGAATACAGGTGCGATGAGCAGCCGCTAAGTTTTGTCAGTTTTAGCCTGATCGTGCATATAGACACAGACTTACGATTCTCCCGCTTCTCCTGGATCGGCCATCCTTTGATATCGTCTGCCGGATCCTCAGAAACAGGCTTGGTGTTTTCAGTACTCGACGCAACAGGAGGTGCTGCCTTCGTCAGGGCGATAACGCTCGCGGTAACGGGTGGTTCGGGCTTGGGGAGGATGTTGTGCATGGCCGCAACAATACCCGATACTTCAGCGAGTGTCTCTATAGATAAGTGACCTTCTTCGACAAGCTTGGCACAAAGTCTGAGGAAATCACCATTCGCATCTTTGAGCGTCTGTTTGATAGATTCGGGTGTACGAGGTTGCTCTGGGCGCTTCTTCAATACCTTGTTGATGTAGTTGGCAATAGCGAAGGCTAGACGTGCCTTGATGATCTCGTTCTTTTCGACGTCGGTTTTGACCTCTGGCATATACGAGCCACGCAACTTCCTCGACATGGCCTTAATGAGACTTGCCGTGTTTCCATTGACGTCTGGTATAGCCTGAATGTAGTCGCTAGCTTTACGCATATACGCATTCTCCAGTTCTTCTTGTGACACGACCGCAAACTTGATGCCATCGATATTGGTGTTGTCTGCCTTTGATTCTACAAGACGATCACCAAACGCGAACTTGGCTTGCTCAGGCCTTACTGAGGTACTGCCGATGGGATTGCGGGGGGTCAGGACAGTCTTGCTGTTTAGGCGAGCATAGAGTGCGTCCATGGCAGACTCTTCGAAGGCATCGCTTGTGGCATTTGTATCCTCCTTCTGTGGTGCGGCTGCGTCTGATTTAGTGGTAGTTGCGGAGGACGTGACGGTACTCTTTTCAACTGAAGATGACTTTGGCGCAACTGTGGGCCTAGCATATTCTAATCTACACGCACGCATGTCAGTAAGGCTCGAACGATTATGTAGCAGTTCGTACCCATCGGAAACCTTCAGCTGCACTTTGGCTGGACCTGCATTAGGTGAGGATGCCATTGGCAGGGTAAGAGCTGCGGGTCGCGAGGCGATACTAGGTATGGGTCCCGCAGCGCCGACCATCTTGACAGCGTTCTTCTTGAGCTTGATACTTCCCAGATTGGCTGCAGGTTGAACGGCGAGGTTACTACGGGCATCTCCAGAAGCCCAAGCAGAAGGTGCTGTTGAGGGCGGACTCATGTGCCTGGAACGATCCATGATTTCCGGCAACGGAGACAGTGGAGGTAAACTCTTCGATCGAGCGATTTGCTTGCGCGCGGGTGATGGAGGAGGCGACAGAAGGGAGGATGAGGCCGGTATAGGTTCGCACGCACTAGAAATGTTGCTGCTCTTATTGGAGTCGGTATTGCTGTGGGTGGAAGTGGAGGTTGCTGGGCAAAGGTTAGTCGAGCAGAGTGCATGAGCAGGTAAGAGAATCGGCACGCACTAGCAATTCGCCTGTCCACCGTTATCTTCGCAATTCCCTCTATACAGGCATCGAGGCAAGCTTGGTACAGTTTATCTTCGCTATTTCGTATACGAGAATGTGGCGGAGTCTTACCAGGCATTAGACTGTGGCATGCATGTAGGCAAGAGTTGAGGTGATGTCGGATCGTTGAGGCCAGGAAAGTAAACAGTCCAGGGTGTCTCAATGCGGTTGCCGTTCCTGGTGTTAGCCTGTGGCCAATGAGACGACAGCGGTGAAGACGAGAAACTCGAAAAGCGGGATGAGCATTTGTCTTCCATGATACCCAATGTAAAATTCTGCATTGAGATAGTTCCCCGCCGCTTCGATGTTTCTTTCAGATCTTTGCATGGATAAGAAAACGGTTGATAGTGGCATTCATAGAGACTAGAGTGTGCTGTACCTAATCCGAGTCCCGCGATAATAGACTCGTGTAGCATCTGCTTCATGACAATGTTTGAGTTGAGCGTGAAGGCAAGGTTGGTTCCATAAACATGAAGACCTACAAAGCTTAACATGAACATAATGAGATGCCAAAGTAGTAGTTGACATAAGGGCGCACACACCACCCATGCACATATTGATATAGCAATGACAGATAGGAAACTCTTGCTAGGTATGATGAAATAGAAGAACATTCATGAGTTGGAATTGAGCTGGTAAACGGCAAGACTGTGCTCTAGCAGACGCAGGCGGTGACAGAAATAGATACGAGCTCAGAAGAAGAACGAATCCCATGTACAATGGCACTGTTCACCTTATTCCGTCCGCGAATCCAGCACGAAAGTGAGGATATGCACCATTTACGCGTTCAGTGTGCCAGATGTGGAGGCCTACTCATGTCTATCTACCCGTGTATCCTTGTTTAAATACAAATATAGAGAGACTTTGCGGCTTCCGCGAGTTTGGGTAGAAAAGATAAGAGAAAAAGAAAAAGAAAAAGGATTTAGTGATGAGACGACGTTGTCGTGTTACGAAATTCATTATACTCATCTACCAATCCACACTGACCGTATATCATTTAACAGGTGATTAGATAAAAGGTATCCAAACGCGAGTTCGTGCCCTGTACGCCTCGTACTCATTGCCGAAGAATTTGATTAGGAACTTTTCCTCATCTGTATTGAGTGAGCCACCATGCTTGTGCGACGAAGAGAAGGGACTTACGAGTAATTCGCTTCATGAAGAAGTACCATAACACACCAGTAAATCCAAAGAAGCAGACAGTATTGCCAAGCATAATCTGTGTCCCGATGCCCCACCAGAAGAAGCCAAAATATGAAGGGTGACGGAAGTAGCGATAGACACCATGAGTTACCAACTCATGTCCGTCGTTCTTACGCGACTGAACTTGGTGGTTGAAGTTGGTGCCCGCTTGCATCATAGCCGTACTACGAACAGCTTGTCCCACCGCAATCATCGCTATGCCCAATGCGATCAACCACGGTGGGTGGATCGTTGATTGATAACCGGGAAAAAGATACGATGTTACAAGCGTCTCAACGAAGGCCACCGCGTGGGCTTGCCGGTATTGGTCGCCATTTGTGAGTAGAAAGGAATCGATGTATGCGATCGGGGTGTTGTAGGCGGCTGTCGTGTAAAATTCGAGGAAGTGGAAAAGAGAGAGCGTGCTGAGGAACAAAAACGGTCGCCATAGATGGCTGCCGTTGTATGCGAGCACAACAGTGCCGAACAGACCAAAAGCCAGAGCGCATCCTAGGCAGAAAGCACGCACAGCGATGCCCGAAAGTGAGCGCTTGCCGTGACGGAAGAACTCGGGCGCAATAGCATTCTGGGGTTTGGTCTGGACGTTCGATGCTTCTCTAGCGCGCAGCTCCTGATCAAGCTCTGGAGTCCATTTCCCGTTCTCGCTCGGTCGATTCGTGGGTAGGGAGATATCGATACCGGAGGAGAGCGAACCGTTCGAAGACATGGCAATCGTGGATAGGTAGATATCGGTTATGCAGGGACTCTGGCGTCGAATAACAAGACGAGCGTACAAACTCAAGGCATGTTTCTAAAGGCTTGCAACGGGACCTAAATACGCGACCAACATCCAGCCGTGTGGCTTATGAGGAAGTTGAGCTGAACAATAGTAAGAGGTGGGCGACTCAGTCACTTTTGCCTTGGCTCCTGCGCGTCCGGTCTTGCCAGGTGGGACCTCGGAGTCAGCCGATGAGATCATCGCGCTAGTCCAAGCGTGCCCTAGTGTCGCGATGCCTGGCATTCGCAACTTCTACTTCGACATGTGTTTGTTTATCCACGTCAGCTTCGTAGCCATCACACCAGCTCCAAGATCCAGTGCTAGATCCTCACGATTCCAGAGACAAACATGGAGATTTCGGAGAACAAGCAGCGCATGGCCCGCGGCGAACTCTACCATGCCTTCACGCCTGAGCTCACAGCAGAGCGTGCACGAAGCAGACAAGCCTGCACTCGCTATAACAATGCTGTCGACGTATCACGGCGGAAGCTGACTGAGCTTTTCCGAGAGTATGTGTGGCTATTTGATTGCTCTTCAGCAGGCTTCTTCTTATACTCCAACTAGCATCATCCAAGACAAAACCCCTCTTCCTCCAATGGCATCTTCAGAAGACGAGGATGCCAAGCTGTTCGAGAATGATCCTTGGGTCGAACCGCCAGTTATCATGGACTATGGATATAATGTCCGCCTAGGCAACAACGTTTTTATCAACTTTAACGCCGTTTTCCTCGACACCTGCCTGACTACCGTTGGTTCACGCACGCTTGTTGGACCGAACGTCCACTTCTACTCAGCTACTCATCCTCTCGACCCAGCTGTCCGTAACGGCACTAGGGGGCCTGAAATGGGCAAGGAAATACATATCGGAGAAGATTGCTGGATTGGTGGCAATGTTTGCATACTGCCTGGCGTCGTGATAGGCAAAGGCAGTGTGGTCGGCGCTGGGAGTGTCGTTACGAAGAGCGTGCCAGACTTCACTGTTGTCGCTGGTAACCCAGCTAAATTCATCCGAAAGATCGAAACTGAGATGGACGCCGAACAGAAGAACATGAAATTCGGTGAACAGAACAATATGGAGAGCTAACCTGTGCACTAGTCGTGTGTGCAACAAGTCACTTGCTCGTCACGAGGAGCAGTTTCACGTATTGCACTCAGCCTATCCGGTTCGTACTCGCGCTGTGAGCTACATTTGGCATGACATTGTAAGAAGAAAAAAAGTCACAGTCGCATAAACCTTCCCATGTACCTCTGCCGTTTCTGCCACTGATACACCAGACGTTGTTGCAGCGCGCTCTAGCGCGTTCTAGCGCGTCGTTCCGCTTCTCGGAGGCATTTCCAAAACGAAGCAGTTACTGAAAGCATGTCTCCGAGTTATTTCCAGAGTTCGCAACGCGGGCACGTCTTGGAAGGCTCCGATGCGATATCTGTTGTAGTCTCAAGAAGATACTTGCAACACGTTGTTCGCATATGTACTTGCTTCCGCACCCCAACAGATCGAGCACGATCAACCCGAAAGCTTAGCTATCCACTCCACCACTATGGTGCGCGATCAAGTCGTGAAAGTATGTGACAGCAACTCGGCAACCTGTGTCGATCTGGGACAAATGTGGAGCGTTTAGACTAAGATTCAACACAAGATCTGATGATCATCCGCAAGCTTCGGGCGCCAAGACCGACGAAACCGGTTCCCAGACGCCGCCAAAACAATGACATCGGCTCGCCAAACACCAATGACTAATTCATCTTCCATGCACGACATGGCGCACCCTGCAAAATGCCCCGTTTGTGTTTGGGACTGGAGTTCGGCTTCGCCTGTTTCGAGGGTTTCGACAATTTGGAGGCGCCTGATTCACCCTATGGGACACTTCGAAACTACCAGATCAAGCTATTCGTGTGCTACCTGACTGAATGCCAAGGGCTTAGGAGCTTTGAAGCTCCATCCCCAGACTGCTACGATGCATAGGCCTGCACACCATCATGCCTTGACGGCAAGGCCATCCGGAATGGTAACAGAGATGGTACAAATACCACAGCTCCCAACACCCAGATAAACTTCATCGGACTGGTTCCTCGCTCACTAAGGCTAATATCTTCTACTCTGCATCTCCAGCATTTCTTACTCTCTTTCATATCCTTACGCATAATCTTATTCCACTCAACAGAACCAATATCACAGTCAAAATGAAGTACATTCTCATCGCCTCTCTCCTCACCTCCGCGGCTTACGCTGCTCCTTTCGCCCAGGTCCAGGGTGGTAACGGCGGCAACGGTAACACTGCCGCCGCTGCAACTAACCAACAAACCGGAAACCAGGGCGGTCAAACCCAGGCTAGCAACCAGCAACAGCAGCAAGGCGCGCAGACAGGCAACCAGCAGCAGCAGCAACAGCAGGGTGCCACCAACACCCCTACTGGTCTCGGTGCCGGTATCCAAAATGGACAAACTCCCACTGCCAACGACCTCGCCACCGCCGTCTCCAACTGGATGGCCGACACTTCGATGGTCTCCAACTTCCTCAACACTGGAGCTAGCATCCAGAACAACGTCCAGTTCAAGCAGGCTGCCACAGTTGCCTTCAACGCAGAGGTCGATGAGCTGAACCACAAGGCCATCATCGATGCTGCCAACGGTCAGATGCCCAACGTCATTGCGGCCAACAGCACACTCGCTACTGGTGGTTCGTTCCAGGATGTCGTCGACAAGCTTCAGCAGATGTCTGTCCAGGGTATGGCTGCCGTTGGAAACATCGACTTGATCAACCAAAACCGCTGTGTCAATGTCCTACCCAACATTGATGCTTACATGGCTTCTACTGGATCCACCTCCCAGGCGGTTCGCCCCACCGTCTGCGACCAGACCGGTGTTGCTGGTGGTGTTCAGGGAACTGGCGCTACTCAGCCCGGCGCCCCTGCAGGTAGCCCCGCTGCTGCCTTTGCCGCTGCTCAGGCTCTAGCTCAAGGAACTGGTAATGGCCTGGTTCAGAACACTGGCGCTGCTGGTGCTGCCACAGGCACTCAGGGAACTCAGGGAACCCAGGGTACTACTGGAACCCAGGGTACTCAGGGTACTCAAGGTGCTCAGGGAACCGCAGGAACTGCTACAGGTACCACCGGCACTGCAACCAACAACGGACAAACTCCTCAGCAAGCCGCTGGCATCACGCCTACCAACGGCCAAGCACCCCAAGGAACGACTGGTGTTCAAGCTCCTCAACAAGGCTCTCAGGGTACTACCGGACAGCAGACCGCTCAACAAGGTCAACAAACTGGCCAACAGCAGGGTCAGCAGGCTGGTCAGCAGACCCAACAGGGCCAACAGAACGGCCAGCAGACTCAGCAGAACGGCCAGCAGACTCAGCAGAACGGCCAGCAGACTCAGCAGAACGGCCAGCAGGCAGGCAATGGCGCCGCTGCCGGACAACAGACTCAAGGCCAGACTCAAAATGGTGCTAACCAGCAGCAACAGGCTGGCAACGGCGCCGCTGCTGGACAACAATCTCAGGGACAGAATGCTGGTCAAGCATCTGGCCGCAACGGCGGCAACGGGGCCAAGGGTGGCAACAACAACTAAGCACTGCGCTTACGAGTTAATGAAGAGAACGAGTCTAATGGCTTGCAAGGCGAGGGCGATGTGCTGGTCACTAGCCAATCAGTCTTTTCTGTATATAAAAATCAGGTCAGACGTCTAATGGTTGGAACATGTATTTAGTATTGTATGTAAGAGGAGAGTTATTCGCTGGAAATGTAGATAAAGAAGGTATTAGCCTGCCGACTACATGTTTGTTGCCATTTTTTGAAAGTGTGAGTCGTGTGATGCAGAATGAATTCATGAAACACGATTTTTCGAACCCTGATCGATGAAATTCTATAGCACACCCTGAATGTATACGCTACCTAATACATATTCAGGCTGGGAAGCAAAACATCGTGAATACTTTGAGGATACTTTGAATGAGGTGTGGAGGCAACGCATGCTAGTAAATACTGATCAGCGTATTCACGAATTACTGCTATAAAGTGTGGACTTTGTCAACGATAGGATTCTACAGTCAGAATCGCACTGTGCTTCCGTTGCAATGCTCTTGTGTTCAATTGCAATTTTCTAGAATTGAACCCAAAATGAGAGTGACGTGCGGCTCTGGAATCACTCTAGTGGATGGAACTGATCTGACAAAGACATGGGCATGAGTCTCTGGAGAGAATTCCATGATGATATTTGACTGCTTCAATGTATACTATGAGCACTGTTGGCATTCCGTATGCTAGCTTGGCTGCTACCGGGGCAACGGGGTAGCATCTTCATTGTCCATATCGTGCTTCGTTACTACGAGCTAACGTCATGCATTGGCGGTGATGTGATGACGTTAACCATGACGCTCGTAGATAGCAAGAACTCGGTCTTGAAACCTGATACAGAAAGACATGAAGAGAATGAAGCATTAAAGCATTTTCTTTCTAGTATCCCGCTGAATTCCATGAATCCCTACGCTTTTCCCTCGAAGCATGTCCTTGTCTATCCTTAGACGAGCCATGCGTTAACCAACCACACCGACATTCTCATTCTCACAAGTCCAGTTCGTCATCCCGGATGACTCGTCTTTTCTTGTTGGTGACGTTCTCGTGCACATTTACAGGCGCGGCGTGCTTCTTTATGGCCCGTAGTCACCGGAACTTTCCTCCAGCGCCAAGTCTCCGCTGGTTCATCCACGCGATCTACAAGATCTCGAATGGATGCATTCATGCTGGCCCTGTCGAGTGCAAGTTCGAAGGATGCGCGTATTACCGGGTCTGTGGAGGTTTCGCGTTGAAGATTGATAAACTCGAGGGTGATCACGCTGCGGTGCATGATGTCCATTGTCGAGATGAGCTTGTCGATCCAGACCCGAGCCCAATCTTTGCGGGCAATAAGCGTTCGCAGATCGACCATACCTTTTGCCAATCTGAATACTGTGGTAATGAGATCACCCTTGATCCGATTCTTCCAAAAGTAATCACGCTCGGAGTCCTTGCGAGCGAACAGTGGGCGGGGTTTGAGCATCTCGAGCTCGCGGACGTTAGCGATGAGGTCCATGCCAGTGAAGCAAGACTGTGGAACCTCATCTTTCTTCTTGTCCCAAAATATCGCGTTCTGGCGGGCAACGAGCTTGTCATATGACTTTGCATTGTCGTTGTTCATAAGTTCATTTGCGTCGACAATGCCGGCCTTGTACGTGTCTCGAATTTCCTGTTGGAGCTGTACGATGGCCTGTCGATAGCGATCACGGTCAGAAATTCGAGTGGCACGCTGTTCGTTGCTCTCACCATCGACTGCAAAATCGCACTGACGAGCGCAGAGGTCCCAGTTCGAAATGGTCGTAGCGCAGGCATCGGCGCTGACCTCTCCCCGTACGTACTCGTACAGGAAGGAGCTCTTGCCGTAGAGCTCGTTCATAATTGCCCTCTGGATCTGTCCGTACTTCGTGAGGTCTGCAGTTTCCACGCCGAGAACCTCCTTCGCGAAGCCATCAGGCAAATGCCCGAAGTGTACGGCAAGAATGCGAGCAACGCCCATTGCGTGATCCGGCTTGTGCTGGCCTCCGCCGATCAAGGTATTGTACTTGTCGTTGACGGTGAACACCCTGTCTTCCGGAATGCTCGCGAGCGTCTTCTTGAGGACATATGGCTCAATTTGTGGGTATACGGGAGGGAACTCGATGAATGCTGCAGGCATGATGATGTTGATGATGATGATGATGATGGTGATTATGATGATTATGATGATTATAACCGAAGAGCAGTTGTGAAGCTGTAAGAGTATTTGTCAGTGGTGAGGTGGAGGAGAGGTGGAGGACACACCCATGAAGACGTTGACTTTATATGGCGACCGACAAATCGACTTCACCTAAGGTCTGCCCGCTCTTCTCTCACCTGGCGATGTGTATGCCTACAAAAGCATATTAGGCAAAGATGACATGACGAAGAGAACTGTCTCTCACCTGTGCCTCGCCTTTACTCACCTTCACCCCGATATTGATCCACCTCATTACTCACTAGTGTCACACCTACTACATAGAATAATTACATTACATCTCTTCTTTCCTACACACACACACACACACACACACATACACACATCATCTTAACAAAACCACCCACCATGGCCTCCAACGCCGACCCGGACGCACCTCGAACCACAGAAATCCCCGCTCTCGCTGACGGAGGCGGAGGAGGCGTGCTCGCCGCCCAGGCTGACAAAAAACCGGAATACTATGTCACGGTCAGTACATGACGTCCACTACACTTAGTGAGTCTCTAAACCAAGTGTAGGTTATCCTGTACAAGGACCATAAGCGTCTCCCCGGTTTGATTCAACAGGTGGAAGATGCGGGTTGCGTCGTCGCGATGAGCAACTGTACAGTGGCCCCTACTTTCACGTATGTCATGTCGCTGTTGCATTCGGTATTCAAAATTGACAGGATTCATAGGTTCATCATGCCAAAGGGCGTTCGCAACCCTCTTGAAGAACTTGCGGCAGAAAAAGACTCACATATGAGATGCATCATCACCAAGGTCAAGAAACAAGAGGCTGCAGAACTTTCCCAGCTAGAGCGGCCAATTGTCCAAGACGTTGGCGAAGAAGACTAGTAGTACCCGCCAAGTTGGCTGAGTAGAGCCTGCCTTGAACCGATCGACATTTGATGGATACGGTCGCAGCTGGAACGTGGACTAAGAACATTATTGCACAGGAGGATTCCCCAGAGGTCGTAGATGCAAGCGACGGGAAGATAGGAAACGAAACCGACTACTTCTTAACTATCTCCATCCTCTTAACCCATATATATATCCGCTGTGCTCTGGACTAACGTGACAACCTTGCTCAAAAGCCGCATGCGTTATTGCTACTTATGGCAATGTCATGTACTTGTTGATCGAATATCAGCAGATCGTTGAGATCCTCTCATATATGTGGATATAACTACCATCGCGATCTCTCCAATGAGATGGAGCCATAAAGCTTAATCGATCTCGCCAAAACTGGGATAGTTCTATTGGCCTGAGGTTTTAAAACCTCAGGCATGAACATGTGGATACCTGATATCCCAGACGGCGTCTTGCCTGTTGTGACCCGTTGATCTAGATCGTGTTTTGGGTGTGCTGTGGTCAGGACGTAGTTGCATTGGTTGTAGCGCAGGTGAAACCATGTATCAAACGTCATGTGCTGCAGGGCTAGAAAGCTTAACAGGAGGCCAAGATGCGAGGGTTCGAGACGATAGACGTGCGAGGCAGCTATAGTGTTGGCGACATATCAATTCATGTTTGCATTCCCGCCATGTGCTGTGGGGTTGAGAGGCGTGGTAGGTGCGTCGCCGTCTCTCACCGACTCTGGATACGTGACACGTCGGCAAGGCGCGTGACGTACCGACATGGAGAGACGGGGGCTCTTTGCGGCAAGCAACATGAGGCTGCAGCGGGCCGATGAATACATGTACTTTTGCTGCTGGGTAGGGGCAGGGTGCAGATGCGCTGGCATGGTATGACGCCTCTTCCAAGTAACAGAGAGGCTCGCCAAGTGCATGGTTGTTGCATCGAGTCGCTGACCGCACGAGCTGAGCTAGCTAGACGGCAACCTCATAGCCAGGCAGCTAATGACGACGGCTCTTGACCAACAGCTTGCGACGAACCATGGCTGAGGCCGAGCGCGCTGGCGGAGTACAGGGCGATCTGGAGAAGGAACTGACGTGCTCGGTAAGTCGAGGTTCAAGTTTGTGGTGTTGGCGAGTGGGGGTGTCGTCGCATCGACGGGTGCGTGGACGAGGATTTGCAGCTTCACGACTGTGGGCGAGTTGGAGAGCATGTTGAGATGAGAGACTGGGTCGCTCCTTCCGAGTCTCTTCAAGGTTCTTGGGGCCCGCTCAACGACGAGGATGCGCCTGCTAACTCGGCCATGTCCAGATCTGTACCGACCTCCTCTACCAGCCGCTCACCCTCCTCGACTGCCTTCACACCTTCTGCGGCGCCTGCCTGAAGGAATGGTTCGCCTTCCAAGCCTCGACCGCCACATGCATACACCCCTACACCTGCCCCTCCTGCCGCGCCTCGGTGCGCACCACCCAGCCCAATGCCACCGTCACCACGCTGCTTGATATATTCCTAAAGTCGAATCCCCAGAGAGGCAAGAGTGCCGACGAGAAGACGGCAGACCGCAACAAGTACAAGCCGGGCGACAATGTGCTGCCCAAGCTCAGACGACGCGATGAGCGCGATGACGTCGATCAGCGCATGCTCGAGGAGGCCCAGCAGCTGAGTCTGAGAGACGTGGGCATACCGGGCAGCAGCAGGACCAGTCTGGAACCCCCGAGGGAGCGCAGGCGGAGGGAGAGGAGTCGCGACACAAGCAGGGAGTCTCGTAGGGCGCGGGACGAAAGGCGCTCTACCAGCCAGAACCCGCCCGGCGCATCGCCATCCAGAGCCGTTATACCTCCCAGGGCCATTGAACACCAGTCCAGCCTGCGTTCTTTGCTGAGCGCCTCCGACCTCGACGCAGAAGACGTCGACGAGGACCTCGTGCGGCAGGTGCTGGAGGAGCTGGTGTCTGAAGGCGTGGATTTGAACCAGATTGGCACTGCACAGGAGGAAGAAATCACAGAGAGGATAGCCGAAGCTGTGCGACGACGTCAGGCAGAGCGACATGCAGAAAGACAGCGCGAGAGGAGAGAAAGGAGGGAGCGTCTGGCAAGAGAGGGCTTGATGAGCTCGTCATCTTCATCGCTGTTGCCCCAACCCATGCGAAGCCCTCTTACGCGCGACGAGGAAGCAGCACGCAGAAGAAGGCACGGCCGTTCGGAAAGCGGCGCGTCGACACCTCAGACGGCAGTAGGACCGCCCATATCTAGACCTGGTCTCATCGATGCCGCGAACCGAGGCGGACGAGCACCACGCCAGCGATCTTCAAGTCAGGGAAGCTCCCGATCGGCAAGAAGAGCAGAGCGTCCTACGCCTGTCTCTGCGACCTCCCAGAACAATAGTAGTGGCGAGCGGCAGTCGTCATCAGAACATGCGCGGCCAAGGCCACGCCGTCAGTCCGACAACCAGCAGAGAAGTAGGCTGGATGTCCGCGAACAGTTTCGCATCAGCCTTCACGCCAACACCAGCGCCATCAACGTAGTCTCAAGCCCCAACTCACCCCAGAGCCTTGGCTTCGATCTACCCAACAGCGGCAGTCCGACGAGTTCTCTAGCTACAGTCGGCACTCCGGCTGTACCCCAATCTTCCTCCACCCCAGCCATAACGCCATTCCAGCCCCCTACGTCTAGGCGTACCACAGATCCCAGCAGAGCCGTGTTGCCACGATCCTCCAACAGTAGCACTCCCCCGTTATTGTCACCTCCCCCCTTTCCTCGCTCCACTACCGATCCAACTTTGAGCGAGTCTCGATCAAGACAAGCTTCGGGCTCATCATCAGGTGCTCCTGTTCTGTACAACGAGCCGCACATAGCGTGCCAACGATGTGGTAAGAATGACATACAGTATGAGCTTCACTACAACTGTGAACGTTGCGATGATGGAGAGTATGATGTATGCCTCCGCTGCTACCGTCTCGGTAGAGGATGCAAGCATTGGTATGGTTTTGGCTGGACTGCCTGGCCGCGATACGAACGAGAAGCACCCGAAGGTGGCTATCCGCCAAATCATGAGCACCCCCATATCCTCGTTGGACATCGGTATCGCAGGCCTATGACACCATTGACAGAGTCTACAACGCCGCCACATGTGCTTATGAGCGAGGACAATCCCAGGGAAAGGGTTGAGATTGGAGTCTTCTGCGACATGTGCAAGGCATACGCCAATGCCTGCTACTGGAAGTGCGACTACTGCAACGAAGGCGACTGGGGCTATTGCAATGATTGCGTCAACCAAGGCCATCATTGCACACATCCCCTTGTTCCCGTCGCTCGCAAGACAAGGGACTCGCAATCAATTACGGATACTACTCCATCCGCGCCCTCGACGCCACGGCAAGACGGACATCTGGCACCACCAGACCACGACACAGTGCCTACAACTCCTCCGTTGACACCAAAGACCGCATCTCTTATGCGTGGCCCTGGCTACTTTACCATTGCGAATTCCATCTTCCGACCTCTGACGTTCACAACCTTGTGTAACATATGCAGTTATCCCATTCCACCGTCAAACACGAGATACCACTGTCTAAAGTGTAACGCTGGGGATTACGATATATGTATGAGCTGCTACCACAAGCTCGTCGTTAGCGGTCGCATCGCCAAGGAAGATGGTGTAAACGGATGGCGTAAGTGTCTCCGCAGCCACCGCATGTATATTGTAGGATTCGAAGACCGTGATGGCGCACAAAGACGCATGGTTGTACGCGATCTCGTAGGCGGTCACGCGCTTAAAGAAGAAGAGGAGATGGCAAGAGTACAACGGTATCCACCAGATGGCGGAGTAGGCCTGAGACTACTAGCTAGATGGGGCTACCTGCCAGACGAAGGAGTAGAAGACGAACTGTCCTTCCCTCGAGGAGCAGAGATAAGAGAAGCAGCCGATATTAACGGCGACTGGTATTGGGGTGTCTACTGTGGTGTTGGAAGACTGTTTCCTGCAAACCATGTCACAGCTGTCTAAATGATCCAATGTAGAGAATGCAAAACCACGTATCAAACGACCTGATGTTATTGTTCGTCCAATTTGTTCACAATACTACATCCTTCACTGCGCAAACTTTCGCTTCAACCACTCCTCCAGCCTCGACACCACCTCTGCAGGCTTCTCATACGTCACCCAATGCGCCGCATCAATCATCTCCGACTGTTCCAATTGGGGTAACAAGCCCTTTTGGATGCTCTCATACATGGCTTCAGGCCTGCACACAATATCTTGCTTGCATCCGATATACAGCGATGGGACGTTGACTATGTCTCTCCCCTCAGGTAACTTGGCATCACTCTCATGCTGCAAATTCGTCGTCGTAGCCTTGTACCAGCACACCGGTGCTTCAAAGCCATCGCGTTGCATCCGCTCGATGAAAGTTTTCTTGAACTCAGCATCTTGCGCGTAAGGTCGGAGGTTGAAAGTAGGTTCGGTCTTTCCGCTAAGGACGTTCCGCATACTGTCAGGTGTGCAAAAGAACTCTTTCAAACCGTCCTTGTCGTGCATCATGTGGAAGTTCTTCTCTAGACCTTCCTTGAGAAGTTTTGGTCCGTCGGGTGCGGTGAAAAGGTACCAGTATGAGAACAACCGATATCCAAAAACCTTCTCCATCATGTCATTTGCTCCATCTAGATTGAAGGGCTTGCGACCTGGGGCTGTGTACGTGACGTTCAGGTTTACCAAGCCAACTACGCGTTCTGGATGGTAGTTGTATAAGCGGGAAGCAGCGGCGGAACCCCAGTCGTGACCTATGGAGATGCAGTTTTGTGCCTTCTCTGCATCTAGGATTTCGACCATATCGTCGGTCATCTTGTCCCAGGTGTAGGCGGAAGGGTCTGTGGGTTTGTCTGTTCCGTCGTAGCCTAGCATGTCCGGGATGATGATGGGGTGGTTTAGAGAGCGCAGGGGCGTCGCGACTTGTGCCCACATGGCGGCATGGTCGGGGTAGCCATGTTGGAAGAGGAGAGTCGGAAGAGAAGCGGAGCCGGGAGAGGTGTAGTAGGTGTATGTGATTCCTCGAGAGGTTTTGAGCGTCTTTTTGGTGAATGCTTCCATTGCTGCGTATCCGGCGTGATGTATTCAGGATTTCTTGTTAGGATTGATGTGCAACTAAGGGCGAAAGTTGTACTATGTATACCAATGCCAAGTCGTATCGAGTTCACCTCGGAGCCTCCGAGAGTGGTCTTCTACCTTACAAGTTGAGGTCATGTCGGCCGAGTATTAGTCTTTGCTAGGTAGCTACTACGAGACAAGTGGAACGTTTGTCAACTCATGCGGCCGTAGCGGCAGAGTGGCGGAGGCGGTTCCATAACTTCAGTGGAGTTATCCGGCCCCGTTCCTTGAGCTTGGCTATGTTGAGGTAGTCGACCGAATGTGCTATGCAAAGATGCGGCCGCTAGGGGAGAAAGCGGCGATTTAAGATCATGCATAGTGTGGTCTTTGGTACACGACCTCAACAGAAACCTCCAGTTATCTCATCGTCGCGGCTTAGTATTGGTAGTTGTTGCCCTTGGTAGCTTGTTTCTAAGTTGTGGATTGTGCTTCGTGCTCGGTGTGAAAAGACTCGGAAGGTCGAAGAGGCTTCAAGGTCCATGATTACGCCAAAGGCCACGTAAGTACTGTTTCTTGAACACTCCACCACGAATGAGCCGAGGTACTTCAGTTTCAGGAAGGACCGTGTGAATGCGGAATTCTGATCCGCACTGCGGACGGCCACGCAAATGGGCTTGATCTGGGGAGACGACTAGGTGGTCCTATTATGGAGCATGACGAGTAGTACCGTTATTGGATGATCAAAGTGGTGTCCAGGATCATCAATCTAGTACAGCTTGCGCGATGTTCCCAGCTCGGCAGCATGTGCTGTGTTGACATGTGGAGCATTTTATAGATCCGGGGGTGTACAAGGCTGAGGGGGATTAGATGCTAGCCAATGGCGTCATAGTAGCAGCCGACCTCATCGGCTGCACAGCATACCAACGTGCACAACCATTGCAACTCTACCACAACCTCGTCATGGCTGGCACACGAAGATCTACGCGTCAAACAGTGGCAGCAGCACCGAAGTACAACGAAGATGATGATTCATCCACAGCAGAAGTACAATCCAAGCGCAGCGCCAAAAAGACGACGCGTCCCAAGCGCGATCGCGAAGACGAAGACGCAGACGAAGGAATAGTAGACAACAGCCCTCCGCCTCCCAAGAAAGCCGCCACGACCAAAGCGAAGGCTTCGAAAGCGAAACCAAGTCCAGACACATCCGCGCCAAAATCCAAGACCAACCCTCCCCCCGCCCCTTCCTCACCCACAAACCGCGACGCGAACGGCGCCCAAGAAGTCTACTGGCTCCTGAAAGCCGAGCCTCTTCCCCGGTACGAGAATGGCGTAAACGTCGCCTTCTCCATCTCTGACCTGCGCGCCTGCACAGAACCGGAGCCTTGGGGCGGCGTTCGCAATCCCCAAGCACGCAACAACATGCAAGCCATGCGCAAAGGTGACCTAGGCTTCTTCTACCACTCCAATGCCAAGCCCTCTGGTATTGTAGGCATACTGCGCGTAGTTGAAGAAGCCAAAGTCGACGAGACGGCATTTGATCCCAAGGATCCCTATTATGATAAGAAGAGCGTCAGGGAGAACCCAAAGTGGTACTGTGTTGGCGTCGAGTTTGTGAGAGAGTTCGATGACATTGTAGATTTGGCGAGAATAAAAGAGCATGCAAAGGAGGGGCCGTTGAGGGATATGCAGCTCGTTACAAATTCTAGATTGAGTGTGAGTAGGGTGAGGAAGGAAGAGTGGGAGTTTATAATGGGGTTGGTTGATAGGGCGGACAAGAACGATAAGACCGAGTTGGAAGATAACACTTGAGGAAGTGTGATTACTTTGAGATTGGGTTCAAGATACCCCTTGTGTCATTACTCCTAGACGCTGTTTGGCCTATTTATTTCTCTCTGGATCCTATAGTCTGCATTGGCCAAAGACATCTACATTCCATCTAGCCGGACCAAACCACCCTCAATACTGAAGCGCCTGGATGATCTCTGGGCTGTTGAAGAAAGCACATCGCTCCTGCAGCTTTTGCTCTGCCATCTCCTGGGTCGCATTCGCCATGCCAAGCGCGCTGTTACTCGGATGGGTTCCACCGATCGTCCTGACGTACGGACCACCTGGCCGACTATATGCCTCGTCCCAATTCAGCAGCGTAGTTGATTGAGGTCCACTCTCCGCCGGGACTCCATGGCTGACAAATGTGCTCCACGACCGACTTGCTCGCATAGCAAGCTCGTAATCATACTCTGTTGGGTCAAAGGGGTAGCCTGACCTGTTGTACACCTGCATGCTGTCGAAAATGTACGCAAACTCCGATGTGTGGACAACTCCAAACCCAACAATATCGTCAACATACTCGAGAATGGGGTCGAGAATGGTTTGGTTGAAGTTGTAAAAGTAGACTGGCGCTTCGTACTTCTCGTCAACCGCAGCACCGAGATGTAGCGACGGGCACACCATGAGGATGTCACGGAAGATGCGAGCTGAGCGGTAGAATTCCGCTGTCAGATTCACAGTGGTTCCAAATTCCTCTACAGGGTACATGTCCAGTAGCTTGGTCAAGGCATCCTCCGAGAAGGCCGGGAGGTACCCGCGAACAAAGTCGTATGTATCCTGCGCGGTCGCAATGGAAGTGTTGGTGTAGACGTTCAGATCACCTTGCATCCATCCAGACATGAAGGTAGCATTACCGAAGCGTCCTTCTGCGATGAGCTGGCTTGGTGGTGCAGGAAGGAAATCATCGTCCACTTGTGGTAACCAGATATCCCCAATATTGTGGGCGATATCGCTCTGGTATGTCGCGTTCGAGGCCTCAAACAGCGTGTCAGTGTCTAACGCTCGTAGACACTCGATCGTCTCAGGAGCATCCACATCGGTAGTGTTGCATCCCACGTAGTCGACCAATGCGATCATAGCATCCTTGGCAAAAGTACCGGTGATACCAGGCTCAAGAGACTGAGACTGGGCGATACCCCGCTGGAACGGGAGTGGCTTCTCCCCACCGTAAGCCATGATCTGCATTCCGATTGCGAGGCCGCCGGAAGACTGACCGGCAATTGTAATCCTCTCCGGATCCCCACCAAAAGCAGCGATGTTTGTGCGGACCCACTCGATAGCAGCGCGCTGATCACGCAGACCAGCATTCATGCTTCCTTCCTCTTTCAGCGAGTCGGAGTTGGCAAACCCAAAGAATCCAAGACGATAGTTCATGGCCACATGTATGATCGGGTCACCGTTCTCCACAGACTGCTTGATCATCCCGTCAGGCGCAGTTGTCGGCTCCGTATTACTGGCCCACCAGAAAGACCCTCCATGAATCCACACCAGCACCGGTAGTGGCCCCTTTCCTTGCCTGTCATCCGCCTTGGGCCTTGCAACGTTCAGGTTCAGACAGTCTTCAGAAGTCTCGGTGATGTTGCCCAGTCCGAGAGGTGGGTAGAGTACGCCCAGTGGTTGAGGACAAGCAGGCCCGGGCTTAGTCGCATCGATAGTAGTGCCTGGAGCATACTCATAGGGAATCGGAGGCTTGAACCTGTTTTCGCCGCTGGTGTCTTGAGCATATGGAATACCCAAGAAGATTTCGATATCGTTGCGTCCAATGCCTACGATGTTGATAGGGTCCTTTGCGTCGCCGAATTGAACGCCGGCCGTGGTGGTGACAGCGGCGACGAAGCAGGATAGGGTAGAAAGGTGCATCTTGCAGCCCAATCACTCTTGATCTGTTGCTCCAAAACACGAGGAGGCGACTATGGGGTGCAATACTCCCGCAATAGGTAAATGACGAGGTTATTATGGCTGCGCAAAGACGACATGCAGTTGCTTTAGAGACACAGATATCACCTTTGCCCGTGCTAGTTTGCAAGTGGCAGGTGCACGGCTGTGACGTGATAGACGGGAACAGGTGCTAGTCCGGCATTAGACGGCAGTAGCGCGAGCTCATCCGCATCAATGATGCCAACCACTATGATCCAATTTCTAGCCTGATCGAAAACTATGCCAAACAGGAAAGCCAACGCGAGACATGCATAAACAACCTTGCGCTGACATACCACGTGTAGATAACGTGCCTCCAAGGTTGTTTGCCTGGTCCGTATAACACCAATACAATATACCGACGCTACTACCCGAGCAAAGCGTCCCAACCTTACAACCGTGCTTGTGCACCCCGCAAGTCTTTGGCGACTACTTGGAACCTGTCGTAGCAGTCTTTTTCTGCATCAAAGTTCAGCAACCATGCCTCGCGTGCTAGGTGAATCGACTCTGGCTTTTTAGCGATTTCATCCCAGTCGGCTTTGTGCCATCGCTCACGCGTCGTCACTCCTGTCGCCTGCGCCTTGTGTACTCTTTCGTAACGGATCTTCTCGAATGTACATACGGCTAGTGGGATGCTTTCCTTGCCAGCGAGTTCGAGACATGCAGCTAGGACGACACCGTCTTCAATGGATTGACTGGCTCCTTGGATGGATGTTGGAAGGAATGGATGCGCTGCATCTCCAATCAAAGCGATGCGTTGTTTTGGGGAAATAAAAGTCGGTAATGGGTCGCGGAAGACGAGTTTGTGATCGATGAGACGTGCGCCTTTTGGTGTCGATCTCACGATCTCTTGTACTATCGGCGCCCATCCTTCGACATACTTTAGACAATCCTCTACTCTCCCGGGAAACTGCCAGCTCTCTTCGATATTGCCGTCGTCTACGTGAGTAAACACCCAATTAAACTCTTTGCCGTCCTTGAGCGACGAAACCAGGAAGTGGAGATCTGGGCCAATGAAACCAGAGTGACTGTCCCTCTCTACAAGATGCTTCAACATAGGGTTGTCTTTGATTGCGTCGCCAGAAAACCAAGAGCGATATACAGCATATCCCGAGCTCTTAGGTTTATCGTCAAATCCAAGCACAATCTTGCGGCCACGCGAGCGCACCCCTTCGGCTGCGATGACTACGTCAGCAAACACACGCTTCCCGTTAACAACAACACCAGCTCTTTCCTCATCCTCGAAGTAGTCAGTCACACGCTGACCCCATCTGATTTCTACGCCCCGGTCGACAGCATGCTGATGGATGATACTGTACAATTCCCCTCTATGCCCATTGATTCTGGGTCCCCACTCCTTCTCGGCGTCAAAACTTTGTCTTGTAACAAACTCCCCTTTCCAGTGGTACAGGTCCAGCCACGTTGTTTTCCGTGCAACTTTCTTCATTGCCTCGATGACGCCAGGCCAGCGCTCGAAGTTGCGCGCACCGTTCGGATCGAATGAGATGATATCCCCGAATCGCGTTATCTCCTCTACATCTGCAGCTTTCTCGAGAAGGAGGACTGAGTGGCCTTTTCGGTCACATTCTATCGCTGCTGCAATGCCCGCGAAGCCTGCGCCTACTATTATGACGTTGACGCCGGATGAGGGGCGACGGGAGAAGCGCGTCATATCGGAACGAGGTGTGGATTGAGGTCTAGAAGATCAAACAGAGAATACGAATCAGATATGTGAGAAGCGACTGTAACTTACAGTGGCAGGTATATTGATCTTCCTTCTTCCGTGTATACAGTGTGGGGTCGGCTTATATGTACGCCACAAGGATGGCCCCACATGCAGGCTAATTGAAGAGAGATAGTGGTAGCCGAGAGCTGCTTCTGTGCCCAACTGCACCCTTCTATATTGCCTGTTTGTTGTCAGGGTTCCATAAATGTACCATCTAGTGCCCCGTGTAAGTCTGGATTGCATGATGATGTTGCAATGCGCAGCACACTAACATTCGCTCTATCACAGACCTTCATGAATCTCTTCGTCTTCTCCTCCTGGACTTCTTTGTGAGATGCTGCGTCGTACCTTCGGGCATGACTGCCGGAATTCTATCTTCACCCTCACTCTCCGACGTTGAATACTGCTCAGCATCTCTTCCCTTCTGCACGTCCAACTTAGGAACTCCATCCCACAAATTGCTTTTGTCTGGCAATACGCCTGTCTTTTCAAAGGCTTGGAATCTCTCATCTTCCCATGCCCTCTTGCAGAGTTCGACCAGTACACCTGTGAAACCTAGTTCTCTAGATATAGAGAGTCCGTCAAAATAGAAGTGGTTCTCGGCGGCAGCAAGAAGAAGACAGTAGCACACCAAGCAACGAAGTTCTGTTTCGTTGCGAATGCCTACGAAGGGTTGGAGGAGGTTGACCAGCTGTTTTTTCGTGGCCCAGGGGTCGTCTTGGTTCAGTCCGGGTACATCGGGCACGTGCTGTTGGTCCTTGTTGAAGGCGACGAGCTCGATCAGAGAGATAGGTGCTGGATCTTCCTCGGTAGGCTTTTGTGAAAGTGTATGGTAGACCCACACTTCCAATACTTGCTCCGGTTTGAGGCCCTTTTTCTTTGGCTTAGCAGGAGTGTTGTAGGTGCCAACTTGCACCATGATAGGCAGATATTCGCCAACGTCGGTCGTTTCATCGTACCGAATGTCGTCAAATTTGGGAAGGAAGCGCAAATACTGCGCCCCAATTGCCAAGTGGAGGTTTTGAAGGTCGGTAGATGCGGCAGCCTTGGCTATCGCGTTGAACTCTGCCAAGTGAGCCCTAAGCTTTTCACCGCCTTTCAGTATGAGTATCCAACAATATTCTGGCGGACTGGCTATTGAAGAGTCTTTTTTTATGGCTTGTTCAGGCATTTCCCGTGCTTGCGGGCGTCGTGCGCGTACAATATACGGACGATCACTGCCTGAACGCCCGGGCGAGGAGAGACGTGATGGTGTGTCGTCGTCAAACATGATGACTGTTTTTGTTCTTGTCGTCAAGTGCGATTATGTCAATTTGATGATTAGTTCGTTCTCGACGCTGGAATAGTTGAGTCTAGGTGTTCGTGAGGTAGCGATGCGGCTAGGGCAAGATTATAGTTGGCAAGCAGTCACAAACGATGAGGGAAAGTAATTTCCAAAATTCTCCATGCTCTTCGTCAATTCCATCATCGCGCACACTTCTTTAATCTAGCCCATTCCAGAAGTTGGTGATGAATCTAGCAACTTCAGGTACCCGTTCTCTTACAACACCATGTCCGGCTTGTGGAACAACATAAACATCATTGAACCCATATCCTCTCAACTGTTCCTCCGTACACAGATCATCATACTCACCCAGTACCACCAAAGAAGGTATACCAGTCCGCACTGCCTTCTCAAAATTATTATGATTGTACATTGCACCGCCGTCTCTAAACATAGCAACAACAGAAGCCGTATGCCCAGGGTGTTCACGCATTTGCCACTCCTTCACCGCTTGAGGAACGATCTCACCTCTTCCAACTCTTTCTCGCCAGTCATCCGGTACTATCAATTCTCCGCCTTCCAGGAATCGTAGAATAACCTTTCGCACCTCGACTTCGTCAACACCGTGCATCAGGTGGTGTTGGTCTTCTGTTGGGAAAGCATCAATGCGAATAAGTCCCGCTGGGGCAACAAGCGTGAAGCTGCTCACACGAGATGGTCGCGATGCAGTGTATCCGACTGTTAATGAGCCGCCGAAGGAGAAGCCAATGAGATGTGCGGTAGACCATTGTAAATGATCGAGTAGCGCGTCAATCAGGCCGTGGAACAAAGCCGCTTCGTGTGGAATGACGGGTGTATCACTTAAGCCGTGACCCCAGAGATCGACCAACACGAAATGCGTGTGTGAGAATGTATCGTGCAGTGCACGTGCCAGAGGTAGCATTCCTATGGCTGGGGTCTGTACACCATGGATCAGGAGTACGCGATCGATTGTTCGTGCACTCTCTGTAGGCGCCGATGGTGGTATCGAGTAGTACGCCGCTTTTCCATTGGCAGTTTCAAGGTGTCGCGCCGGTGGGAGCAAGGCGCCAAAGGTAGATGTGAAAAATGATTCTGAAGGACCTCTAATAGGCAATTTTGGTGTATTTGTTGTACCTGGGCGCGGCAGCACGAGATGACTGGTATTAACAGACATTGTTGCGATATTCGGAGTGGTAAATAAGATGTATGATGCTGCGCGCTACGATTCTTATATTGCCGTTCACTGTACTGATACGTATGTCAGTCAAAGGGCGCGATTAGCGCGTGGGCATGACTCGAGCGAACCTTGAAACGCTGACACTCATAGACCTGCATCGAAGATTTGACACCTTTCACACCTTTTCATGCACAGAACTCATCAAACAGGTTCAGTGCTCAGCACGAGGGAAATGCGCGATTTGGATATTGCGATGCTTTTCTAGCTACTTCCATGACAAGCGCACACTCGCAGGTGTTACATGTGCATGCTGCGCGCGACGAGACACGATGCTCAACTGCTTACTCCCGTCTGCCTGCCAGCGACCGTCAATGGCCGATTATGGTATCAGAGCTTGTAGCCGACGACGAATTGTTCTCTGCTATAGCGTCATAACATTACAAGGAAAAGAAGGCATCAAGAGCATGGTATGATTCACGCGCTAGGCACTGTAGAAGTGTTTGATCCCTAAGCAAAATAAATCTTCAGATCGGTTTTGCGAGAGCGGTAAGGACAGTGCAAGAATGTGTTGCAATCTCCTTATTGAGGCGTTTCTTTGACGCAAATACATACAAAGCAGCCCCTCAACGCCTGACATCGTCATTGTCTCTAGAGCGTCGCCCGAGGCCTAATCGTCAATATTACGGACAGTGAAAAATACTTGGCCATCATGTTCGGTCGCTTTGTACATCACATGGACCTGAGCTACTGAGCCTGTGCATCTTTCACTGATGTCGTATGCGCTATCATCGCACCTTTGTGATACAAATCTTCTGGTTGAAAAGCTCTCACATATTCCCTCCTACACACAGCGAGTCAACCTCCGGGAGCTCGAGCTGCCAGCCGCTTGCAACTTTTCCAACAGAGCGACTAGTAGACATCCCCTCTTCAGGTTTGCACCAAAGCCTTTGCAGGATCGAGAAGATTCAAACCATCCACTTTACATCCAACGGTTCCAACCAGACCACACAATTCAACTTCGAAAACCGCTTCGAACCCCACGTTCACCCTTTGAAGTCTTCAGCCGGCACCATGGCCGGCAAGAAGCGCACCCGCTCCGAACAAGGCACAGCCCAGGGCCCCAGGGCGACAAGCGTACCAAAACCAAGGGGTCGCCTACCATCAAGGAGGACGATGCGGCTTTCGCGCCTCAGCCTGATGTTTTTGAGATATCCGAAGCCGTTGTTTCAGTTGAGGCATCTGTCGAAGCAGAAAAAGCCATCGTACCCTTCGCTAGCACGACCGAACCTAACACAAAGGAGAAACACGAGGATGACGTCGACTGGCCCGATGATGAGTGCGAGACCGTAGACGACGGTGAAGCTGCAAAGAAAACTTTTCCTGAGAGTGAAGCTGCGTCTGAGTACGATATCGAGTTCATCACTGGCGACGAAGCTGATATCACACTGGTTGGTAGTGAGGACGACATCGAACAGGTCGAGATCGAAAAGCCCGTCCGCGAAGAACCACTACTTTGTAATAAGCTCAGTGCAGAAATTGCAAAGCCTGTTTTGAAGTTCACTAAGAATGCCGTGGACCGGGAGAAAAAAGTCGCTGAAAAGGACGACTCTGACACCAAAGTCAAGGTGGCAACAGGCGCATTTAAGGAGAAGAAGAAGTCTGAAGAAGATCAGGCGATCAAGAGGCAAGAAAGCAACGATGCGTACTCTGCTGAGGGGAGGAACATAATCTTCAAAGGGATTGAAACCAGTCTTCAGTTCGCCGACCTTGCGATGTGGGTTGGTCTAGCTGCGGTTGGAACGACAGAAACTCGGCATATAACGGTCGACGGGGTTACTATCCAAGTCACAGTTAAATTGCTAGAAGCAAATGTTAACAAGGAGATCGATTTTGCTGATGGTGCTGGAGACACCGTTCTTCCGACTACTAAAACATGCCCACAGTTTGCTGTCAATACTGCTTTTGCTTCCAAGTCAGGCGAAACTTCCTCTACGCGGATTTCCCACTCTACTACACCCTCCATTGTCATCAACAAAGGCAAGCTCATCACATGCAGATTCGGTGTTGGTTGCAAGAAGCAAGCAACTTGCATGTTTGACCACAGCCGGCCTCCTCCAAAGAAGATGTGCTCTTTTGTGAACATCAACATGGGTTGCAGTAAGGGCTCGAGATGCATATATACCCACGAACATGAAGGTCAGATGTGTCCTTTTGGGACGGTGCGCAAAGAGTGCCCCAACACATTCAAGTGTTCTTTTTTGCATATTGATGACGATCCGCCTATCAAAAAAGAGGAATTGTCGGAGTTCCAGGTTCCTTATGCGCCGGTAGTTTGCGAGGCTTCTGCGGCAGATATCGCGGAGCGAGCTGCGATCAATCGCGCATCTCGGGAAGCATCAGCGGCTGGTGCTCCACCACAAAACGCTCCTACAGGTTCAAAGAGAAACAAGCGTAATCGTGGTGCCGACGATACGGACACAAGCATTCAAGCTCAGCATTTTTCGCCGCAATTATCAACCGCCTACGTACCTTAACCAGCAGCAACTTCAGCCGCAACAATGGCAGGCGACGCCTGGCTTCGCTCCTCCACCGGTTCAGTTTATTCCTTCTCTGAGCGGGTATAACTCTTCGCAGGGCCGGTACGTTCCTGCCCAAGCCACATACCATCCTCAACAGGGCTTTCTCAGATCAGATGACGCTGGCAACCAGCAGCATGACAGAGGTCATGATCGTCGTCGCGGACGTGGTGACAGTCGAACGCACGGTGAAATTGGTCGCGGGAAGGTTCGCCAGAACGACCGTCAACAGAGTGGCAGTGGTGGCGTAGGTCAGCGCTGGGACATCAAGGTCAGAGGAGCCGCTGAAATTGCGTCTCCAGGTGTAGATGATAGCAGGATCAACGTCCAGGGGTCTAGTAAGAAAGCGTAAAGACCCAAGGTATCGCTGATTGACCTTAGCATGACCGGCCCAGTTTCAGTAGGCCAATACGTACTCGCTTCATGTACTCATAGCTTCATGAAGCACATAAGGCATGCTTGGTCGGCTGTAGACCATGAAGACATCCGTTGCGACGACCTTACGAACTCATAGCTTCGTGGAGCATATCGAATATGGTATCGATCAAGTGGAGGACTCTCAGATATATACATATATGGCAAAAACATAAGAAATGTCCAATCTGCCAACCCTATACAGTTCAAGGATCATCGTATCCTGTCTAGCTTTACTCTGTTTATCCTGATTTGATCGGGCACCATATCCATCTGCGAACGACCCATCGTACATATGTGCACATACTGGGCATCAATTTCTTCCATTGAAATTTGCAATCGTCTGCAAATATCTTCCGGGGTCGCCAGCGTGGAGCCTGTATTAGACGCGTTCGAGCTCTGTGGGGCGACCGTGTCTTCAGGATTCCGGTTGCGTCTAGGCAAGTGTTGTTGTTCGTACGCAGGCTGACGAAGAATAGGTGAACATACAGTGCGGCAACACGGACAAGTATTCTCCTTTGCCTCTAAATCTTGCTTGTGAAACCATGCCCCTAGACACGCGCGGTGGAAGACATGTTCGCACTGGGTTTGAACAATGGTTCCAAATTCGCATCCGATCCTGGTGTTCCAGGGCTCAAAGCAAACGGAGCAAGCTTTTTGAGCCGGCGGTACGAGCACTAAAGCATGCGTCATAGCGTCGATGTTTCGTTCTGTTGGTGAGTTGGCGTGAGTTTCGAGCGACATATTCGTGGAAAGTATTAAAGGCGAAGTTGTATGGGCTTTTCGAAAACACAGATGAATGACACCTGGGGGTGAGTTGGAAGTTTGCTTGCACAGCCTGGATTCAGGCGGTGGCGCTTACCAGAAGCGAGAAAAGCGCAGTACGCGCACGGACATCCTCTAATATGGGTTGAAACCTCATGTGCGCCACTCTTCTGTGGAAATGGATTTGTATACTAGAGATTCTGCTTTCTTCTACTTCTTACTTTCGCCAACCTTAACCGCAAACTCCAGACCCTCAACAACCTCTTGAGGTTGGCTCAGAAAAGGCGAATGCGAACCGACTGATTTGAAGGTCGGCGCATCTGCACCTAGCATTTGTGCCATCTGCTGCTGGATAGGTAGCGGAAGTGCTTTGTCTCCCTCACAGAAGAAGTACATGGACGGAATCTCGTGCCACGGCTCGTAGGTCACCTCGTCGATGAAGATGCGCGCTGATTGATGTTTCAGTTTAGCTATGGCTGTCTCTTGTGCCTCCTCGCTGAGATCGTGATAAAACACGGTTTCGGGCGTAGCGGCGTAACCGTAATCCCCCTGGCTCTGGTTGTTAGTCTCGCTATGTAGAAACTCAGAGAACTCATCTATCGTAGGCACGAACATCGAACTGCATCCAGGGTAGGAATTGGCCCCCAAGCATAGCCTTAATACTTGCCCCCTTCGGAGCGACGAAAGCCGCAAGGTAAACAAAGATGGTGACACCGCCTTTTTTACCCATGGCCTGCCGCTGCTTCGACCCCAGGCCCATGAGAGCATTTTGTCCGACCAAACCTCCGTATGAGTGCACAACCAGGACAATTTCTTTGCCTTCATCAGCAATCTTTTCTAAGGTAGAACGCAGCACCGCGGCGTCATCCGCAAGGCCTTTGTTGGGAGGCTCCGCTCCAACGGAGGGGTACGCTACAGCCTCGGTATCCCATCCGCGCTGGTGCAGTTGTTCGCGGGTGATGTCGAAGCAGTCAGGCGTGTGCCAGGCACCCGGAGCAAACACGATGATAGGCTTGGACATGTTGACGGTGCTGTTGATATGGAACTGAGGGAGAACGCAACGAGATTCAATTGACAAGAAGTGATGAGGCTGCAGACATGCACAGGACGGAATACAATGGCTTATTAAACTTTCGAGCTTACCTAGATAGGACTGATCTCTACGGCACAGTCCCAGGCGTTAGGGAACGGCCCGAAGAGCAGAAGTCTAGACGCGTCTGAGACTAGTTTGGAGGAAGGGCTTTACTTCGGGCATTAATTTCAGTTTCTCGTAAACCTCTGTTAGAAGTTATCAGAAAAGTAAAAATGAGTAGTGTAAGCACCTAGATGCTCTTGATTATAGCTCCGAGTGAGTGCTTTTTCTATCCGTGCTTCTTGCAGCTGAAAGATCCCAAGATCACTCAGACTTCAACGATAGTGCGTACTTGACGGAAGGCGTTCTGCTAGGATACGTACACCTACGCCAGGTGTGGCTTTGTTAGGCGAAGATCATCAGGAGTCAGGCCATAACAGGAGATTCCTCCACCCGAACCGCCCCACATGTCACTATGATTGGGCACCCCATCATGATTCCTTTTATGTATATGATTCCTTTTCTGCACTCGAGGACCCCGATCTGGGTTCACGTATTGCCGACTTAGCTTCTCTCACTCTCACATATACAGTGAAGCAATTCAATGCATTTCCCGTCTGCGGTACGAAGTGTTCCAAGTTTTGAAGGCATGCTTCAATCTCGAACAAACTCGGAAATGTCAGATCCAGGCCCCAGCCTACGAGGCACCACTACCGCATTGCTGGTTCTTGCGTTTATATTCGTGGTACTACGCTTTGCCGCTCGCTATAAGCGTGGGCTGACCTATGGAGCAGACGACTGGATGATAGTAGTCTCATTAGTATGTGCCCTTGCATCTCTGACGTCCGCTCCAGACAACTTACTTCGTGCAAGGTCTTTTGCTTCATTGCCGGAGCGCTCAACTATGCCAGTAGGTTTTACACTTGTAATAGTCTGCTTGGCACCTTAACATCTTTCCAGTGATTAACTGGGGATTGGGAAGGCATGCTGTCACCCTGCCCCCCGATAATGTCACGATGGTGCTAAAGGTTAGTGTTCCATAAGCAAAGGCTCAGTGAGGTGAGAACCCCGTTAACATAGATCTTCATAGCTTCTCGTTGCCTTTGAGTGTGTCTATTGCACTGGGGTAGGGCTGGTCAAGCTCTCACTCCTCCTGATGTACTTGCGCATATTTCCGACCAAGGACTTTCGAATCGGCGCATACATCTTAGGATCCGTGACGATTGGTTGGGTCATCGCTATCAATTGCGTTAGCATCTTCCAGTGCAATCCTATCGAAAAAGCCTGGTTGGGCCCCGCAGTCGCCGGTACCTGCATCAACCTCAAGGCCTCATTCATTGGTAATGCCGTGCCCAATATCTTGACAGATATTGTCATCTTGTGCATGCCTGTCACTCAGGTGTTGAAACTCCAAGTGTCAAACGCCCAACGCGCATCGCTGATCTTCATGTTCTTGCTCGGAGCATTGTCAGTACTTTCCTTTTTGATCTGGATGTACTTGTTACTGACTGTGGTTCGCAGTGTTCTCTTCGCTAGCATATATCGCTTTACGACAATCATGCAATTTGACATGGCCGACACAACGGGAACTTTAGCAACAGCGTGCACTTGGTGTGTCGTGGAAGTTGCTACTGGAATCATAAGCGCATGCCTACCTACGATGCGTCCGCTCATGCTCCTTGTTTCGTCGCATTTCAGCAGCACTCGGAACAGATCTGGACAAGGGTCGGCTACGGGAGGCCGGTCGCAAAAGACGGAGCTTGTTACCATTGGCGGCACGGGGATCAAACGCAATCAGGATTTCAGGCGCCTCAAGAATGACTACGACGTTCATAGCAACGTCATTGCGACGCATACAAATGGAGGCCGTGATGACGCGTCGTCATTGAGTGGTGATGAGCGACCCCTAGCTAGTGTGACATATCGACAAGAAGCAAGGCATAGCTCATCTAGAAAATCTTCAACAACGGAGCTTTGAGTTATGGAATTAAATTTGTAAGAAAGTCTAAGCATAATGTTAGACGCAGTAAGATTTCAAAATACAAGATTGGCTCAAGCAGTGATGGACTGAATGCATCCTCCGCGTCCTTGAATCATACATGTGCTCAGGACGTAAACTCGACTAGAAACAAATGACATTTCTGAACTGTAGAGCTCGGCCTTGGATACTTATCTGTAGCCCTGTTTCTGTGTTACATCTAATCAAACCTTGATTAATTCTTGTCAAAATAGATGTCTTCAGCTCTGACGTCGGGCATGGCATCCCCTCTGGAAGTGTAGGTATGCTCTCTTTCCGTTGAGAGTCTCAAGCAGGATTCACAGATCTAGTCGCATTGTTGCCGAATATTAGGCATTCCCCGCGTGAATATCACGGTGTGGTCCAAGGATTGGCGATTTATGCCGCTACTGTTTTCTATCATGATCCTGTCTCTCACGCCCCGTACGCTCGTGTCATAAAAAAATCTTTTCGAACTCATCGACTGGTCAGTCTTCGTTAGCCATCTGTATGAGCTTCCAAAGATCGATCTTCCGGTCAACATAGAAATTGGACAGATGGAGCGGAGCGGGAGATGGAAGTTTGATGGCAGTCGCGCGATGGTACCTTCCCAGTTTGATCAAACAAGAATCCTTTCGTGTCTCATCTTCCGCAAGGTAGGTCTGCGAATATCTCGAGGCTTTCCAGTAACACCGTGTATACTGTTATCAAGAGTTTGAGGAAGTTTTTGTCGTGCAAAAAGATGTCTTGGGTCGGCTTCGGTACTGGCTTATCATCAAAGGAATTCTGATCCCATTCATTGAGTTTTCCAGTTCAATCCTAATGTGTGGGATGTTGCTATTTATGAAGCAGTACAAATTGACCAAGAATTGTTATCTGCGACCTCAGCCATGTGAAGTGTGGTTCTGATGACGATGTATAATCCAAGAGAACCTACTTGGGCGATCGGCAGTGGATCGAGCGAAGCTTAGCGTCTCGCAGGGGCCAACTAAGCTGCCCCTCCTTATGCATGGCTAAAACCGAGAAACGGTAAAGACTTTCGCGCCCCCGGGGAGTGATGTCGCGACTTCGATTGGTCACTGCCCCCTGCACTATGTTTCGAACGTGATCTTCGTTTCTACCCAAGAATCAGGAAGGACGCGAAAGCTGACAGATCGCATCTGTGGTAGCTCGATGAACGGGTGCTCTGAGACCTGAAAAGGATGTGCACAAGATGCGTGCTCTTCAACGATGGAATCACACCGAATTAGCCTCGGCTCATCACCCACTTTCGACCTACTGCCCGACGGAAACCACAGCAATCTCTGCTTGCGCAATGTGTTCTCATATGCCTCCAAAACACATTGACTAAACATCGAGGTTTAGGTGCGAGAATGGCTAACCAAAGTAGAGAACGTACTGCGGACGCAGTAGCATCGCAACCCCGAACAATCTATCTGACTGCCTACAACGTCCTCTTCGCATCGCTATGGGCGTCTGTCTTTGTTAGAGCCATCTCAAATATCCAAAATGGTAAATTTGAACTCTTCGATGCGACGGAACCATATGCGCGATGGATACAAACCGCGTCTTTGATAGAAGTTTTCCATGCGGCTTTCGGTTCGTTCACTATCCCCCTTTTTTCTTGTGCCTCTTGTTAAGCATGATGATAGGTATTATCAAATCTCCAGTCAGCACAACCGCTTTACAAGTTGTTACTCGTGTCATCCAGGTCTGGATGGTGTGGTACAGCTTCCCACAAAGCACAGCATATTCACGTGCTTACTTTGCGTTATTGCTTGCTTGGTCGGTGGCAGACACGATTCGGTACTTGTACTTAGCGCTTAACATGCACGGGAAGGCATCGAAAGGCATGATCTGGCTTCGGTATGTCTTGTTGTAATATCAGAAGCTGCTTCGAACATGGCTAATTGTCTCAGCTACACTATGTTTTACCCTCTCTACCCGATCGGTATCGGGGCTGAATGGTGGTTACTGTACCAGGCTATTGCTCCAGGAGCCAAGATCAGCCCGGTAATACCACCCATCTTCTACTTCTGTCTGCTGCTCTACATTCCAGGTATGGATTGTCCTCAAGTAAATATACCTCATGAATCTAATTTCCCTCAGGCTCTTATACAATGTACACATACATGATCAAGCAAAGAAGGAAGACGCTCAATACAGCACGCAAGACTCAGTGAGTGTATGGCTTGCTCAATATATAGGGTATATCTGGCCATGCATGAAACAGAGGAAGTTCGTAAACAGTCCTTCTCTTTGGGTGTGTAATCGTACAGGGTCTCGGGAGAGATCTTGATCCCGGAAACGCTGTCATCTATCAGAAAGCGCGGAACGACGGTTTGTCTCATCCATCGTTGTACGAGGATTATGCCCCGTACTGTACACTCTATAATTGAAGGTTTTGTCAATAGAGAGCGATGCAGCAGGGATCACCTTGTCGGCGCGTGGCTTGACGAGCCTTCAAGTCCTCACTTCTTAATGTTTTCACGCATTGTAGAGACTCTTCTATTTCGAAGGCGACGCAGGTTACTTCAGTTCACCATGTACTATTCTCCGTCCCCTCTCTTTACCGCGGGCCTGTTCACGCGTCGAAATGTGACCAATGCCACCTGCAGGCTGCAACGCCGACCAGTGTGGGGCAATGTTAGGCAACCTCGAGGCTCTACGAAACTAAGATAAAGCTGAGTGATTCTCATTGCGAACACGCGCTCGCTCACTTCCACTGTCATTCGAACACCGTACGCTGTCGACCATGCAGCTTCTTGATCTCCCCGCTGATATTATCGACGAGATCATCGGCCACAGTCTTCCATCCGGCTTTGAAGCCTTTACGCTCTGCTGCCGCGCCATATATACACGCGCTGCGCCCAAAATCGCACGACACAACTTGCTCAAACGACGATGGAAGTGCACCACTATTGGCGGCTCCAAAAACCAGAGCGACATACTTCGGATACTATGCGAGATAGCCTGTGATCCTCTTGTCGGGCAATATATTGAGTTGTTGAGTTTGCGTGGACATGGAGGAGGCCCAAACGTCGATACGAAGAATGATTGTTTCAAATCTAATGAAAGAGTTATGGCGTCGATGAAGAAGATGGTCTTGGATTTAGAGTGCTTCAATAACGCAGGAGTTGATGCGCAGCTCTGGTGGGAAGGCATGCTGCGAGGGTTTGGCCTCGAAAACGAAGCTGAAAACGAAGACAGTGACTACCGATCCTGCCATAGGGTCGCGTACGCGACTGTAACACTCCTGAATCAACTACCGAACTTGCAAGCGCTAGAACTGCCACCCGAATGGTACAGTCTTAACAACAAACGTACGCCCCTTCCTGAAGCGGAAGAGAGATTGGAAGCTGTGCTCAAAAAAATGGTTGAAGCTTCTAACAGCAGTGGCAACCGGGACCAGCCGCTTGCAAAATTGAGGATCATCCTGCCATCCACCAGAGAGGGATATGACGAACGGAACCCTTTCCAGGTCTTGGAACCCTTTATGCGCTTGAAGAGTTTAGAAGAGCTATATAGCACGTCCTGCTTGGCCATTGACGACGGCTATACTGGCATGGCTTTCCATTGGCGCTTGCCAGGAATCGACTCAAACTTGCGTAGAGTGGAACTGACGTACTGTTGCATGGACGCAGAAGGAATCTCTGTCCTCCTAAGACACACACCTTGCCTCGAGGTCTTCAGATACTTGCATGAGTGCAAATGGTGCGTAACATGCATATTCAAACCCAAGCGAGACAATGACTGACTCTATCCACCAATGTCTAGGCACGGCTGCGGATATGACTGGAACCCTGGTGGTTTTGTGGAAGCCATTGCTGAACATTGCGGTCCAACCATTACCGAACTCACAATCAAGAAGGCCGAAGACTGGGGAGCCATAGTCAACGGCGTGGTATCTTTTCGAGCGTTTCCCCAGCTACGCATGCTCGAGATTGACTTGGCCTCCTTCTGTGGGCCATCGGTAGCAAGTGGCCAAAGGCTGGGAGAAGATGCTGTTCAGGTAGAAGAGGGGGAAAGGCCATGGACCATTGAAGACATTCCATGCTTGGGAGACATGTTGCCGGACAGCATCGTGGATGTACAGATGGACAACGACGGCTGGATGGACAATCCTCCGGAGCCAGAGGAGGTTGTGAAGCTGTTGCTTCAGGGTTTCACCGAGAAGCGCGTATCGAGACTGCGAAACCTGGCACAAGTAACGTTGAGGAGTTTGGGAGACGCCAATGTGCGAGCGCTGGCCGAAGGAATGGGGGTACAATTCGTGTCTTTGGATCGAAAGGGTGGGCTCAACAATTGGCCGTGCTCCTCGACGGTGCAGGAATATTCTGATCTGTTCAAGGCCGCTGCCAAAGCATCCAACGATGCAGATACCAGACCCAAGCCTGTTGCAATCAGACATGGACGGAGCACTGTATGGGTATATCCAGAATCGTAATGAAGGAAATAGCTCTCGTCTATGACAGACAGTAATGGTGATGAAGATGATGAGCATAATGATATTGTCAGAGTTAGCACAATGGCCCCTAGTAGCTTTGAGAATAGAAATACATGGACATAAGAAGCTCGACCCAATCACGTCAATCACATTAAATGTAGGAGACCTTGACTCCCATACCTACGGTGCGTCTCACCTTGTCCCACGCATTCCGTATGATGCGGAGTATCCTCTCTCGGAGGTCCCGTCTGCCAAAAGCTAAGCCGAACGCGAGTAGGAAAAGCAAGGTACGGAAAAAAGCCATGGGATTTGCAGTCATGTGATGTGCCGTGTTGGATATCATGGTCTGTATATTGCCAAGCATTGTGGACGCTCGGTTGTAGAGGCCGGGCGGCGGAGTGGTGGGTTTCTTGCCGGGTGTGCGGGAGATTCGGGACTGCGACGGGGTGGGCTGAGGAGTTGGCTGGGGCCTGCGAAAGCGCTCGTCTGAGCCGCGGGGCTGCCGCCTGTTTTCCTCTTCGCGTTTCCGACGTTCGTCCTCTGCGCGGGATTGCTCGAGGCGCTTGGCTTCGGTCTCTCTACGGCGCTCCTCCATTTGCTCTTGTTGCTGCTGGCGGAGCTTCTCCTCGCGGGCTTCTGTATCTTCCTTCTCTTCCTTGAGAGAGTGCAGGGCTAGCAGGAATGCTTCCTTGCGCTCTTCATCGAGCATTTCGGACATGGTGATGAAGTCGCGGGCGTAGTCCCATTCCTCGTTTCTAGGCAAGACATGCAGGGTATACAGCTCCAGCAGCTTGATGCGCTTCTCTAGGTCGCGAGGCGTGTCTGTGCCCGTGTTTTGCCTGCGGTGGCCTGGGCGCTTCTCGAGGTATGCTGGAGAGGACATGTGCGAGGAGACATCGAGGGTTGGGCTGGCGGTGGCGGAGAGGTACGTCTCCAGCTTCTGCTGGTTGAGGCGCTGCGAGGGCGCATGGGTGAGGAGGAGGGTGGCGCTTGGTCGAGGTTAGGATTCAGCATCTCAGCAAGTCAGCGGGGTGCTCACAGGTTGATGACGACGTCGGCATCCACGTCTCCCTCGACGCCCGCATAGCCGTCCCGTACCACCTTGTCCCAGATGCTGCCGTCGCGGCACGGTGACACCAATTGCTTCCATCTCGTGCTGCCAAACGCGTGCTTTCCCTCTTCGGCGCCCAGCTCTATGACGGCATTGAGGAAGGTGAGGTAGAAGCTCCACACCTTGACCCGGGTCCCTCGCGACGCGGTTGCGACCGGGGCGTGGCCCACGAGGTCGCCCTTGTCGTCCGCCGTCTCATCGACGGGCGGCGGCGTGATGATGGGTTCGATGGTCGACAGAGCCTCGGGCAGACGTCGCGTCAGGAACAGTTGGGCGGCCTGTCGGTAGGCTTTGGCGATCTGCGACGATTGTTGCCGCGATGTTGACAGCGACGAGATGGACGACGACAGGTAGCGCGGCCCATTCATGTCATCATACAAGGTCGCCATGTTTCGGTAGGATGCGATAGTCGCTCGCGATGTCCGGTGAGCTCAACAAGCCCCTGGCGGTGGGAGACGGAACTCGGTCTTGTGCCTTGTCTCTCCGCGTTGGTTGTCAACAATTCCAACCTCGGCAGACCACGAGCCTCACCCGGAACCGCCTTGGCGCGTCACCTGCCGACCAGACGACCTCCAGCCTTCTGCGCGCTGCAATTTCCCGCCTCACCTCCTGCATCACATGGCAGGCACGTGAAGCCGCCCTCAAGACGCGTGCAGTGACATTCTGCACTCGCAATCGACGCGCTTGACAAACGTTTGTTCGCGACAAGCTCTGCGTCAAGAGCTAGACATCGCTACTGACCTCATTACTCACCCGAGACCACACAGCTTGCCACTTGCACTTACTTTTGACACACATCGCACCCTTCATCGCTGCCCACGCTTGTTGACACAGCGCTTGCGACCTTGATCTCACATGGCCAACAGCACATGAATACGCGCCTTTCTTGTCGTCTTCGTCGTTATCTACAACATGGACGTCGACGCAGAAACATTCCCGTACCACCTGCTGGGCATGTTCATCCATATATCCGAGGCTGACTTTGTGTCTTTCGATCTTGAACTATCGGGCATTCCTTCGCGGATTCAAGATAAGCCTGCCCATGGTCCAGGACGCTTCACCATGGAGGAGCGCTATGCTGAAACCAAAATGGGCGCCGATCGTTATCAGATTCTACAGGTAGGTATTACATGCGCCAGGTTCGACTACATCGCGAACAAATATGTCCTGAGACCATACAATATCAACATCAGCCCTCTTTTCGACGAGCGCATGGACTTTGAGCGCGAAATCAGATTCCAGAGTGGCGCATGTACTTTTCTCCTCGGCTGCGGTTTCGACCTGGGCGCACCCTTTACCAAGGGCGTACAGTACCTCTCCCGAGAAGAGGCGGAGCGGGCGAGACAGATGGCCTGGGATCGGCTGGAGAACAAGAACCCGATACCGGACTTGCAGCTCAAGGAGGGCGATGTTGAGTCTCTTGATTTCATGCGCCGCGTGAGGGAAGCTATCAAGAAATGGAAGACTAGCACGTCCTCCTCTCTGGACATCACAACTCACACTGGACTTTCTGCCGCGCCATCCATACCGGTAATTACGCGATTTGAGAAGCGTCTTGTGCACCAGCTCGTACGTGCCGAGTTTCCAGAGCTGGTATCCATAGGTCGCAATGAATGTGTTCGTATTGTCGACTTGGACCCGGTCCGCGAAGCCGACAACATGCGCAGGATCAAGAACCGTGTAAAAGACTCCATCATACGGCAGACGGGTTTCCGCTGGATCTTCGAGGCTCTGGTCAAGGGCGGAGACATCAATCGCACGGGTCCACTGTACGCCGCACGGACTACAGGCATGCTCTCCACAGCTGACGCCAATGATATAAGGGATCGCTATGATAGGGCCATAGAGAGATTGAAGACCAAGCAGCCCGTTCTTGTTGGGCACAACATGTTCACTGATATCGTTTACTTTTACCGCACTTTTGTGGGCGAGCTACCAGTATGTGAAAAGTTTGATTATCTGTAGCCAGTCCTAACTTCGGCCAGGATACCCTACAAGGATTTCAGGATGCAATACACGAGTTGTTCCCCAAGATCATCGACACCAAGTATCTAGCTACTTATGCTGAGGGCGACCTCAACGCATCCCCGTCGCTGCAAGATATTGCACAAAGCTTAAGCAGACAGCCTTTACCCGAGATCATCACCCACGCCGACCATCCCAAATATCAGGAAACCGAGAGATTCCACGAAGCAGGTTATGACAGTCTTCTGACTGCCACCATTATGATCAAGCTAGCCGCCAAGCTTGGTGCAGAACGAGGAGAAAAGGTCACAGCACCGTTATTCAGCCATCCTCTCACCTTCAACAAAGCAAACGGCGTATTACAGAGTGAAGACGTTCCGGACTTTATCAAGGATGGACGCGAGAAGGTTAAGGAACCGGTTCCCTTACCCCCCGTGGAACAACCCAAATCCAGAAAGACGAAGAAGCAAAAGGCAAAAGCCAAGAAAAAGGCAGCAAAGGAACGAAGATTTGAGACTAAAAATCTATTTGATACGCTCAAGACGCTGGATCCGGAGACCGAAACATCCTCCACTGAAGAAGACGATGATGCCAAACTTGCCCAAAACGGCGTATCTATCGAATGGGATGAAGAGCTTCAGGAAAGCGCTGGGTCATGGGAAGATGCCGTCCATGTTCAGGACAAGACAGGATGGGTGCCGTTGGAGCAGATAAAGCGACGGTCGATGGAGCTGATACCATCCTTCGACTCCAAGTTTTGGGATGAGTTTGGAAATACGTTGCGAGTCTTTGGGACTGAAGAAGCCATCCTGCACATCGCAGACTGGGAGGCTTGAGCATTACGCAGTGTCAAATGTACGAATGTAGGCTGATGAACGAGCAAAGAACGAAGGACTTCCCGGAACGTGGTAAGTGTTAGTTTTGAGCGGGACTGGAGAAGAGGGCTGGGGCGCTTGAGTAGCGAAGTTCAGAGTGGTTGTACCTTTGTCTTCGTCTAAATTCCAGGCACAGATGCATCTAACTGTAAGACAAAGGGGATATGTAAACTTCTAGCAACCTAGGGGTCTATCGAAGACAGGTTGCTACATCCCTCTTCGCAATGCATGTGTTCCGACACACATGCTCAGTAGCGGTTAGTGAATGCCTTCAGCCCTGAACCTTTCTCAGATGTGCTTGCAAGGCATATGGCGCACCGCACGGGGCGTCGGGTACGCAACGCCGCTACAATCCTACGCGCTACTAGAATGCCCTTGGCAACCTTGGTCAAGTTCCGATACATGGACGTTTGGCCTAGCAGCCAGAATGCACCACAGGATCGTCATGAGTATTCGTTGACCCCATTATGGCAGAAGGAGTAAGGACGGGTAATTACAGGGAGAGTATGAGCGTTACGAATGGAGAATACCTGCGCCGTTGCTGCACTGTTGGCGCCTGGCCGCTCAGGTATGCGTCTAGATAAGCCACAATCATGATTGCTTTTCCCATCTCCGCCCACGTCCGGATCTGCGGTTACAGTACTCGTCTAGATATTGCCGGGCCAGCGACTTGACAAGCATGCTTGCCCTGACACTGAGCAAATTCGGCACCGTGTTGCGGGGCGTATTCAGGTAAAGCGAGCGCTACCATCCCTGCTTCCTCACGCACCCTGTCTGCAGATGGTCGTGCATCCGCTCTTGTGCCTGCTTCAACTTGTAGGCAACTGTCCGCCCACCGCCCACCACCTTGCCCTCCCCTTCCTCAGCTAGTCAGAAGAAAACACTCCCCACTTCTAGGTATTCTTGCAACGGTAAAGCTCAAGCCAGGCCCCACCGCGGTTGATCTCGTAACGTGGGCTCTCCTTCCAGGTGTCGATAGCCTCTTGGAGCGTTCCGCCACCGTCCCCTGGCCTCGTGTGCATCCTGCCCTGCGGGCCTTTGCGCGAAACCCTGTCTCTCGCACAGAACCCTGTCTGTCACGCAGAGTCTTGTCCTTCGCACGCACCCTGCCCTTTTCGCGCGTCCTGCCCTGCGAACTCGCGTGCAACCCTGTCACCCTCATCATGGCAGTCCGGACCTTGTGCGTCGCAAAGCTTTGCTGTCAAGAGTGTCTGGAGGATGCACCGCAGCCGGCTGATTCAATACCAGGGTATATCCCAGCTCTTTGCAACACTCCGTCTGGTCTACCGTGGCATTTGATGACGGAAGAACCATCATCAACACAACTCCATGCCCACTCTAGCTGATTTTATGAACAGTCCAGATTGTGTCTCTTCTTCGCCCGGCCCATGAAGACGGTGCCCCCTTTTTCTGCGAGAGAAACTTCCAAGTATCAAGTCAAGTCAAGTCAAGTCAATTCGTCTCCGCTCTGACCGTGACAGTTGAGATCCGGTTGCGCCCCTGAGTTGGCGGATCTGCGCCTACCGTACACTAGATGAGATGACGCGGGCAAGCATGGCGGGCGTCGGGTAGTATGCATGACACTCGCCAGGCGACGCGGATGCGGCCATGAACTAGGTCCACGTTGATCAGACAGGTAGCCATGCGGCGTTTCATGGGGAGGGAAAACGGTCGATGCGCACAGACCGCACCAGCCGGTTACCCTGTGGTTCCTTGAGATGCAGCCGTAAGTGGTAATCCACATCAAACAAGAGGGAAGCGGGGCGAAATGACACGCCCGTGAACCCCCACCCGCAACTCTCTTTACACACTGGGCCGGCACCCTGGTTGCGCCTCTGCTGCATGGGCAAGCTGGTGCTGTCAGTGCTTTGCATCCAGCGTCTTCCGCGTGCTCGTGGCAATAGAATGGGAAAGCTTTAGTCGATGGTATGGCGCGAGAGTTTTGTAGTGAGAGTGAGTCCTTGGGACGTGTGCATGTTTAAATAGAGGGCGGCGGTGGCCTCCTTCTAAGTTATCTTCATTCTATAGCCAAGAGTTCATAAACTTCCCCAACCTTTATCAAGCGGCGAGTCAGCAATTATGCCTTACATCATCGATGCACGGACACAACATGGCACTCAGTTGCGACCTACCACTGTTGTTCATGAGCCGGATGTTCGATCGTAAACGTGGTACCTTTCCGTGTATTATGCCTTCCTAACGCATATCTAGGACATTGGCGAACTGCTCGTGCTCCGATGCCTCGAATGGTCAAGTAAAGCATGACTGTACAGTTGTCTCCTATGTCCCTCAGGCTGCAGTAGCGCCTCGAACAGATCCCGCCGGACGTATCATCGACCTGACGTGTATGGGCTCGCAATTCGATGGACACTGAGAGATACGTTGGTGGGGATGGATAGATGTGAGAGGAACATGGTATTGGATAAAAGATCGGACATGGCGTTTGGTGCAGGGCACTTGTAGGGTGAACGTCGCATTGTAGACACCATGCCTAGGTATGGTTGGATAATATAGATGCTCGGTCCAGCATTACTTCATGGGATGGACCAGAAGGCATCGGCGCGAAAGCGTTACAGTCAAGAAGAATCTAACCCCTTTTTCTGTTTCCTCTATCTTCTGCTGGCCGACTCTCCTCACATCGTGGGTCGATGGCGTTCAACGGTGTGCAGGTCCAGCAATGTCTGTAGCCCCAACAGGCTCAACATTCACATTCACATCCACATCCTTTGTATATGTCGTGATCGACGCGGGTACTCCCCGGGGATCTTCTTCGTCCGGTTCAGCAATCTCGTTCTCCTGCGGTAGTGGCTCGAAATGCGCGTTATTGACCCTTTTGCGATCGATACGCCGTCTCCAAGGCTTGTACAGCAAAACACTGAGACCACCAAACAAGATGAACGTGCCACATATCGCTCCACCTACATACTTTTAGCACAGCGCTTTCTTGACTTGACCGATCGACTTACCAACTATGTCCCAAGCGTCACCCAGCTTTTCGACGCCATCCCAGAATTTACCGTGTGGCTCAGCAACGTTAAGTACTAGATTAAGAAACTGTACTGTCCCGATGATGGTCGCGACAACAACAGTGATGACTGTGAGTACAATGCTGTAGTAGCAAATGGCGATGGGGTCGCGCGCTAGTTGTGTGCTGGTATACAAACTCATCATCAGTGCGCCATCTGTCGTGTCGAGAAGGCACATGCCCGCAGTAAAAAGCAGCGGAAAGATCAAGATCAGCCAGATGGAGGTTCCTTTCGTTGCTTGAATCGAGCTAATCCCCAGAATGGCGATCTCAGAGGAAGTGTCGAATCCAAGACCGAAGAGCACACCAAGAGGATACATTTTCCAAGGTCGATCGACCAACTTGAAGAGCTTCTGCAGAATTGGAAAGAGACATCCTCCGCCCTGAATCTTGAACTCCTCGTGCTCACTTCCGGGATCACTCGCGATCATCTTTCGCATCTGAACGATGAGTTTATACAGAATGTAGATGTTCATGAGACCAAGGAGTAGCAGGAAAGCAGCAGATACAGAAGTTCCGATGATACCGCCAACGCGCTCAAAATTGCCAAACTTGTCTGAAACGGCTGCTGCAGTGCCTGCGACTACGAGTGACGTGATGATGACAACGGTAGAGTGTCCAAGACTGAAGAACATTCCAACTGTCACTGGACGCTGGCCTGCTGCAATAAGACGGCGAGTCATGAGATCGATAGCCGAGATGTGATCTGCGTCCAGGGCATGACGCAATCCGAGAGTATAAGAGAGAATTGCGGTTGATATCAGAGGCGTGTGCCAATGCTATGTATGATCAGCTTACCCAGTCAACACGACCCAGACTAGACTTCTCGACGTACCAGAACGATACCAACTGCCGCCCAAACTAGAAGGTTCACTACGATGAGCGTGACGATGATTGCAATCGCGGGGAATGGAAGCCTCCTTAGGTATGGTATCTGCGCATGGTATGTAGATGCTTTGTTCGACGCATTGCGGAAGAATGATGGTTTGGCTTCCGCATCGCTACCCGCGATTGACGAGGGGCGGGAAGTCGCCATTCTACTTGAGCACGCTCCCCACGGTGATGCAAAGAGGAAGAAAGGCAACACTAGGTCCGATGAAAGGAAAAGGGAGTCTGAAAGAGTCGAGACGACGAAGCTTGTGAGACAAACATCGAGGATGCGGCTCCTGCCGAAGCACCGTGGGATGCAGATGACGCGAAGTGGGGCTAGCAGCTGTTATCGCGACCCTGGCGGGGTAATTATCATCACGATGTACTAATGATCGCAACTTCACAAAGCCTCGGAATCAGATGTCACGATCAACAGCTTGTACAGTGGCTATTATGATAGGACCCTTTTCTCAGATCTTACGAAAGCATAGGGATGCGTTGGTGCCACCAAAACCGAAGCTGTTTGAGAGCGCGACGTGGACGCCGTGTTGCTGAGCAGCATGGGCGACGTAATTGCAATCGAATTCATCCGCTGGATCGCCTGGGTTTTGGAGATTCAGAGTTGGGGGTAGAGTGTTCTAGTCACTGTCAATCGTTGTGCCACGCATGTTAGCACGCCTAACTTACGTGATGCATCCCGAGAATCGTGAATATGGACTCTACGCTACCTGCAGCGCCGAGAAGGTGCCCGATTGCACCTTTTGTACTGCTCATGTTGATCCTACAAGCGGCGTCCTTTCCATCTTCGCCCAGCAATAGCTCTTTGATGGCTCGATTCTCCGCAGCATCACCCAGTGGGGTACTTGTAGCATGAGCGTTAACGTAATCGACAGCACTAGGCTTGATACCAGCGTGCCGCAGTGCGTGCTTCATAGCAAGACGTGGTCCTTGACCATCTTCGCGAGGTGCCGTCATGTGGTATGCGTCGCTAGATAGCCCGTAGCCGGCGACCTCAGCATAGATATTCGCACCTCGTTTCTTCGCGTGTTCGAATTCCTACAATTTGTTAGATAAAACAAACCTGCAGAGGATGATCGCGTACTTCAAGTATCACAACTCCAGCTCCTTCTCCAATGACAAATCCATCCCGTTCTCGATCGAAAGGCCGACTTGATTCTAACGGTCGATCATTGAACTCGGTAGCCAAACTCCTGGCTCTAGAGAACCCCGAGATGGCCAGAGGATGGATGCATGATTCAGCTCCGCCAGCGATCATCACATCAGCGTCACCAAACTGGATCAGTCGTGAGGCGTCTCCGATGCTGTGTGCTCCGGTCGTGCACGCTGTGGTTGCCGCGTGGTTTGGCCCCTATCATAGTCAGCATTGATGATAGTATACAGGATAGGGTTCAGGCACCTTGAAGCCATGTCGCATAGAGATGTGGCCCGCAGCGAGATTGATTAATAGCCGTGGAACAAAGAGTGGAGATACCTTTCGGTAGCCCTGATATTTTTTAGTCGACAATCAGACAAGGCAGCTGCAACAACGTACGCCTTTCTCATAAGCAACTGTGGTATCGTACACGTCGTCTAGGCTGCCAATGCCAGATCCCATGTATACTCCCTGGTAAAGTGTTAGTAAGATGTAAGCTCAGGTCTAGTTGGATTCTCCCACTGTGGCCTCAAGATCGTTTTCCTTCTTCGGAAACCAGCCAGCATCATTCAAAGCCTCCTCAGATGCAACCATGGCATATTGTGCAAAGCGCGCTATGCGACGTTCATCCTACAATATGATTAGGATTAACCAAAAGATGGCCAGGCTTCGGCAATTACAGTAGGACTCAAATGCTCCTTCGTGTTCCATTTGCCATCGCTTTTGCTGCCTTGAGGAACTAAGCCAGCCACCTGACTAGGTAGTAATGCGAAATCTGAGCTCCTATCTTTGATGGAAATGATGCCGCATTGGCCGTCGATCAAACGCTTCCATGTTTGTCGAACACCTGTCTAATTTAGCTGGAAAGTCTCGGGAAAAGGTCCACATAATTTCACCTAATCCGAGAGGGGTTACAAGCCCTAAGCCTGTCACTACTACCCGTCGCATCGCATGTCAATGATGATGGTTGATATTGGTGTAAGGACGCGTTCGGGTGAGCAGGAAGAGCTAGTGCCACGCGCAAACTACATGTGGCGCATGTTAGCGTAAGGTGCGTGCGTTTTTGGCGTCATCGTTCAGCTCCTGCCATTTCTTATATCCTGAATCGTCTTCTTTTCACGAATAGGTGCCACTGTCAGATGCACATGGTGAAGGCCTGGGAATTCTTCTTTTGTGATACTATGGTCTCGTCATGAATGAAATGAGCTCAATTGTTGTATGCGCATTATTACCTAGCACTCTTACGCCAGCCGTGGGATGCCATTTTGATTAGTTCAGTTTTGAGCTGTGGGCAATCCTCTTCCGGTCAATTTACAAGTTCGCTACAGAATCCAAGGAACTCATCAAGTTGACAGCCCTGAACAATCAGCGCCTCCAGGCTACCTGTCGGATTGATGGCCATGTATAGTGGTAGCATTGCAATCGTACCAACTCATCGCTAATGTGTCTACTTCGCCACCCATACTAAGCTCTTCTACGTCGGAAGGAGGAAACAAATCGTCGTCAGCCTGCAATTCGCTAATATGAGGAGTACCTGCCCGATCTTCACGAATACACTCCTGATCCTCTTCCTTGACAAAAGTGATTTGCTTGCGTTCAGGACCGACAACCTCAAGAATGGTTCGCTCCTCTGTTTTGAACAAATAGTTGCTCATCTTGATGTTGAGCACCCGTCCTCGTTTTCGATCTCTCTCGTGTTGCACGCGCGCTTTCAGCCAGTCCATCTCTCGACGAACATCGCGCGCCATTGTGGGAGGCACAATGAAGGCGATGATGGCTTGAGCACAGCTTGATGTTGGTGACCGCAGTAGTCCTCTTCGTTTGCGTTGTGCTTTGTTAAACCTCGAACCATCGGCTGAATTATGTGTTCTCTCTAGGCTCGTCCACTCGATAATCTCAGGTTGTCTTGAGTCGGTTGCTAATAAGGGGTGCTCCCTGTGCCATGGTATTTCCGTCGTATCGGGCGTTGCTGTATCCTCTAAGCGATGTTGGCAATGCTGATCGGATCTTGGAACTTGAGTGAACAGTTGGGGATGGTGATCCAAGGTCTTGGAAGTGGAAAACAAGTTCTGGCCTCGGTTGGACAAAAGAGGTGCCATCTTGGACTACAGGTAGTCGCTTCACAACTCTTTATCTAAGCGTCCTATGATGGGCCACTGATAGATATATACTCCCTCATGACGCCGTCTAAAATCTTGAATGATTTCCCAGTGCTGGCTGTAGGTTTGCATCCCACGTGTGGCACGTAGAGTTGGTTACTGTGGTGTGTAGGACGATTGATCACAATCGCAACATTTGTTTGGCAGTCTTGACGCTTTCGGGAAAAAGATGATGATGATTGCGTCGTCGAACACGTGGAGCTAAGCGGCGAGTGTCTGGCTTAAGTTTGCGGTGCTGACATGATCTCTTGGAACTCAGTGTAGTAGTGTCGTCAAACAAAGTACCGTCGAAGTTGGATCAATCAAAAGCCTGAATCTTGACTGGGCATGGCAAGGGCTACTGAAGCGACAAGACAGAATGTGGGTACTAGCAAACATCTCTACCGGTCAGTCTAGCATAGAGTTCTGGCTGATGGTTGGTGACACAGACCGGAAAAGCTTGGACATTTTGTGGAGCTTGGGGTGGCGAGGTTTCTTCTTGTGGAATTGAAACAAAAGAGTGTTGATTGAAGTTCGGTCCGTCAAGAGAATCCTCCTGTAGGGGAAGCTACGCGAATTGCCGAAAGCACGTCATCGTCTTGGCGAGCCTCGTCTAGCGGCAATGCGCGAGCATCACTCAACACCAGAGAGATGACTCCCCGCCATGTGATAAACACGCCCCACTTCCTGCGACGCAGGCCTCAGATTTCTCTGCTCGGACGTATTCATTATCGCCATCATGGATTCTCAAGGCCTAGGCGCTGAAACCACCAATGGATCCAAGAATTACAGTGAGTATCCTTTCAACTTTTTTTTACCGTCGCAATCCTTCCGAGGTAGTCGTGTCACGGTGCAATCCGAGTGTCTCGTGTATGGTGATATCGTCACACGCAAACATAGCAAATGGCTGCTGCTTGCTGTGACTCGCTTCGGGCGATGATGCCGACTCCAAAGACGGCTTTTCTTGTCGCGTTCTGGTCCTGATCATCCAAACTGACAGGCTACAGGGACGGTGTCGTCGCAGCCTGAGAACCCGTTCGCCAACCTCATTCCCGATCAAACCTTCGCTGTCATACCGCAAGTCACGCTCGAATCTGGCGTCGTATTACAGAATGTCAGCGTTGCATACAAGACGTACGGTACCCTTGCGCCCAGCGGAGACAATGCCATGGTGATATGCCATGCGCTTACAGGAAGCGCTGATGTTGGCGATTGGTGGGGTCCGTTGCTAGGAGGACCTGGAAAGGCTTTCGACATCTCGCGTTTCTTCGTGGTATGTATGAACAGTCTCGGCAGTCCATACGGCAGTGCAAGTCCCGTCACAGCAAAGGACGGCGACGCGTCGCTGGGCCCATACGGTCCCGAGTTCCCACTGACAACTGTGCGAGACGATGTCAAGTGAGTCAAACATGCCCCGAGCCCTATGCTTGGACAGCGCTAACACGCGTAGTGTCTTCAAGCTGATCTTGGATGATCTCGGTGTGAAGCAGATCGCTGCAGTTATTGGAGGATCCATGGGCGGTATGCTTGTTCTCGAGTTTGCATACTTTGGAAAAGACTATGTCAGAACCATCATCCCGATAGCCACGTCGGCTCGCTACAGCGCATGGGGTATCAGCTGGGGCGAGGCGCAACGGCAGAGCATCTACAGCGACCCCAAATACGACGATGGCTACTACTCATACGAAGACCCTCCGTCGACTGGGCTTGGAGCAGCACGTATGTCGGCCCTGTTGACCTACCGGAGCCGCGATTCGTTCGAATCGAGATTTGGGCGCAACACGCCAGACCTATCCAAGAAACAGAGCATCAATACTGTACCGCGCCCGACGACCCCATCAAACCCTTCGCACGAACATTGGGCTATACATAATCACGGCCACAAGAATGCTGGATCGCCGCGTCTTATGTCACGATCAAACAGCAGTACCGCCATACCTGGCTCTGCAGCGGCACAGGCTGATCTCGAATTCCACGATGCGTCGGGCCCTGGGACGCCGAACCTGCAACGGACAAGCTCCACAAGTAGTAACAGCGCATTCCCTCGCTCCTCGAAACCCTTAGCCCCTCACTATTTCTCAGCACAATCATACCTCCGTTACCAAGCCGACAAGTTCATCAAGCGCTTCGACGCCAACTGCTACATTGCCATTACTAGAAAGCTGGACACACACGACGTATCTCGTTACCGTTATCCTGAGGGCGAGACCCCCGACACACGAGACCCAGTATCGGCCCTTCATTATGCGCTCTCTTTGATCGAACAGCCCACCCTTGTTTTGGGTATACAATCAGATGGCCTTTTCACATTTGCCGAACAGAAGGAGCTGGCCGCTTGTATTCCGAAAGCCACGCTCAAGACCATCGACTCCCCGGACGGTCATGACGCTTTTCTTCTAGAATTTGAGCAGGTAAACAAACACCTACTGGGCTTTTTGAATACTGAGCTCCCAGAAATCATGAACAGAACGCCAAATGTAGAAACTGTCAAGAGCGATACTGGTATGACTGCTACTAAGACCAGTACATTTGGTGAGGCTGAAGTTGAGGATATCACTGCATGGTAAGGAGGACGACAATGTGAAATTTAGCATGGCGTTTTAGGTTTAGGAGAGGACTGCATTGGTCGGCGTACAGTTTTCGGCATATGCTTGAAAGAAGGCTGTATGATTATGATATGCTCTAAGGCGAGAAGAGCTGAGGTTCAACCCCTCGTAAATACCAGACACTGCAGTGGAAAAGCAGCAGCAACATCAACAATCATCGAAGAAAATTTAACTTGCAGTTTCTTGAGGTATTCCAAACGGCCATATAACAGAGGCTCAATCTGATGCGAATGGTTTCGCGTTTGTACCCCGCCTTGGACGCTAACTCCTAACTCTTTCCGCGACTCCACTGTCTTCAGTCCCCCTCAACCTCGGTTCTTGCATTCTGCGGATTTTCTCCGCAGGCTGCGAAACAAACGTGCGTTATCCGATCTTCCCTCCCGAATTGCGATGCCGCGTTATCACGAGAACTTAATCACGATGTACAATTAGTTGCAAACGCATAAGCCTAGCCACGATGGAATGATCGTCGTATTTTGGGTCGAAAGCGCTTATGTATTCGAAACTCAAATGGGTCAATTTAAGCTATCCGTACGAAGGCCAAGGAAAGGGCGCGTTGTTTCTGAACCCCGCACATAGGCATTGAATGTCGGGTCCTTGTGGTCGTATACGTATTCCCCGTCTTCCATTATATATGCCCCTTCGTCTCGCTTTCTGAACCTTGCTACTCAAACGGTCGTCTCGTTAAGTTACATTTCTTCCATCTCAACCGTCATCGTCGGGACGAAGTCATAATGCAATTACCTAAAACACAAAAGGCCGCTATCAAGCAAGGCACTGGTGATAGCGCAACAACCACCATCAAGGAGATTCCCGTTCCAGAACCATCTCCCGATCAAATCCTCGTCAAAATCAACTACACCGGCCTGTGTGCTTCTGACAAGTCCCTGCTTCACGATGAATGGGACTTCAAGATGGCAGAATGTACAAACGGTATTGCGGGTCACGAAGGCGCTGGCACTGTCGTAGCCGTTGGCTCTAACGTGCAAGATCTTTGGCAGATTGGCAATCGTGCTGGTATCAAATGGATCGCGTCCGTATGCCGTAAGTGCGAGTTTTGTACCAATGGCCAAGATGAATGTCATTGCCCAAAGCAATTGAATAGTGGTTTCACTATTGCTGGAACGTTCCAAGAGTACGCATTGACAGATGCGAGGTATGCGACGAGGTTACCTGATGGCGTCAAGGATGAGGAGGCGGGTCCAATCATGTGTGGTGGTGTAACAGCGTATGTGGCGTGTAAGAGGAGTAAGGTGCTTCCTGGGCAGTGGCTTGTTATTCCTGGAGCTGGTGGTGGTAAGTAAACACATGCTTCTTTGCTGTATTCGAAAAAGAAGACAGATGCGCATTCAGTCTCTAGAGACACTGAAATAACTCAGGCCTCGGTCACTTCGGCGTCCAATACGCCAAACATATGGGCATGCGTGTCATAGCAATTGACGGCGGGGACGCCAAACGCGAGCTCTGCCTCTCTCTCGGCGCAGAAAAGTTTATCGACTACACGACGTGCTCAGACATCACATCTGACATCATGAAGATCACTACCTACGGTGCTCACGGAGTCATCGTCTTTGCCGCCACGAGAGCAGGATACGAGCAAGCACCACATCTGCTGAGGCCAAACGGTACGATGGTATGTGTGGGTCTGCCGAAGGACAATACTATTGTCGCGGGTGCTAGCCCCATCGTAATGTGTTTGAAAAAGTTGAATGTTGTGGGAAGTGTAGTGGGTACATTGAAGGATGTTGAAGAAGTAAGTGCCGTGTTGTGATTGGATATGCTGAAAGTGTTGGCTAACGAGAATCTAGGCGCTTGATTTTACTGCACGAGGCTTAGTACATCCAATCTTGACGCATGGTGGGTTAGAGGACATCGATCGATTCTGTGCGGATATGAATGCGGGAAAACTTGCTGGACGGGCCGTGATCAAGATGACTGCGTAGATGAGTGAAGTATTGATACGATGGACGTGCTGGTGATAAGACGCAGACACAACGCTGTTGAGTTACACTGTATTGCATCGCAGTAGAAGTATGTTCCCAGGATGAGTGAAGTATACCATGAATACATGAAATTTGGAGAAGAGTCAAATTCCAGGACTCCAGATAATCTCATGTTGACCTTCATTTGGTGCGGGTAGCGGGCGATGCGTTTCCCTATAGTTTCGAACATCCACCCTTCCCATACGTGAGGATACCAGCATCGATTGCAATCGACAGCCTCCGTTCCACGATGACACTCAATCAGAAGAAGATTGCCAAATTCGAATCGTGGATGACAGACCGACTCAGCCTTTGCAGGCCAGAATCCTTACGTTATCATACGTACACCAAATCAAGCAAAGACCGATGCAGGACATCATGAGCTACAACCGCGCCTAAGTTCCTCAAAACCAGTTCAAAGAAACGATCTTATTTGAATAGGATAAAGCAATTTTCAAAGGCCAGGTATGTATAAGCGGCGTACAGTATGAAGGTTCGGCCGAGGGAGGGAGCATCGAAAGTCGGCCGGTTTGCTCTACACTCTGTGTCAGCTGGCGTGCATGTGCTTCGCGCAACACGGGTGGTCGCTACCGGCAGCATGGTGATGGAGGTAGCAGGGCAGGGTGGGTGCAGATTGCAGGGTCATCTCATGCAGAGACGGGGGTCTATAACTGGATCCTACGGGCGCTTTACCCTATGAGAGAACGAGAAATGGGCTAAGCCTGGCGGGGTAAGAAGCTAGCTTTGTTGGGCGACAAGTCTGAACACCATGATTGGAAACGACGACGTCGAACGTATGCGAAAGAGTAAGACTGAGTGCGGCGCTATAAGCAGCATGCTTAGGGGTTATAAATATTAGAAATTGAGGCAAATCCGCTCAAATTTGAGTTCATATATCCGGCTTCTGCGAATTGAAACCTACCCAAAATACCTACATAGCCAACCCAGAGATTTTTCACCACCCAATCCGACTTTGAAGCATGGTCCAGAAATGACTGGCCAGGATACGTACGCAACTAAGAAAGATGTGTCAGCCGATGCTCGTCAGATGGCGCCGTCATCCACCATGTTGGACATTCTAGCTCATAATTATACGTTGTCTGATAACCTTGACAGCCTCACTAAGACGATTCCTCTTTCGGAAGCTGTGTTGAGATTTCACAACACCGACACGCGCTTGGTAAACCGTTTGTGGCATATGGAAGAAATGAACAGGATTGAAAGACTGCAGCGCGCTGCAATGGAGCTTGGTTTCGAATTACCTTCACGATGCTACCACAGATGAAGGTTCAAGTACATTGGTCTGGTGTACTCGTACCATTAATGTATCCTAGCCTTGATAGCTTCCACGATGCTCTTCAGACCACTCAATCTCTCTTCTCTGGTTTCCCCAAGATATAAGCTTGCAACAGGCCATGCGTGGATGCCACCTGGCTCTTCCCAGCTATCAACATCCTTTCCGGTTTTACCGAGTAGACTGATCAAGTCCCTCGTCTCTGGTCCGAGAACCTCTTCGCTTCCATAGAGAAAGTACCACCCTTGTTCGGGGCTAGCTTCCGTCCATTTTTCAATATCTTTACACTTTCCAGGCGAAACCATTGAATCCTCTGGTGATACTTTGTTGCCAATGTACTGGCGACCGTACAGCTCTAGAGATGAGCTGTTCAGATAATCAGACGCCGTGTTCCGGTTTTCGCGCGATACTATCGTCACCCATGGGCTGATCATGATAGCAAGACCCGGTTTCTGATGACGCAATTCGGTATGGTCGGATAAATGTAGTAAGAAACTCAGGATGAGGGTTGCACCTGCAGAATCTCCACCAACGACTACGCGAGTCGAAGATTGAGCCAGTGATAGAACATATTCGTAACCTGCGACCGTCTCGTGCAGCTGGGTGGGATATGTGGCGTCCGGCACCAAGGTATATTCCAGAGCGAAGATAGCTGGGTTGCGATACCCGGCAGACTTTAGCAAAGTAACCCACGCTAGCAGAAACTCCATGTAAAAAAAGCTGCTGCCCATGGAAAAGCCACCACCGTGGCAATAGTATACGATTACATCTGGCTGCTCTTGTCGGTCGTGCACGATCCATACCCCTCCGAAGTTCGGTCTTCTGATCTCAGTCCATCTGATTGGACTTGTGACAATGCCGTGTCTCAACATGCGAAATCTTAAGAAGGGGAGTGAGACCGCCTTTGAGAAGAATACCCGACCTAAAAAGGCGGGCATGTTGGCGAAAGCATAACGAACAAAGCGGATGACTAGATCTTGAAATGGCGTTGCCTTTCTGACGAAGGGCGCGCGGTTCTCACGTGGCACAAGAAAGCGTTCGCGGATGAACTGATATGGAATTACGATGGCTTTAGGAGCTATAAGTATCAGTATACTCACGTATGGAGAGTAATGTGACTTACCGAGAGAAGGCAGAGCTGGGATGAGCCATGTCAAGAGCGGTACGATGCCAATCTGGATCAGCAATTGAGGCGCAAGAAAGACGAGGAAAGCTACACAGTCCAAGTAAGAGATCTGGCTCAGTATCATCTTGATGAGATAGAATATGGATGAAGCATGTCAGCTAATGGCATACCCAGCGACGGTGTCTAGAAACGCCAATGGCGATGACGCTGACAAGGGTCCAGCTAAGCCACAACCGCTTAGCGCCACACGACGGTACCGGATTTCCTTTGCTCCAGCCTTGACCAGAAACATGCGAGAGGTCCGAACGCTGCTGGACGCAAATGGCGCGTGTTCAGTGAGAAGTGAAACCCGAGCATTGTCTTCCTTGAGCAAACGATAGTTCGCACGTGACGGGGATTAGTGGCGCCGCGCACAGACCTATAGGTCGGTCGCGACTTCCAGAAAACTTCCGCGACTCACTTAGCTGTCACTCCGCAAACACGACTGCAGCGTCTGCAATCAACACCGCCCGCTTGCCTGCGCCCGCATCGAAGGATCACATCAAACCGGTCGCTTCTTGTCTGTCATTTCTCTCTTCGATTTTAATGGAGTAAAGCCCGGCGCAGACTGCGATTTATCTTTTTACACGGCAGCCTTACCCGAAGTCGCGAACTCTTAGGACCTCACCATGGCCAACCCCGCGGCGGATCCCAAGGCGGCACCGCTCGCCGACGAGCTGAGAGAGCTTGCGCTGTACATATGCCTTTTGCCAATCAGCACGACCAATACTGATATGTGCAGTTCGCTCCCAACCACTGTCTTCCCTAAGAACTTCTTCTGCGCCCTTTGCAACCAGCTTGCATTCGACTCATACAAACTAATCTGCTGCGCCAAGTCAATATGCTCATCATGTGCGTATAACAATCTCTGCGATCGGACCATCACAGGTGCTGACATGTTTTAGGTCAAGGAAGCCTTCAGTTCCCGACAACGTGTCCCTCATGCGACCACTCACCACTCGAAGCCGAATCATGCACTGTGAACAAGTCTTTGAGAAATACGATGCGAGTGTGGCTCCAAAAGCAGAAGAAGAAGGAAGAGGCCAAAGCCGCGGCACAGGCAGCTACCCCGCCCGTGGAGGTTACACCAGCCGCGCCTGATGTACAGTCGATAGGGGATGGCGCAGAGAAACCCGTAGACAGTGTTGAGGATACACCAAAGGCGGAGGACGGCGTCGCTGAACAAGCTGCTGGTTCTACGGAGAACGCGGAAGAGGCTGGAAAGCGCGCCGGCTCTGCCTCGGCCCAACCGAACGAGGTAGGTTCCCAATGTCATTCCTTTCGTTTTCACTTGGATCTGTTGGTACTGTACAATGAAAAGAAGAAAAAGACAAGCAAAAGAGAGACCGTCGGGTGTCACACAATTGCAAAACATGGTTGCCACACGTGCCAATGACATGAGATGCCCTCCATTCCACCTGTTGCTTTTACTGACCAAGCTAGGACAATGCTTCTCTTGAGAACGACGCCGAGCGACGTGGTAGCACGGCTTCCCAGAACATGTCCAAAAGCACCGAACAGGCAGCTGTAGACGGCGCGACCGACGAGCAAAAGAACGCGAATGGAGCAAATGGCATGATGGGCAACAATCCGGCGATGAACGGCATGCAAGGCCAGATGGGCTTCGGCTTTCCTAATCAGGGTGGTTTCAATAGTGGTATGGCCTGGAGCGGCATGCCTAACATGATGGCCAATGGTGGCTGGAATGGCATGAGTCCTATGGGTATGTTTTTGCATTCTCCCCCATCTACCTAGCAGGCGACTAACATCTACCCAGATTTCAACAGCATGAACGGCATGTACGGCAACTTTGGAGGGAACATGGGCATGGGCATGAACGATATGTCTGCCATGAACATGATGCAATATGGCGGTGGCTATGGCAATGGGTGGAATGGCATGGGCGGTGGTTATGGAAACTTCAGCGGGCCCAATCAGATGGGTGGCTATAATCAATCTGGAGCATATCCCGAGATGATGAACCAGTTCCCCAAGAATAATTTCTCAAACCAGAACCAGAATCGTTTCCATGCCAATCAAGGAGGAGCAAATCCTCAGCGAAACAACAGGAATGGTAGCCAGGGTGGCTTTGGTCCTGGTTCACAGAATGCGCCTGGACGTCCGGGTAGTCGCGGCGGTCCTTCGCAAAACGTACGTTCAACCCATCAACGAAAGCTACCGAACCCGTTCAAGGGAATTGGCAAAACTTGGATATCAAAAACTGACGCGATTCATCCTACGCAGCGTGACGGCCAGTCGCCTGACGGAATTGCTGACACTGCCCCTGAGGTCAAGGCCGAGGGTGAGCAGCCGAAGGCGTCCGCAGAGCCCACTGAGGAAGGTAAGGAGACCGGTGACGGTATTACGGTATCGACTGAACAGCCGAACTCTGCAGATGGCGTCGGTGCTGGCGTCGCGAGCGAAGCTGTTGCCGAGAATACTAACAGCACAGGCGATGTTGTACATGATGAGGCGCAAGACGGTGGTCTGAAGCCCATACAGACCGTAGACTCTGGCGATGCAGACATGCAGGAGTACAACCAGTCTATGATGGGCCATGGCATGCCATTCGCCCAGGGAATGATGAATCAGTTCCCGAATCAGCACATCAATACACCTTTCGATCCCACCATGAACATGAACATGGGATACAATGGCAATTACGGTCCCCGTGGCGGTTTCAATAACGGAGCTTATGGCGCTGCAACGGTTCTGACAGGCCAGCCAATGGAGCCTATTGGTGTTGGCGTTGTGGGCGCGCCAACTGGACCACGTGCGATGAGAGAAGGCCGACCCAACACTGGGTTTTCGAGTCGCATGAACAGCGGGCGATATGCCCCACCGCAGCCTCCCAAGAGTATTGCATCTACGCAAGATGTAGCCGCTGGTAGTCCTCAGCGGAGAGTTCGATCGTGAGTAGATCCGTGTGAAACATACATGATAAAAAATGACTGACTATGACACAGACGGTCTCCTCTTCGCGATGAGAGTATGCGCGTCAAGGAACGCTCACCATCACGCTCTCGGTCAAGATCAAGAGTGAGGGATGATGAAAGAGAAGAACCGCGCGAGCGGTCTCGTTCAGCAGACCGAAACTCCCGCCGTGATGACCGTGGTAGATCTGTCACGCCATTGAACGATGACTATGAGAGTCGTAAAGACCGCAAACACCGGTCATCACGCTATGAAGATCGTGAGGAGGAATACGATGATCGCTACCGCGATGAGAAGGGCAGTCGAGGTGACCGTACGCGAACTGCGTCAGCAGATTCCAAGTATCGTAGCAGCCGTCGCGATAAGGACAAGCACCGTTCATCGCGATCACATCGCGACCGAAGCAAGGAGCATCGCCGTCGCCACCGCTCCCGGTCGCCTCGCGAGGAAGGCAAATACGAAGACGAGGAGGTGTATGCCAACGGCGAAAAGGATTCAGACGGCAGCTCACGTCGTAAACACAGGAGTGGCCGTGACCGATCACGCGACCGATCACGCGACAAAGAGCGTGAGAGAGACCGCAAGGACCGTAAGGAACGAGACCGCGACTATGACTATGATCGTGAAAAGGATCGCTTTCGTGACAAAGACAAGGAGCGTAGGCGGCGCCGCGATCGCGAAGCTGAAGATGACGAGCGTGACTACGACGATGACAAGTACCGCTCTTCGCGTCGTAGCCGCAAGGACCGAGATCGCGAGCGACGGGACTATGATGACCGTGAACGCAAAGACAAGCCATCTCAACCGGAGAATGAAGAGGATGTTGTTGGTCAAATGATGAAGAAACGCGCTGTGTCTCCACCACTGAACGCCCCGACCGGGCCTTCAGCAAATGGCTTTAGCATCAAAGGCCGCTCGAAGAATGCCGTCATGGCCCCACCGGCTCAGCCCCCAACAGGCCCACGTGCTTTCCAGCCACCCAAGGGTCCGGCTGCCGACCGCAATAAAGAACGTAGTGGAGATGCTAGGGATCACCGCCGCAAGAGCAGTGTGAGCTCGGTCGCGAGTATCCCAACCGGCCCTTCATCAAAGGCAAAGGAAACTTCCCAGGACCACTATGCTGCTGAAAGAGAACGCAATGCCCGAGAGCGAGACAGTCGTGAACGCGTTGAAAAGCCCTCCGGTTCGAGCAAGTCCATCCATTCGCGTATCTCCTCGACATCTCGTTCAGCCCTGTCTACTAAGCGCAGCAGAGAAGACTTTGATGACGAAGCTCCTGTTCCCAAGGGTCCTAAAGCCGACGTCAAGCCCCCTACGGGACCTGCATCCCACCGCGACAAGCGTAGGAAGTCTGGAACGACTGGTGATGACAACATCGCCAACCTCTTCACAGCCGGCCTGCGCAAGAACGCCAAGGCCAGGCGCGGAGGTGTAAGGACTGAAGGCGACGTTGAGCGTGAGATGATGGAGCGAGAGCGGGAGAGGCGCTAGTATGGCTCTTTTGATCCTGCGTACACGGACATTACTAGGGAACTCATTTGTGTGGGCTAAGAGCAATTCGAAGTGGTAATGTGGATAACCTGGGGGATTCTGAAGCTGAGCTGAGCTGCTTCTCTACTTCTTTGTATTATACCCATTGATGAACTGAGCGGGGCAAGATAGGTGAAAGAGCGTGCGGATGCTGTACGCTCTGTCATTAGCTTAGGCTAGTACTAATAAAAGATATTCACGAGTCGAATGGAATGATGCGGCGTGATGAAGATGTGGTTTGTTCGTGGTATCATTTACTCTTTTACATCCAGTTCGAGGCGAAGCCAATATCGAGCTAGTCCACCCCGAAAGATCTACCGCCTGTGGTTGACAAACTCCTTTTGTTCACCACCCAATCTCGAAGCTACTACAGTAGCTTCCCTGATTGCCTTTGCGACGGCGCCCCTCACGCCATCTTCCTCGAGTGACATGAGACCACCGATGGTGCAGCCCCCAGGGGTCGAGACCTTGTCCTTCAGCACAGCTGGGTGCTCGCCGTTCAGCACAAGTCCTGTGGTTCCCCTCATGGTCTGCGCGGCCATCATCTGTGCCTCCGCTCTTGGCAAGCCCATAGCCACAGCACCATCCGCCGCGGCCTCCAGTATCAGCGCAAAGAATGCTGGGCCCGAACCACACAACGCAGTCGCTGCATCCATGTTCGCTGGTGGAAGGTTCGTAACGCGGCCGATTGAGCTGAAGACGAACTCGACAAGCTTGTACTGCGCCTCACTGAGTGGTGGATCCGAGGTCTGAATCACAGACATGGATTCCCCAACGAAAGATGCCGTGTTGGGCATGACCCTTACGACACGGCAAGCGTTCTCCGTCTTCTCAGGACCATCTGGGTATAGGAACGCTTCAATCTGCTCTCTCGTCACACCGGCCAGAATGCTGACAAGCACCTTGCCCTTGAGCGCCTCCCTCACGCCTTCCTCACCCAGTATCGTCTTGAAGCCATGCGGTTTGCAACTCAGTAGAACAATGTCTGCCTCTTGAACACCCTTGAGGTTCTGGTTTGTGAGGGTCTGGAGAGGGAAGTTGTAGTGGCCGAGGGCCTTCCGGACGTTTTGTTCGGCGGGGGCCCATTGGTCGCAAGCGATGAAGTTGGAAAGGTTGGGGACGTCTTTGGTGGCCGAAGAGGGGTCGAGGGAGGCTTTAGTTTTGGCCGAAGCCAGGGAAGACATAACGCCGCCCATTATCGCTATGCCCATTGTTCCTGGGGTTGTGTTAGTGGGGGTTCGAGCACCATTACAGACGCGTTAGACGTCGAAGGGCTTGAGGGTTGAGTTCTGTGAGGCGAGTATATTTCAGAAACACAAACGGCTCGCAGTGCTATTGATACAACCATAGGCTTTTTCAAAACTTAATCGCAGCGCCCGAGTGGTCTTCTGCTGGGAATCACGTATGAAAACAGTGAACATCGACCTACCTGAACCGAGAACGGTCAATGTAAGAGGCTTGGATTCCTGTGCGCTTGCCATCTTCAATACTTTCTTCTGAATATGTTGCTGGGTGGTGGTGTTGGACAAATGCGAAGGAAGATGACTGCTGAGTTACTGGAGCGCGAGATCGGCGGCCTTCCCCACGTCCACTTAAAGAAATCCTGAGCTATGACCATGGCCGATGGTATGCGCGCGCAGCTCTCGAAGCTCTCCACTCCACGCAGGCTATCGCACACCAAGACACATCGCTCCACACTACCCCGACCACTATACCGAAAATACTACCAGCAAGCTTGTAGTAGCCAAACGCTTTCTCAGCTTTCATCATGGCCGACCCATTCGAGGTCCGCCAACGCTTTACAACGCTACTCTCTCACCTCAGCGCATCGCATACCTCCCTTCAAAAAGCCGCGTTCTACGCGCTCAAGAATCGCGAACTGGACGAAGACCTTCATTCCTGCATTCTCGAACAGCTCGAACGTACCAATATGAACACGCGCGCAAACATCATGTTCTTCATCGAATGCCTCTGCGAATACGCCGTAAAAGACAACAACTCAGGAGACCCCAGCGCAATGGGCTACGTCCGCATGCTGCAAAGAGACATCTTAGCGGTTGTCGAATGCGTAGTGGGTGAAGAAGGAGCAAACATCCGCGTTGTGCGCAAAGTCCTGAAGACCCTCGAGAACCTCTCCATCCTGTTGAAGGAAACTGTTCAAGAACTTGAAGCTGTTCTAAAGTCCAGAGAGATTGCAAATCCATTCATGGCAACAGATTCATCCAATCCCAAAGATGGCTCCACAACACTACCAAGTCGGAGTGGAGGGCAGAGGATGGATAAACGGCAGATTGAACAGAGAATTGAGGAGGATAGAGAGAGACACAAGAGGATGCGGGAGAGTATTTGGGCGGTGCCTGGAGATGGGTATGAGGAGTTGGAAAAGCTGTGGGAAGAGGCTAGCGACATCAACGAGGATGACTATGTCACGGCAAGGGAAGATGCGGAGGAGAGGAGGAAGGTCATTGCTTTTGGGTAGGACCCTAGCAAACATCAGGAGAGCATTGAAGCTTGGCAGAAGGCCAAGGCTGCTGCGGAGGCTTCTGCGGAGTCTCTAGTTACTGCAAGACAGGAGGACTCAGGGAATGATGCAGACAGCGAGAGTTCCAAGACGCTGTCAATTGGAAATGGCTCCTACAACAGTAGGTGGGAGGAAGTTCATCCGCATTCCTGGCGTTCATCGGATCCATAAAGGTGTTGTCACAGCATGAGCTAGGCGTTAGGGCAGAGATACCACGGGCTCGTCTTATGACGCCCACATTGTTATTGGAGTTTTGAGTATACTGAATACATCCATGATCATTCCAAACATATCTGTACACGCCCATGTGCAATGCTATGATACAGTATCCGTCTCTTCCTCGCTTCTGCACCGTCCCCTACTCCATAACAACCGTAGCACCCAGCGCCTTGAGGGTCTCAACAATCTTCTCTGCCTCCTCCTTTGGCACACCCTCCTTCATCATCTTAGGTGCTCCTTCAACGAACTTCTTGCTGTCCACCAAGCTCAATCCCAGCATGGCCTTGATCTCCTTGATGACCTTGGGTTTCGCGCCAGCGTCGAACTTCTCGAGCTTGAGGTTGAAGAGGGTCTTTTCTTGGGCAGCGGGTGCGGCTTCTTCCTCTTCGACGGGAGCTGCGGTTGCGGGGCCTGCGCCTCCTCCGGGACCGGCGACGAATCCGCCCATGGGCATGTCGGGGATATTCAGGCGGGTCTTTGGTCGAAATGTTAGCATGTATGCGTGTAGAGCTTTGGCGTGCTGGTGGAGGCGGTCATAATTCCACATGTTCCAGAATCAACACCCAAGTAAGTAGACATAGACAGAACGACTATTATGGCATATCGCTTTGGGTTTCCACCGCGTGCCACCAATATTCGGTTGACTGTCTGCCACCGCCACCTCCGCCCCACGTTGATGTATCCGTACCTTTAGTGTTGATACCAAGTCCGCAGTCTCCAACAGAGTCAATTGGCTAATCTGGTCCACGATTGTCGCAATCTTTGGGTTGGTCGGAGCTGCCGCATCTGATTGCCATCTCCGCTGTATCCTCTGCTGTGTGGCGCCAATCGTCGGTCGTACGTATGCGGACTGCTTTGCGGTGCAGATACAGCGCCTGAGCGCGCGAGATGCTGGTGCTGCCATTGTGCGGGACGAGAGGGCGTGGATCAATGATGAGTGCACGTTGTGGTCGTGCCTGCCATCATGAGATTTTGCGGAGCGGATTACGACTAATCAGGTTACCGTCTTGGCGTTCTCGAAGACCCGCAAAAAAGTTAGAGAACTTCGAGGCACTCAGACATCGCCGCCACAACACCACCTTCCGGGCATATTGAAGCGTCGAAACTATGGGAAGGCGCCCCGAAAGCGAATCACGAATCAGTCCCTGCAGAAATGGAAGGAATTAATACTCGCAAGACCGGTGAAATGGTCAATATTAACGCGCTTGCTACCGAAGCGCTGAGGCCTGGATCGACGGACGATATTTTCGTTCAACATGGCGGACTTCTCACAGAGCTATGTGCGCGGTGGATACAGTCTGGCGCGAAGACCGACGCGAAGGTTGCAGCTTTTGGACGATTACTACCATTTGCGCCTCATCTCGCAGAGCACGTGGAGCGATTTCTATCACATACGTCAGATTCGCCAGTGATTGGGTCTAACGCTTCAAATCATGCGGCCACAGCGATTCAAGATTCGGATTTAATAGAAGTTCTGTTGGGAACCTTCCGACTCCTCAGCTACGACTGCAAGAACTTTACCCATTTTGTACGACCACTAGCTCTGGAGAGCCTTTTCCACCACTCGAGCCGCATTGTGCGGTATCTGGCCATACGGACGCTTTGCATCTACGTGCACACAGCGGATTATGCCACCCAAGAGATTATGAAGAACTTTGTTGGAGACGGGGAGATTGAAGGCCCATGGGAAGGGCAACAAATCGACTACCGGTTCTTGTCGTTATGGGAAGAGAAGCGATGGAAAGACTTGCAAAAGAAGTTGAGCCAGAACAGTTTCACTGATGTGACTCAGGCAGTAGCTGTGCAACAAGACCTGTCACCATATACGGTCAACGTCAATGGTGTCCTGTTGCCTCGATTAGACGGTGCACCATCCCAGGAGAGGCCTACTGAGCTGGTTCCGACTGCTACTACAGAACAGAACTTGAAGAAAATCGCCTATGGACTTCTTGAATCTAGCCCAATCCTACTCACTGGACTCGCAGGCTCAGGCAAGACGCTTCTTACCCGCCATTTCGCATGGCAACTTAACAAGCTGGATAAGATGGTTACCCTCCATCTGAATGAACAGAGCGACGCCAAACTATTAATTGGCATGTACACAACCGGCGCCAAACCGGGAACGTTCGCATGGCGCGCAGGTGTGCTTACTACGGCTGTTCGAGAAGGAAGATGGATCTTCATTGAAGATCTCGATAGAGCACCAAACGAGGTCATCAGCACCCTGCTACCGCTCATCGAGCGCGGTGAGCTGCTCATACCTAGCAGAGGAGAGACCATACGAGCGGCACGTGGTTTCCGTATCATCGCGACCATGCGAAGCACCCTCAACCCACGGGGCAAAGAGATCATACCCCGTCAGAGTATGATCGGTCATCGATTCTGGAACCCAATTACTGTGCAAATGCCACAATTAGACGAATTCCGCCAAGTGATACACGCCAAGTATCCTGCCCTGCAGAAACACCTTTCCGGCATCATGGAAGTCTATGCGCGATTGATGGAGCTGTACTCAGATGCAAAGTTCTCATCCGAGAACGGTACGTCGCTTCGAGCCATGACGCCACGAGATTTGCTCAAGTGGTGCGATCGGATAGCAGTGCTTCTTGGACAAACCGCATCTTTCAACAACGCACAAAAGGACGACATATTCATGGAGGCATTCGACTGCTTTGCTGGAAGTCTCCGCACCGAGAGCGCTCGGCTGAAGGTCATGTCATGTGTGGCTGAAGAGTTACATATCGATCCCCAGCGACGTGATCACCTACTACGAAATCGTGAAATCAAGCTTCAGGTACCTTCGAAGATCACGGCATCTGGTGCTATCCAAATTGGACGAGCGAGACTGTCCAAGCATAAGTCCTCGAAGAAACTTGGCTCAGGGCGACCGTTCTCAACCAACGACTACACCCTACGGCTACTCGAAAAGGTAGCTGTAGCAGTCGATCGCCAGGAGCCACTTCTATTAGTGGGTGAGACGGGAACCGGAAAGACTACATGCATTCAGTATCTGGCTGAGCAGCTTGGCCGAAAACTGGTAGCTTTCAATCTGTCACAGCAAAGCGAGAGTGGCGACTTGCTTGGTGGATTCAAGCCTGTCAATGTGCGCAGCCTAGTGATTCCCCTCAAGGACGAATTTGACGAGATTTTCGATACTACGTTCTCGAGAAAGAAAAATCTACGGTTCATGGAAATGCTCGGGAAACGCGTCGCAAAAGGCGAGTGGAAGCGCGTGTGTGCACTCTGGCGCGAGGCACTGAAGATGGTAGACGCCGCCCGGAAGTCGCACGAATCACAGACGTCGTCCCCAGATCCTGACGGTGGTCAGCCAAAGAAGAAGCGGAAGATGGACTCATTACCTGTCAACTTTCCAACGGCTCGATGGGAGAAATTCGCAACCGACCTCCATGACCTAGAGGCGCAGCTCTCTGGCGGTTCAGAGGCATTTGCTTTCTCTTTTCTGGAAGGCAATATCGTCAAAGCAGTCAGGAATGGTGACTGGGTACTTCTCGACGAGATCAACTTGGCGTCCTCAGATACTTTAGAGGCGCTTACTGATCTTTTGGGCGGAGGACCAGACGGAAACCCATCGATACTGTTAACAGAGACTGGCAACGTTGAACGAGTGGTCGCGCATCCCAATTTCAGAGTGTTCGCCGCGATGAACCCGGCAACCGATGTAGGCAAGAAGGATCTGCCGCCAGGCATCCGATCACGGTTCACGGAGCTCTTTGTTGAGAGTCCAGACAGTGATGAGAAGAGCTTGCGCAATATTGTGGAGAAATATCTGGGTGGTGATGGGACAGATCCAGCAATAGTACGAGTAGCACGCGATGTCACTACACTGTATCTCGACATCCAAAGGCTCGCCAAAGCCAATATGCTCGTGGATGGCGCTGACCAAAAAGCTCACTTCAGTCTACGAACATTGACACGAACACTGTCATACGCCAGGGATATTGCACCTCTCTGCACCCTCCGTCGAGCCTTGTATGAAGGTTTCCACATGAGTTTCTTGACATTCCTAGGAAAGGCTTCTGAAGACCTAGTCGCGCCACTCATTACCAAACACCTGTTCCCTCAAAAAGCTTCCATGAAGGCTGAGCTCGGAAAGCCCCTTCAGCAACCTTCGGATGGTCGAGGCTACGTCAGACAAGGCCACTATTGGCTTCGGCAAGGTGTACATGATGTGGAAGAGCAGTCACACTACATCATCACCCCTTTTGTTCAACGCAACATGAATAACCTCATTCGAGCCGCTTCTACACGAAAGTACCCAGTGTTAATTCAAGGACCCACTTCGTCCGGTAAGACAAGTATGATCGAATATCTCGCCAAACGATCAGGGAACAGATTCGTCCGTATCAACAATCACGAGCATACTGACTTGCAAGAGTACTTGGGCTCGTATATTTCTGGTGCTGACGGAAAGCTCACATTCCAGGAAGGTATCCTGGTGCGAGCACTTCGTGAAGGCCACTGGATTGTCCTAGACGAGCTCAACTTGGCACCCACAGACGTTCTGGAAGCCCTCAATCGCCTGCTCGACGACAATCGGGAACTTCTGATTCCGGAAACACAGGAAGTTGTTCGGCCGCATGAGGACTTCATGCTCTTTGCCACGCAAAATCCGGCTGGTTTGTATGGAGGACGCAAAGTTCTATCACGAGCTTTCCGTAACCGATTTCTGGAACTACACTTCGACGACATACCGGTAGAAGAATTGACTGAGATTTTACATCGCCGCACTATGATTCCGGAAACATGGTGTAAACGGATTGTGAAAGTCTATCGGGAGCTTTCTACACTTCGACAAGAGAATCGCATCTTTGAGCAGAAGAGTTTCGCAACGCTACGAGACTTGTTTAGATGGGCACAACGGAAAGCAGACACCGTGCAGGATCTTGCAAACAATGGTTACATGCTTCTTGCAGAGCGTGTGCGTAAAGAGGAAGAGCGAGTCGCTGTCAAGAAGATCCTGGAAACCGTGATGAGCGAGAAGGGCCCCAAAGTGACGATTGACGAAGAGCGGTTGTTCAGTCCCGACAGCTTGTCGAATATTGAGGGACTTAGCAATGGTGTGACCAAAGTCAACACTGCTGTTGTTTGGACACGCGCGATGCGTCGCCTTTCTGTCCTTGTTGCACATGCTATCCGTAACAATGAACCTGTCCTACTTATTGGAGAGACGGGTTGTGGAAAGACGACCGTCTGCCAATTGCTTGCTGATCAGTTCAACAATCGACTTCACATCGTCAACGCGCACCAGAACACAGAGACTGGCGATTTGATAGGTGCCCAACGACCCATCAGGAACCGAGCTGCCATCGAAGACTCTGTGAGGGAGCAGGTGCTCCAGGCACTCACCGGAATCTCAAGAGAAAGCCTGCAAAGCGATCCGACTTCGCTGGGCTCCGAAGAACTTATGGCGTTGTATGATAAAGTCGCGAAAGAATCACCTGATTCTTTCCCTGATGAGGTTCGCAAATCTATACTGGTCAGCCGAGCCAAGGCCAGTGCCTTGTTTGAATGGGCAGATGGTAGCTTGGTACATGCGATGAAACAAGGTCACTACTTCCTCCTTGATGAGATCTCTCTAGCTGATGACTCTGTTCTCGAGCGTCTGAACAGTGTTCTTGAACCCTCACGAAGTCTACTGCTTGCAGAGAAGGGTCCTGTTGACTCGCACATTACAGCTAGCGACGGATTTCAGTTCCTTGCAACTATGAACCCAGGTGGAGATTATGGCAAGAAAGAGCTCTCGCCAGCCCTTCGGAATCGCTTCACGGAGATATGGGTTCCTGCAATGTCAGATCTTGATGACATCCTGGAAATCGTACGATCAAAGTTGGAGCCTAGCCTAAGTCACTTCGCTGGAGCCATCGTTTCATTCTCACAGTGGTTCAACGACAAGTACAACACCTCCGTCGCATCTTCGATATCGATCCGTGACACTTTAGCATGGGTGTCTTTCATCAACGACATGAAGCACGACGATCCCATTTTCGGTGTCGTTCACGGTGCGGCAATGGTTTTCATCGATACACTTGGAGCCAACCCAGCAGGCTTGCTTGCCATCTCTGCAGCCACGATCGATGACGAGAAGACGTCATGTCTGCATCATCTGAGCAAGCTCCTGGGCCAAGACGTCGCACCCATGTACTTTGGAGCCATTGACATTGCGAGCACTGAGCATTTCTTCCGTTTGGGATCTTTTTCTATCCCCAAGTTCTCATCGGCGGCCTCGCAGGCATCGAACTTCGCGCTGGAAGCACCGACTACTCGTTCCAATGCGATGCGTGTAATCCGCGCCCTACAGCTTCCAAAGCCAATCTTGTTGGAGGGTAATCCTGGTGTGGGTAAGACCACACTGGTCACTGCCCTGGCTAAAGCTATCGGCAAGCCTTTGACGCGTCTCAATCTTTCTGAACAAACGGACCTTATGGATCTTTTTGGATCAGATGTGCCTGTCGAAGGAGGCGCCGCCGGTACTTTCGCTTGGCGTGACGCGCCGTTCCTCAAAGCCATGAAGAATGGTGATTGGGTACTTCTTGACGAGATGAACCTGGCGTCACAGTCCGTACTTGAAGGCCTCAACGCCGTCCTTGATCATCGTGGTGAGGTCTATATCTCCGAGCTGGACCAAACATTCTATAAGCACCGAGACTTCAGGGTCTTTGCAGCGCAAAATCCGCACCACCAGGGCGGTGGCCGTAAGGGACTACCCGCATCCTTCGTCAACCGATTTACTGTCGTGTATGCCGACGTTTTCCGTCCAGAAGACCTCACCCTCATTTGCCATAAGGTTTTCCCTGGCATCGAGGAGCACGAAGTGGCTAAGCTTATCCGATTTGTTGCAGAGTTGGACAACCAAGTGGTCAACCGACGCGCATTCGGTACTCTTGGCGCACCTTGGGAATTCAACCTGCGTGATACCTTACGCTGGCTGCAGCTTCTCACCTCGAAAGATTTTCCAGGTTCAGCACGCGACTTCTTGGACACTATTTTCGCCCAGCGCTTCCGCTCAGAGAGCGATCGTGTCCGGCTACATAGGGTATTTGAGAGCCAGTATGGCGTCCACCAGCCACGCATCAGTCTTTTCCACAATCTGAGCACACAGGCTATTCAGGTCGGCCTAGGCTTGCTACCACGCGACACTGCACTGGCCCGACCAGATTCTATGTCAACTCTGCGCTCCTCGCAGCTAGGTCCAATGGAAGCTCTTTTGGTCAGCGTCAAGCAGAATTGGCCAGTCATCATCGTTGGTCCGCCGGGCTCGGGTAAGACTGCTATGATCAATCAATTAGCAAGCTTTGTCGGTACGGACCTGATCACCTTCTCCATGAACGCAGATGTTGACGCCATGGATCTTGTTGGTGGATATGAGCAGTTGGACCCCACACGAGAAGTCCATCGATACCTTGGGCAGGCGGAAGAAATCATACGAAGACATCTCGCGACCAGCACAACACATTTGGCCGTGCATCTTCGACTATTGGAACATCTTCAGGATGGCTCCTTCGCGAGCGACAGTGGTGGTGCGGTACAGTTTCTCGAAAGCCTTGCAGGACTCAGCCCTGAAGCGTCTGAGCTGGCCCACAAGCTGCACTCGTCACTTCAGGCTTCCCACCAACAAATCGATGGCGCACGTTTTCAATGGGTCGATGGAATTCTTATCCGCTCGCTTGAGCAGGGCAAATGGCTCGTGCTTGACAACGCAAACCTGTGCTCAAGCGCTGTTTTGGATCGGTTGAACTCGCTACTGGAGCCCAACGGCTACCTTTCAATCAACGAACATTCAACAGATGATGGCGAAGCACGCATCGTGCGCCCACACCCAAACTTCCGTATTTTCATGACCATGGATGCGAAATACGGAGAGCTGTCAAGAGCAATGCGGAACAGAGCTGTCGAGATATGTTTGCTAGAAGGCGATGATAAGGCTATTCAAAACGATCGACCGGTGGTACAATATCCGCTTGACTCCACTATGTACCGGTATCGCCAATTCCAAGAACACGAAGACCATCTGTCGGCAACTTTGGAACAACGTTTCGAGCATTTGGGACTCCAGGACAACGACTTATTGGCAGGTTTTACCAAGCAAGCGCGACAAGGTCTTGTATTGAGTTCCTCTGTGCTACGGAATGGATCCAATGACCATGACCACACACAATCATCACCCGTGGTAGTCCAAACAAGTATCGATCATGGAATTCAGCAATTTTCTGGGTTTCTGGAGACAACATGGAAACCACATGCGACGAAGGTTTACAACAAGCTAGGAACAGAGGAGCTGATAAGACTACGCTCTTTCCATCCCTTGAACAACGAGCTGTTGCTCAATCATACGGAAGAATCGAGGACACTGAATGTCTTGAGTGCGTCCATGTACGAGATCATGTTTGATCTGTACAAGATGCAACAGGCTATCCAAGACCTCCCTTCCGCTCGATTCGAACGCCGCAAAGAGAGGCAGAAGCTGCCGGCGTTCCTGCATGCATACTGGCAAGGTATGGTCAAAGTCGTGGAAGGCTTTTGGAATGCGCTTCAGCAAGACCATCAATTCGACATCGCTTTCCTTAAGCCATTGCGGACGTTGTTCTGGGCCTTCCACGCTCTCACTACTGCCTCCACGTTCGATCGTGCCACTTTCCAGACATATCTGAAGATGTTGGCATCAGCTACTCCCACAATAGCTGGAGAATCAGGTGACCTCGTACAATCTATCAGCAATGCACTCTCCAAGCAGATCGGTGTGTTTGGGTCTGACGTTCAGCTCACCACTGGCATGGGCATGGAACATATCTGGCGCGTCTTCAAAGCCTCTACGCCCACGACCCACAGTCAGCTGAATGCTATCTTGGAACTAGAAAGCTTAGCTGACAGACTTGATGCGGTTATGTGGCAGTCAACTCTACGCGTGGATGAGATGATACAGCTACGCGAAAGAGTCGCTAGCTCCTTAAGCCTCGTTCGAAAGAATCAAGTAGATGCCAAGGAACTTGTCACAGGTCTCAGTATAGCTATTCATGATCTGGAGCAGAACATCGGCGAAGACAACATGTTGATCACTCCATACTTCGAGGACGAATTTGAGGGTCTCTGTCAGTTCCTAGACATTGCCCGTAACGATACCGATACCGGCCGAGATGTATCGCCTACAGCAGCTGTTGCAAACACCCGCGCAAAGTCAGCCCTATTTGCCCGACGTGCAACCAAACTCGTAGATCTCGCGTTTGGGCGATCTTATCATGGATCGGTGCATTTTACCAAGTTGTACCGCCATCTCGGACTGACGCGCAAGTCAGCGAACGCTATGGTACTTCAAGGCCGATTTCACACTGCAGTACTTGGAAAACTGTATGGTGCTGATGAAGTTCAGCTGGCACAGCTCGACCGGTTCGAGACAGAATTACAAGTCCTCTCTCAACAAGTATCACTTGACGCTGGTCGCATAACGAAAGACCAAAACGTCGCGCTGGACCTACTTTACAGGGATATTTATAACGAGATCATCTCATCGCACTCCAACATAGTTGTTGAGGCGGTGAGTGGAGGCTCTGCTATAGTATCCTCGGATGCCAATATTCCCGATTTCTATCGATCGACTTTAGAGGCTGGCATCGCAAACTGCGCTCGATCGCACGATTCTGTTGTCGACTCAGCAGCATGGATTCACTTGGGTCTTCTGGGCTTACAGTTGTATGTCCCAAATTACCCACACGATCCCGCACTCAGGCCTATGATCGAACGCGATATGTTCACCGCGGAGAAAAATTCACTTCTGAAAGCACTTGGTGCGTTGAGAATGTTCCAAGTCGACTCTACTGGGCAATACACAAGCTTCCGTATCCGACAAGTCGAGGATGTGATCAACAACATGGGTCAAGAGCCACCTGTGCCGGCTATCGTTCGCCCTACCATCTCCGAGCTCGATGATCTTCAAGGCGATTTTACGAACTTGCTAAGCACTATTCAACCTCTTTTGAACCAGTCAATGTCAGTACGAGAAGCGGCTCATGACATCACCTTACAGCAAAACATCCTGCGGATTATCCAGCGACTAACAGAAGGATATCGGGGATATGACGACATCACAGATATCGCAGTCGGCTTTCTCGTTTGTCTGCAGGTTGGTCTTAACATGGGTCAGAGAGAAGAAGAGAAGAACGTCCAGAGCAACGTCACCAAGAGCTTGGCATACATATCATCGCAGACGCCTTTCTTCGGCCGATCCAAGCCAATGGAGAGATCGGAATCGGTGTTGGAGATCATGGAAGAAAGCCTGGCTCAGCGCGAACATGCTATCGACCTCAGATGGCATACTTTGAATTACTTGCTCGTGCTGAGCAATACCGATCCGGCTGCTATGACTACACCTGTAGCCAGAAATCTACTGCATGATCTGTTCGCTAGTTTGTACAGTGATTGGAAAACCAAGCTAGTTCAAGACCAGGAGAAAGAGGCTCAAAACTCAAGTCTGTACACTTACCGTGGAATGGATGACGACGAAGTTGACGAGGACCCGACACTGTTTCCAGACTACGACGCAGATCAGGAGGACGAGATCAAGCCAACCAAATTGCCCTCTAACTCTCGCGACTATGCCATCAGACTTGCCAACTTACATGCCGAGCTCTTCGTTCAGGGCAGGGACGCCCCAGACTCCATCAAGGCGCTACTAGAGTGGTGTGCTACGGAACTCAATCGTATATCGGGTAGCAAGAGCCATGGTAGCAAGCACGAAGACGTCCTGCCAACCATCTATCTCGCGCTAGAGAAGAAGATCAACGCGCTGTCAACTGCCAGCACAGCGAGAACCTACAATTTCTACTTCGATGCCAATCTTTCGGAAGCCAAGCGTCTCATCCAACTTATTCACCAAATTCAGGCACGCTACCGCCAGATCCGCAGAATCTGGCCCGAACATGCGACACTCTCCGAGGTTCTACGCACGTGCGATGAAGCACTCGAATTCCGGCATGTCGACCCAGTCGCAAAATTTATTACCAAGGCTGAGAAACTCTATGCTTACATGCATGAATGGCAAAAAGTCGCCAGCAAAGAATACAATACCGCGAACGTATTTGATGATCTTACTAAGCTCCTAGTCAGCTGGAGAGAGCTTGAACTTACCACTTGGGCTCGACTATTCGACATGGAAGAGGAAAAATACCATGACGATGCTAAGAGTTGGTTTTTTGTCGCGTACGAAACGATCATTGCTGCATCGGAGAGCAGCGAGGATGAGAAGAGCCTGCAGACACATGTCAAGAACTTACTCAAGTCTTTGGAAGGATTCTTCGAGGCGACCACGCTTGGGCATTTCGAGCAGCGAATTAAGCTTTTAAGACAGCTTCGCCAACACGCAGCTATGCGCATGCAAGACGTCGATGCCTTCACGATTGTGCATGCCGCACTAGACAACTTCCTCGCCTACTACTCGCGTCTTGAGAAACCGGTGCACGAAACTCTTAGCAAAGGTCGTCAAGCCCTGGAAAAGCAAATCACCGATGTCATTAAGCTTGCAAGCTGGAAGGATACAAACATCGAGGTCTTGAAGCAAAGTGCGAAAGCTAATCATCGCAAGTTGACAAAACTCGTCCGCAAGTTCAGAGCATTGCTCAATCGTCCTGTGTCTGGTGTAATGAACGCAGGCTTCCCAGATGAAAGTCATCTGCTGCATGACATCTCTTTGGAGAATGTCATCACTGCTACAAACCCTGAGGCGCTAGAACTCTGCGCAACCAAAATTCCCGGATGGGGTGAGAGGCCTACTCGCTTCAAGAATCTTGCTGTCACGGTCTCGATGATGCGCAATCTCACAACGCCAAAGACTGCCACTGTTGACGGCGCATCATACATCAGCGAATTTATTACTGACCTCTCAGGCTCTATCATCGAGCTACAGAAGGCTACTCCCACTACGCTCACAGAGGAAAACAAGGCATCCGTGCAACATCTCAAGACCCAGAAGCGCAAGCTCTACGCCGATACGATGAAACTGCTGCGGCAGATGGGCATCAACTCAAACCTGAGTGTGGATACCTTAGCAAAGCAGGATGAGCTTTCGACAGTACTCTCAACTATATCTCTGGTGAAAGGGAGTGAGAGCATTGGTCATGCCGCTGAGTATCATCTACACAAAGCTCTCAATATTATGCCTCAGGTCCGCGCAGCTACTAGGGAACACTCTGGTGATCTGACCGCAAACGATGTTTCAAGGAGTATTGGTTACTTGGAGGGCTTGTTGTATACCTCTATCCGGCAGCGCAATGTGCTCAGCAAGGCTGCATGCAGTCTTGAACTGATCAATGCGCCAATGGCGCTTGTCGCCGACCTGTGCCAATTGGAGCACGAGCAATCAACACTGGTATCAGAACACGTAGATGTATCTGGCTTCGTACAGCCGCAGCTTCGTTGGCTCGCTGCCATGCTCGAAACTGCAAGCGACGTAGTGAATGCGCAAGCCAGGCTTGGGAAGACGACTGAACTTGATGCGTTGATCCGCGACTTGCGCGCTTGGGCCAGCACTGCCCGAGGCCTTGCTGATGCATACGACAAATCGCCAAAGCTGCCGCTCAACGTACAGTCCTTGGCTTACCAAGAAGTCAACGATTCCGTCAAAACTTTCCTATCAGAACTTCAGGGAGTGTTCGGCGTTTACGCTAATAACAGCGACATTGCGAGGACTGTACTTCAGCAAGTCGAACCGTTCCTATTCTGCTATCCTGCTACCAACACTGTACAAGCTTCAGACAGTCTGCGCATATCAGTTGATGCTTATGCCAAAGATATACTCACTTCTCTGGATCTTGTCCTAGGTTCAATGCAGGATGTGGAGGTTGCAATGACGGGCATTCCTGCCTCAACGGATGACGCGTCCTGGCTCCTTAAAGAGGAGCAAGCTCTTTCAGCTGCACTGACGGCCCTACACGCTCCTCACATCAGTGAGACTTTGCAAGCACTTCTCGACAAGATGCAACACCTTCATGAGGACGCTAACTTACAAGCGATAGTCGCTTTGTTCACTTCCGTCAAGCCCATTCTAGACCAATACGTGGCAACGCACAGATATATCGTCAACCGTTTCGATGCTCTACATGCATCCACTGCAAACCTACTTCACCGCCTCTCGAAGTCATTCATTCAAATCAGCACGCAAGGCTTCTGTCAACCTCCAGAGAAATCGAGTGATCCACAAAAGGGCAAAGATGACAAGCTTGAGTCTGGTACTGGCCTTGGTGAAGGGGAAGGCGCTGAAGATATCTCCAAAGACATCGAGGATGACGAAGATCTCGAGGATCTGGCGCAAGAGCAGAAGGGCGAGCGTGAGGGAAGTATCGAAGAACAGGAAGATGCAGTCGATATGGGCGAGCAAGAGATGGAGGGTGAGACAGAGGAGGTAGGAGAGAAGGAAGATAAGGGCGACGAGTCTGGTGAGGAAGGAGACGACGATGCGCAAAGTGAAGTTGGCAGTGTCGATGATCTCGGCCCTAGTGCTGTAGACGAGAAAATGTGGGACGATGGAGGCAAGGAAGATGACGCCAAGGACAAAGAAGGGAAAGACGACGTAGGAACCGAAGACCAAGAAGAGCAAGTTGCTGCCGAGAAGAAGGAGGATGAGAAGACTGGCGAGGACAAAAAGGAAGAAGCGGAAGATGAAAAGAAAGAGGGCGAAGGAGAAGAGGAAGACATGGAGATGGAAGGCGAGGATCAGGAAGAGAACGTGGGTGCTGGTGAAAAAGAACAGATGGATCCCCACGCAAAGGAAGAAGAGACATTGGACTTGCCAGAAGACTTGAACATGGATGGTCAAGATGACGAAGGCAAAGAAGACGACGATCTTGGCGATATGGACATGGGCGACGATCTGCCTGAAGACGAGATGGATCCGGAGGTCGATCCCGGCCAGCCAGATACCATGGAGGAAGACATTGGCCCTGAGCAAGAAGGCGAGGATGAGAAAGACACCACTGGTCATGTTGAAGATGAGGAACAGCCAGAAGGAGAGCAAGAAGATGAAGGTGACGAGCCCATGGAAGATGACGCCATTCCTCTTCCAGACGAAAACATGCCAGAAGATGAAGTTCGCGATCAAAAAGATACTGATCAAGCTGATCCCAATGCCGAAGCTGGTGCAGGGACCGAAGCCAATGAGGAAGCACACAAGAACAAGAATGAGCAAGCTTCCGCAAGTGCCGCAAACCAGGACGAAGGTCAAGAGGGAGAATCTGCCGAGCAGCAACAAGCACCAACGATTGAAGACGGGCAGCTTGGGCAAACAGCTGCACCAGACGCTGGCGGACACGGAGAGCAGCCCGAGGAGTCGAAAGAAACGCAATCTTTCAAAAAGCTCGGCGATGTTCTTGAGAAGTGGTACAATCAACAGAAGCAGATTCAAGACGCCCAGGAGAAGGATGAAAAGCAGGCTCAGCAGATAGACAAAGAGATTGACATGGCTGACGCGGACTTTGAGCATCTCGGCGATGAAGAACAGCAAGCTGATACACAAGCATTGGGTACCGCGACAGAGGACCAAGCAAAAACTTTGGATCACGACATGGCGCTGCCAATGAATGAAGAGGAAGACAAGATGCCGACTCGGCCGGAAGACAAGGACGAAGAGATGATGGAAGCTGACAAAGACACCGAGATGGAGGAGCCTGAGACGCAGGATCAAGACGAAGAAGCTCAGCAGCCGCAATCGAACGCTATGGAAGGTCAACCGCAAGCTTTCGTCGGCGAACAAAGACCCTTCCCCGACCAAGAAGACGAAGACATGGCTGATGCTGTCGGACTCGACAAAGACACTTCTTCTACAGTGTCTTCTGCAGACAACATTGAAGCCCAGCTCTCGCTCACTCACCTTGAACCATCCTCCATGGACCCCACGTCCGCACGTTCCCTCTGGCTAGCTCATGAAGCGTCGACGCATTCGCTTTCCCAACAACTCACAGAACATCTCCGCCTCATTCTCGCGCCAACTCTCGCTACAAAGCTCCGCGGTGACTTCCGCACGGGAAAGCGACTCAACTTGAAGCGCATCATCCCCTACATCGCTTCAGGCTACAAGCGGGACAAGATCTGGCTAAGACGCAGTATGCCAAGTAAGAGGAGCTACCAAATCATGATTGCGTTAGACAACAGTGGCAGTATGGCCGACAGTGGTGCAAGTGGTCTTGCACTCAAAACCCTAACACTAGTTACCCGCTCGCTATCGATGCTAGAAGTTGGTGAAGTCAGCGTCGTGGGCTTCGGGGACGAAGTGAACGTCGCGCATGAGTTTGACAAGCCATTCACTTCCGAAGCAGGTGTACGCGTCTTTGAGCAATTCGGTTTCGATGCTAAGAAAACAAATGTCCGTGGACTGGTTGACAAGAGTCTTGAGCTATTCAAGGATGCTCGTCAAAAAGGATCAAGTTCAGCAGGTGAAGACCTCTGGCAATTGATGCTCATCGTCAGTGATGGTCTTTGCGATGACCATGCCGAGATCCAGCGTCTTGTTCGCAAAGCACAAGAAGAGCGTGTGATGATCGTCTTCATCATTATCGATAGCTCGGCCGGTGCTCCTTTCGTACCGGTACCAGCGCCATCTGACAACCCAGGTTCCCAGCCGCCGGCGCCTGCCAAAGACCAAGCGAAAACCTCTATCTTGGACTTGCAGTCTGCCGTATTCACCCCCGAGGGTAAGATCGTAAGGTACAAGTATATGGAGCAGTTCCCATTCAGGTATTACCTTGTCGTCAGAGATGTCAGAGAGTTGCCAGGAGTGTTGGCCGGAGCATTGAGACAGTGGTTTGGAGAAGTGGCTGGAAGTGTTTAGTGGGACATATGATGTATAGTGGCCAACGCACGCGCATGAAGCGGAGTTCGGGCTACCATAGGTGTGTTTGCATTCATGGAATTGCATTGTCTTGGCGTTCTGGGTCTGGAAAATAGCTGGTGTATAGTACTAAATTTATTTTCGTACATATTTACGATTCATGTGTTTTCTCCAACGCACAAACTAATCACTGGTACTCTATGGACCAGGCCTCCAGTAATTACAAAAGCACATTCTACATCCCCGTGACGTGACGAATCTGAGCGTAAGTCCGAACAACCTGGCGGGTAACTCGATTAGGCCCACGCGTTGATTACATAATTACACTCGGCAATCGTCGGCTGTAGATCTGTGACTGTACTGCCTTATGATATGTCTGTATCTTGCTTTTCCGATCGTATGTTCCGACGCTCAGTTCGCTGCATTCTCGGACATGGGAACTCGGATAAATTTCCATATTCTTGAGATCTACGTGGCTCACCTTTTGGGGCTTAAACGCCTACCGTCGTCAAACCAGTGCAGCCTGTTGCCATCTCATCATCCCTCAAAGATCCGTCATACATCTCTTGGATGCTGAACCTGTCTCCCTACCACCGACAGATTCAATGGGTCGACTGAACCTTGATGCATTTGGCTCGGTTGCATTCGTGTGGAAGACGCTGGGTCTACCACAGGAAGCTCTCAACTCATTACATTTACCTTTAGATGCCAAATGCCTACCGTCCTCTTTCAAAGTCGACATTCTCGCACAATCCACCATTGCAACGTCTGCACTGGCGGCAGCTCTACTTTGGTCCGTTCGGAACGCATGCTCAATACCACGGGTCACGGTTCCAGCTGAGCACGCGTGTGTCGAGTTCAAATCTGAGCGACTGTACACTGTCGACGGGAAGTCCGCGTCCCCACCCTGGGGTACTATTGGTGGATTTCACAAAGCATCTGATGGATATGTGAGGATACACGATTCTTTCCCGAATCATCATCAGAACGCACTACATGTGCTAGGACTTCCACCAAATGCGACGAAAGAAGATGTCACTCGAGAAGTTTCGAAATGGAAAGCTGTGGAATTGGAGACCGAAGCATGGCGACGTGGAGCAGTAATCGCCGCGCTACGATCTATCGATCAATGGGAGGCTTTACCCCAAGCCAGCGCTATCGCGGATACCCCTGTTCTCTTCGAGAGGAATGCACACTCTGAGCCGCATATGCCACCGCAGCCAACAACGGAAATGACGAACAAGTGCTTACACGGTGTCCGCGTTGTCGAGATGAGCAGAGTCATAGCCGCGCCAGTGGCTGGAAAAACACTAGCTGCGCATGGGGCCGACGTTATATGGATCACATCGCCATCTTTGCCTGATCTTCCTGATCTAGATATCGACTTGTCGCGTGGCAAGCGCACAGTACAGCTCGATATCAAGAAGGCTGAAGACAAGGCAAAACTGCTAGATCTGCTCTCCACAGCCGACGTTTTCCTCCAGAGCTATCGCCCTGGAAGCCTTGCGGCAAAGGGTCTCAGTGCGGCAGAGTTGATGGAAGCGAACCCAAGACTGATCGTGGCAAGTCTCAGCGCGTACGGTCCTGAAGGTCCTTGGTCTGACAACCGTGGGTTTGATTCACTTGTGCAAACTTGTTCCGGTATCAATGTGGCAGAGGCCGAGCACTATGGCGCTAACGAGCCGATGCGCGTCCTGCCCTGTCAAGCATTCGATCATGGAGCTGGTTATCTATTGGCGACCGGGATTATAGCTGCATTATACAAACGCGCCACTGATGGGGGTGCCTACGAGGTCAGCGTATCCTTAGCTGCTGTCATGAAATATATGCGGTCCTTAGGCCGATACGATGGCAAAAGTGGATTCGACCGGAGAGATTTCAAGAAGCCGGAGGATGTCAAGCAGTATCTAGAATCGCGACACACATATCTCGGGGTCCTCGAGGCAGTAAGACACTCCGCCTGCATTGAGGGCCTGTCCGTCGGTTGGGACATCATGCCGAAACCATTGGGTAGTGATACGGCGGGTTGGCTTTGAGGGTCCGACAATATATTGCTTGATCTGATAGCACTGCATTCGTGACGAGTATATCTGAGTATCAATATCTGTCTCATCAATTTGATATTGAATGAACGAAGTATGTTGCCCCAGAAATCTTAGCCATCTACGATCAGCTCCGAGAAGCCAAGCGACATGGTACTGTCATCTTGGAGATCCGCGGTCGAGCGACTGTGACCGTGTTGTCATTATTGTGACAAGTGTAGGTATTGTGCATCATGTTGTATGGACGCATTCTTGGGATGTACGGAGTGGTTGCAACATGCGTCCCAAAGGCGACCTCGCAGATACAGTCGCTGTGGAACCATTGACGTCATCGTCGCCCGCGTACCTGCATTAGCCCTCGCCTCGCCCCTCTCCAAGCCATCCACGTCTGCCACTATTGTTCATCCTCGAAGGCTTATCGACTCACTGCCTGGTAACCAGTCAGAAACTCCTTCGCCAATCAGCACCAAAATCATGGCTGAAATCGCAGCAGGCGCTTATGTCGCTGCGGAAGTGGTTGAACACACAGCAGAAGCAGGCTACGCTGCTTACATCGTCTCTAAGCCAACGCTCCCTCTCAAGGTTACCTTTACACGCATAGCCACAGCAACAGGTGATACTTCGGCGTATGTACCTTACTATTGCTGTAGTCAGAACCCAGCTGACTTTCAGACGCTCGTTGGCACGCTCCAATCATACAGTCACAGTGATCGGTAACAAAGCTTATGTTTTCGGTGGCGACACTGCGAACAATGCTCTTGCCAGCAACCATGTGCATATCGTCACTCTTGAACATTCTGGGAAACCAGAGATGGACTATAGTATCATCCCGGCTTTGCCAACATCTGAAGGTGGGAACACACCCGCAGCAAGATCGAGCCATGCAGCCTGCGCATTTCATGGGAATGTAGCTGTATACGGCGGTAGCGACGAGGGTGGCGGTCTGATCGATGAACAGTCCTCTATTTGGCTCTTCAGCCCCGAGAGGAAAAGCTGGGATATTCTACAACCATCAAAGGGAGATGTCGAAACTGGAGATATCGGCCCTGGACCACGTCGCAATGCCCAGCTTTTTGCGCATGATCAGCACCTGATACTGTTTGGTGGAGTTGATGGTTCTGGCGATAACGCATCAGATCTGTGGCAGTTCGATATTGCTGCGCGCTACTGGACGCAGCTTCCGACAGCACCAGTCGCAACATCGAACGCTGCACTAGCGAACGGTCAACTATGGCTGATATCTGGTTCCGATCCTATGAGCAGTCAGCTGCACCACATCAGCATCTCCTCGTCGAGTGAAGAGAGAAAGTGGGAGTCTTTCACGTTTCCAACCAACCCGTTAGCACCAGGCCCTCGTGCACGGCATGATGGAGCGCTACTGCCGGTAACTACTGGCTGGGGTAGAAACTACCTTGTCTATCTCTTTGGTGCTCGTAACAATTCCTCTGCTGATGTTTCGAACACCGAGCCAGAAGATCCCAAGCACGCAGATGAAGTCACTCAGTTCAGCGACACCTGGGTCCTCCAGATACCTTCAAGTGACTTGGAGGCTAAGCCGTCAATGACGCTTAAGAACGCTATCAATCCGGCAAAAATCAAAGATGCTATCAGGTCTGCCTTGGGTGCTGATACAGGGCACCTGTCCTGGGCGGAGGCGGTAGTACAGCTACCTTCAGACAAGCAACTGGAGGAAGAAGATGGCAAGCTGCATCCTGGACCGAGAGCATTTTTCGGTGCGGATGTTATGGAAACAGGTAGCGGTCTAATCTTCTGGGGTGGAGTGGACGCAAAGGGTGAGAGGGTTGGTGATGGATGGATCGCAAGGTTTGAGTGAGCGATGAGGTATCTAAGGACATGTATTCTGATGGGGACTGCAAAAGCGCACAATTACATTCGAGTTCCTTATGTGCATCTTCTTGTGCATCTATCGATGATGTCCATCATTGAACCGTCTTTGCCTTACCCTGGGCTTCCATGAGCTGGATACGATCAAAGCTTCCGCCAGCAGGTGAAGGTTACAAGAAGTATATATTGGAAGGGATGTGATGTGAATAATGAAAAAAGAGACTGTGTACTAGTAAAGAAGAGATATGAACTGATGGAGCAGATAATGCTGTCCGGAGACGAATGTAGCGTTATCCAACCGATCATCGAAAGAAAAGACAATGTACGTCTCAAGAAGCCCAAGCGTACATTTGACTTCTGCATGTTACAATATGCGTCCAATCCTGATGAGCAAACGATCGCAAAGCGGCGACGCCCACTCTGTGGTAGCCAATATCGTTAGCGTAACGTCTCATCATCAAAATAGCGGATACGTGTACCATATGACGATTGAGGATTTTGAGAGGCTTTTCATACCTAGCAATTGGTGACCTCTGAACGGCTCAACGGAACTCAGCGATAGCTTTCCCACGAAGGACTTGTTTGTGCAACCTAGAAGAGAATTTTCTTTGCTACCTTCAGCCACTTAGTCTCTACGGTAGATGCCTGTTATCCAACAAGCTCTCAAAAGCGCGAGACCCCACGCCATCCCAATGCTATCCCAGACTACGTTCAGCTTACTGCCCATGACCTCCTTCCACCCGATCGCAACTTCAATCATGGCGATATCAGCACTTTCAGCGAGCATCAACATCTCGACATCAAAGATCCAACCTTCAGAGTGCATGTACGGGACAATGTACGGCAACGCCGGTCGCGAGAATAACTTGAAGCCGCACTGTGTGTCCTTGATGCGCGCAGTAGCCGGAGGTGTCATGATGCGCAGGAGGATGTGGAACGAGTGCATGAGAAAGTTGCGGAGCTTGGAGCGTTGGACAACGGCTTCACTACCGACAAGGTGAGCTCGTGAACCGATGGCGACACCACGTCCATGTTTGTCCTCTATGCTTTGACAGCCATCAACAAGGGCTCCGAGGTCAGAGAAGCGACTTGCGCCGTCTGCGTCCGCGAAGACGATGTACTGGCCTCGAACGTGCCGCATGCCATGTGTGACAGCTCCACCTTTGCCTCTGTTCTCTTCAAGTGTAATGACGCGAATGCTGCCGTGTGGAATGTGAGTGGAATGTGGTGCCTTTGCGTCACCGTTCTTCGACCATGGCCCTGGCTTTGACTTTGGATGCTGGCTGAGTTGATGCTCCTTCGCAAACTCCAGCGCTTTGTCAACGGTGCCATCGGTACTACCATCACTCACAATGAGGATCTCCCATCCTTTCTGACTCTTCTCACCCTTCCCACCAGCATGCGCATCGCCATATTGACTCTCCAAATAGTCAACGGCCTCTTCCAACATGCCCTCCAGGCGCTCTTCCTCGTTGTATGCGGGTACCACGACGCTCATGAACAGCTCTGGTTCCTCAATAGGCATCTGTGGTGGTATGACAACCTTGCTTCCTGGCTCTTTCGCTGCTTCTATCTTCGCCGCCTCCTTCTCTGCCGCCCATTTATCCAGCCAACACGGAAGTTCCTTTGGATGGCTTCTTGCGCCGTCGGGTAGAATTGTCGTGTATTGTTTCTCGGAACGTCGTGGCAGTCGTGGAGTAGGTGCTAGGAGATTCAATGCTATATAGAACTATCACACGTAGTTGTATTAGTCGTGTGCATCACTTCAAATGCGTGTATGAATTCATACCCAGAAGCCCATTGCACAAAGCAGAAAGCCCAAGCCTACGAGAAGCACCCATGTTGGTGGCATTTCAATAGCGCGCTTTGGGTGCGACTCGAAGCCATAACCAGCACCCAATCTCTGGGTATCGAAGGCGCGGTTCTCTTTCGACATGGCGATTGCGGGGCCCTAGAGAGGGCTGTCCAGTGATGATGCTACCGGAATGCTGTTGACATTGAGTTGGGGTCGCGACCGCTGAGACCCAAGCTTGAAGCGACTCAGAGGAAATGCGACAGATGAAGAGTGAAAGCAGTAATGGTTGCGCGACAGCCAATTGGCACGGAAAGATGCAACGTGGAAGCTGACGTACCTGACGGCCCGAGGGTCGTTAGTCAGCCCCGCTATAGCGCCGGTAAGCTATTAGCTGTCCCAAACCTACCTAGGTAACAAACCAGCAAATACATGTTATGCATCCAGTATGGGCCAAAGTAAAGAAATCGAGGTCGGTATCAAACATCATCAGGCTCGGCATTCGTGCGATACACTCAAAGATGAAACATCAGCACTCTATAAGAGCTCAAATCTCGAAGATATGCCATCAGAAACGGGCATCTTGGTGTACGAACCAAGAGTGTGCTATCCGAAGTGATACGACTGTAGATATTCGCCGGTCTTGGATTCTAGGAGCGCGAGTGTTGGGACACGAAAGACATCAAGCAGCGACAACGATCGCAACGTCGCTGTACACAGGGTGTTGGAGGCATGGGTAATTGGAGGCTGCTGCAAAGCAAACGACGATCATGAGAGTGATGATTTCTTGTTCACAGCCCACAGTCCACAGCTCGCAAATAGCTCTATACATTCTTGAAGAACAGCATGTAGGCAAGCACTAGGCGAGGAAGTCTACAGTGAAGGACCAATAGCTTCATCATTATAGAAAAATATGTTGGGCCACCGGGTCTACCATAAGTATACAGGCTTTCAAAATAACAATGTGTAATCCATTTCAAAGTGCCTTCCCAAACGCCCCCGCTGTTTACACTGATATATGCGATGAAAAAGGACATGGCGTCCACAAATTCTAAGGTACCGAACGGATTGCGATTGAAGCGCCAGCATGGAGGGAAGCAAGCTATGCTTCTTGTCCATTCGCCTGCGCAGCGCGTTTGTCATCTTCGTCAATATATACTGTGTTTTATGAGCGTCGAGCATGCAATGGGGATGTGTTTGCAACTTACCATGTGGACGAATAAACCAACTGCACACAAACGCGGTTCCAAAGGTTGCCGCAAGACACACAAAGACAGTTTGGCGGTATGTCCCAACAGTCGCACTAAAGATGCCGTTGAAGATGGTTGGACCTACCACACGTGCAACGGCGTGTAGTAGACCTGTTGCACCGAGCAATTGACCGACTTGGTCCTGCGGTACGTGTTTCGTCAACGCAGCGCCAAGAGTGGGTGAACCGATACCACCAACAGCAGCGATAGCTCCAGAGAGCGCGAACAGTTCGCCTTTGCGGGCAAGGGCATAACCGATGAAACCAGCCATGTCGAAGAAGATAGCGGCTCGAATGACGGAAAGATCGAACAGATCAGAGCCCGAGCTGCGCAGACGCGCCGCGCCATTCTTACCGCGGAAGATGCGCGTTAAAATAGGCAAGATGACGAGAAGAGCGAACACACGGGAGCTGTTCACAATGGTGGTAAACCGACCAGACTCTAGTTCATGCCAGTCAAACTGCCGGCGAGTGTAGACCAACACAACGCTCATGGCACCCATTGCGACACCAAACATGATGGTATCTGTGGCGGCTAACAAAAGGAGATTCCAACGCACAGCAGACGATGTTCCAGGGCCAGTTGGCCAGAGGATCTTCAAAGGACCAAAGAGGTTGATGGAGCGTAATTGGTTAATAAAATCTCCAGCAGGACCTTGTCGTTCAAGTTCTTCCCTGCGCTTCTCACGCGCAGCTTCCTGGCGTGCTTTGCTGAGGGATTCGGGAACAAGGAATGTGAGGAACGCGATGAAGATCAAATGAGCACCGAGGGCCATATAGAAGATGAGCAAGACAGCTTCAGTCTTGCCAACGTACTTCTGGCGCGCATTGATGATGTATCCAGCCAGTGCAGGCCCAATGGCGATACCACCGAACAGACAAGCGTGAAAGTATGAAAAGGCAACATTCCGTTTCTGTGGTGCGACGCAGTCGGATGCGTAGGAGTGCGCGCATGCCATGCCGACGATGAAGGATCCGGATATGCCTTCCAAGCAGTAGCCGACAAGAATCCAGTTGACGTGTACAGTCTCGGGAAACTTGGCTGCCAGTATGGTGAGCATCTCACCGAAAAGCGCACCACAGGTGTTGGCAATCATGAATTTCTTCCTTCCATACCGGTCCGAGAGCGCACCAATCTTTGGACTTATGATAGCAGAGAGTATACCGGAGCACAAGCTGGCGTATAGAAGGAAGAGCGATGAGCGAGAGGAAACGGCGTCGTTCTGGCATCGATCTTGACCCGGGTCCATGGGAGAGGATATTGGATCGGTCTCCAGAGTAGCGTAGTACTCTTCGCACACCAAATCCATAATCAGGTTGATTTTGGGTACTATGATGCCACCGAAGGCTATGGTGAACAGTAGGAAGGGCGGCAATAGCCAGAATATCTGTGACCGTCAGCCAGTGATCTCTGAGTGCAGGGGACTCAATGCGCGTACCGAGGGCCGCTTCCACCAGGGAAGACCTCGAAAGTCAGCGTCTCCTGCCCATTCTTCTTCTTCGTTGTCATTTCCATCGCCATTCGCACGCCCATTGTTGTGCCTCGAAGAACCCAGCAGCGGCGCGTCTTCGTTGTCGCTGTCGGGTCCTGGAGATCTTGCCCCTGACTTGTTCGCCTTCTTGAGATTCCTGACGCGCGCTCTAAACTCCTGCTCCACCTCGATATCCTCAACAAAGGCGGCGTCTGTCGTGGAAGCCATCTCGAATCGCTTGTGTTCTCCAACTCGTGTCGCGTCGGGTGTTTTTGCTGTCGAAGGTGGGGATCCGGGGTATCGTGGGGCGCTGTTTAATTCACGACCGTGTGCGCATTGCTGTAACTCGACTACGTCCCCAGTCAGTCTCCCCCTCATTAGGCGACACGGTAATGGGCGAAGAAACGTCGCGCCTCGCTAGTTGCAAGCTAATGGCGGCGATTGTAATCATCTTCGGCATCGGGTACAAGTGCGAATTTAGCTTACCAAGAATAGAACGCCTCAAAGTCGCCAACAACCGCGACGGTCAGCAGTGAGAAGGAGCGGAGAGAGGGAGCCAAGGTCGTATTTCAACACTTTGTCCGCGACATTGCGTCCGCTAGCGCTCCTTCACAAAAGGGCTGACAGGGCGAGACTTTGCGGATTCGTCGTAGATACAGGATCATGACGTTGCGATACTTGATTATCAGATCCCACGCGATCGGCATTTCGGGCGCGTTAGTCCTCCGCGGGCACTAGTGCATATACGTCCGAGTGCCATGGACCAATGTCTTGCTTGCTTTGGAATGTGGCTTTCGCAGTCGTTCTTTCGCTGGCGAGACATGTTGAGGAAAGCCATATCCTCTACATTTATCTTGTCATCATCGACTGGTGCACAGACAGTAGCGCTGCGAACACACTGGACGTACCTGGAGACATGAAAGAGACACGTGACTTCCTACCTAGTCTCCAATGTTCGAGCATCTGTATTTCATCAATAACCAGACCATATGTTTGATGCTTTCGTAGGTCACATTCACCGAGAGATACGAGAAGCACATTGAGACAAACATCTACCATGTTTCCTTCTTATTACTGACTTAGGCTATTTCTCCAAAGCTCAATTACACCCTGTAGATCTTTCAGCCGTGCAGGCCTGACAAGGTAATTATCAACACCAGACTCGTATGCTGCATTACGATCTTTCCCACTCACAAGCCCAGTTAGTGCGCATATGTACGTCCTATCACGCTTCAATCGTGCTTCCATCTCACGAATCTCCCTCGCTACATCGAAGCCCGAGACCTCTGGCATCGAGAGATCGAGGAAGATAAGATCAAAAGGTTGCACAGCTTCACCGTTGTTCGGTTCCATGGCGCTTTTAAATGCGCATATGGCTTCCTGACCACCACCTACAGACGTTGCAGGCTTTTTGCTACATTTGCGTGCATACATGGTAAGCACCTTGAGATTGACAGCGTTGTCGTCGACAAGCAATAGTTTCGGCTCCGCTGCGAGTGCTTTCAATGGCGTAGTCAACTTCGGCTGTTCTACTTGCACTGTCTGTAATTGTATGTTCTGTTCTGGTGGCCGTGCTTCGATGGGCTCTCTCGATGCTTGTACCTCTGGAGTTCTGGACTGGGTGGCTGCTGGCATTGACTGTGGATGCACAGCGCTTTCTTCTCCGTCTGATTTCGGGTTTTCTTCGAGCACTAAATCTGACAGTGATGATATCGGTGGGTCGTCGGATGTGTCGTTTATTTCCACACTCGACTGATTGAGGTTTCCTCTGCCCAATGGCTTTTGACGTCCCGCAGTTACTGATGTAGCGTCGGAATGGCGACGAAGCTCGGGAGATGAGACTACATCAGGGAACAAGTGCGCCAGCGCACCTTGAAGTTTTGAAATAGTCACTGGGCCAGTAATGGCTGCGATCTTTTCAGAAGGCGTTGTGTGTGGGATGAGCGCGGTTTGCATATCCGGATAAAGCAAGAGTCGCTCAGCGTCGCTGTACGTGCCACCGTAGGTCAGTTCTGCGCTCTCTTCGTCTTCTTTCAAAGCGATAAGCAGCCGCGACTGCGAATTCATGCTTGCAATCTGCCAAGGAATGACCGTGATACGAAACCACCGTCTTAGACCTTGCGTAAGCGAATCTAGTAGTAATCCAAGTCGCCGTTGGTCTCTCACTCCATCGCCCGTCTCCCACCGTCCTGGGGTGAAAAGACTGATTACTAGCTGAGGCAACTCAGCAGTACTAGATTGAGTGTCGATATAATCTGCTGCACTATCCAGTGGGTGGTGCAGCAATTGAGTCGATGGGAGCCTAACGGTGAAAGTAGAACCTTTGTTTTTACTCGACTCGATCTGTACATCGCCATCAAACATAGTGACCGTCTGCTTGACTATAGAAAGTCCAAGACCAGTACCCTCGGTGACAGGATTTTCTTGAGAAAATGGATCAAAAATCGAATGGCGAATAAAGTCCGAAGCTATGCCCTGCCCAGCGTCCGTGCAAGAGACACTAATAGCATCATCCGTGATGTTCAATGAAACTCGAACACAGTTTGTCGACTCACCAAACTTCAAGGCATTGTTCTTTTCAGTGTTAGTATGGTTTATGTAGACATGTTTGTTGAGTAACTTACCATAAAGTTAGTTAAGATTACGCGAAAGCTACCGACAGCCTTCAGGCGGCAGGACCATGTGGCATTCGTATCGAACACTATAATCGGAGGATGTATCGCAACTGTCGGACGTGAGCTTGAGCCAGTCCTTTAGTACGGACTACCAGTGCACTAACCCATGGAGGGCTCAGATTGAACAGCCTCTTTGAGACGTAATCTTTGTGACTCACTATGTATGATATCTTCGCAAATATTAATAGCCTCTACAGTGTCACTCTCCCTCGGGGAAGCTGCCGGTTTGTGTTGTACAAGGCTTGATGGATGAACGAGTCCTTCGCTTGGGACATTGGATCCGGTGTGTTCTAGATTATATGGCCTAGAACTTATGTTGCTGAAATAGAGAACACGCTCTATGGTATCAAGTAGTGATAGGCCACTGTATCTCGCAGTCTCTAATAAGTCGTGTTGGTGTGCATTGTGCGGTATATCAGCTAGAAGCTCAAGGCTTGATAGCATGCCATGTAGTGGTGTCCTCATCTCGTGAGATACTGATCCGAGGAAGTCTGATTTGATCTTGTCCATAGCTTGTGCTTCTAGACGCCGCACTTGCGTCATGATAGTCGTGCAAAACGCAGATATAGACGCAAGATCCGTCGAGCCGAGGTATACCCTAGACTGAGTGTTGGCAAATCCCAATACTGCACCGGTGGTCCGTTCATGGAAGGTGTCCCAGAGCGGCATCAGAACGATCTGTACTGCTCCTGGAAAAGACCTCGACAACTCTGTTGATATCATTGGATCATCAACTAGAGCAACGTCACTTGCACTTGTAGCAGCAACAATCTTGCTTTTCTCGTCGAGTACCTGGAAGACAGCCCCCTGAGGAAATAATTCGAGTAGTCGGCTAGTCAATGTATGGCTTAGGCTCCGAGGCTTATGAGCTCTGGGTCCTAGATGCTCTGCTAATATACTAGAGCCATTCCAGGCGGGATTTCTGTTGACGAAGTTACCCGAGGGTCCTGGTTCTTGAATCCGAACTCCATCAAACTCGAAAGCATCGTAAAGCAGCGTCGCTGATAGCTGATACAATCGTAGAGCGGAATCGTTGTACAGGTTCGAGACCAGAGACTGCTGCTCGTCACGACTCTCTGGCAAAGGCTGCTCCTGCGCAGACTCAGCCGCCAGTCCTGCAGAGGAACCCATCCTCAGTAACGAAGCCACACCTTGGTTGAACTTGAGCAATCTTTTGCCTTCTAGCGCTTCTACTGCTTGTTCCAAGTGCTGTATAATATGTGATGCTGTTTCAAACAAGTATGAACGATGAGTCTTTGACAAGCCTTCCTTCGACGGCGTGGAACTGAATATGAATACCGTACCGATATTTGGTCCATCATAAGGATTGAGGGGAACACCCACGTAGTGTCTGAATTTGGCGATGTCGCCCCTTACAAAAGGCAGGTCTTTGGTTCTCTCCGACGCGGCCATGTCGAGCTCTTCATAAATGGCCAAGTTGCCGGGCTGATTCTGGCGTGTGATGGTCCGCTCACACAAACCTCCATGATGGGTAACCGATTCGCATCCATACCATTTCGTTGAATCTTCTATATCAGTTAGATTCTCTGCTAGTGTAGTTTTAGCATGGTATCCAATTCACTTACCCAGTGTGACTTTGGCATCATTCGCATTATCCCGACTGGCCCCCGAGATGAAGTATTGAGTATGGTCGTCTAGCAAACTGACCATTGCCAAATCGGCGCCCGTTTGATGAATAATGCAACGCAGCATAGCAGCGAGCGCGCCATCCGGTTCATTTTTGATATAACGTCCCTGCCGCTCTGAAAGCGTGCCTGTGAGGCCAGCTTCCGAGCCGCGTACGTATTTGACGACAGATGGCAACACCTGGCAGAAGCGTCTTACTTGCCATACTCGGGTGCGGTCGGTAATGATTGCTCGTTGTTGCTCACTAAGCTGTGATAATGGCATGGCTTGCGATGGCTGTCGGTGAAATCCTCCGCGCGAGCTGCCTGGTGCACGGAGAACCCCGCAGACAAGCGGGGACGATTGTTCTGGTGCCTCGTGCGTGGAGTAACTGAGTGACCCCGAAGTCCTTCCACATTAGAGGGTCCGATACGAAGAACACGGTCGCGCAAAGCATGCGCGTGCCATATAGGTATGGTCGACTATGTAAGCGCGTTTATTATGCACGACTCGAGCCGATGTTCGCCTCAATTTGTTGCTTCAGGGTGATGTCATAACAGGCGTTCCACTATTCTCACAATGTTGATACGCTGATCTCTACAAACTTCTCCACTCTCTGAGTCGGCAATCTTCGCGAACCATCGTCATTGCCCATCTTCTCATCGCAGATATCGGATGTGATATTCAGACTTGAGGTGTCTTGACGTATTTTGTCGTAACATAGCACCCCAGCAGGTCTGCCTCGGACGAAGAATAATTCGGGGCTCCATATCGAGGCGCAAAGCAAGAAGCCAGGCAACGGCTTTCAGCGCGAAGCTAAAACCTCATTTACTCGCATCAGTCAGTCTCTTAGCATTATTCAATTCTATACACGAACTATTGCTTGGCCCATGTACCTAGGTAGCACTAGGAAATCGGAAAACACTCTCTACATCGCCAAGTACAACACACGGTCTCGGAGTTTGTTTACGATGTAGAGAGCTTCACTTTTGAAGGTTGATTGTGGAGGATGTGCGACTAATCTCCGCAACCGAGCTGCGCCATCGGCCGTCGATCATCGCATCGCACAAACGACTTGTTTCTATCCACTTGAGGAATGGCATGCTTACATCTTTCTGTCTCAATACGATGATCCCACGACTACTACTCAGATCCGGTCAGCTGTTAAGAGGTAGTCGTTGCGATCTAGCATTTTCCAATACGACGCAACAACAACACAGCCACCCAATTCGTCACCAAGTTAAGGAACCTGACCGCGATCATATCCAACTATGCGATCTGCTAAGGAAGGCTGTTGTGAACATATGCGCTTTTTCCCAAGAGGTTGCCTACAGGCGAAAGGCGCATTGCTGACTCCCAAACAGACCAAGTCAATGTCGTATGCCGTTGTGATGCGTCGTCCTAAACAAAGACGACATAGTGTAATCATGTTCATGCAAGCGATAGCTCATAGCAATCTCCGCATGTTCCTGTTTCGATTTCCATACAATTCCTAGCTCTCTCTGCGTGTGCATGTTGTAGCTGAGAACCACAACTAGATCAAATGCTGGAGAAGGCTGTGTTTGCGGAATGGAAGGGATTCGAGACTGTATGCGTCCTTGGAACAGTAGCTTGACTATTGCATGATTCTCGCTATGGAACTTCGTGGTATTGGAACAGACCCAAATGAGTGGTGCGTATTCATAACGGTCACTTGAGGTAGAATGATTAGCTCTTTGGATAGAGATGAACGCATTCCCATTACACTTTTCGTGATAGCTGAGGCCCAGCGTCACTATCCTTTTCAGCCTCGGTATTGACGATGTCGATTAGGAAGTGGTGCACCGAAAGTCGTTTCCAGACCAAGAATGCCACGCGACTCAATACGGCTTTGCCGACATTGTCCGTCACAAGCACTTTACAATGTGTTCAGTCCATCGAATTGGCCTTACGCGCTCGGTTGGTCCATCAATGACTACTTCTGGTGAACGCGGAGTGATCCGATTGTAAATAGGGAAGCCGGAAAAATAACCTGAAAGACGTCTCTTGTTCACAAAGCCTCTTGTTCGTCGCGCCAGTGAGCCAGTTGGTGGCCACTGCTCGGATATTGGCACTTGTGGTGGTTTTCGATGATAACTCGTTCCCATGAGAAATGGTCCGAAAGTCGCGTAGCAATAACAAGAGCTGTACATGCTGTGCTTCGCTTCTCCAGATCTCATTGATGCACCACCTCCTACTCAATGAACTGTTTGTTAGAAAGCTGGCATCCGAATTGAACGTGGCGTTTGTTATGCTTGTCAGAACTTGTAGATGACATCGCATGGCTGAGTAGTCCTCGTCGACTGTATACCAAATTGGAACGCCTCTCAATGTGTCTAGGTGATCATATTGTGATGGGTAGTTCAACCGCGCGCAAGATTGCGAACCGTTATGACTACCTAGGTATAGACGACACGGTAGTTGCCGACTTAATTTTCGGATCTGACACTCGCCTTTGCAAATGGAGGACTATTAGCCCTACAGCATACCCCCTCACGAGTTTGGCCCCCAAAGATAGTCCATGCTTACTATATGGTTCCTGGTGGCTGAAATTGCGTGATCGCAGGTGTTGCCTTCTTCTGGTCTTTGCACGGTACTTTGAATTCCTCGTTGCCTAATCAACCCCACATTTGTCAGATCCCTGCATCAACACCAAAACGACTCTCACCTTCGATATGTGGGTAATTCTAGTCTTTAGCAATACGTGGTACGGAGTCATCGATGCAGGTTATCATATGAAGAGATGGAGCACCAATTCTTTGATCGCCATAGCCAAATGTTTCCTTCTCTCACCCCTGTTGTGCGTCGTGCTACGATAGCCTGCTCCCACAAGGCATATGCGCCAATCTGGTAAAAGCAAGTAAGTTGTACAGCGCCTACAAGCCGTTTCCGGAGTTGTTTATAGTTGTTTCTCTATTGCTTCCAGTGAATATTCTATGTCTCTCGATTGCCTTCTCGCCGATACGCTTGGGTGTCGAGTCAATCGTGAGGTAGAGACTCGCTCGCTTGTGATTGTGGTGATCCATGTGAGTCAAGATCTGATCGGTGCCTGAGACAATGAACAAATAGACGCCATTTCCAGAACATGATGTCTCAAGTGCATGCAACGGTGAATGCGTGTTCGCGTCCATCCGGTGATGTTGTTCGGTTCCCAGTTATCGTTTAAGTCCTCCGTACCTGGTCACATCTCATGTGGCTGCCCGATAAACAAGGCAAATAGACCGGAAGTTCAGATTACGCGTGATAGATTGGGATGTCAGCAGGTGGTGTTACATGGCCTTGTGGAACGGACAGCTGCGCGGCTGTTGTGCTAGGCATGACTTACCAGTGGGAGACTAAGATGGGTTACTATTGTTGAAGGCTTACAAGTGGCCAAATCGACATGCATAAGCAGCCTGGTTGTAATTGTGCAATGGTTTGCATCGCCTTGTCTGCGTATCCAAACGTACTTGTTACCCCAAGTTTCAGTCAGCCTTTCGAAACTCGCCCTGATTTCGCAACCGAGCTATCGCAACCTTGTGCATCGAAGTCGATCTCTACACAGGCTGCTACACAACGCATGATCTACTAGTGAATATCAGTCATGCTTCCGCGGATCATAGAGCAATCGGTATCATGGATTGCCGCTTCCGGCAGGATGACACTTACGACACCCCCGCTCGTACTGCATGACAGCGTTCTGTGTCGTGCGTGTGCTTCCGCGAGATTGGCGCAGTATCGTGCAGCCCGGCTGCCGAACCCAGTGAAGCTGTACATTCTGCTTAAGCTGGCCATCTCGTCTAAGAAGAGTGTTTGCTATAACATGACTACTCAAGTTCAGGCTTACAGTTTGCGTCAAACAGTCATGACTGTTTTCGATACTTGTGAAGCCTAGCTATCGTCTTTGACGTTTAGATCAAGCACGAACTGTTGAGCTCATACACTTGTTATAATCAGACTGCGAATGCTTAAGGCCGGTTCGGTATTGAGAAGTTATGGCCCCTTATCTTTTGCTGTCTCAAGCTGATCCTTGCGCGCATATCAAGCATTGCTGTTCTGAATTATGCAAGCATCTCTAAAGGGCGATAGATCTTCAGCGCCGTACCAAGCACGTAGAATTAGGGCAACCATTGCCAACAGTCAACATACCATGCTCACGCTGAAACTACAGAGATCTTTCGAGTCGTCGTATTTTCGGTATCTCTGGTGATACGATATTCATCTTGCGCGTCGCCGTATTCGTGCCGCGGATTTGTTCAGTCGATAAGATTCATAGTCTCAAATCCGTTTACAAATCGAAGTGAGAAACCTTCTAGACAGGTGCTGGACACGATACTGACCCTAAAATTCTGGCTCAGGCGGCCACGAGTTCTTATAGCAACAATAAGATATTCCGGCGCGTGAAATCGAATCAGAACATCGATACTTCCAAACAACACCGAGTGTTGAGCGGATAGATAACCACCGCGAAGATTGTATTTTTGAGCTCCTCTCCTGATAGCGGATGGAGAGTCAGGTTCTGTTCGCTTCATATCCTCGTTAGGTCGGGCCCAAACACATGACGGGACCATTTGTATCTCGATTACTATACTCTCAGTCCCAAGGTTAGTGTTTCGAGGACTTTGTCTTAACTCCACCTCTCCAGGTCCTTCACCGGTCGAGTATGAGGCTGCACAGGCGCAGAGATAAAGGCTCAACTTACTGAATGATCTATCCCGCCTGAAATGCCTTGCTCAATGTTTGTGATACATCGAATCACATATATTCAGTACAGCACTAGTTGTTCAGTGTTGTTGCGACATCTTGCTTCACAGTGCCAACACGTGGTCCCATTTGAGCGCAAGAGAACTGTTTTCCAAAAGAGGGTCTCGTCTTTGGCAATACAGAGCCCAAGGAGCTACGTTGAAACGTTTGTGTGGTCGCGAGCGTTGGGCATCAGTGTGACACGTACGGTTTTCTAGCGCCCCTGGTCTTGTGCTGGCATCACCGAAAATGGCGTGCATCTTCTAGTGGAATGGATACTACCACTTCTCTGCACACTGCAATGGAATGTAGTACCTATGCATCGGAGGGAATGTATGGTAGAGACGGATACATTTTGTTGGCCTCATTTAATAGGATTTTGGCAATCGTCCAGTCGCATTAACCGGGCAGTGATTCGCCCCATCAGAGAGGTACTTGAACCCTGCTTCGATTAACACGCTACATTGTCATGCCGTTAGCAATTCAAGATGTATGCTATCCAAGGGTAGTTTGATGCGGGAAGCCCTTCGGATTCAAGGTTGGGGACTTGAAACGAACGCTGTCGCAGCATTGATACTTGTCGGGGCTGTGTATCTATTCTCAGCGATGTCGAAGGTTCCTTTGTAGTGGTGTAATCATAAACTGTGGAGGTACGCTACCACTGAAGTAAGCTTGAGGAGTTACCAGATTGGTGAAGACAGACTGCAGACCCCGAAAAGCTCATGAGCTGTGCGCTCGATCATTCAGTGAGCTGAGCCTAGCGGTCAATCCATTTGTTTATCAGTACTGCTTGCCACAGCAACGTCGCATTACTGTAGTCTGCGGATGTTGCTTTATGACTTGCGCTGAGTGAAAGTCGCAAGACGCATTTAGAGCGCTCGTCGGGCCTGAGAAACAAATAGTGTGGCCACCAATAAGGCCGAGGAGGACTCATTTTGAAGGATCGCATGGCTATCATGGCGTTAGTATTCACCAACCACACGACCGTGGACTCGATATTAACGCATGCGGAATGAGGTGAACACCATTGCGTCTAGTTCAGCGAAAGCAAAAATCGTGGGCTGAAATTTAGCGGCAAAGCAGGATATGAGCTAAGATGTTTGCCTACTCTGACCTTATAAAATAGCGAGCATGCGAAACATGTACACCCAGGTCTCAGCTGGGCAAGTGCTCTTGGTCCTTCCGAACACTTGCATGGTTTGGTGTGGGTGGCCTCCACATACTGCGTGCTTGGCGCCTGGTTGCCTAGTTGCCTGCTCGCAATTCTGCGGATCCATCTGCCTGCTCTCAAGCAGAGCCTCTTAACTACGGTGATCCACCACTTATGCTCTTGCTTTCCATGCTTGCTACGCACTTCATAGCTTTCTCGTATCATTTCAGTCCCCACAGCCGTAACGCCGCCGCCTTAGTCTTCACACAAGCTGCGTCAGTGCAAAGGTGAAGCACATTCCACAATCTGCGCACTTGCACTTTCGGCCCCCAAACTTGTACTCAGTATCGGTCAGATCTATGTGCGATATCGCGCAATAACAAGTCCTACGATACATCGCGTGGAATCCAGAGTCGAAAGATTCTTGCCACGCCAAACCTGAGTGCGCGGCGCAAGACGGGAATGTGGGGATCTGCACAACCAATCAATAATTCTTCTGCGTCTTTCCTGCCAAATACTTGGCGCATACGACATACCGAGCACGAAAGAGAGATTTGCACCTGAAAATCGTCGTTACATGATGGATACTGGTGAATTCGTGCAATCGAAATTTGCTCAGGCGCTCAAAACCCAGAGCACAGTCACAAGGTCCCATCCCTGTCCTTATCCAGGACACGAAGGCCGGATTTTCCCGAACGCTGAACAGCTATATGACCATGGAAGGATAGATCATCGTGTCGATTTTGAGGGCTTGAACTCGAGACAGGCACGAGATAAGTTTCGCGAGCTGAGTGTAAAGTTCAGGTCAGTTTGGACAGATTTACGATACACGACACTTACTGGATCAACGGTTAACATGGTTAGGAGGTCGGATCACTCGTCAGCTGCAACTGCGGGAGATCGGTCAGCACCTGATATTGGAGGTCTTACTATAGATTCAGGAAAGAACTCCCGACAAAACTCACCACCGTCTGGTAGGAAACGACCGGCAGAGCATGAGTTTACTAGTCCGAGGGGAAAGGGTCCCTCTCATGTGGAGATAGTCGATTCGGAATACTCGAGACAGATTCCTCATACTGTTGTATCGGATCGGACACGACCGAAACCACATGATGCACGCCTCTTTGACCCAAAGCAGAGCACTAAAGGTACTTCATCTCCGTACCAGACGACGCCCGAGCCCTCCAGCGAATGGTCAATGGAAGCTACGAAGAGCAATCAATTACAATCGTCGCAACCTCAATCCCCTGCTCATTCAACACAACGATCTATTCCTAAACCTCAACAATCTCAACGCCAACCAGGCCTTATTGAGCTCCAGCGCTATGATCCCCGGTATCCAGGTCTGTTGTTGCAGCCAGATAGTAGGCCTATCTCTCAAGAGCAACTTGCATCTGAAGTGAAATCAATCTATGCGGGACTAACTATGGTGGAGACTAAGTGTATACACGTTGATCGTGCGCAAGCTGCAGCTGCGCAAGACAGCGACACCAAGCTTGCATCTGATCATTGGCAGGCTTTAATCGCTCTTCATCGCACTCTTCTACACGAGCATCACGACTTCTTTCTAGCAAGTCAACACCCTTCTGCATCGCCAGCTCTTCGGCGGCTTGCGGCTAAGTATTCCATGCCTGCGCGCATGTGGAAGCATGGGATTCATTCTTTTTTGGAGTTACTTCGGAGGCGTCTTCCTGACAGTATCGATTATATGCTGGCGTTCATATATTTGGCGTACCAGATGATGGCGTTGTTATACGAAACCGTTCCAGCTTTCGAAGACACATGGATCGAATGTCTTGGAGATCTTGGACGCTACCGGATGGCTATCGAAGACGAGGACATCCGCGACCGTGAGACCTGGGCAGGAGTTGCACGCTCCTGGTATACTAAGGCTGCTGATAAGAATCCTACTGTGGGCCGATTGTATCACCATTTGGCTATCCTGGCACGACCCAATGCACTGCAACAAATGTATTACTACTCCAGGTCTTTGACTTGCGTAAAACCATTCCAGAGCGCACGGGAATCGATCTTAACTCTGTTAGACCCGATTCTTGGTCGTGCAGGCGCAACTCTTACGCATGCTCTAGCGATCGATACCAGCTTCATCAAAGCACACGGTCTGCTTTTCGAAAAGTCTACAGTAACGGAGTCCAAAGGTCAGGACGAGTTCCTCAAGGCAAAGGAAGAGTTCATCGGAAATTTGGACAATCACATCGGGCGTGTGACAGCGAAGTGGAAGGAGCAGGGTGTATACATTGCAGTGACCAACATCGCCAGTTGGTTTGAATATGGGCTGAACGAGAACATTCTTCGCCAGGCTTCCCTTCATCCGATCAACTTGAAGGCACAGGACCCCTCTCAAAACGCTGTTGAAGAGAAGATCCGGAGTGCATCCTCAGCTGACCAACAGAACCCAACAAAACCGATACTAAGTGAGGAAGATATCTCGGAGGCGCTGAAAGGAGATGAGGCACACGGGATAAAGCCATGGGCAATGCGTGGCACGATTCCCAACGCCAAACTAATCACTCACGAGACTTTTGCTCTCGTCCTTCGCCGCATTGGCGACAAGAACGTGCTTCCTCACGTACACATTATGCTCGCTTTTCTTTCCAGCTTCGCTTCTAGTAAATACGTTTCCGATCTCATTCAAGATGCACCTTGGACTGAACTCGTTGCTTTTCTGAATACGTTGGTCAAGACTGAGAACCAGATACAAAGTCAGTCGCAAACGCAAACACCAAACATCAATGATTTGTTGGCCTCAAATGTGTTCCCTGGAGAGGGGGAAAGGGGCGACGAGCTGCCGCTGCCGGAAGATTACCTCGTGCGAGGCTTGATCTGGGCGGATGATTACTTTCCTAAGAAATGGTTCGAAAGGGAGCACGATGAGGAAGAGCGATACCTGGAATTAGCAAGTACAGTGAAGAACCGTATGGAGAGGGTATTGAGGCTTGGTTATTCTATTGCGAAGGCAAGTATTTATAAAATGCTATTGCGCTCTTTCGCTCTAACTGCCGTCTAGCACCAAACTTGGATCACATACGACAAAGACTCGCATACATTCTCTGTCAGTTGACAATGACGCTAGGCGCCAGACGCCTTGAAACAACATACCTATTACATTTAATTTCACGCAAAATGTGGTAGCCATCTATTCATCATTCGAAGCGACCCTGTCACTCTCTCCACGTTACATTTTTATCACTATGGGTAACGCGAGTCTGTTGTTGGCAATACATTGATGGCTGTTCGCCTTTTCATTGCACTAATCCCCTCAAGCGTGGAGAGAAATTGGATTCCTGGTTGAGAATTCCACTCCCTCTATGACCACACGGATAGTCGTGTCGCGGAACATCTGGTAAGAAGTAACCGACCACTCTTCTGGGAAGGATAAGAAATGGGTAACATCTGTTTGCTATCATTACTATACGTTCACTATTGAGTATCTCATGGTCCGGCACACCAGCATTGGCAAAAAACAGGAGGAAAGGATAGTGCTGGGCCATGGTCGTTTGCAACCGAATTACGTAAAGCACACAATACATCTTATACGTCCACACGCTGCATATCGCTTTAGACTCAATGGAACACTCATCATGCCTATGGAGTGGTCTAACAAAGCTCCATGTTAGTCACACCTTCCTGGGCCCATGAACAGATCTGCAACGGCACCGCCTGTCTCACCCTCTCGTCGGGGTACGAAAACAGCTTCATCAAGACATCGCCCGTGAGGAAGACATCATATAGATCAGGTGAACTACCCCACCCAAGATTGATGTCGTCCTTGGAGGTTCCAGGATCTCCGGGTTGAAAGTGCACGACATCGTAACCAGTGGTATCACCCCATCGCTTGACCTCGTACTTTCCATGCTTGTTCTTGTAAACATGCACGTGGCCATCTTGAATATTGTAGCAAAGAGACTTGACGCAAAAGGTTGTCTGGACCTTCTCGTCAAAAGGCGGAGGCATCCTTGTGGCACATGCTGAACAAGCATCGTACCAGTCTTTTATTTTGTCACCCATAACAGATTCTGTACGAACTGGCTTCATGGGAAGTCTGAAGACTGGGGTTGTATCCGATCTGTTGCCACGGCCTTTTGCGTCAGGAACATGGTAGCAGTCTAACATATCGACCATATAAAACCATGCACAAATGCACATCCTTGTTCTGTAGAGGTTCATGACTTGATACAAAAGTTCTGATCTCGAAGTGCGATAGTCTACTTTGATACTTGACGCGTCTGAAGCAAGGGAAAGAAGCGAGTAGACTCTGTCGTAAACGTAGCAGCTTTGCCGACCGGGTAGGCGAGTGAACCAGCTGATGAGTTTCGATTCGCTGGGCTTTCTTTGTTCGCCTATGGAACACATGTAATACCAGAAGACACGAGTCTTGACGTCAAAGTTCTTAGGATGGATCGTTGCATTGCCTTTAAGGTCGTTGAAGTACTCAAGTTGTCCGACGGCACATCCGGAAATCTGCTCGAAAGTGACTTCCAGGTTGTTGACAAGGAACTTGACATTTTGAGCGAGCAAGATCTCTTGTGTGATCCACGCGCGGGTCCAGTATCGGTCTTCGAGAACCGCGAACCAATCTCTCTTAAGTTGACCATTGGTCTCATTGTTCCGTTGGAGCCATCTCTTTTCCTGATCATTCTGCATGTCCCATGCTCCATATCTAGGATCCATGCTCAAATCAAGTGCAAATGTAAATGCTCTTTCTATACTTTGACTGAGCCCAAGCCAAGAGATTACTTCAACAGAATTTGCGTAAATAGAACCCATCTGTGCTACCTGGTGATTCCTTTCATAAACGGAGTCCTGGTCGATACACAGAGCGTCGATCCAGAGAATTCGTGGGGAATATGCGTATTTTAATCGAGCGACTTGCATGAACTCGAAAAGATTTTCTCGTATCGACAGAAGCCTGTCGTTGACCAGGATCTGCCGTTGTAACTTCTCCGGACCCCAGACATAGGAAAGACAGGTGTAGCTTGCCTTAACGCTGTCATGCCACATTTCACATTGAATGTGTCCGTCATTCGAAAGGTTTGGAAGGATCCTGAGTAGTCTAATAACATTTCTCCTGTAGTCGAGCGGTTCGTGTTGAAAGGATGTGGTGCGGGATGCACCTGAAGCATTTCGTGGGTTTGTGGCTACCATGGCTTTTGCGAAGCAGGCGGGAATGAAGTTCGTTTGAGAAGTTTTGGAATGCTAGACACAACACCACAGTCAACTCCAGATATCTATGACTTCTACTGGCGCGTCTATGTCGGGCTGATCAACGTAATCTGTATCGCGCGCGTACTGCCACGAGCCAAGGGGTCTTCGAAGGTCTAATAATACAACAACCAAATCGGGATTGAGGCTCGTTATTGGTCACACCATTTCTGATCTACTTCGCTGTGTTATCTGTGTATCATCAAGCGTCGGGAAGCTTGCTACGCGCTCTATCAGATTTTCAATTCCGGCGCTTAGCAATCGAGTTCTCGGGTCGTGTCAGATACGAGCGCGTCAAAGGCTTGAGCAGAAAGTGCGGCATGACTGCTATAATCGGGCACACACAACCAGAAGCTCACGCATATCTCATAAGTCGATATGCGCAGCAAAGTCTTCGCGAAATTAGGTTGCACGATAATTGTGAGGTTCATTTCAGGAATGAACGCTAGCGCAACGCATCCTACAGCGACCCCACAAATTACTATATGCGGAGTCACACGTGATTACAATAGGCTTCACGTCTGGCAGCCGTCCATGCCTCGAAACATGTTCAGGCTTACATATGGTAATGTTGGTCGTAATTGACGGTACACCTACCAAAGACATGCACATGTAGAATCTCCATTATTCGAAGTGCATACCAGTTCTACTCTCCGCAATCCAACATACCTAAAGACCTTGAGTCCCTAAGTATCGAACCATCCGTCTTTCCCACGCTCCTTGCCTACGCTTACCATAACTTCCGTTACACAAAAATTTTCAAGACGTTGATCAAGAGATCATGCTTGCTTTACTGATATTGCGGGATAGAAAGGATATCATTCGACGGGATTAGCGAACAGGTCGGAAGTGTACTTTGAGTGATCATTCTGAGGAGCGAGATGAGCTTCGTCATGTTGAGCAATCTGAGATGGCAATAGTGGAAAAGAGATGTCGAGAATATTCCCTTGCTGTTCAACAGTAGTCGTATCATATCCCGCATCTCTGGGACTGTTCACTCGCGTCATTTCTTTTGCATCCTGACAGGGATCGCGACAGCCATATACTACTAGTCCTGCCTACGCGAAGATGGTGTGGGATACGCGTGCTCACCCCAACTCCCTGGTGGTTCGCGGTGTATCAGCATGTGCAATATACAAATCGCAACGAAGAGAAGGGCAAATGAGGATTGGTGTAGCGAATTGAAATGTGTTGGGCGGCTTGTTCGCATCGATAGGTGTTGAGTCGGAGAGGATCGGGATGTGTTGAGAATTGGCGTTGGCGGACCCTAATCGCTTAGCGCGAAAGCGGATCCCCGAGCTGGCGGAGCTGAGCAACTTTTCGAATCAACACCCTCAGCAGTCAACCTCACGGCATACCCACGCCTCTCCCCCCGCTCCTTCCCCTCACACCTCACAATGCTGTCCAGGACAATTAGGCGGAACATTGCGTCGCCCTTCCGACGCAATGTCGTCGCCCCCGCCGCGCGACCCGCCTTCAGCAGGTTCGTGACCACGGATGCGGCCTCATCGCACACCGACCCGGCCAACGTGCCATCGGTAAGACAACACCCAGAAATGCCGATAGAGTGGCTGTAGCCACGGGACAGATAATTGACCGTGTGCAGGAGGATGACAAGCCCTTCGAGATCCGCCTCTCCGACGAGGCCTTTGAGACGTACGAGCTCGACCCGCCGCCATACACAATGGAGGTTACCAAGAAGGAGTTGAAGAAGATGTACTACGACATGGTCGCCGTGCGGTATGAAACACCACAATTGCAGCATTTGGCTACAAGCACGGTCTAATATGGAACAGACGCATGGAAATGGCCGCCGACAGGCTCTACAAGGAGAAGAAGATCCGGGGTTTCTGCCATCTGTCCACCGGTCAGGAAGCCGTCGCCGTCGGTATCGAACACGCTATCGAGCGCGCCGACCATCTCATTACCGCCTACCGTTGCCACGGCTTCGCTCTGATGCGCGGCGCAACTGTCAAGTCCATCATCGGTGAACTCCTCGGCAGGAGAGAGGGTATCGCTTACGGAAAAGGTGGATCTATGCACATGTTCGCCCCCGGTTTCTACGGAGGTAACGGTATCGTCGGTGCCCAGGTTCCCGTCGGAGCTGGTATTGCCTTCGCATGCCAGTACGAGAACAAGAAGAACGTCACCCTTGCTCTCTACGGAGACGGTGCCTCCAACCAGGGTCAGGTCTTTGAGGCTTTCAACATGGCCAAGCTGTGGAACTTGCCCGTCATCTTCGGTTGCGAGAGTGCGTATACCCTTCAAAGGGGCATGCTGCCATTTTGCTAATACCCCTCAGACAACAAGTACGGTATGGGAACCGCTGCCAACCGCTCGTCTGCCCTCACCGACTACTACAAGCGTGGACAGTACATCCCTGGTCTGAAGATCAACGGTATGGATGTCCTCGCCGTCAAGGCCGCTGTCAAGTACGGAAAGGAGTACGCTGCTGCTGGCAAGGGTCCTCTCGTCTACGAATACGTCACCTACCGTTACGGAGGACACTCCATGTCCGACCCTGGAACCACTTACCGAGTGAGTCATACCGCAGTCCCGAATTTCAGAGTATATACTAACAAGCATTGGTAGACCCGTGAGGAGATTCAGCGCATGCGCAGCACCAACGACCCCATCGCCGGACTCAAGCAGAAGCTCCTTGACTGGGGTGTCACTTCCGAGGAGGAGCTCAAGTCCATCGACAAGCAAGCACGCTCCGAGGTCGACGAGGAGGTTGCCATCGCGGAGAAGATGGCCGTTCCCGAGGCCACTGGCAAGGTACTATACGAGGACATCTACGTTCGTGGCTCCGAGCCCGAGTTCCTGAGGGGACGTATCCCAGAGGAGAACTTTTACTACACTGAGCACGACATGGGCGGCGAGAAGAAGCCTGTCGCCAGGACTGCGTAAAGCTCTTCAGATACTCATGGGATTATGATTGAAGGGACAATTGGGTGACGAGAGGGATCTGTAATTCTAGGATTTAGAGGCTTCTACATGCGTGTATGCAGCTAGGGAGCGCGGTCTTGCATTGAATGACATTTCATGGAATCCACTCAGAGCCCTCGTACCTATAAAGCACACTAACGAAGATGTTCCATGCATCCCCAGTTGATATACCAAGCATCGAGTTGAGGTTTACAAAGATAGTCCAACTCGGTTATCTGTTTAGGCGTTTATGCATCATCACGATTAGCGCTCTGTGTGGTTGCAGTACCACTGATTAGAGTGAATTCTACGAAGTCATGGAAATCACAATTGAAATTGGCGCCAGTAGGGTATCTCTAACCACTGCTTTGTTAGTACCATCTCAAATGCCCACTATATGAACTGCCGGACATCTTCTACCGTTTCTTAAAAGGTTCTGGTTTGCACTTCAGCCCCAGATTGTGTCCGACCTCCACCTAATAATGCTCGTAATGACACCGCAATAAACTTCCTCTAATCTGCGCGTGCAAATCGACATTTTTTTGTCACTTGATGACATAGTCCTCGTCAAAGAAGCTGGGCTACTTATACCACATCCTAGAGTAGACCAAGTTGTACGTCGTGGTCCGCTATCCAACATGACCAGGAGTCAAAAATTGCCTCCCACTCCACCGATGTGGACAATGAACGTGGTATCGAAGGCTGCGCCCTCAAGAACCCCAGAGATGAGCCTAGAGAAGATCTCGCATGGATGGATTCTCAAATAAGTACAACTGGCAAAGACGAGCCACATTGCCAGGTAGTGCTCGAAACGCATTACAGCCTAACAATAGATTCAAAAGCTACTGATCACTGGCACGACAGGAGCTGTGTGTTTGTCAATTTCGTCACAGGATTGCAGCAAACGTAACATCAGCTTTCCTCCTTGATTGGGCTTTGCGTGTCCGGACACACACTATAGCTGCATTCCCCAGGACGAGCAGACAGGGAAACTTGTAAGTGCAAAGTAGAAAGGGAATTCTAGTCTTGGGGCGGGAATAAACAAGATAAGAGTCAAGACGTCAGCAGTAGAGCCATGCGAAGTTCAGGCGGTTGTTGAAAGGAAAAAAAGTCACGAGGATGGGCGTATCGCCCAGATACATACCCAGACCGAGGAAGAGGTGGCAGACAACAACACAAGTGAAACTCGGGAGATGGTGCCAAAAAGCGCGTGTATCACGCGGCCTATGGAGACGAAGTCTCTAGGGTTCATAGCGAGACAGTCAGATCTCCAATCGTCCTTATGAGGCGGGTATATAGTAATTTTTCCATATGGTACACAATCGCTACATGTCTGCAATTCTCGAATCGTCATAGCTTCAAATCAGCCTATGATGCGGGAGGATCGATGTGTTGTGTCTGGCCAGCGAAGAACTCCTTTTGTGCCAAACACCTCTCACTCGTGCACTTTGGACATCTGAGAATCATCTGCGGGCTACACGCCTGCCCGCTCTGCAAGTGTGCCTTTGCGATGTCTGCGAGCGCCTCGATGAAAACAGGGCTATCGTTCAAGCTCTCGACGCGCTTGACACCCTCATGGCCCTCTGCGTCCTCACCAATGACCTCCTTGTCCAGTTCGTATAGCGTCTCGATGTGGTCGCTAGTGAAGGCAATGGGTACAAGGAGCATGTCTGTCTGGCCCTTCTTCATGTACTCTTTGACAGTGTCTGAAGTCTGCGCTCCAAGCCAAGGTTGAGGGCCGACCTGCGATTGCCATACAAGGCGGTATTTGTGCTTCATGCCGAGGCGCTGCATCACGGCGTATACAGTCGCTGCGACTTCGGAGGGGTATGGGTCACCGCGGTTGACAACAGTCATGGGGAGACTGTGGGCAGAGAAGAGGATGACAACGCCGTCTCGTCGCTCAGCTGGGTATTCCGCGAGCTTCTTTTCGATGTTCTGAGCGAAGGCTTCTACTAAGCCTGGGTGTGCCGGCCAGCGGTCAATAACACTCCATTTGATGGCACCTTCAGGCTCGACTTCTTGACCAGTTTCTCCATTTGCGCGCTTGCCTTCCAGCCTCGTCCTCCATTTCCAGAGTTCGTTCAACGAGGAGCCGGTAGTTGAGCAGGAGTACTGGGGGTATTGTGTGAAAGCGACAGCACGGCCACCCTTGCCTGCTCCAAAACCGTCTGCTATCAATTGCTTGTATGTGTCTTCGGTAAGAGGGTTCGCATAACGGAAAGCAACGTAGGGCTTGTGGGGAGCGGTCTCGGGTGAGGTCTTGTCGAGGATCTTGCACATTTCTGCGGCCTGGTGTTCAGACCATCTCCTGATTGGTGATCCACCACCAATCTCAGCATATTGCTTTTGAATCTTGGGTGTTCGTCTCCGTGCAATATAGGGTCCAATGTAGTTCTGGAGGGGTCCAAGGGGAATCAGGTCTTTGTCGGCCTACAATCCGTCAGCCGAGTATCTATGATGCGTTCCAACCAAGTTACGCACGAACAACATGCTCAGAAAGCCATGGACCTCGTCTGTTGTCGATGGCCCGCCCATGTTCATGAAGACCATAGCAGTAGGTCCCTTAGCGCCAGGTGTTACTTGGGTAGGGGCAACTGTCGCATTGCCTCTCCGCCATTGTGCGCTGTATGATGAGAGGACAGATGTGGCGGGCGTAATGGAAGTGGCACGCTTTGCGGCGCGCTGGCAAGATATGCGAAGTGCCATTGTGAAGTTTGCGACGAGAAAGAAAGTGTCCCCTCGAAGTCAAGTATAGAGGAGAAGATGCCGAGGCCAGAACTACAGCATGAATAATGTTCAGACCAGCAAGCGGCGTGAAAGCTCTGACCAATGGCGGCAGGCCCGTTGGCAGTTGATGACGATCGTGGCTGGCGATCGGACGCTAGGAGTTGCCCCACGGCAGCCTAGCAAACACGTGCCTACGTGTTGGAGCTAGTGTCGCGTTCTCACCCTGCTGCCTACCATGCTACGTCGTTGTCCCGCGCGCCGCAGCGACTTATGATTGCCTGCCTGGGCTACTTGGTCCCATAATCCCTAGAAGTCTCCGAAGCCCAATGCTAATCACACTGTCGCCCCATTGAGCTTTTACCCTTCTACTACAACAGCCAAACGCGACTGTCGCACCATGGCGGCACCACAAGACAATCGGCCAGGCGAAGAGGAAGAGGAAGAGGAGGAGATTGACGAGTCTGTACGTCCAATGCGGCTTCTGTACTCAGTGGTGTTACTAACGATACATAGAGTTACAAGACAATCAAAGATGCCGTCCTCTTCGCCATCGACGTTAGCCCAACTATGCTTGAGAAACCCCCCAAATCAGAAGATAAGAAAGCTGAGCGCGATTCGCCGACGTCTGCTGCTCTGAAATGCGCCTATCAATTAATGCAGCAACGAATCATCTCAAATCCAAACGACATGATGGGTATACTATTATTTGGCACTGAGACGACAGACTTGAAGGACGGTGACAACACGTTTCAAAACTGCTATCTCCTTGCAGACCTTGACGTGCCATCAGCTCAGGATGTCAAGAGGCTCAGAGATATGGTGGAGAATGAAGAAGAGGCCGAAGAGATACTGAAGCCAACCAAGGATGGTGCCAGCATGGCAACCGTGCTGTTCTGTGCAAACCAAATCTTCACTACAAAAGCGCCCAACTTTTCGTCTAGACGATTGTTCCTAGTGACAGACAACGACTACCCAGTCAAGGTAAAAGCAGACAAGGACACAGCAGTCACACGGGCTCGCGACTTATACGATCTTGGTTGTACTATCGACCTATTCCCCATATCGCAACCAGACCATACCTTCGATCGATCGCGTTTCTATGATGACCTCGTGTACCCAACATCACCATCCGATCCTGACGCGCCCGTTGCCATACCGTCGACTACCAAAGTTGCGAAGAGTGGCGAAGGCATATCTCTTCTCAAGCAACTCATCTCTTCCATCAATTCCAAAGCTGCACCCCGCCGCGCTCTATTCTCATTACCCATGGAGCTTGGTCCCGATCTCCGTATTGGTGTAAAGGGATACATCCTTATCAAACGTCAGGAACATGTCAAGTCTTGCTACGTATGGGTTGGCGGTGAAAAGCCGCAGATCGCGGTGTCTACAACCACACAGATGGCAAACGAATCAGCCCGGGCCATTGAGAAGACCGAGCTGCGGAAAGCGTACAAGTTTGGCGGCGATGCAATCACCTTCACGCCCGAAGAGATCACACAAATACGGCAATGTTTTGGTGAGCCTGTAATTCGGATCATTGGCTTCAAGCCCATTTCCAGCGTTCCTATCTGGACTAACACGAACAAATCAACTTTCATCTACCCCTCAGAAGCAGATTACATTGGTTCAACCCGTGTCTTCTCAGCCTTACAGCAAAAATTGCTAAAGTCTCAGAAGATGGGCTTAGTATGGTTCATTCCGCGCCGCAACGCTGCACCCACGCTTGCAGCCCTCATCCCCAGCGAAGAGAGGATAAATGAAGAAGGCGAGCAATTAATGCCACCGGGACTTTGGCTCGTACCCCTCCCCTTCGCAGACGACATTCGGCAATTTCCAACGCCACCGGAGCAACCACTCAAGACCACAGATGCGCTGACCGACAAGATGCGCCTCATCATCGAGCAACTTCAACTACCCAAAGGCATATACGATCCTTCCAGATACCCTAACCCAGATTTGCAATGGTTCTACCGCATCTTACAAGCGCTGGCCCTCGAAGAAGAACTACCGGTCCACCCCGAAGACAAAACCATTCCTCGTTACAAGCAAATTGACAAGCGGTGTGGTGAGTACATTGAAGACTATGGTAAAGAATTTGAAGAAGCATACGCACAACAGCAAAAGTCCGCGCTAGCTCATCGCACTAAGCCTACAGCAAAGAAACGCCCGGGTGGCGGTGCAGATGGTGAGGATAAGCCAGCCGCTAAGAGAGTCAAGAAAGAACCAATGGTCAAAGCTGAAGACGGTGGGGAAGAAGAAGATGGTATGACTGATCAGCAAATGGCGGATCTGAACAACAGTGGAAAAATCAGCAAGCAAACAGTTGCTGTGCTGAAGCAATGGCTCAGCGCAAGGGGTCAGAGCATTGGGGGTAAGAAAGCAGAGCTTCTGGAGAGAGTGCAGGAGTATCTCGAGGGCAAGGGTCTGTGAAGTGCTTTCGTTACAAGGCTATACGATGGTCAAGCAAGGCGTTCTTGTGTATCGGAATTACCTTATACTACGTTCAAGTCATCGCGACATCTATAAGGGAATCAATTCTATCGGTCTGGTGCGATGACCACAGCGTCGTGCTATTATAGTACACATGATATTTTCGTACTTGAGACGACGCGAATCTCTTCTGAAGTCGCAGTGATACACTTTCATGGTGCCCATGCCCAGGCAATTCATGAAACCATCCATGTATATGGGGTATCACATCATCCTTACTACCAATGTTGTCGACTAACCTTCGCCACCACTGGCATTCTCATCTTCAGAGTCTTCTTCGTACTTTTGTTGTGCAGACTTGTCTTCACGCTTCCTCTTTGTGGCTTCGATGCCACCGGAGGTCAAGTAGAGAAATTGTGGATCTTTGTAGTTGTCCAAATGCGTGAAAAACGTGTTGAACCTATCCATAGTTAGAAGCTATCCATAGTGACTTGGACCAGAATAATACTCACTGATTGCCCTCTGCCTCTTCACGGAAGATACGCTGATAAATCTCCTTTTCTTTGAAGGCCTCAATCTTGTCGTTGTACCTCTCGAAATCAATGGGATCGCGTCCATGCTGCTTAGCTGACTTTGCGTTGTACGACTCAAACACGGGTCTCTCGAGCAACAAGCCCAGGCCGGGAGCCTTGGGTATCCGGACAACCTCGTTACCGAAGCTCTTGTCCATGATTGCGGGGTCGGTACCGCATCGTACCGTTAACGCAGCCATACCAACCATCTTACGGATCTGGTGCATCATAAAACTCTGACCGTGTACCTTCAAACTCAACCACTCGGTATCGTTGATGATGATAGGCTTAGGTGCGACTTTAAAGCTCTTGATATAGCGCTGGGCGGACTTGTCGTTGAATTTCTTGTGCACTGTGTAGTTGTGGTAGCGGTGGGTTCCGAGGTAATTGTCGAGTGCAGCTTGGACTCGGGCTTGTCGCTCGGGAGAGATGCGGTAAGCCTTCTTCACGTCTAGATACGCCCTCTTTAGGGCTTTGATGGCTTCTTCGAGGACGGGTTGGTTGACGACACCTTCAGGGAGAGGACGGGAACCGTCCGTGGAGCTGTCGAGAGTAATGCTAGGTTCGTTTTGTTGTATCGTATCGATGGCTTCTTTGACTTCATTTGCGGTCTGTTCGCTAGGAGTAACGTCGCCTCCGTCCGCCATCGCGGTATCCGCGGACTTCTCTTCCTTGGCTTTGCGCTCGATATGCTCGATGGAGGCATCGACTAAGCGATCTCCGCCAGGCGGCGAATCAATCGCATCGACGTTGTAAAGTGCTTCTAGCACCAGTGGTCGTATTGAGTCGTCAAGTGAGTCCAAGATGGGTTTAATGTGTTTCTCCTCTACCTCAGGCCAGAAATTGGCGACCTCGGCCTGTCTCTTCCGATAGCCCTCAACATCGTTCTCTTTCTCTGCGTACTCTTCTAACTTCTTTCCTAAGTAGCTCGAAGGATGCGGCGGGAGGAATGAGTGTGTCGGAATCAAGTATTCGTACCATCGAGAATCGCATGCTTGGTAACAGCTGAATGAACCGATAGTTCGTTGGATACCCCAAACCCTGATCTGGTCAGGTAGATGACTGTTGATCTTATCAACGATGTCTTCCTCTTCGATGATCAACTTCAACGATACTATATTGCCGGCAGCATGAACGCCCTTATCGGTACGGGCGCAACGGACGAGAGACGATTTCTTGGGGTCTGATGCGTTTGCCTTGGATATGGCACCGGCTGCGACAAAAGCGTTGAATAGGTCGCCTTCGATGGTCTTTTGTTTGTAGTCGATCTGCATGCCCTTGTAGCCAGTGCCTGAGTAGCCAATCATGACTGCGACTTTGCGTTTCGGCCTGCGCTCTTCTGCCTCAACCTCCTCGGCAGGGAAGGCAGCAGGAAGAGCTGGCCTATCTTCGCCCTTCTCTTCTTGCTCCTTATATTTGGCTTGTTGTTCGAGGTTGCGATCTCGTCGGTCTAATTGGGTAGAGCTTGCTTAGTTAGAGACGAGCATTGAATCGACCGGTAGCTGCTCACTGATGTTCCTTACGCCCCATATTTCTCTTCTTATTCGGACGGCTTCCATGCTGGTGCCGTCCACCACCTCCCCTCGAAGCATTTCTGCGATCTTTGTCGGCCCATTTGCGCTTCTTGTCGCCTCGGTCGCGATTTGACGAACTGTTGTCGTGGCGAGGACCTTCGTTGTCAGACATGGTCGCGAAAGGCGTGTGACCAGCTTCTTCAAGTATTCAAAGCTACGGGTCATGAGGCGGTAGGGTTACAAAGGATAGCTGTAGCTGCAAATGAAGGTAAATTGTGGGGTCGTGGTTTCCATTTTCTCGGAGCTGTAGGCTTGGCGCGGCAGGTACGCTTCACCGCCCGAGCCACCGCTTAGTGCTGGAACCATGGTTCAGTCGTGTCTGCCTGTTGTATCTTTAGTAATCTCACCTTTTCTCCTACAGCAGCACCCGATTGTCGCGTCAACTCGCGTGCGGACAGACATAACACAAAGTAGAAAAGGATGCGCCTCGCCTAATACGTACAAACCGATTTCGAGTCTCGCGCCCTGTCTGCGATCTAGTCTGGCGTATTCGAAGAAAGCCGTCCGCGCCCACCGCATCTCCTCAGCCGCCGTTCGAGCAAGACCTGAACGTAATTCTATACAACCGCGGCCATGGGCGCAGCAATGAAGGACTCTGTAGAGAAGAACGGAGGGGATCCTGTACAAGCAGTGAAGCAATTGTTAAGGACAGTAGTCCGTATGTTTTACGAGACGGAGCACATCGTCATCATGGACGCCCTCTGCTATCACGGCGCACTTCCCGTGGCCGACATGACCATCATTCTCGATGCAGGCAAGAACTCGAAACATGTTAGTAAGGTTGCGGGTAAGCTTAGGGAGGCCGGGCTGTGTTCTTCGTATACTCAGCATGTCCTGCGCCAGGGTGCAAACAAGGCATCAAGCAGAGAATTCTTCTACATCGACTGGCGCCGCGCCGTCGACTCGGTCAAGTACAAGATTCATAAGATTGACGAGGGCATCAAAAGGGACGCGAAACCCACGACCGAAAAACCCGAATTCAAATGCTTGCGATGCAAGTCCACATACACCACCATGCAGGCGCTTGACCATCCCGATGACAATCCTGGACCAGATGACAGTGGTTTCATTTGCGCCAGATGCGGCTTTCGACTGGACGAAATCGACCAGGACGTTCAAGCAGACGACGTCGACGATACTCCAGCCAAGTTCAACAAGCTGTTCGGACCGCTAATCGAGATGATGTCGAAAATCCAGGACATGGGTAATCTTCCCAATCTGGAACCACCAGACATCATCAGCGAGAGGATCGAGCTTCCTCGCGATAGGAATGTGGACCCTGGCACGCAGGTCGAGGTTATTGAAACTGTCTCCCGCCCGACTGCCGTCAAGGGCATCGATACGGGCCCGGAGAAGATCAACGTTCAGATCGGTTCGAGCGCGGAGGAGAACGAGAAACAACGAGCGGCAGACAGGGCGCGCCAGGAAAAGATGTCTTTGCAGAATCAGCTTCCTTCTTGGCACACCAAGTCGACTGTTATCAAAGACGCAGCAGGAAACACGACAAGTGTGAAGCGAGAAGCAGATGGAGTAGACACTCCCAGTATCAAAACCGAGCCAGGAGATAGCGTGGCCACTAATCAGAACCTCGATGCTGTCTTTGCCCAGATCGAGGCCGAGCGCCGCAGGAAGGAGCAGGAAGAGGACGATGACGAGGAGGATGAGGATGAGGATGAGTTTGAAGACGTTGACGTGGGTACACCCAGCGCTCTTCCGGATGCAAAACGTGTCAAGCTGGAATCGTCCGCTGCCCCTACGCCTTCGGCTGCTGCAACTCCAGCTGCAGCAACTCCAGCCGCGTCGAATGGTGGCGACGAGAGCGAAGAGGATGAATTCGAAGATGTAAACTGATTGATCACATAGCGCTGGCGTTTAGGTTTAGGTGGCGTTCAACTTTCGAAAGCATGCAGGGATCGGCTTTGGCTGCAGTCATGATCTTTCGGCATACAAGGAGGGAAGTGCATGATTTAGAGCATTGCGTACTCTGTAGAAAGCATTTTCAAAGCACAAAAAGGAGGTAGATTCAATGTACTAAAAGATATCGCTTGACAATTTTGCCATGGTATAAATCGTGCATCGATGGAGAGAACCACCTGCGGTAATCCCATGTGAATAGCCTGTCGCTTTGGATACCGAGCACTTTGTGCTGAATGACAATGCTCGTTAGCCGTCAGCCCTACTACGAATCCAAGCCATCGGAACTTAGGGTCTTAGGCGAGCTTGCACCATCCCACCTCAGATCCCCGCGTGCCTTCACCAAGACCTCCGCAATCTCCCCACCAGCGCCCATCGCTACTCTCTGAACGTCTGCGCCGCCTTCTGATGGGTGGAAGATAAAGCGCGAACCGACCATGGCCGCATCCACCAAATCACTCTCCTCGCTGCTTGCACAAGCTACCATCGACGACCACGACGAAGTGCTAAAGGCCACCAATGCGGCGCTCAAGAAATCCAAGGGCGATCTGGACGCGCAGCACACAAAAGCGATAGCATTGCTGCACTTGGACCGTTATGAGGATGCATTAGAGGTGTTTGAGGGGGCGCAAGAGTTGCAGGAGAAGGCGCGGTTCGAGTACGCATATGCGCTCTACAAGACTGGCAATGCAGCAAAGGCTGCGGAAGTGGCCACAGCCGCGGGTTCAGATGCAGGTCGGGGGATGAAGCACATGCTTGCTCAGGCCGTATGTACCGGAAGGCATCTGAAGCATGCGCATAGCTGACACCTGGCTGCCAGGCATACCGATCCGAGAACTTCGCGCAGGCCACCAGGATTTATAAGGAACTCGCAGACCAAAACGTCGAAAGCGAAGAGTACGATATCCGCATCAACTCGGGGGCTGTAGACGCGCAACTGGAATGGACTGGGCAAGGCGAGCTCGCGCAAAAGAAGCAGCCCACACGTGAAGATCTGGAAGTCTTCGAAACGGCCTTCAACGCGGCATGCGGCAGCATATCCCGCAATGAGTTTGGACAAGCCCAAGTGTGTCTCAAGCGCGCGAAGGATCTGTGCAATGCACTCTCGGACCTTAGCGAAGAAGAAAAACAGGCCGAGTTACTGCCAATTACTGTTCAGCAAGTCTATGTCCTGACGCAACTGGGCAAGATTGACGAGGCCGAGGAACTGGCCACCAAGATTCCTTTTGCAGAGTAAGACGTCCGTCACAAGCTTAGAATAGCCACTAACAACAGTAGCATCAAGGAACTCTCGACCCGCTACATTGCCCAGGTCAACAGCATCGCCGCCTCCAAAGAGCACTCAAACCCTTACCTCTCCCATCGTCTCTTCCACGCATCGCCGCAACCTCCCGTTACCGATCAGCATTTCTCCCACCAGTCCAACATTCTACGACAAGATGAATACGTTATGGCATTGCTGTCGCAGAAGGTCGCGGGCGTGGCATCTTCGACTGAGAAGGTCATCTCCGCGTCGCCTGCACCATCTCTGTCTCCTGCCGTCAACATGGCAGCAGTGTTGAATGCGGCAGCTCACGCAAGGAATGCAGACACCGAGAAAGCTGCATTGAAGGAGATCGTACCGTTGCTAGAAAAGAGGCCAGCTGATGTGGGTCTCATACTCACGATAACGCACTTGTACGTTATTACAAACAACTACGCCGCTGCGACACATTTGCTAGAATCGTTTTTCAAGCGATTGGAACAGAGTGGCTCAGCATCCGATTTAGACGTTCGTTTTGCACCAGGACTTATTGCTGCACTTGTGTCGCTATATGCACAGCAAGGTCGACCAGGCGCTTCCAAGAACGAGCTAGCAAAGGCAGCTGAGTACTGGCGGAAACCTCACAAGTCGAAAACGGAAGCGCCATCCAAGTCTCTGATGGTCGCTGCTGGCACAGCACTTCTCGACACTCATAACCCCGACAACGTCAAAACTGCAGGAGAGATCTTCCAGGGCTTGTATGACCAAGATAACGAAGACCGGGCTTCTATCGCTGGTCTTGTAGCTGCATATAGCATCACAGACCCATCATCAATACCTGCAGACCTCCTGGCTTACTTGCCAGAAGCCAATCGTCTAGTTTCTGATATCGACGCAGTTGAGCTTGAGAATGCAGGTGTTCCACTTGGTACCCTCACATCAGTTAACCTCGGAGCGGAGTCAAGGAAACGTAGCCTTGCGCCCAACAAGGAGGTACCGGCCAAGTCGAAGAGGTTGCGTAAGTCGAGAGTGCCAAAGGACTATGTCGAGGGTAAGAAGATGGACCCCGAACGATGGCTTCCAATGCGTGATAGGAGCTACTACCGTCCCAAGGGTAGGAAAGGAAAGAAAAGGGCAGAAGGCCTTACCCAGGGTGGTGTTGTGGAGAATGACAAGGGCACACCGGCCGCTCAAGAGAAGAAGGGCGGTGCAGACAAGGGAAAGAACAAGAAGAAGGGCAAGGGTGGTAAGTGGTGAAGAGTTCATTGTGAGCCCAACCAAGCCAAGCAGGTGCAGATAGATCCATGTTGTTATAACATCGAACATGATGCATCAAGCGCGAGTCATGTACGAATGCCCCACTTGCCACGTGCTTGTGCCTGGAATGTGTGAAGCTCCAAGCTACCCCGTCATCCCTTCAATCAACAATGAATGTGTCTCTTCGACTGCGCTTTTGGATCATCATTACTGAATGGACCATTTTCCAAATGCGTCGGACGAAAAGCGGATCGACTACCATGAAACTGCAATGGACACGTTACACCAGAGTGCGAAAACTGGAGACTAGAAGGAGCCGAGGTTCGCCGCGAACGTTTCTACACTAAGTAATCGACTCTATGCCAATTACTAAGTAGAACTAGCACGTCCTTACACGTCTCTTACGTCTAGGCCTATGATGTCCAGGATCTACGTGGAAGATTTGGGAGACCCCACCGCAGCTTCGAGACTGTTTAGCTTTGGTTGTACTTAAAGACAGGGTTGACCGCTTCTCGTCCCTGCTATACACACTTCTTCTCCATCACAAGCATCAACAATACATAGATATCACATCTACCAAATTACATAGAGAAGACAAGGATATAAAGAGCTATAGATATGCCAGGCCAACAGACACGCCAATGGGTTCTTGCCAACCCGCCGGTCAACGACCCCGTCATCGAGGGCAAGGACGCGACCTTTGAGCTCAAGACCGTCGACCTCCCAAGCCCAAGCGCTGACCAGGTCCTCATCAAGATACTCTACTTCTCAAATGACCCAGCGCAAAGAGGGTATGCTCAGCAGTAGATATATCTAGAGAAATTGAGCTAAATATCATGGCAGATGGATTCAGAAGGACATGGACCCTGAGCGCCTCTATGTTCCACCAGTAAACGAGGGCGACATCATGCGTTCCTTTGCCATCGCCGAGATCGTCGAATCTAGCACCGATAGCCTGCCCAAGGGTCAACTCGTCATGGGCACCTTCGGCTGGACCGAGTATGCTGTTGTCTCCGCCAAAGAGGTCCGCCCCATTCAAGCCGATGAGAGCGCCGGTATTCGTCCCACACACTTTGTTGGAGCACTTGGCGGAACTGGTCTAACCGCATACTACGGTCTCATCGACATTGCGCGTGCTACCGCCGCCGACACCGTCGTCGTTTCTGGAGCTGCGGGCGCTACTGGATCGATGGTCGTGCAACTCGCCAAGAACGTGCTCGGATGCAAACGCGTCATTGGTATCGCGGGTGGTGAAAAGAAGTGCCGCTGGGTCGAGAGTCTCGGCGCGGATATCTGCGTTGACTACAAGGCTGCTTCTTTTGAAAAGGACTTGATCAAGGCTACAGAAGGATACGTGGAAGTCTACTTCGACAATGTCGGTGGCGATATCTTGTCGCTTATGCTTGGTCGCATGAAGCGCCACGGACGCATTGCTGCTTGTGGTGCTGTTGCAACATACAACTCCATGGGCGACAGTGGTGTGAAGAACTGGTTCGAGATTATCAGCAACCGAATTGAGGTCAAGGGATTCATTGTTATCGACGCTTTGGAGTCTGGCAGGGCTGGACAGATTGTACCAGAGTTGATCAAAGGAGTCAAGGAGGGCAAGATTCAGGTTGGACCTGAGACCGAGACTGTGGTTAAGACCAAGTTTGAGGATGTGCCCAAGACTTGGATGATGCTTTTCCAGGGTGGCAATACTGGAAAGTTGGTTACCGAAATCCAGGGCTAAGTAGATCAATTTTTTCTAAGTAAAACAAAGATTTGGGAATACAATCCCACTGGATTCACTTTTACTTCACTAGAATCCGACATGGTTCAGCGATAGAAAGTTGTCCTAATCTAAGTTTTTGTAAGATTGGACAGTGTATGTCCCCAATGTGAAGCTACATGAACGAGTGACAAGCCATCGAGATAGCATGATATGTAAGTTCAAGTCTCAGGCTCATTTCCCATTCCGACCCATGTTGAATTCAGTACTACCCAACATATAACTGGAGTTCTGTCCACGCTCCCCTGACTACCCGTGTGTTAGTATAACAGTAGCTTCCTCTCCCCATTCGAGACATTTCACGTTCTACAGAAGATCGCACTTCTGCAGGTAGTCATAGTAACGGTCCGTAATCGTGATGTCTAGGCCAGTCATTCATGGTCATACTTTGTACGCTGGAAGTCTATACTATTCACGTATCAAGCGGTGCGTCGTATCCAGCTCATACCTGGAAACTTGAGAACTTGCAGTGATGAATACGTAGTACATGAGCGATGCGTCGATACACCAACATGTCATGCTAATCGTAGTTTGCTTTCCGAAATCCGACTAGAGATTTGAGAACATGTAAGGGAACAGCCCCGAAATGGAGTCTTACGGCTTTCGTAAGTAGAAATCGTGCACGAAGGCCGAGAAGCCTGACGTTTATCGATGACACGATAGCGGGCACGCAGACGCTTCTTATGGAGACTCAATGTAGCTTGACGACGAATCAATGTAGACACATCATCTAGTACTCATTAGCATGGCTTGAGTGTACTCTGCAGTGTGACCACCACGGTAAGCTAGCTACAGATAGCAAAACTTGTTGGAATGACTGGTGCGTAACTTGTGGGAACAGTCACTGGAGAAGAATGAATTGTTTGACGAAGCGGGATGAGAAGTGCAATGTCATTTATATATTTTCTTGCATCACTAAAACGCGGCGCTTCATATAAATCGCGGATTACCCTGCACAGTCTTCTTGACCTCTTCAAATGGCTCCAAAGCTATCGGCGCTTGATACAGCTCTGGTACTCTTGCGCCCATATAGACCTTGCCGCACCACGCTGCTTCAGTTTGAGCTCCCTTCATCTCATAGTACTTCCTCGCAACCATAAGCGGGGTTAACGATCCGAACTTCGCAGTATATCCGGTAACGGGTCGACAATTGTACGGTACGCTCCGACAGATTGAATCTGCATAGCTGCTGAGTTGCCGGTCCCACATGTAAAGTTGCTTTATATCGAGCTGTCGATGCTGACGGAGGAGCTTGAATGTGTTTCCTTGCATGATCAACATGCTCATATTGTAGATCAAGTAGCAGATGCCAGCGCCAAAATAATGGAAGTAGAATATCGGATCGAACACGCGGTCTGCGCAGATATCCAAGAAGCCTTCCATCGATGCTATGTCTACCATGTCGTATCGCGGACCATTTCTTTCGAAAGTCGAGAGCCACTCGAAAGCACGATTTGCGATTTGTTGTGAATCCTCGATAAGAGTATCTATCTCTTCTTGTGGGCACCCTGGCCTAGCAATTTTGTCTGTACGCTCTAGAAGTCGTGGGATGTGTATACAGATATCGTTCAGAGCAACATATGGATCCACTTTGGCCGCTTTGGCTGTCACTGCCAGCCATTCTGGGCTGTCCAACATCGAGGCCTTCCGCATGTGATAGCCGATACTCAACTAGAAGAAATCAGCGGGATTGCACAACATCGAACGAGATTGTTCGTCGTACCGAGTTGTACCGTATGGCATGGAAAATTTGCATGCTCAATCGGCTCTCAAAAGAAGCTGGCCCACGCTGCCTTAACAGATGCAACAGGCCTTGAACATGGTAAAAGAATCCATGGCCTTGTGTGACACCCACAAAAACCTATTTGGGTATTAGAGCTATTCCCAAGATGAAGGCAGGGCAGATCTTACTTCATAGAGCGTGAGCATATACGTTGATAGCAGCGTTTCGTCTTTCAAGGCTGTGACTGGATCTTGGATCGCGCGCATCATCTGGCTCAGCGCTGTGCCGTAAAGTGATCTTGAGCGATGGATGAGCGGATGATTTCTGTTGTTCACTGCTAATTGTGCTGCAGATAATGCATCGATCGCAGCCATCAGTACTGGACTGTTTGCGGGCATAGTAGGTAAGCCAAGCATTAGGGCTGATGGAGGTGGCAGTGCTGGGCCTTCAGCTCTGGGCAAATACAGCGCAATGAAGGTGCCTAGGTGCTGTATTCTGTCGGCGGCAACTGCGCTGACCTGCTTGGGAAGAGGCGCATCAACAGGTTCCGTTTGCAACTCCTCTCGGCGTACGAGAACATTTCCTGGGAGATTTCCAGCGTCTGTTGAGCTTGACGAAGCTTGATTTGCGTATCTGTAGCGGTTCTCATCCTCTTTGATGAGAGCCGGCTTCTCCCCCTGTGCATCAAAATTATGAAGAATGAAGGCTTGCGTCGGCCGGTATCCAGGACATTTTGTTCCGCGCCTCACGCAAGTATTGCATTCTGGTTTGGTCTCGTCGCATCGTACTTTCCTCTTCCTGCACTCAAAGCAACCTGCCGACCTTTTTGGCATGATCAGACCACAAGCGGGGTATCCACCTCATGAATCTCGGAGAGCCACGGAGTGAAGATGCTGCGACCTGATCTCGTTTCTGTTTCCTCAAGTGCAATTGAACTGCTTGGTAGTTTCGTTTTCCGATCTGGTGGCGAGGCGAAGAGAACGACGACCACTCACCAGAGGCGCGGCCGCTAGAGGAAGTAGCCAAGAGCCGTCTCGTATTCAACGGTGTTGCCCAATCAATAGCCACGATGTTGACGCTATAGCGGCTGGCTTCCAAGATTCGCAGCCTTTCCCGCATGTGCTTGCGCTCGCATACTCACGTTCAAGTGGTGAGGGGGAGAGGGGCTTGTGTAACTTGTCCTTTCCAAGATGCTCCCTTGGCTCAGCAGGTATGTCATTCCAGTAAAGTCAAACAGAACAACCTCTCAATCATTTGAAACTTCCATCTCTCAAGTCTCTCTGATACAGACCGAGGTCAAGAACTTTGAGCCAGCAGCTATCACAGAGTGGCAGCCCCTTGTCCATTCGAACCTATTGTGGTGCACGGCTCCGCCGGGCCTGCTCGGAGATGCGGGCGACTCACGCGACGAGCAGGAGCTCGGGGGGCGGGACGTCAACGGGAGAATGGCTCGAGGACCTCTGGCGCATGGCAACATCGGTCTAAGATGAAAGAAAGGGAAAGGAAGCCGAAGGAAGCCGTGGGAAGCCAAGTCGACGGGGGCTTATCATCCGTTCACAAAGGGCCTACCGATTGGGGCAGAATTACCGCACACTTCGACAGCAACAGTGAGGGAGATACAAAATTGAGCTTCGACTGTAAACTTGGGAACAAGGCCACAATATTATACGATCCGCTGTTGCGATACCCGTTGTCGTCCCAAGAGATCCTACGGCACATATGGCGTCCTCATGTGGTAAGGCTTTGCGCATCGTCTCCGCTTATTTATTCTTTAGGAAGCGACTGCGAGCTTCCCGCACCACACATGATGCCCACGCCTGCTGATTCGTATACTATCGCAGAACATTCTCGGCACACGATATGGTAGCGCTGCTTGTGAGCGGCGAGACAGCGACGCACAAGATGATGAAGCCGGTCGCGACTCTGTCTACTTCAAGCAGCTACTGATCAGCGCTACCTGCGCATATGGTGCTGACCTCTTGCGATGAATTTGTCACTATTTTCCATCAATTCCCCTTCGCATACACAACGCACAAGATGCAAAGACAAGTTGAAGCGGATCAACAATGATCGGATTTCAATCAATGTACGAAGTACCATTATTGAAAAGCTGGTATCTGTTTCAGCTGGACAAACTTACCAGGCGCGTCTATCAGAGACTGATAAGAGTCGACACGGCCATTCCAGCCGAACTTCCTCGCTCTGTTAATGCCAAAAGTTCCCGATCATGTGCGTTGAAAAACTCAGTCCTAGAAAGCCAAAGTACCAGTCTCTTAAGCCGCCTTTGCTTTAGGTTGACCATGCTTGTCGCGGATGCGATCCAGATGTTTCTTGCTTATCTGCAGCCCATTCGCCCAAGCTGAGGGTCGAGCTGCGTGTCTCCCGCTGAGGGCGAGGCTTGCGGAAGACTTGTTCCGGCGAGTCAAACATGACTACAAGCCCACAGTTGCCCATTCTACATTTGACACTCATGATTTCGACATATAGCATTTGGATCATAACTGCCTTGAGTCAAAAGGGCATGAGAGCTGCCGGGGTGTGGGTAGGGTTAGTCATTGTAGATTTTGCAGTCATTGAAGAGTTGCTTGCTGAATGCAATATGTCCTTGGAAGTCAGGTTTTCGACTATTGGTTTGATACCAGCGAGTAAATATAGGTAGGAAACATCAGCCCGACTCTAATTTACAAAGTACTAACTGGGCTACTCGGAACATTACGTGAACGCTGATCTGGTCAATGCTGAGACCGAAGTGTCGCATGTACCCGCTGGACCTCAGGCACCAAGATCTGGTCACCACCTATTCCAGGTGTGTTCTATCCAACAGGTCACTTTATCTATATTCGTATATGAGGGCACGAACACCCATGTTTCACTAAAGGTATAGTTGAAGGTGAACCGCAACCATACTTCTCTACACATCATCGAGCTGCTTTGCTTTCTTCTTGTGAATCAGCGCTGCAGTCAAGAAGCACGTGAAGCCCAATACGCCGCACGAACCAGCAAGCACTTGTCCATACAAGTAAGATCCGTTGCCAGCCTCGACCAATGCTCCTCCACCAGGACCTCCAATGAGACATCCGAAACTAGACAGCGCAAAACCCATGCCCATTCTGGTACCGATCTTCTTGTTGTCCAAGGTCAGATCTGCTAGTGTTGCAGGAAACATGGCTTGCAAGGCCGCAGCAAACAAGCCGTAAAGCGCCGCAAAGGCATACATGCCTGCAGTCGAGTTGATCGCAGCCCAGCAATAGAGAAGAAGAGCGGTGACAAAGCTGACGATTAAGCTGATGGTCAATGGCCGGCAGTAGTGATCGGCAATGTACGCAGGCAATAAGCGCCCCGGTATGCCGACGCCGTTCAGCACCAAAAGGAGCGGTATTGATTCTTCCAATGTCATGCTCAAGGTTCTTCTGGCGAAGGCATTGATCTGAAAAAGATCAGTTATGTGACTAGAGATGAAATTGAATCGTACTTACGTAGAAGAAAGCGAACCATAGACCTGCGAAACAAAAGACCGATCCAAGGATCTTAGCGAATTAGCATAGTGTAGGTGAACTTTTGAATCAAATCACATACGAAGAGATCAAACACTGGATCCTTCAGCTCACTCGGTTCGAGCATCTTCACCGAGCTTTTTGGCGGGAGTCGTTTCTTCAGCAGCCGCTCCGCAATCAACAGCATGACCAGCGCCATAAAGCCCAACGTCCTTACCGCCCATCCAAATCCGATGCGATCGATGAGCCTGTTGAGCATTATCGGGATTACCAAACCCCCTGTTCCCGATCCACATAATGTGATACTGATCGCAAAACTTCGCTTCGTCGCATCGAAGTAGGTCGAGATAACGGAGACCATAGGGACAAACATACAGCCATTTGCAAGCCCAATGCAAAACCCCTGCGCAAGTACAAATTGCCAATACTCTTTGCAGATGCTTGTCATAAAGATGCCAACAAGCCACAACCCGATGCCCATGCGTAAGACAAGTTTGAAATGGCCAGTGTCCGATGCGGCGCCCGACCAGAGAGGGACGGATAGTAGCAAGAAGACGGTAAGTGCGCCGATCCATGAGATATTGGAGGGTGTCGAGAGACCGATTGAAGTGTAGTGTGCCTGGAACATGCCAAACGATGTGATGAAGCCCCAGGTAAAGAAGGTGATGATGTGCCCACCTAGCACTTGCGACCATGCGACCCATCCGCCATTGGGAGGCGGCTCGATGGACACAACTCGCGTCACATCAAAAGTCGCAGATACTTCTTGTTTGGTCGGCCTGAAATCCTCCTCTGCTATATGATTGAACTCCTCAGCCGGTGGATCTGGCCCGATAGCTGCCATCTTATCGCAAGCCGAAGATGTTGTTAGGGTGCAAGAAACACGACCCCGGATATTTGCTTCCCCAGATCCATATTTTGCTGAGTCACAACCTGTACGAGCTTGCAAGTCTACGAGTTTGCCGAAGTTAGCAGGCTCATTTTCCCGAAATTATGAGGTAATTGAAAGGAACTGGTGGCGGAAGAAGACCGCGGCGGTTATTGCCGACGGTTTATTGCCGACGGGCCGAGCAAGTACGTCGGATGCGACACGCTCTGTCATTTCAACGCGCTTGAAGCGATTCAGGTAGAAAAGACACACGAACCACATAGTCAAGAATGCCCTATCTGATTTAGCATTTGCAGTCTTACTCCAGGAACACATGGTGAGCAAGACCCAGCACCCTGCCCACGCGTGCCTCGGCGGTCTACCCCTAGGGAGCAAAAAACTGATGCATAGGTAATGATCTGTACGCTCTACACCCTAGCAAAAACAAAAACATACAACAGCGGGGATTCGCTAGTGGTCACCCACCTAACTACTAATCCGCCGGTACACTGCTTGTATATGGCTGAGCGGACGGGAAGCCTAATTTTCAGTGTCCTATGGTCGTATGTGAAGGAATCCGTTGTTTTTGAATATTATATCCACAACACAGTTTTGCTCAAGCCGCTCGGGATGCGTACCCAATCATGACATGGCAAGCCCTTACCCACGCGCTATGTCAAGAGATATTTACGTCTTCCTGTCAGCTACTGATAGTCCATATCAAACAAACCATCAAGTCATAGGGTTATGTGGTTGCCCGGATCTGTGAAGCGCAAACATCATTCCCTCATCCTTGAAGCACCATCCATATCAAGTCGCGTAAAATTTCTATCACTCCATCACTTTACAACTATCCAGAGACTCTATATATGGTTATAGCACACTATGTACTAATATTCACATTTTGTATTAAGTTTGAACAGTAGTCTATATTGTATATCTTCCAAGGGCCTTTCCGCATTATGACGGGGAGACATCGCGATAGAGATAGATCTTTGGTTGAGTCTTCGCCAGAGTTGACCACTCGCCCGTCTTGTGCGTCAAGTGCAAGCTCATTCTGACTCCCGTATGAACACTAAGTACCGAATACGTAGTCTACGAATACATATGGTCCTATCAAATGGCACGAACACGCGGATTCATCCCCTATGATGTATCATGGTACTCCTCTAGGTCGCCAAACTTGGCGTACCAAAGTGAAGAGCTGGCGCTCACTCAATTTGCCGGGAAGCTTTATCTTTCTGTTAATCTCCCGAGCACACAAAATATTGTCACCACATTCGACACCTTCTGCCGTACAAGAACAATGTCGACAAACAATCCATGGAGGGACAGTCCATGGCGCAACCCCGCGATTGTTTTTGAGGACCTGCCAGAGTCGCTCATCCTTGAAGACCTAAAACGATCGTGGCACTTTCAAAGAGAGGCACACTTCCGCTGGATGCAAAAGGTGATTTGGACTACGATTGACTGCTATCGCGTTGTCCTCCGTGACGTCGAAGGCATAGTAGGTGACATAGCAAAGGAGATGTGCAATAAGCCTACAGCTTTCTATTGGCTTCAGTCTGCGCAGAAGGGTGCACCTGATGCGCCCGAGAAGTCTAATATGGCTGGTATGATCTTTGCAGCTATATACGAAGAATGGCATCGAAGCTCTGTTGGGTCAAACATCGAGTTTGGCCATTTCTTCGCAGCACCCGTTCGAATCACAGCTACCGGCCCATCGAGCCTACCACAGATTTTGGAGGCACATTCGTCGCTTTGTGCTCAAGCACAGCACATCTCTTCGAGTACGGATAACTATTCGGTGCATCCTCTTCTTCCTGCCGTCATCCTTGTATGCGACCGACGTGACTATAGGGTTGAACGACGAGACGGTTGCTTCAGTCTTCGCAAAGTGGCGAGGACGCAGACTATCCTGGTCATTCTTACCGGAACAAGTCAAATCAACACCGATGTTCACGTTACCCTGGATCGTCTCGAACAATTCGCTTTGCCCATCGAAAGAGCCGATGCCGCTGGCCTTAATGTCCTGCGAGTGCCCTTGGATATTGCTGTCAGTTTTGTCGTTGAGTTGGAGGGTAGGATCGACGAGCAAAGGAAATCCGACATTCAAACCTTAGACACGAGTCTCTGTTGTCACGCTACACCTGTCGGGTACAATCGTGACATCACGCATAATCCAGACATATGGGCTGAGACGATGCAAGCAGAGGCAATGAAAATTGGGTTCAAAAAGTTGGAGGATACGAAACATGCTGCCGTACGCGTCTATGCACACCTTTGCGGACAAGATTCAGATTGCGAGCTAGAACACATACCCTTCAGCCATGGGTGGGAACCCTGACGTGAATCTTAGTACACAGCGTGCTGTAACGATCTATGGGGTGTCCGGATAAGTCTAGGAAAGACTTTTCGGATAACTCCAAAAGATTAGATCAAAGCGACCTCTGCCTACCTAAGATTCTTAGCACCAGAGATAGACATAGAATTTGTATAGTAAAACTACTTCTTTCTTATAGCTCTACGACTTTATAATACAAAGTAAACTAAAAGAACATTCTTTAGAAAGAAAGAACACGTAGGTAAATTTTACTAGCAAAATTCTTAGGTTTATATCCCTTTTACTCTTCCATCTTAAGAGATAACAGCTGACTCTCTATTACAAATTGAAAGATCTCAGTAAACTACGCAGTTTTGTGATGGAAAGTTAGCTGCTTTCTCTCAAACTAGAAGAGCCAGGATAGGAAGTGTTAAAACAGTGTTTGGGGTTGTTCGAAAAAGTCCTTCTATGAACAACGCGAGATGTTGTCGTGTGCTGTTTTGAAATGAGTATTCTCAAGCCAAGACGCGACCCAGTCACGAAAACTTGTCGATGACAGAGCAAAGGAATTTCTATGAGGAGATGTATGCTGTCGTACTGCCGAGTGTCAAGATCCAAGCTCATCGGTGGGCCTGGCGGAGGTGGCACCAAGCAAAGATATCAGAATACCCGGTGGCACCTTCCCGAGGTCGTGCCGCTACACCCACATGTGGCTAAACTACCGTTGGTACTAACTCGAAGGAATCGAATTCCTTCCTAACTTCTTCTTCCAGTAGTCCTCTGGTATCATCCTGGCTCAAGGATGCAAGCAACCGCAGCAATTACTCGGACACTTATGCAGGGCAAAGGGGATGGAACCACGCCTCCCTTGCTTTAGCACGTCCAACAGTGTGGAGTAAACCATTTCGATACTCTGGAGAACGATCAAATTTAACGGGCTCGTATACTGGATGTATTAAAGTAGTCGGCCCTTGCTTCAACATGTTACCCCAGGTACACCTCAACGAACCCTTACGCTCTTTTTGAAGTATCAAGTCCGCCTGTGGTCTCCACTTCCACACTCCTTGATCTCTATACATCATTGTATATACCTAATACTTAATCATGTCGTTCAATATCCGCAATGCCCTGACTCTGGGTGCCTTCTCTGCACTCGCAGCAGCCCAGACTGTACCCCCGAAGCTTGACGCAACTTGCGCTGATGTAGTCATCTTCATGGCTCGCGGCAACGACGCACCATACCATGACGGTCGCACATTCCCCTTTGTCGAAGCTACTTGCGGCAAGTTGACTGCCCAGGGCAAAAGCTGCGACTACATCGACATCCAGTTTGACGTTACTCTGGGTGGTGACTACTGCAACCAAGTTGCTGAAGGCGCTCGCAATGGTATCTCTCAGATTACGGCCTTCCATGAGAAATGCCCTTGCTCGCACATCGTGGTCAATGGCTACTCAGAGGGAGCGCACGTCGTCGGTGACGTGCTTGGTGGACCGGTAAGCTTCTTATCACTTGGGTCAATCGCATGGAGATACATACTGACTCGATGTTTCTATATAGGGTGGTTGTACTTTTGTCTCTACCGGTCTGGATAACAACTCCGCTGCTGGTAAAGCGGGTAAGCAGATTCTTCGATGGTGTAGCTTTACCCATGCTGACATACACAAGTCGCGGCAGCTCTTCTCTGGGGAGACGTGATGCATACCGCCAACCAGCCCTACAACGTGCTCGACGGTGCCGACAAGCAAGCCAACGGACGCAAACCAGAGGATCTCGCACACCTCAACCGCTACGCACCGGTGCTCCGCTCTTACTGCGCTGCTGGTGACCCAGTCTGCGCCGGTGGTAATATTGTGGCCGACCGTAAGTGTTCTTGTACGAACTGCATGTGAGACATACACTAATTTCGTACACCGACGTTTAGACCTAAATTACTTCGAGCTCTACACAGACGACGCTTCTTCCTGGGTCGTTTCCAAGATTGACAATGTCGCGCCTCTGCCGTCGTGTGCCGTGTCCAGCTCGTCCGTTGTCTCTTCGGCTACTAGCGCTGTCGTCACCCAGTCCTCCGCTGTTGCTCCTACCCTATCTTCCATGGTCACAGTCACCGCTACACCCACCATGGTTGAGTCTTCTGCGACCGAGACGCCTTGCTCGACTTCGCCTGCAATGGTATCCCCGTTTCCCTCGCCCGTCCCATACAACCCAGGCTCATGCGTCCTGGAAGTCCATGTAGAATATGCATACGCTTAAAGTAAGGGAATGGATAGCGAGAGAGAGGATGGAAGGATCCTGGGTGTCGAAACAATGTATGAGAAGCGCATCTTGCAGGAGCAGCAGTATTGTGACAATGTACGATGCGCGTCATTCACGCGACGAGCTAGCTCTTACTTACCTCCGGTTCATTTATATCACTATGAAGTCTCCACCGTGCGCAAGACCTGGGCGTTTGCCGAGGATAGCTCACTTTTAGCATCTGGAAGTAGGCCACTATTCTTGATCCTGCGCTTGACGTGGAAGCGTGCCATGCGGTGCGGCTGAGGAAAGAACGAGCAAGCCTTGTTGGTGGATGACGCTGGAATACGTCCGCGAAACCAAGACAAACTGTCAGCAATGACGAAAATAGTTAACAACGATGATGATTGAGGAAGCTGGCGAGTGGTCGCAGCTGGCGTTGAGGAGAAGATAGCTCCGAACCAAAATCTTGGCATTCCCGCGGACTTCGCTGTACGTCATTCCTCACTGGATATATGTCCAGCCAAATCCCACTCAGGCAGCATCACCGCTCTGGAGCGCTTTCACGATGCATCGAGTACGACCGCAACTCAGCGCCTTGCGCCCTTCGCCTCGTTTGCCCCAGCATGCACACCAATCCTTCCGCACCCACTCACAAACACGCGCCTACCAACAACTCCCCTTCGGCGGTCGAGGCAATGGCCCCCAGTACAAGCGCTTCAGCGCACAATCTGGCGGTTTCTCTGGTCTCCTTTATCGCTGGGCCCAACGCCCAACTTTCTACCGCGACGTTGGCCTGATCAGCGCAGGCACCGGTGGCGTTTACCTGTACAACCTCGAACAAGTGCCCGTTTCCGGTCGCCGTCGGTTCAACATCATCTCACCTGGTATCGAAGAAGCGCTGGGGCAGCAATCCGTCGAGCAAGTCCGACAAGAATACCAAGGCAGGATATTACCGGATAGCGATGCGAGAGTCCGGCAGGTGAAGAGGGTTCTGGAGCGGTTATTGCCGTATGCCGAGGGTGAAGGGCTCAAAGATCTGAACTGGCAAGTCACAGTCATCGAGTCTCCCGAGCAAAACGCTTTTGTTGCGCCTGGGGGGAAAGTCTTTGTTTTCACAGGGATTCTGCCGTTGTGCAGGGACGAAGACGGCATTGCGGCGGTATTGGGCCATGAGATTGCGCATGTCGTTGCGCATCATACCGCGTTAGTGTTCATGTCCCTTTCCCTCGAATGTCTTGAAGGCCTGCTAACGGAAACACAGTGAACGCATGTCTCAAGCCCCCTTGATTCTCCTCGGCGTCCTCGCCCTATCTATGTTCGATGTGTCCTTCTACTCAGGCAAAATGCTCCTCGATCTCTTCCTCTCCATGCCCGCATCGCGCAAACACGAAGCCGAGGCTGATTACATTGGCCTCTTGATGATGGCGCAAGGTTGCTATCGACCAGAAGCCGCGATGCAGTTCTGGACGCGCATGGAGAAGGCGGGCGGGGCGGGCCCGCCGCAGATACTGAGTACACACCCGAGTCACCACAACAGAGAGGAGAAGATTAGAGAATGGCTACCCCAGGCTATGGAGAAGGCTGAAGCGAGCGACTGTGCAGTCACAAGTCAACTAGCTACTCAGTTCAGCTCCGCGATTGATGGCTTTGGACGTTGGTGAGGTATTGCTAAACTTTGGGCGTCAAGGCGCCTGTACTAACACCCTGTATAATACTGCATGAGTATACTAACACCGAGTAACGATAACGACACGATAATGAATACTTTCTCACACTTGGTAGAAGTACCCGGCTTGAAACACGATCCTGAATATAATGTCATAATTTCTTATACTCTACTATCCTCGGCACATCTGTTCTAGTCAAAACACGCACGTCCGCTGTCCTTGTTACGCCAATACTAGGCCTACCCATCGATTCCGGATAGACTGAATCCCTCTCCCCCACATCCGATGTGCTATCATCAAAATAACTGTTTCCCATATCCATAGCCTTTCCCATCTCCTTCTCTGTAACCGTCAGTCTTCTCTCCCCATCAAAGTCAAAGGCGCCGCCCGTTCCCTTCTCGAGGTCGTCATCGTCGTCGATGCTGACCAAGTTTTTTTTTCCCCAACTCCCCCGGTACCCTGGTATGGTGGGTACTTCAGATGGTGTGGCGGTTCGGTGGGGGCAGTTGAAAACTTGCTTAAGTAAAGGAGAGAGGGAGGGAAGAGACGCGGCAAGTATACCGATGTCAACTTCGATTTGAGACCATACTGGGACCCACGACCAGCCCCTGCGATTGGTATGTTAGTTGATTTGTTGGTACGGGAGAAACATTGGAAGTGGACGTACCAGCTGAAATCCACTTCTTGCCAAGTACTTCCTGGTCTGATGGGACTGTCAGACATGACAATCTCGCAGAGACGCATGGAACTGGCTACGACTGGGATGACGCCGATAGAGAGAATGACTGCTAGAGCCGCTGAAACGATGATCAGCATTACGCATTTGACAACTCCACACGTGCGTTGACTCACTTCTTTGTCTCTTGTTGAACTTGATTACCCAGATCAACGGCAAAGGGAAGACCAACAAGACAATATCTGTAACGACATTGATGGCACCCGAGATGACCATGAACATGGCGGCATTGATGCATCCATCGGGTTGAGCTTCAACGTCCCAGACGCGTGATATTGGTGTGCAGATGAATAATTGGGTCTTCCAAAGATGTCAATCATGATCACTATACAAGCAAGGACGGTGCTTACGAGAAAGACAGAGGAACTGAAGGCAGTCATGAAGG